GTTTTTTCTTCAATGATTATCGATTTCCAGCTTTCATTTATTCCATATAATGTTTTGCTTTCTCCATTAAGTACATCGAATTGTATTCCGCATTTTTCCATATCTTTGCTTTTGTCGATAAGTACCTCACCTTTTATGTTTTCATTTATTTTCAGGGAAAAACTTTCTTTTGGACCTATGATTACTGAGGTCTTGTTAGTTATTTCGTTCTTATTCTTTCTTCGAGTGGTTTTTACTACGATGGTATCTATTTCTACTATTTCTGTTATCTCGTTAATCTCTAGTGGATTGAGTTCAATATTTATTCTCGAAAAGTTAATGTCCAACATCCTTATTAATGGGTAACCTAATATACAGTCGAAATTCAAGTTGGCGTCTGTAAGAAATAGTTTCGCCTCTGGTACTTCTAGATCCAAGCACGGGAAATAAATATTAGGCGTAATGTGATCTGATATTTTATCTAAGATTTTTCCATCTCCTCCTTTAATTATGAATTTTTCACATGAGTTTGTTATTGAACTGTGACCTATGTTTCTTCTTTTTATTAAATTAAGTGATGATCCAGAGTCAAGCAAAGCGTTTACATTTATATTTACATTTTGATTAAGTTTTATGATTATACCGATAACTGGTAGTCCTTGATTTCTAGGAGCTGTTTCGGTCATCTCTTGAGTTTCCTCGATGGTTGTCCTGGTTGTATTGTCTCAATGCTGGACAGATCCTCACAGGATGATTGCCTCCACAGTTATAGCATGATATTTCACGTTGCTGTTGGTTGTATCTCGGATTTCGGTTGTTTTGGTAACCTCGATTTTGAGTTCTTGGCTCAAAAGTCTCCTTTTTATTTTCTTGCTTGTTGTAATTCTGTACATTGTAGCCCTGACTACCTTTCTTCTCCCATTTCCTCGTGTTGCTATGGTTTTGCTCTCCGTTGTTGTCGAACTTCCTCTGGTTGTCATAGAACTTTCTTTCCGGCTTCCTTCCTTGATATCCGCCCCTATTATTCGGATAACTATTGTGTGGCTTCCTGTCTTGTGTGGAATTCTTTCCTTCCTGTCGATTGTTGTAATATTGGTTGCCGGTTTTACGATTTTTATTGTGCCTTTCAATCAGATTGTTCACTTGGTCGATGTTTGAATGAGACAGGAAGTCTTCGGCGCTTTTGATCAGTTGTTCACCGGAAAGGTTTGAGCTGAGTTGCGCAAATACGCGATCTGTCGTAATTTTCTTCTTAAAGTTCATATCAACGTAGCTTCTGACGGCTCTTTCGTCTGGGAATAGTTTCAAGCATTTCATTTCCATGTTCTTGTAGAATCCTCTTGGCGTGTCTTTGTGTGGATTGAATACTGTATTTTCGATGTCGCGCATTCGTGCTTCAGAGCTTTTCCTTGTTATGGTGTCGATAGCACTTTTGAACCTTTTCAGGGTTATTTTGTGATGTTTTTCCTGGTAATCCGTCAGGAGTGATATGAGACTTTCCTTAACTCCTCTGTTGTCAATTGCTGACAAAAGGATGCTACTGATTCTTTCTTCTTCAAGTTTTTCTTTAGTGTAAAGTCGTATTTGAAATAAGCTTGATTTGTACCAGTTTGGTAGGTAATCAATCTCATCGTTCTGAGTGAATTTCGTCAGTCTAATATCTTTAATATTTCCTTTTGAATTTCCCTCTGTGTCGATGTTATTTACTTGTTCTCCTTCGATGGTTGACGGGTCATCATCGCTTTCTTCGCTTGTATAGTCTGTTTCACTGTCTGATGTTGATTGTTGCATACTAGTTAGATTCTTCAAATTACTTCCTATTTTATTTATCGCTTTTTTAACTCTTCCACTTGCTGATGACTGGTTTTGCTCTTCTTCTGCTTCGACCTTCATTTCTTCTCCTTCTTCGTCTTCTTCTTGGACAACTGATATTTCTTGTTCTTCATCATATTCTTCTTCTTCGTCAAAAAATTTGAAGTTGCTTATTTCTTCTGGGTGCTTACGCTTGTTCCAAAGAATGTTCATGTGGTTTTTCAGGGCTCTTGAGTCACATTTGGTCTCTTCATTAAAGGCTTTTATAGTTGATACGTTTTCTTTAGCGTGTTCCACTACTTCGCTCCAATCATAAATTTTCTCTTCTGTATGCTTTTTCAACCAGTCGATTGTTGGACATGTGAGAACGCAGTAAATCTCGTCTGTTTCTTCTTCACTTATTTCCTTTAGTGTGAACACCGCCGCGATCGCATGAACTTGTATTTTCGTATTGGACGAAAATCTTTTCTTGAAGTATTTTTGTATCCTTCCACATTTTGATCCGCATTTTTAATTTTTAGTGCTTTGCATAGATGGATAATGTGTCTTTCTGGAATTGTCGTTGGTTTGATTTTTATTGTATTAATTATGTTGTAGGTACTTTCGTTATTTTCTATCCTTGTGCTTGACAGCAAGGTTTTCTCCTTCATCGTTGCACGTAGGTTCGTTTCTCTTCTCTTCAGTCACCAAGATAGATAGTGTCCTTCTCTTAATGTTCTGTCTGGATGATGCCTGAGCTGCTTGGGTCTGTAAAAAGGGATCAACTGACTGTTTCCGGTTCTATTGTTGTATTTGCTTGTGTGTAAGTGGACAGTTTGTATATAGTAATTGAATGACTGTATAACTGACTGACAGCGTTAGATGGTTGGCAGAGTCTTATATAGAGTGGTGGTTGCTATGTGTTATTCAGTAAGATGTTGTCTTGGTTACAGTTCAGAATAGATCAGAGTTGGGACACTACTGTAACAAGACTTTTTCTCCCTTGCCGTCATTTATGCCAAGTTATTAAAAAAATATTAAAAAAATCTTGCAAAAATAGTTCTTAAATTACATGTAAAGGAAAAAGTCATCAAAAAGGCAATTTAAGGGGGAGGTCGACGAGAATCGGGATTTCCGTGACCAAAAATGCGGAGAAACCCGATTAGATAGGAAAATTCTGACTTTTCGGATTGAAAGAAAAGGGTTTGAAAAATTAACCGGCGAAAAGCAGAAAAAAAAAATTTTGAAAAATATTTCAAAAATTAGGGTTGAAGTGGGGGTGTCTCTTGACCAAAAAATCTCGAAAACTGAGTTTTTTTTCTTCATCAAATATAATTTATAAATAGTTTAGACCCTTAAAAATTAACCGGCGATCAAAAAATTAAGGAGTACTTTCATAAAAAAATTTTTCTTATTGATTAAAAATATTCGATTTTCGTCAAAATATACATTTTTGCCGATTTTTTCATGGAAATTTGTGCGAAAATCACAAAGACTCGGATTTTTTTTTAAATGATTAGTCAGAAATCATTTTAAAACAATGCCTTGTGCATGATAATCAGTTTCAGATAGTTTTTGGACGAAATCACCAACCAATTATTTTCAAGAAATTTCAGTTTCGGGACTTAAAATCGAAAATTTTACATTAAAAAGTTAACAAATTGAGAAAAAGCTAGGGACCAAAAATACTCCTTTTCTATCGAGGAATCCAAAAATATAATCAAAATTTTAAAAAGGTGAAAAAAAATTTCTCGACGACCTCCCCCTTAAGGGGGTAGAACTAGATTTTGGGAAAAACCGTGATTTTCGGGAGGCACTTTAAATAAGAAAAACCTGTTTTTACTTATGATTACGCAATTTCCTCAAAAACTGGCTGAACTATCTTAAAATGAAATTTAAAAAATTTGGCTAGTCACGTGACTCGATAAATTTGACGACGCGAATACGCTAAAATTGCGATATTTGAAGAGGTGGGTTGACGTTTCGCTCTCTAGCGCCAAAATGTGTTGACGAAAAAAAATTTTAAGAAAAATGTTGTTAGATCTAAGTTTGTTCTATCAACAGCCGAAGAGAGAATTTGAAAATCTAAGCTCTCCTGGCTTTGAGCGCCGGTCTAGAATCGGCTATTTTCGAAAAACCTAGTTCTACCCCCCAAAAAAGAGGACTTTTTTTACTTTCTCATCCAAGGCTTGACATCCAAGCTAATTAATACCTGACTCAGATTTCTACACAGATCGCTGAGCCCATAATCAGAACAAACAATATCTTTTTTATAAGCTTGCTTTTCGCAAGTCATTCTATTCAGATGAATTTGTGGCCTTTTCTCTTCAAAAAGGGTACGCTGTCAAAGAAAAACGACAAAAAAATCAAACAAGGAAATTTTAAAAGAGCAAATCTGTCTCAAAAAAACAAGAAAGAAAAAATGTTGAGAGAAAATATTTTTCATTTATTCAAAAAAATATTTTATCTACTAGTACTTCTCGTTGGTTTCTTACTTCTTTTTCAAAACTCAAAATATCTTAATCCTTTGAAAATTGAGTTAACCTCAAACAAGGTAGTAAGCTTTCAACGGTTGAATAGAGCTAAATCAATCAAATAATAAAATTTTTGTTTGGGTCTTCTTTATTTTCGCATTGGATTCTCATTTCAATGCAGCGATCAGAGTGTGCACAAAAAATGCAAGAAATCAGAGCTTTTTTCCCCAACAGTTTTTGAAGGACAAAAATTACCTTATTTTCATCGGGCTAGCGTATTTACGCTTTAGCGGCTATTCCCATTTTTAATTTTTTACATTATATATTTTATAATATATTATACATTAAACAATTCAGGTAGAAAACAGGGACTTCTAATGTTCAGTTATCTTTGAATTATCTTGTCATTCTCTCTATTATTTTATATACTTATCGCAAATATTATCGCTGCAGTCTATGTTATAACCGCATTGATACACTCATCTTCTGAGATCTTGATCTAGAGGTCTAGAGAAATTAGCTGAAGTTACCCAACCGTTCAAAGAAATAATTGTTGCACTAAAACCCGATAATCCTAGAAGATCGCCTTTAGCTTCTGCCTACCTCAAACATACTTTTGCACTTGAGGAAAGGCTCCTATGGCTCGTGAATCCTGCCATTAGATTTACTAAGAAAAGGAAGGTTATAGCTAGGTTAAGGAGATGTATTTATCAAATGAAATTACTAACGGCGAAAATTAGACAACTTGATAAAAAGATGTTAACGCTTGATAATGATACCATCTCCACAATAATTACGCAGCAACAAGCGTGGAAGTTGGCCAAAAGATGGATTAAAAACCCCACGGCGGGATCGTTCAAAAAATCTATCAACGGAATTGCTGACGACCTTTTAGCGTTGCAGCTCAACACCGTGCCGCCAAAAGAGAACGTGCGAACAGAGTCCACCCAATTCTCCCCGACGCAGAGAAATTCAGGATTCCAAAGGTCAGTTTTAGAAAAATTGGCCCATACCCGGCGTTCATCAACTTCTATAAAAGTTCGAAAACTAAAACTATGGACTTAAGAGGTGTATCGCGTGGCATGGCGGAGAAATTACCTCTCCAAGCGTTCTCGAACTTGGTCCTCGAGCCATTCAAGGATGGTACTTCCAAAGGTAAATTTATTAGCGATTGGATTGAGAATAAAGTTACGCCTTTACTGAAGCCTAATGGCTCCCCCAGACCTATTACGATTACGCCTTGGCCTCTCGGGCTCCTAGAAAAGGCTTATAGTGAAGCCTTTATCATTTTCATGGAAGATAAAAAAATAGTTCCTTCGCAGCAGTATGGTTTTCGTAAATACCGTAGCTGCGGCGGAGCGGCTTTTGAAGCAGCGTTTGCCGTAAACTGCCTTAGCGGCGGCGAAAACAAGGAAGGTAGGTCGCAGACCTTCCCTTGTACGGGCATGATCAGCTGCGATGCCAAAAATGCGTTCGGGGTGGTCCCTCATGATAAGTTCCTAGAGGCACTTAGGGGGATCGCCTCGAACGCATTTGTAGAATTTATTGCCGCGTATCTGGTACGTAGCTTTAGGGCGGTCCTGAACGGATTCGTCAGTGATAAAAAGGTGCTTCCCCCTTGGGGACTGCCGCAAGGCAGTTCCCTCTCGCCTCCCTTTTATATTTTCTATTGTTCGACCTTTAACAATAGTTTAGTAGTCGATCGGGAGGATTCAAGCACGAGGATGGATCAAGAAGTTGACGATCTGGTCAATGAGCAAAGCTGTAATCGAGAAGATCATCAGCTTCTAGAGCTCTCTCTAGCTTCAGGTGACTTGCTTATGAAAATGGGACGCAGAAAATGCGATCACCAAATCAGCATGTCCACGGGCATCTCACTCTCGTTTGCAGATGATTACATCCTTCTAGTGAATGGCTTCACCATCTCCAGCACTCTCAGATCTTTGGCGAGCTCTGCGAACTTGGTCCTGGATGAAATGCAAATATCCGGCATCAAAACGGCGCCGCACAAAAGCAACTTGATTATTTTTGGTAAGTCCGAACCAATCAGTCAAGACGCTCAAGTGATTAATAGCTGGTTCACAAATGATAAGGGGGAAAAGGGTATCATCATGGATGGTACTTTTGTAAAGTCTTCGGACAAAACTAAATACCTGGGCATTTGGGTGGAAAATAAGAACGGTCGACTCTCTTTTGATCTACACCACAAGGTCACGAGAGGTCGATTCAAAGCCATATCAGAGCAGATAAGTGTTATTTTTCATACAATGCCACTAAATATGCTTGCAAACATTGTCAGAGCGCAAATGGGCGGAGTCCTCCTTCACGGGAGTGACTACATTAACCCACCTGACCGAATGACTCTTGATAGTATGCAAAAGATCTACTCGAACACGCTCTGGCAAAAGAGGTCTCTGCCCTACTTTCTCCTAGACAAAAGTTGGAGTTGAAAGATAAAGACAGGCTAGCCTTTGAGGCTTTTAAAATGCGTTTTTACGACAAATACTTCAACTTTTGTCCTGAGGAAAAGTATTGGGCAGTCTTTCTAGCTGGGCAAATCCCTTTGCATTTCATGATAATGAAGCAAGGGATTATGAGCATTTATAAAAGTTTTCGATATCAGATACCGGAGCTACCAGCCAAATTGGTTAGGTTAGGACTTATGATCTGCGATCGTTTCGGCGATCCAATTTGTCCCTTACCGGAGGTCTTTTTATCAGAACGACTTAAAAATCAATTTATGAATAACTCCAGATTCGGTAAAAATAGAGTCTCCGGAATTCTGCTTAGAAAAGAACTTGAACTAATATTTCTGGCACAAGATTTCTACCATCGTTTTGTCGATCTATTGGACACTGACACAATCGAAATTAGGTTCATCGTTCCCAAAAAGGACCTGGAAAACCGTTTTAAGATTGATAAAAAAGCTTGGCCTTGGTATCTAGCTGAGGCATTCAATAGTCTGCCGAATTACACGAGGAAAATGTTCGTTAATTTCAACTTTCCAAGTGTACTCAAAGACACAATCAAGAACACACATTTCCACGAAGGTTACACTTTCAAGTGTGATGCCTGTACTGGGCCAGTCAATGTATTATTCGAGGAAGGTATCAGACTTCCCTTAGTACTAAACAGCCCGGACGATTGGGACCTAAACAGTTATGACTACAACACAAGGAACCAACTTGCGGCGGGTACTGCTGCACTTATTGCATGGTTCTCAATGTCAAAAATTGACCGCCTAAGAATTGAATCGCCTCTGCTTTTCCACCAATTTTATATCCAAATGTGTAAAATTTCTCTACAGAAGGGCTTTGGTGGAATAATAAGTGGTCTTCTTTACGATAAGAATTTTAGGCATGAGATTAGGGAAATTATCTGGATTTTTGATAAGACAGCGTTTAAAGACCATTGACCCAAACCGCTCTACCCTAGGCACTCTCCGATAAATTCCGACTAAAGACAAAATGGCTAACCCATTCTTTTAGCGACGAGTTTTGGCGCTCAAAGACTTTTGGCGGTCAAACAATCAATCGCGCCCATTTTCTGCGATGAAATTGCCCTGTTTTCGACACGGACAAAAACGACCTCGCTCTGGCCGCCTTTCATCCTAGCCAGTCGTTTCTTCACGAAAATGCTCGACGATAAACCGATTACTCCCTCCGGCCTAATTGACTCTAAACCCTGTCCACCTCCGAGCATGAACATGTTCTGCGAATCTGACTGTCGGCTGATTGATCGCTATGCAGCCCGTTACGATGAATTCTTTCAAAATGGGTTAGAAGTCGTCAGATGGATTCTCGGAGAGCCAATATTCAAAAGGTTCCTGGTAGGAAAATCTGAAGACGAGACTCGAAAATGGGTTGAGTCATGGAAAAAGGCCTGATCTTCAAACTCCACGACCCGACAATTGGCTTGCCAGCATGGTCCTATCTCAACGAAGCATGTGACTCCCTTCTAGGGAGCATCCTGTTGAGAGATGAACCGAAGGGAGGTTACACACCTTCCTTTGACGCTCGGCTCGCAAAAATTGCTGGTAAACTCCTCTGCGCAACATATGAGTGTGGAGAAGGCGCCCAGTTAATCGATCTCGCGCTGCTGTCGAATGACTATCAGCTACTGGACGTTCTGCATGCAATGTGGCAACTGAACCCAATCCGCTGGAAGACAGAACAATCGATTCTTCTGCGTCCATCCGGCTGGACTTCGCTAGATGCGATAAACAGCGCGGGTTTGGTAGCACAAGCAATATCCATTCATTCTGAAGTATCCGGACTAGCGGTTGAAGCAATGGCATGCATAGCCTGTCACCCAACCTCATACGAAATAATGAAATGCCGGGATTTGGCAGAATACTCCTTGGCAGACAGCGGACTCAAGAATGCCTCCAAGAAGTTAGCAGAAAATGGGCTTGTTAAGCCAAAAAACGAGCTCGCGACAATCTCCAAGTTCCTCGATATCGGAACTACGCAATGTAAAGCAGTTTCGGATGTTCTCGAGGAAAATCTTGGGATCACGTTATATGACCTTATTTCCGAAGCAATCACCTGTACGGCAAAGAACGCTTGTTCCTGTGGCAAAGTCATCGCAACCGCGGCGAAAGCCGACGAGGACTACATGGGGATGGCCTTCTTCACCGTCAAAAATGGCTCACTGAAGTGGTGCATGACATTTATGTAAATGAAGAAAATGGGAAGCTTTTTAAGCTAAACCTTCTTCAAAAAGTAACGGAGCGTAAGTGCAAGCTACTTCATATACACTGCATGGTTACTAAACTCACCAAAAGCTACAGCTTCCAAAATCCTTCGGGCCGATTGTCCAATTAAAAATAGAAGCGATAAATCAAGCTTCCATTTATATAATAATGGATCTTGCCAAAAACTGCGTCAAAATCGCCCCTCCAGTAACTCACGCCGATTTTGTCATTAAAAACGTAGCAAAAAAGCACAGCCCGTCCTCAGACAAACCTATTACTCTTCAATCTTTCCCTGTAGTCAGACAGAATTGGTTTTCATAACGCCGCAGAACTTGAATAAAGAACTTGAAAGAGTTCGGGAAATTTCTAAGCTAAATTTGCAATCAGCACTTAAGAAAATCAATGAATCTGCGCGTGATTATGATTTCCAGATATACCAGACTTACTCATGTCTCTCAATCTTTTATGATCATCAATTGAACCAAGTGGCAGCGGATCTCCTCTCAGCGCCAGACCTAAACGGGTTGGCGAATCGGGAGGGATACTCGGCCTCAGACTTTCGGCATATTGATTTTCATAAGTTAGCAACTGATCTTAAAAAGGCAAACAATAAAACCTGCCTTGGAGCATCTAAATTTAATCAGCCCTTTTCAGAACCGATCTGTGAACCAAGGGAGGTCACAGACCTTCATCGGTTCCTGGAAAGTCACTGTAACGCCGATGCAAATCTATCCCAAGAGCCAGAAGAATGCAATCTTTACGATTCTCTCCCTTCACTCGATCTGGTTCAAGACTAACAAAGACCCTTTGAATAGCTGCCTTCGTTAACTCGTAAGTCATCTGCTGTTCTTTCATCTCAAGTGGTTATTCTTCCCCTATAAAGTCTACTCGTTTGCGCTTTTATAAAGCGTCGACAACTCCGCAAGACACCTTTTCAGCGTATTTATATTAAAAATCCACCGTGTTATCTCCTTGGATTACACTCATTCTCGCGTTTTGTTATAAAAATCTCCTTCCGTTAATACAATCTCTTCTTTTCTACTCTAGTTCTCCTCAGCTTTATCATGCCCTGCTTTTAATCGTTTTGTTTACTACACAATCACACCGTTTACTAGATTCATACTCTCCTGTTCTTGCTCAATAAAATAAAACTTAATGATCAAGCGATTTCGCTGACTGGAATTGTTGGATTACGCAACAAAAACTAGTCATCTTGATAAGTCGTTGACAAATCTTATTTCCAAGTTAGAAGTTTATTTAAAATTTGGAAGCAGAACAGAGGCAAAATTGCAAAAACAGGAATCTTAAGTGTGATGTTCACTTGGGAAGTTATGTTTCTCCAAGTAAAGTCGTGGTAAAACTAGCCTTAGCTTAGTTTGGTATGGTAAGTGTGGGCCCTTCCTTAGAGTCGACACCAGTTGTCTCCAGGAGTAAGTATCGGGCACTCAAAGCCAGTGGGATATCGTGTGCGAGTGATATTAAATAACTTTGTCCAGAGCTAGAGTAGTAGAAGGTATTTGTAGCGTTGTAGAGACGTGCACGTTTCTTTCGTTTACCGGATCCAGGCTTTACGTAGAAGCCAGCGACGACGCAGCAGAAAAGCGGCAATAGTCGCTGTAAGTCCATAAAACTCCAACCCAATTCTTCCAATTGCTCCAGAAGAGTTGAGCGAGGCACAGAGTCTTTATATCTTCCCCCAGGAGTGTACGCTGGACCAAGATCCCCTATAATTCGTTCAGTAAATAGTGAGCCCCTATTTCTCGACTAAACTGTAAGGATACCTACCTCTCACAAGATCTGCCAAGGTCTGTTTATGCAGCTGCCCATGGGTAGTTTCGATGTCGGGGAACAGGTGATCCCACTGGGATTGTTTCTATTTTCAATTCAATGAGAATCAATGGAGGATTAAATCTTTTACCTGTAGTCCTCCAGCCTCTGCTTCCCTGACTTTTAATTGCTGCAGTTCGGATAGCAGAGTGCGCATTGCGTCCTGGTTAGCCTGACAAGAGTTATCCGTACATAAGGGCACGGTACATCCGCGCACTTTGGTCGGGTATAGGTGAGGCGAAAGGCCATAGCGAGTGAAGTCGACAAACTGAGTCTCGGAACGGTGCAATGCTTGAACGAAGGATCGTAGGGCGGATGAGCGGGAATCCCATGACATGCGAAGTTGAAATGGATTCTGACCACTTGGCAGAGCCATACGGAAACAATTAGCCTCGCGGAGATACTCAGAGTTGAAAAGAAGTGGCCCTTCGTCAGTCAGTTTGGTGATGCGGTCAGAAAGAGCTGTTTGAAAGTCGGAAATATTGCTAAAATAAAAGTTAGAAGCTTAAAAACTTTGCTATTGGCGAAGGTAAGGGCTTGACCTACCTTTCAGTTATGCTGCTAATGGTAAAATCCGATTCGTAAGCAGTAGGGAGAAGTCGTTGTGGCACGGGTGAAGTTGAATAGCGAGTTGGGAACAATTCGTTTAATGTAGATTTCTCGCTCGAGCTGTACTCAGGGCTGGAGACAATCATAGCGCGGACGAAATGGCAAAAAGCGGAAACTTGGTCATCAGTAATGTTGGTCAATCGGAGATACAGATCGCCGTTTGAAGGAGAATACATTACTTCGAATCCAAAATCAGCTAGTAGTCCAGCTAATCGGTTAAGGTCGCGGCAATACCGAATAAACTCCTAAGAAATATTAATAGGGATCAGGTTTAACAAGATGCAAAATTAAAATGTAATCAAGCTTAAGTACCTCAGCATTCTGTTCATTCTTCATCACATCTGGGAAATGCAGGGACAAATATTCACCGAATACGGGTAAAAGCGGGCTGATACCGCACACAATGTTGCCTGTCGTCATCCCTGCCTTTTTCAACGATTCATGAAGGGGGGCAGCCAAGATATTGTGACAATGAACACTCCGTTCCATGGGGATCAATCTTGAGTTCAAATGAGCAAGGCCAGAAAATGAAACAGTCTCGCGTGCAAGGCGAAGCTGGGAGGTAGCTTGAAGATGGTCGAGTCGGGTTGCTATGACGTGGAGTTGAGTAAGACTGGGCTTAAATTAGGATTACTTGGAGAAAAACCTTGCTTACGCTGAGTTGTAGACGCCACACATGATGGTCGAGTGGCGCATTAAGCAAGCTCCACTCAATTGGCAAGGCGGATAGGTGCAAGTTGCAACAGGGCCTCCTGCTCGCTGATAGTTGTTTGATGGGTCAGTTGAACACCAGGTGATCGAATCGCTTTGGAGAGCATACTGATTCACGACCTCAGTTTGTAGTTGATAGAGAGGATGTTGATAAAAGAAGTATCCAAGAGCCTTTAAAAAGTGCTAATAAGATGTCGCTAGGAAGGTAATAGACCTACCTTGCGCAAGAGATTGAGAGCGGACCCACCGGTGAAGCCGGCGAAATGGAGATTGTGCGCCTCAACTTGTAACTGGAGATCCGTCAGCGGGGAAATCATTAAGATATGATTCAAGTAATCCGTTGACATAAATAACTTCTGACAAAAGATTGAGGCCCCCAAGAAATCCATTCGGTCATGTAAAGCACTTAGCTTTGTAGTGTAGAGAGCGGATACGTCGCCTTGAATGGTAGGATTGTATGAATCCAAATCGGTAATCTGTAAAATGTCAGCCGGGATCGCGAGCAATTGATTGTTTAAGATCTTTTGGTAGGCGAGAACAGAGGCTCTTTTCAACTTTTCGGTTAGAGTCTCAGCCTGAGGATGGCTTGGGGTCTGGGCATGTTCTCGTTTTATACGCGATTGGGCTGATTCAACTGTTGCGTCCAATTGCTGGATCAGTGGATTTTCATGAAGTCCAGATGAGCCTGAGAAGCAGAGAATAGTGTCGTTGGTTGCCACCAGACCATACTCTGGCTTGTTAGTAATCTGTTCTTCATCATCCATGAGGGTTGTCAAGGGGTGATTGGCCAAAATGTCGGGCTTAAACGAAATCGGTGCTGCTTCCGGGATATTACTTTCGGCTGTAACTGATTGAAGCCGGTTCTCCAATAAATCGAGTAGCAGAGTTGAGCTTGCTGCTTGATGCCCAGGACGGACTGCAGGTAGAGGGCCGCTGTTTTCATGGACGGAAGTCGAGTGCCTAGTCGCTCTTGCTGGATCTCGGCGGAGGATGCTGGTGACGGGAATGTCCGTAGTAGGAAGCGCGTCAGTGGTTGAAATTCCGGTCTGAGTGGTGAGTAAGCTCAGCAGAGCGTTCTCATCTAAAACATGTCCGTCAAAAGAGGAAATACTGAGCAGAAATTAAAAGAAAGGTAGGTCACTTACCTTCCTCAATTAATCTGAAAACTCGGGGACGAGATTGTCCATCAGCAGTGAAGACCATGTAGAGTCGACCACCACGTCGGATAGTAGCATTCATTAAGGAAGATGAATCGCTGCTGCCATTGTCTGAAGGAGATGGTGGCGTGGAGTGATCTCGAGCACTTGACTCGTCATTTGCTTGAGGCTCCGGGGCATCATTACCGGGGGGAGAATTACAGGGCGGATTTTGTTGCGAACTGTTTTCTTCAGTGATTTCCTGGGTGGCTTGTTGAGCAGCTTACTCGCGAGCCCTTGCGGCTCTTCTTTCCGTAATATACTCTTCGTACAGTCGGTGAAGGTCAGACAGATCCTCTTCGCGGGGAATATAGAATGGAGATTCGACAGCAGTTATGGACAACTCGGAAATATTCTTGACTCGGTCGGGATCTACTTTTGAGTTGAGACACTTGCTATGGGGCTATAAACTAAAGTACCTTGGAGGGTCAAAGCTTGCAGAAAGTCCACAACGTCTTCTGTTTCCAGTTTGGTTGGGGATAGTTCATAAATGCTGTGGATGATTCCTAATTCCGTCAAGACTTCTCGAGCCTCGGAGGAAAGGTTCAATACCAGGCGGGAAACGCGAGGAATCGCAGTTTGCTCGGTTGGTTCGGGAGAGTCGAGATCAGCAGGGTTCAAAGTCCTATCGAACTCTGAGGCAGTTGTGCACTGTTGCTGAGAAACATGTATGGCGGATAAAAGCACTTGCTGATAAGCGCTTGTAAATGATGGTGGTCTAATGACCTTTCGCAAGCCAGTAATATAACAAGTGCTGATGTCGTTAGTACACCCTTTGATTTGAAACGGTCGCAAGCTAAATAAAAAGTAATTAACGGAAGGGCAAAATCACAGCAGGAAGGTCGAGGACCTACCTGGTCTCTTGACGTTTGATACATCTGGCGTGAGCGATCACGTCGGAATTTGTTGCTGGCTGTAAAGTTTGCTGCAAAAATGCGTCAATGGTGCGTGCGAAAACCAAGAGCAGGTCATTCACCAGTTGTGAATAGGTGCGTGATAAGCGCTCTTGAACCATGTCCTCGGTGTCTTCATTACGGGTTATCATTGCTGCCATGATCCTCTGGATTGTGCTCAGGACCAATGAGTGGAAGTAGCGGCGACCGTCGTGAACAAGGTTACCGTAAAGGCAAAACATCGAGTATAGTAGGCGCTCCACATCCGTTGCAGTGAACTTCTGGCACTGAGTGGTGTAATAAATCGCCCACTGGCCAAAAACAAGCTGAAAAGAGGGGATTGATCCTGGAAGTCTTTAAAATTAAAATTATAATTAAAAATGAATTAGGGAATTTCAATTGTGTTAAAGTGTCAAAATTTTAAAGCTCTGTAAGCTTTATAATTTACCTGAAAGAAAATCTCTACGAAAATTCGCACGGAGGTCGAATCAGGGGCGCTGGGTTTCCATCCGGGAGGCAGACATGTTCTTTTCCCAAACCTGTCGAACTTAGTCTCGCCAAGCAAGGTTGGTAATCCATCTCCCTTCGTAGAGGAGATGATCTTGTCGCCAAGGGAGACGGTCCTATCCTTGGTGGAATGGGAGTCGCGAACCTGTGCGTATAGGTCTTCGACAACAGCCAGTGAAGGCGTCACGAAGTTATCAGAGTCGTCCGACTCGCTGGCGTCGGTGGAAGCTGACTCTTCTTCTAAGAGGAGATTAATTAAAGCCCGAAAACTAGTACTATTCTTCTCTAAATTAAAGTTATCTAAGAAAAATTTTGTCCAACGACAGATAGGGACAAACGAAAAATTAATTATTACAAATTTTACCAATAATTATATTGTACCTAGACTATCAAAATTTCACTAACCTTGAGCCTCAGGGGTCCTTCAAACTTTCCTCGTTTGGAACGTGTTACGCGTTGGTTAGGACCAGGTACTGGTCGTGGCTGCCTACGTCGTCGGTTCCTCTTGCGGGGAGTTGGGGTCGAAATTGATGATAGCCGAAGGGTACGTATAGGAGTACTCTCAGTGACCTCTTGAAAGGAGGGAATACTCTTTTCGCAAGTAGGTCGAGGATCGGAGATGGGCTTGAATGGGGCTAGGGCCTCACCAGTCGGTTCATCAACGTCCATCTCTTGCTCGTCTTCGGAAGGGGTTTGCGGACGGCCGGAAACTGGAGGAGCAATGAGAGCCGTAATCTGCTCCTCGGTGTATTCAGCCAAAACCTGAATACAGTTAGTTTCCGTGAAATCTGTATTATAGTTTGGTTAGATTGTACTACTACTTCTCTTGAAGAATAGGTAGGTCTCGGACCTTCCTCTACTTTAGAAACTTTCTCATGTCACTTTCCGAAATTGTGACTGGCTTCAATAGAAGCAAGTAGCGGCTCAGAAATTACTATACCAGGAGAAACAAGCTAAGTGATCCTGGATTAGAAAACTCAAGAAAAATTCATGAAAATACCAAAATAGGCAAGTGTCATACTTCAAATAAAACAGGGTTGCGCATGAAATGATAAATCCTGATTGAAGTTGAACCCGGATCCAAAATGGCGTTGACAAAACTTACGGAATAAGGAGATGACACATCCAATGGGTCGGAGTGCGGGTACACTGCGACCAGTCGTGCGGTCCTTCGTGGTACTTGAAACCCTTCAAGGCCAAATTCCAGAGTTTCTTCGTCGTTTGGGAGTTGGGGGTCCATGACGTCCGGATAAATTAGCGCTCTGCTAATCGGGATGCCAAAAAATGAACTGACTCGAGTTTTTGGGAAATCGGACTTGTAAACAGATCCTCAACAACATTCTAGAAACGAGGTCACGTGATGGAGACTGGTCCATGGGGTTCTGATTAAATCCAGCCCTTGACCCTGGAAATGCAAACTTGAGCATCTCAATAATAACCCATTCTAGAGAAAAACCTGTCTATTTTTATTTTATTTATTTTTCAAAATACCCAAATAGATTCTAAAAAATCTTTGATTTTTAAGTTTATCTTAACTTTGCAATACCTTCTCTGCAAAATTGCAGCTACATTGGACAAGGCCCTTGAATGCGGATTTGAAGGTAGGTAAGGTACCTACCTTCATCTCTACTCCTCTTGGGCCAGCAGAATAGAAGAAGATGAATCAATCCAATCAACTGGGTACCGCGCATACTTTTCTCCCGCTTGGCTGGATGATCCTACTCTTCTGCCTTTCTACGCAAGCATATTTTTCATTCATTCGCTATGAAATCATTATTTTTATATTTCTTTATTTCTTTTGTTTCTTGTATGTTCTTTCTTTTCACTTGCACTGTGTTACAGATTATTGTTCTTCTTACAATTATCTTTGAATAAATAATCAGAAAAAAAAAAAAAAATGTGAGTCTATATCAAATGCGCTATGAAATACCGAGATCTTATTTTTCGATTGGTCTCCGTTTCCCAAAATCGCCGTTTGCCCAAATTGAGGAAAGGGCAACTTGGGCAAAAGGCGACTTTGGCGAACGAGACCACTCTTCTTTTTCAACTTACATATAATAACTGCAATTATCTGTCAGATCATTTTACATAAAAGTTTCCGCCGAAAAAATTTTTTGTAGTGATACAAACGACTAGTTTTTGAAACAAGCAATTTAAAAAAAATAGACATTTGAATGAATAATTGCTAACACAACTTCTAATTTGTCAGAAAATGAAAGAAGATGAAATTTTCTAGCATCAGATGAAGGATTCAACGCGGGGATCAATCAACAGAGCCAGAGGAAAGTTCCAGAACACGAGATCAAAGAAGAAATTTCACGACTAGAGTGCGACTAGAGGCAGGAGAGACTAGAGGAGGCAATTAAACTGTACAATTTGCGCACATTTATTTTTTGATTGAAGGCGTCTTACGAGACGGTAATGAGAGGAGCTCAGCCTGTCGTAAGAGCTGCCCCCTATATCGATAGTATCACATGCTCTCTAGCACCGAGAAGATTATGAAGCGTAAAAATAACAGTTCCAGAAAGCTATATAAATCGAGATCCCTGAACCTTTCAGCACAGACAATAACAGTCAGTTTTAAAAAAAGAGCCTTTTCAAAGGAAATCTTTTTAATCCGGTCAAAAATGATGAAATCAATGCTCTTTGGTCTCTTCGCCGTCGGATCCGCTTCTGTCGACCATTATGGCAAGATCCGAATGCCTCGATTTGAAAAACTGGTCGGTTCGGAGGTCGATTTGGCTGGCCCGATCGCCGTTGACTCGGAAAAAGACTGTACTGATCTCTGCCGCGTTGCATCGTTCTTTGCCAGCCCGACACGACAATACGATGCCAACTGTGATTTTGCGGATATCTACGCTGACGGACAATGCTCTCTCTCTGAAATTCCAACATTGCAAGAATTCATCGTCGACAAAATTGGCTCCCGTGCACTTTCCTGCCGCGCTCTTTGCTCCTTCATGTCCGACTGCATGGTAGTTCAGACCGAGTCTAAAATAACGCGACGAATGACCTCCCGAACTTGCTCCTTTTTCAACGGATACGTCGAGGTTCAACGAACAAGATTTCCCGTCGAAGTCGAGATGAAACAGACGATGTTTGACAAATACATCCAAATGTGAACTGTTAACCATATTCCCCCTGTTCTCTTCTCTTTCTTCTGAATTAACATATATAAATCTGAAAATAATATTTGCCAAATTAACCGTGTTTACACAAATTTTTTTCTCTCTATTTTGCCGTCATTGATGCCAAGTTAATAAAATAAAAAAATCTCATAAAAATCACTTCTAAAAATGTCATTTCGGGCGATTTCGGCCCAAAGAAGAGGACTTTTTTAAATTCTATCATCCAAGGCTCGCCATCCAAGGAGGCTTATTAATGTAAGCTTTAAGGACCCCCCCCATCAAGATGAAAAAAGTCAAAATTTTCAAAATTTTTTTGCTTTTTTGGGTAGTTTAGACCACAAGGAAGAACTTTTATTCAGAAAATTTTTTTGATCTTATAGAAAATTTTGGCAGAAATTGACTTCAAAAATTGAAAATTAACATTTTACATTTCATAAAAATCTTTAGTTCGCTATTTTTTAATGGTAATTAAGGGTATACCAACCATCAAAACTATTTCTATAATAAACACTAGTATAAAAACGTTATTCAGGGCAATTAAGGCAATAATTACTGAAAATTTAAATCTGGAAATTTGACTTAGATTCGACTTATAAAATTTTAAAGGGGCTGTCCTCCTTAAGTTCGTAGACAAAAAACTCTCAAAAAGCAAACGGTCGTAGCTTAGGGCCTTAACTTTACCATGAAAAAAAATTAAGGGTATACCCCAACGAAAACCCCAAAAAAAAACGTTCACTAAGCAACTTTACCTTTAACGGCCTTTAACGGCCTGTATAACCTTAAATTTGGCATCGAGAGATCATCTTAAGGGGAACGGTTGCAGTAGAGGGTTCGATCTAAAGGATGCAATTAAAATTAAGGGTCTAGCTAAGATAGTTTTGGAGAAAAACTTCCACTAAGATGCCCTATTTTCGCGATTCTTGATGGGGGGGTCCTTAAGGGTGTTTTTCCTCATTTTTCGCCAAAAAGTCCAATTTTCCAACGCGATTTTGAGGGTGTTAGAGTCGAGATAGACCCCCAAAAAATGAGGCCTCAAACTCGTTTTTTGACCCGTAGAATCCATTTTCGGGGTCAAAATTTTGAAATTCCGAAAATTGATTTTTTCGAAAATTGTTGACGGGGGGGGTCCGAAATGAGAAGCCGCGTAGCGGCTTTTTACAATACAAAGCCGCGAAGCGGCTTCGTCTTAATTCTAGAATATATTCAAATAATTTATTTTATAATCAAAATCAGATTTCTACACAGGTCGTCGGCCCCAAAATCAGAACAAAAACCATCATTTTTATAAGCCTGTTTATAACAATTATTTTTCCGATTGATTCTGAGACCTCTTCTCTTCCAAAGGTTATTCTGTCAAAGAATAACGCCAAAAAATCAAACAAGGAAATTTCAAAAGAGCAAATCTGTCCCAAAAAAATCGAGAAAGAAAAAAATGGGGAGAGAGAATATTTTTCAGTTACTCCAAAAAATATTTTATCTTCTTCTTGTTCTTGTTGTTTTCTTGGTTCTTTTTCAGAACACAAGATATCTTTATCCATTGAAAATTGAGTTAATCTCGAACAAGGTAATAAGCTTTCAACGGTTGAATAGAGCTAAATCAATCAAATAATAAAATTTTTGGTTGGGTCATAAATTCTCGAGTACTTAAGTTTTTACGTTTTACCACATTACCTTTTTCGTAAAAAAATGAAATTTTCGCAAAATTATTCCCTGATTTTCAGTCATCTACTGATTGTACTGTTTTATTTGATTGTAAATCAAGGATATCTTTCGAATTTAATCGATGATTTCTCCGAAAAAACGGATTTTTTTCAGGAAGAAACTTTTCAAACTGAATCAGTCAGAGAATTCGCGAAGAAAAAATTAAAGGTAACATATAAAATCGACTTTTATTGACTCAGTGAAGTCCAGTTATGAAATTTTGCTCAGGTATGTAATTTTAGATTTTCAAATATTGAAACAGCAGGGACCGAAAAATTGAATATTTTTTTTACTAAAAAAAACATGCGGATAATTTGTCAATATCCTCGGGCTGAGAATCTTAGCTATAAAAGCTTTTTACGCAAAACTATCTTTAATAGTCTGTAATTTTGAGCCTCTCCGCTGGAGAATAACTGCATTTTAGCGACTATAAGTTCGAAAAATAAATATATTTTGATTCTAAGTCTAGTTTTGATTGTTCTTTTTTACCTGACCATAATTAAAACAGAAATTTCGACGCTTATCCATGGAATTTTTCAGGAAGAGAATATTTCGAGCATCAAAACCATCTCTCTTGAGAGACAAAAAGAGGGAGAAGAAGAAATAGTCAAGAAGAATCAGGTTGAATAGTCGTCAAGAAAGGGGTACTTAAGTGCTATTTTAGATGATTATTTACAACCGCGTCCCGAAATGCGGGTCGACAACGACTCTTGCGATCATCGATTCTTTGAAGAAAAAGCTCAAATACAAAACTTTTAACGACATTGCTCCTAAAATGTCTCACCGAATGAAAACCGATGAAGAAGAACTCGGTAAACTCGCCTCATCTAAAAACTTGCCTTAAACCAATTTTAGCGCTGATAAGGAAAATAACGCAGCTAGAAAAGCCAATGATCTACATTCGGCATGTATATTTCCTCGATTTCGACCGATTCGCTGTCGAAAAGCCCCTGTACATCAACATCGCGAGAGATCCTGTTTCGCATTTCATCTCGAAGTTTTACTACCATCGAAATGGATTCGCCGGGGAGAAGAAGAAGAACTACGAAAAGTGGAAATATGAAATGCCGGACGATCAACGATCAATGACTTTAGAAGAGTGTGTTCAAACTGAAGCAACGGAGTGCAAACGACCTTTTTTGAGCCTTATTCCTTTCTTCTGTGGCCATTCGAGGTATGTATTGAGATGTTGACTGTCATGTTAATCGATGTTCATATCGGTGTGAAATGTGTCTAATAACATGGGAGTAAGCCACATAGTCTCAAGAAAAAGCTAGGTATTGATCCTTCAAAATTAAAATTATTCAAAAACCACGTGAATTATATTCATTCAGTTTGTACCATGGTCCATCATCCTGCATAGGGTCCGGCATGATCGGAGGACCTAATTTTTCAAAAGCGAAAATCTTATAGTGTTAAGAAAAAAATCTGGTGGGAATTAAGGGATTCGAATACGGCGAAAAAAATGATAGTGCCAATATTCTAATTCACCGTCGGAATCGCCGATTTCTCTCGGTTTTTCATACTTATAATGGCTGCACAAACTTCTCTTTTCCAAATTTTGATAAATTCAGCCCTAAAAATCACAAATCTGCATAAAAAAATCCGTCTCAGCCCCGTTCCTTGATTTTTAACTTTAAGGGCTTGACGGCCCTTCGGGCCGTCTCAGCCCCGTTCCTTGATTTTTAACTTTAAGGGGCTTGACGGCCCTTCGGGCCGTCTCAGCCCCGTTCCTTGATTTTTAACTTTAAGGGCTTGACGGCCCTTCGGGCCGTCTCAGCCCCGTTCCTTGATTTTAACTTTAAGGGGCTTGACGGCCCTTCGGGCCGTCTCAGCCCCGTTCCTTGATTTTAACTTTAAGGGGCTTGACGGCCCTTCGGGCCGTCTCAGCCCCGTTCCTTGATTTTTAACTTTAAGGGGCTTGACGGCCCTTCGGGCCGTCTCAGCCCCGTTCCTTGATTTTTAACTTTAAGGGCTTGACGGCCCTTCGGGCCGTCTCAGCCCCGTTCCTTGATTTTTAACTTTAAGGGGCTTGACAAAGGCATTTAACTCTGAGGTGATCAATCTCAGTTTTGTCCCCAACCCCACCCACACCCGTTTGCATAAAAATGAAAATAATTCCTATTTCTTAGTTTGTTATGGTTATCATCTTAGAAACCTTTTGTTTTTCTTATAACGAAAATTAAAATTTTTCAATAATTATGAAAAAAATCATGAAAAATTATGAAAAAAAATATTGATTTTAGGGGAATCGATCTCACCACCTCTTGCTTTTCAAGCGAGAGCGCTAACATTTGAGCCACCAAGGGAGGATCCTGGCAGTTATAAAAATCGCTATGCGGAGCTGACCAATCAGAGCGCACTTGGCTCTCCATTCAAATTTTCATTAAACTCCTGAAAAGGGTTGAATCGGAGGTTTTTGGAGAATCAGTGACCTGAATTGAATTCCTTGGTGTCGAATTAGTGGAATCGTGAATTTTCATTGAAATTAAATTTTTGGTCCTAATCATGCCGGACCCTAATCCTGCAATTTTCTTGCCTCAGTAATTTTGTGGCCCATCAAAAGGCTCCTCTAAAAGAGCTTTGATGGTGATATCCGTGGTTGATAATTAAATATATAAAAATTATCTCTCATGATAAAGTTTTTGGTACTTTAGTTCTTACACACGTGATAAAATTGAGATAAGCCCGTTTTTGAAACTCATTGTTTTTTCAGTATTTGTCTGAAACGAGGAAAAGAAGCAGTAGAAATCGCGAAAAAGAACATTTTAAAAAGCTATGCGATTGTTGGAGTTACGGAAGACTTACCCAGCACGATGAGAGCCTTTGAAATTGTCGCTCCTGAATTTTTCAAAGGAGCATATCACTTGATTGAAGAAAAAGATGATAAACTTCATGAAAAGTAATTATTTCTTCTTCTTGTCAGTCTTATCCTCAGAGTCGGCTTCGTAGAGTCCAGCCATCAAAGCTTTTCATGAGCCCAATTATCCATTACCAGTCATCTCTTAGAACGAAAACTGCTGACAAAGAAGAAGCAACGCCAGAATCGCTCGAGTACTTGAAGAGCAAATTATCCCGAGAATATGAGCTGTATAATTTTATCAAGAAGACATTTTACGAAAGAATAGAAGAATTTAAGAGAAGCGGACTTTGGTAATGATGTTGTTGAAGATCCAATTGATGAAACTCGAAGATAATCTACGAAAATACCTTTTCTGGTTGTTTCAGAAATAAAACTGGTTTTTTTTATCATTTTTATCGCTTTATTGGGAGTTTTCACGATTGACTAAACGTTTATTTGTCGCTGCTTTAGTAAAATTAATATTGCTGCATAATTTCTGCGCCATAATTTATGATAAATTGGTATCAAATAAATGAATTAAGACGGGTCTCTTTGACAGAATCGCGTAGACAAGCAATCAACATAATTTGAAAAATAAGCAATTCAACCGTGTTAATAACTGTTGTTTGTCGTTTAGTCGATGCTCAAAAACGTAGATACAGTGTCTCGAATGCGTATTATGCCGATTTATTAGAGCTTTTTCGTCGAGACCATTATTATTATGTGAACATTATGTATTCAAGGCTATCGATAGCAGCAACAAACTTCAAAGCTCAGCCTCGATTTTCGATAGTTATCAAGTGGAGGTTACCATTGCCTTATGCAAGCAGCTCTGAAAATAACGAAAGTACATTGTTCTAAAAGCACTCATCCCTAGGCTTATAAGATGAAAATTCGGCCCTTTTTTCTAACTTAGTTTAGGGGTCGTATGACACAGTTTTAGAAAGCCCAGAGCCTAAGCTTTCATTTGAGCACCATATCAAGGGGTCTGGGTCATGCCCGCAAGGCAATTTATTGGACCGGAAGTTCCGAAATCGGCCCAAGAACTCTTCAATAGGATTTTTGAGTGCCGGTAGTCATTCGAAATGGTTCGAGAATAGGTGCGTTAGAAAGCTCAGCGTCTGAGCTTTCTATAGAGCCAATAAAATACTGCTGCCATGCCACCTAGTGGCCACTAGGAGCGCTAGAAACTCGAATTCTGCCCTGGAAAAGGGATTTTTACACTAGAAAATGTTCATTTGGTCGAAATTTCAGGCTTCTATTTTTGAGTAAAGGCTTCTTAGCCCTGGCATGGCGTTTAACGGTGGTCAAACCGTCCGGTTGAGACGAAGATTATTGCGCTTCCTCCCTAAAAATCCTCAAAGGTCACTATTCTAGCGCCTCTAGCGGCCACTAGGTGACAGGGCAGCAGTATTTTATTGGCTTTTTAGAAAGCTCAGACGCTGGGCTTTCTAACGCACCTACTCTCAAGCCATTTGGAGCCAGTACCGGCAACCAAAAATTCGATTGAAGAGTTTTAGTGCCAATTTCGGAACTTCCGGTGCCATGAATTGCCCTGCGGGCATGACCCAGACCACTCGATATGGGGCTCAAATGAAAGCTTATCTTCTGGGCTTTCAGAATATGTGTCATATGACCCCTCAACTGAGCTAGAAAAAGTGGCCAAATTTTTATCTAATAAGCCTACTCATCCCGCCATTTCTTCCTTCTCGATAACTTAATTTTATCCAGTAGTTATCCATAAGAGTTTATCCAGGAACTCTTGAGATTGAAAAAATATTTTTCTAGGAAAATTAATATCGTCGCTTTTGTACTGAAAATAATTCTGAATAAAATAACGCGAAATTTTCTTATAAAAAATTTATTCAGGAGAAAAAATTCTGAATGTCGTTCAAGTTGTAAAAAAGTAATATACAGATAAACATCAAAATTTTCAGCAATACTTCTTATTCATCTTTTCGAGCCATTGTGGCCATCTCTTCAGCGGTCGCTTCTTGATTCCATCTTTGCATGCGTAGTTTTCTGTCCAAAGCTTTGCTACGTCCTCAACCAGCGTAGCTTGAGTGCAAAGGTCGGTGGAGTTGGAAGCGGTCGCCACAAAGTCAATGAAGTCGGAGCCGCCGTATTTCACCGAATCGTAAGGCTCCACGCAGCTCAGCGAATCGTCGTTTGTAGCGAAAATCCGATCGAGTTTGGAATATCGCCGAGTGAAGAAGCGGTCGGTTCTGGTGCCGAGGGCTTTTAGGGGATTGACAAAATTTAAATAAAAAAAAAATATAAGAAAATTAACAAAATTAACAAAAATTGAAAAAAATAACAAAATTGAAGATTCTTAATTGCCAATCATTCCTAAAAGATCCATCATTTCCATTGCAAAACTATGGATTTCAGTCCTCGCTTCTGTTCCGGTCATCACTGCTGGCTTCGTCGTTGTTGTCGTCGTTGTTGTTGTAGTGGTCGTTGTGCCGGATGTCGTCGTTCCAGAAGTCGTCGATGTGAATGTCGTATAGCTGACCGTTGTGTGGGTTGATGTTGTCGACTCAAACGTCGTTGTTGGGATGAAAGAAGTAGTTGTTGTTGGAAGATCTGTTGTTTGTCCGTTGACGAGAGCTAAAACGGTGAAGAAAAGCTTCATTTTTAGCTCGTTCTTGTTTTCTCTTTTCGAATTTGGTGCTTCCTTAATTTTGGACCGGGCAATTTATAGAGCGGTGCTTTAGCGCCCATTCCCGTTATCGACAATATGAATCCCGAAAATTCTCTTATCAGAGGGCTTTCTACGGACTTAAGGGATCCCCCCCCCGATTTCGACAACTTTGACTCCGAACTACTTTTTTTAGGGCTGAGCTTTTAACATGTATGAGGCCTCATTTTGAAGCCCGTTTCTTAATGAAGAAACTCTAGTACAGAAATTAATTTTCATAAAGGGAAACACCATGAAAAGACGGGCTGAACACATTGATACTCACGAAAAACCCCATTTTGGGCCATTTTCAAAATCGAACTAGTTTTTTCTGCTCTTAGATAGAGCCCTAAATCAATAACAACTGTCTTCCTTGATCTCTGATCTACAATCTCTAGTACAGGCATGTGATTCCGTCAAGGATTGTAGAATTTTTCTAAACAAGAAGTTTTTTAACTGATTTTTGCCATTTTTTGAGTTTCTTTGTTCTCTAGCGCCTTTGAGTGGTTAGATATTTTATTAAATCTAATTTTTTCTAATTCAGTTTTCTTTAAGCTTTCTAAAGAGCCCTTATTCATCTGATTATGTCGACTTTCAAAAGTCGAAAAAATTGCGATTTTTTTCTAAGTAAAACTTTTCGTTAAAATAAGCCATTTTCAAAGCTGTGTCACGGCTTACCACGTGACGGACTTCCTTTGACATAATATATGAAAATGATCGTCAGACAACGGAGATTCCAAAAATATATCACATAAAAGCTCTCGATGATATTTTTCAAATCGGGAGGGGATCCCTTAAGCGGCCCAGAGACCAGCGGACGGGCTCGGTTCCGGATTTATCTACTACAGCGAAAAGGACTTACCGGGAATGTGCTGATACAAGGCGATTAGATACGTTCGCACTGAGATTAACCGTGAATAGATCATTCTTAGGGATTCTCTGTCGACCAGTTCTTCTAGAACTATTTTTGTTCGCCGGTTAAATCACATTTTTCTTATAAAAAAAGAGAGAAAATGAAGGTTTTTCTGTTAATTTTTGCGTTTTCTTTCGCATCGGAGTCCGTTAAAAGCTGCAAAGATTTGGAAGTTTTGGAGGAAAATGGCGGAGGTAGAAATTTTTTAGTTTGAAAGCCTCATTTTTTTTTTGTAGAAATCGACGGAAAGGACATTTTAATGATGAGACAAAAATGCCGCGTGGACAAAAAATACGAAGAAAGTCTGTCGAAGGGGAAGATAAGACGATTACTCAGCTCCGTGGTTACTTCTCTTCAAGAACTTCGAAAAGACTTCGTGGTAGCACTTACTTTAGTGACAGGTTTTTTAATTATAAATTTTAAGCATACAAGACGAGTAGAATGTGGCCATTGGGAACAAGTGAAGAAAATTTCGGAGATTTTGTTGAAACTCGACGACAAGGAAATTCCCTCAATTGATCAGATTTTTCCTTCTTGATTCCTTTTTGATGAAAATATGAAGTTGATAGAAACGCTGCCAAAAATGCAAGATGATCCGACAGACCAGATCCTTGGCCTTGCGAATCTGCTCATACACATGCACCAAACTCTTGAAGAGAAAAATTGCGCCCTCTCTGGACAAGTCGACCTCAAATTGGAAAAAGGATATTTGAAGAAACTTGTTCAAAAATTGCATGAAAGCCAAGGCGAAAATGAAAACATGAACGACCATTTTCAGGAAAAGTCATCAAAATTATCAAAACTTTTATGAAAAAGAAAAACTCCATTGAAACTTCTCAAAAGATACGACGAAAGAAGAATAAGCCAAAATTCGGAGCCTTCAAGCAATTTCTTCTTGTTGTATTTTTGATTATTTGCGCGATCATTGGGTTTTTCGCTTATAAATGCAACAAGTAAGAAAATTTGAAAAAAAAATTCTTTCTGCATTGCCAACTTATTAAAGGTTTATTTTGTAATAAAATATATTTGTTTTTTTTTGTTTGCAAAAATTATCATGAAAAGGTGTTTTTCTTCTTATGCAATTTCAGTTGAGTAAAAGTCGATTTACTTTAGTTGCAACACGGATCGTCCCTAATCAAATATTGTAAAAGCACTTAAAATTATGCTTACACAGGCTCCACTGCTCGATCTTTGGACCAGCCGAAGGCGAAATATCCGAGAGCAAAGCCAAGGCAGGTCGCGAAAATGAGCCAGGTGTTGAAGTACATCACGGCGAGCATTAGAGTGTAGGAGATCCAGACGTTGACAAAGTGGAGGAGGGAAGCTCCGATGTGGCCAGGGCCGAAGATTCGCGCGATGATTCCTTCTCGTCGTTTTTCGCGCTTTCCGGTGGCGATGTTGTGCTCGAGAACCTGAGTTTATTTATGATAAATTATTGTTTTTTCGATAATATTTAAGATAAGTTGCGAATGGAGGTCTTTTGTCACATGAAAAAAGGAACCTTCTGTTAACAGACTAAATTTTTCACTACGTTTGAACCTTCAATCCTTCGTAGAAAAAGGCCAGGAAGAAGAGCGCAAATCCAGCTTTCATGTGATCGTTGGAATTGTGCAGCATCCAGTCTTTGAAGAGAAAGCCGTGGATCATTCCTCCTTCGTGGAAGTACATGATCATTCCGTGATCCCCGTGACCGCCGTGATCCATCTTTTGTTTTTGAAATTTTTAGCCTCTCTTGTGATGATTTTCAACAAAAACAAGCTGTTTTATAGTATGTGGTTAAATATTAAATCTTTTTCTGGCCTTGAATAGTTGTTTGACTTACGTATGTTTTCCATTTTCTTGACTTCGAAATCAACCCAGGGTCATGAAAGATGTTTGACTTAAGAAAATATCCCGTTATATAACATGACCGAGTTTCTAGTCAGGAATCCCTCGACCAATAAATTATCGGCGATAATTGACAACTCAACATCTCTCAATGAGGAGACCTCGTTCTTGTTGCGCAACGGAACCCTGCTAACAAGGGTCTGCTGGAAGTCAATAAAAAGACTCTTATCTTGACTTGATCCTCACATAAATTCTGCAAATAGTACTTCCGCATCACGAGAAATGGCCTCGATAAACAACCAAAGAAAGAAGCTTTATTTTAAATGTCAGCAGAAAAATTCAGGAAAGCTTGCCATCCCAGGGAATAATCGGATAACCAGACGCATATTTTATCGATCCTTTTTGGTACACATCTCCTTTGCTTGGCTTCCAAGTCAGAACCTTCTTCGCCTCAATTTGCATCGCTTTCTGTTCGTTGCACATTTCCCATTGCTCCACCGCTCCACCTGCTTTGTTTAGTTCCGATAGTTTCTTCGCTTCTGAGATAGCGGTTTCCGGAAAATTAATGCTCTCAGGGTCAGATTTTGTTTTCCGATGAAGCGTTTCTACTTCGCTGGGGGAGAAGCCAAAGACGATGAAATCTTCGTAATAGGCTCGGTACAAGCGCTCGAAAATTTCTGTCGGAAGGGATTCGAAAGCGTCATCGAAATTTGAGCGGTGCGCTGATTTGTAATCTTTTTTAAGCTCCTCTAGGTCATCCACATCTTGTAAAGACTGAAATAAGGTCTTCAAGTTTGAGATTCTCAAAAAATATAGAAAAAAAATTTTTTGTGAGATTTTTATGGTTCTTCGAAATTTGAGCTTTTTCCTGATGGCAACGAAAACTTTTGCTTTTCAGTCATTCCATTGATCAAAAACGGGAGTTCCTCGTGCACATTTTCCAAATGCAAAATCTTCTCAAACTCAAACATGCACGGCGAGCAAAAATACCAGAAACTCCTCCAGTGCCAATTTCTGAACGAGTCGTCCATGTCGTCCATTGACAGATATTTCGCGAAATTCTCAAATGTTGCGTTGACGAGTTTGTCTTCAGGGACGCTGGTTTGGAAGTATTTCAGGGTTGGCCAAAGTTCGCTGAGGTATTTTTCTTCTCGATCTTTTACGTCATCTGGGCGAAATCCGTGCTTTTCCTAGAACTGGAAATCAAAAGCGAAATTAAGGTAGGAGCAAATTTACTTTCAAAGCTTCGATGAAATTTCCAGTTCGAAGTTTGTCTCCCCACGCTGAATACAACCGCTCAAAAGGATTCCGAACGATCGCGAATCGCAAATATTCGCTAAATTTATCATTTTTGTCGAGATAGTCTAAAGTCGTAACGGCACGATGATGAAGCTGCTTGTACACCAAGGGGGCTTCGAAATCATCAGCGGTGCCGTTTTTGTAAGCCAATGGGGCGAGCGCTTTACTTAGCTTTTCATTTTTTGTTGAAATCAAGGAAGAAAATATGAAAAGAGAAAATCATCTCCTTTCCGAGTCGACGATTTTGATTTTGAAATTCAAAAAAGCCTTTCCTCGATGAAACGAAGTCGTTCCACATTTAGGCACAAGACATGCTAGAATTTTGTTGTCGGCAAGATCGAAAAGGGAACGCGAAAAGCCAGGAAATCGCGGCCCACATTCAGATGTCTCTTCGACATCTTCTAGAGATGCTTCAAGATCATGAACTTTCTTGTGGAAATCGAGGAGTTCGGAAAAACTGGAATTCTTCGATTTCTTGAGTCTGTAAATTTCGCCTTTAACAGAACAACTTCTCTGTAGTATTTTCTTTCTTCTTTCAAACAACTTCTCTAGCCGCGAATTTCGCAAGTAGATCTTTAAAAAATTGAAGCCAAGAAAAGCGAGTAGGAATCCAAAAGCGTACTCCAATCGACGCTTTCGGATCATGGCTTTTTGGGTTGTTTTTCTTGGAGAATGAAGATTTGAAAATCCTGCACGTAAAATGCCTTCAGGCACGATCGATTCTAGATTCCTTCTGTCGTACTTTAAAGGTCGTTCACTGAACTTTCAGTCGTTCTCAAAAGCGCAAAAATATTTTTTCACCAAGAATATTTCTTAGATAAGGGGTCATTTTCAGGTTAAAGAATCATTTTGCGTATCAAACCTTCCAATCTCGAATCGTTCTATAAACGTACAAAACCGCAATCTCATGTTCTCCTTGTCTCCATTTCATTCCTTCCCTATGACTAGCCAAAGCGCTTTCTCCCAAAACTCCACGGCGGTGAAAGTTTCAAGTGCCCGAGCTCCATTATCGCCTCCGTCGGGAGCAAAATTCTTCCCATTCGGTAATGCTCCTAATAATCATGTTTCTTCGCCTTATCAGCCGTTTCGTTTGATTCGGTTTTCGCGAAGTTCTGACTATAAATAACGCAGTTTTGGTTCCTTGGTAAAACAAGCGAACATTGTTGTTGGCAAAATTGGATGAATACGCGGATCCGGATCGGGAAAGGGAGAGAAAGGGAGTACCAAACTTCCGAGTGAAAATATGATCAGGAGATTAGTAAGAGATGATAGCATTCGCCAGGTTTTCCGTGATAACAAATTGACGAATTAACCACGTTAGAGGACTTTTTCATCAAAAGCAAGGACATATGGACCATATGATATGGTCCATATCATATGGACCCTTCCTCTTAAATACAGTAAGCAAACTGAAGTACCAGACCCCCTGCTCCAACCGAATTAGGAACGAGCCTGCCCAATAAGCCGGAAACTACTGATACTAACAGTTTATTATCTTCTCGCTGAGAGCGGTTGCAAAAACGAGGCTAATCTTTGGCGCAGATCGATTTCAGTGAAGTGAAAAAATTTAGTAGCTTGACCCGGTATCGCTCGATATCTGCTCAAATAAAATCGCAGGAAGTAGGATTTTAATCTCCCACGGTTTAATCACGGCCAAGATCGGTTCCGGGCTGATGATGAGATATTTCCGTTTTGGCTCGAGTACTTCTGAGGGCTCGAGCGTATAAATGAGAAATGGAAGAGCCAATTAAGGGTGTCAGTAAATTAAAGGATAAAAAGAAAGAATCTCTCTTTCTTGACTCAGAAACCTGTGTAAAAACCTGAGTCAGGGTTTTGAAAGAGTCTTTTTAGAGACGAAGCCCTCTCTTACAAAACCCTGACTCAGGTTTCCAACACAGGTTGCCGAACTCAACTCTACACCCTTAAATCTCCAATTCCTTTTGGCAATTTTTGTCTTGGAAGATGCTTGATTCTAAAATGTCACCGAAAATGTTTGAAACCCAGTGTCTAAAACAAAATGTCTCCAAGACTTCCTTCTTTTCCAAAATAAACAAAATCGTTTCAAAATTCCAATTTTGTTACTTTGATCAAAGCGTTTTCGCCGCGACTTGGCGCGTTCTAAATTCCGTGGCGCCGATCAAAGTTCTCCGGCACCATAAATGACCCCACGGGGCCATTTTAACCCGCCGCCGCGAGAATTAACCTACTGTATCACACGCGTAATTATTACACCGGTACCGACGGGAATGGATGTTAGCGGAAATATAGGGATTTCGGAATAAAAAGACGCATTTTTAACAAAACTAACGAAACAAAGCATGAATATCGAATAATAAGATTTTTACTATAATATGATTCAAACTATATAAATAATTTTTCTTATAATACGAAAAAACCTTCATAGTTTTTATATTTCCTTTTTAGAAAAAAACAGAAATTGCAAATAGAATATTCCTGAAAAACCATAAATATAATATCATTCGTGGTTGTATATACTTTTATAGAAAAGAAGTATTGATGAGAAAAAATTAGAATGACTAAGTCTTAGAATCCCGGCGTGCTTTTAAATGAATATTTAAAGCAATTGCTTAACCCCACATCTTAATTTACTGATTTCGGCGATTCGTTTTCATCATAAAAATATTCTTTCACAATCATGTCTAACAATCTTCCTAACAATACCCCTTCCTCAAATATCCATGTTTACCAATTTTTTCATCACCCGATCTATCAGTCCATTGTTTCCCTCATTTCCCCTCAATTTATGATTAGTATGTGTGCCAAGTGGCTCCCCTCCTAAATCATTATCAACCTCCCGGGTTACCATTTTTTCGAAGGGATGAGCAAATAGCACCGTAAATAGTCATTTGACTTGGAAATAAACATAAGAGCATTTTTGTTATTTAGCCTCTCGACCGAAATTTTAGGCGATTCTTGAATAAGGGAATCAGGGCCACTTGAAGCAATCTTCAAATTTCAAATTCAACAATTTATTCCACAGAATCCAATTTTCCGCCTCAAAATCTCCATGTTGAATATTTAAAGAAGGCTTAAAACCAACTATATATCAAAGAAAAGGGGCGTCTGGCAGATGGATGTCCGAAGAAATCGAATTTCGTGCAAATTTGTACTCTTAGTTCGGCATATGTTTCTGCTTTATTTTATTTGCCCGGTTGCATCATTCTTAAACGGAGTCAGGGGCACTTGAACACAGCGTCCGAAGATCTGACTCCATCCACTCTTCGCGCTGGCTGGTACTCGAGCAGGGTTGATCAACCAGAAGTGGATCAGGATATTGCGACTTTTAAGCACTTTCTGGCAGAAAAAAGTGAAGAGCCCAGTTTAGAATTTTGGCAAACGGAAAAAGTACCAAACCGAGGGGACGACGCTCCTCCTCACTGATGTTTTGAGTGCGGGATATTGCCACTTTCCGGGATCAAGAAAACGAGCGTTTCCGGCGGGGAGAAGAGGGAGAGCTTGAACTTGGGAAGAGTTTGTTTGTAAATAGTTTAATTTGGAATCTTGACCTTCAAAAGAGCTCGGAAATTGGGAGAAACCGAAGTGGCATAGACTCTATGCCGCATAGAGTCACAAAGTTGATAAATTAATTGAAAGGTAAAGAAGCTTTGCGGCTTCATTAAAAAAAAGCCGCTGCGCGGCTTTTGTCGAGGCTTTTCAAGAACCTGACATTGTAGGTTATTAGATAAATAGGTGGGTACTTAGATAAATAGGGTTCCTGGAAGCTCTCAATCATTTTCTTTGTAAGTTTGGCAAGTGGTGAAGATTTACGATTTGTACTCAAACTCGTCAAAAAAAAAGTAGCATCGCTCTAAAACTGGCCTTGGCGCGGCTCAACGGCGGATTGTGAGAGACAGATCAAACGAGCGCGCCGACAAGTTGGATTGATCCCATAAAGGCCACGGCTCAGCCAGGGCGAAATTTATTTGCGCTACTTTCGAGCAATGCAAATTTCAAAAAGCTATTAGGCAAATTTTAAAAAAATAAAAAAAAAGAAACAAAAATAACAAAATTTTCTCAAAATAAAAATTTTGGCAAACTTTGAGCAAAAAAATGCAATTTTAAATTTCAAGTCCACCAAAATGCTCCAAGACGCGAGCAGCACTTTGATATAAATATAAACACACCTGCGGCGAGAAGAGCTGCTCATCAACTCGCCACATCAAAGAAATAATATATTTTCAATGGACTAGAAAATCCACGGTTTGAAACTTCTTCGTTTCAGTTTTGAAAACAAACGGCGTCAAAATCAGAATCCACCGAATCAAAGTGTGATTTGAAGTTTTTTGAAGGGGAAGTTTTGTAAATAGCTTTTTTGAACCTCTTCGAAATGAAACTTTGTTTTCAGCTCATTTTGCGTTTTTCTCAATTTTTTCAAGAAATATGAGTTATCACGATAAGTTGAACCCAAAAAACTTTTTTGTAATTCTATTAAAATTCTTTGCTCTTTTATGGTTTTTCCTGATCAGAAGTCATTAGGAAAAAGATCTTCCTTCCATCTTTTATTAAAATTTTCAACATCCAAAAATCTTCGTCAACAGAGAAAAAAGCCTCAGTAGTCGGATATTTCTGACAAAATGGCCGGTTTTGGTCTGTTTTTTGGCAATATAACCCCTCACAAACCAACCGCCCAGGCCATTTTTAGATTTCTTCATCACCAACTGCAGAAATCGAGCCGAGAAGATCAGCTGAGCGCGCTGAAAGCCGCGTAAAATCGCACGCGCGCGCGTGTTTTAGCGCAAGTTTTGCGCCGCAGTAACTAGTTGGCGCTCTGGAGCAGCGCATGCGCCGCCGCACCAGCGCTCAATTTTCTCTCCTTCTCCAACTTCCGAATAACGCCCCGTGTTGAACTAGGAGTTAGAAAATCAAACTTTTTGAATCAACAACTAAGAAGAAAGAATCTTTTCAATTTTTCAGCTCAGAACTTTCAAATAAGAGAGAGAAAAAATAACGAAAAATAGAGATTTTATGAAGAGCTGAAGTTTCCACGAAATCGAAAATGAAGATCATCAGCTTCCTTCTTGGGCACATTTCTTTGGCTGCCATGTGCCCAAAGAAATGCCAGTGCCCGGGGCAAAATGGTCAAAACGGCCCGGATACGGCGTTTTGTCTGGCAAGGAATGGGGTTTGAACAAGTTTAAAAATTTAAAATTGAACCAATCTCCGAGTCAAATCGACAAGGGAAATAACAATATTCGAAAGAAGAGCATAAAAGATTCAAGAAAAGATATCAAGTGCGTCTCAAGATCCACTCAAGGTGATGGATCTTGTTCTCCAGCGTCAGTTTTAACACGTGCTCTCTTTGTCAACCATTTTGTTGCTTTGTTCAAAAAACTCGATCAAGAACCAATTCCAAAAATGAATTATTCTTAATAAAAATTTTATGCTCCATTTCAAAAAAATTAATAAGAAATTTCATAGAAAAACTGTCCACCTTTATTTTTCATTAAAAGCAGCCGCTCGCGGCTTTTTTGGGTAGAAAAAAATTTGCTTTTTTTCAAATACTCTTTTTTCCCACAATTTTAACCCCTTGACAGCACTGGTTTTCCAGACATCTCCCGCTCCCCCGACTTGAAAGATCTCTACATTGGAAACAACCTGGAAAAGCTCCCTCCCTTGGCAGACCAGCTTCCTAACCTCCGCCTCCTGCACCTCGAAGACAATTTGATCACATCCCTTTCCGACTCCTCCCTCCCGCTGAGTCTGAACGACTTGACCCTCGACGGAAATCTGTTAGAAAAAATCGACGTGGGAAGTCTACTCGCTGATCATCCTAATCTGAAGCGGATCTATATTTCGAGGGTAAGTCTTTTTTTTTCAATATTGAATCAATTTTCTGAAGAAAATTTTTTTGATGATTGAATTTTTTGATGAGTTTTATTTATTGATTTAGGACCAGAAATAAAAACGTAACACACTCAACTATAACTCGTAAATACTTCAAGTTTCCCCACCCTTCAGCAAAAAAAATCTCCCGTTCTTTACGAGCGCGATCTGTCAAAATCATTTTCGCCAAATAATAACCGTGTAATGGGGCGGCAGGACGGGACGCGTACAAGCCCATATTTCTGTCAGTTTTTAGTTATTAGCGGATAAAAACGGTCATTTTCCGAGTCGTTATTGTTGTCTCTAACGATTCTTATTAATCGAGAAGCCGCTTGCGGCTTCGAGTATACAAACTAGCCGCTCTTAGCGCGGCTTTTTTTTTCAGAACTCGAAGCCGCATGCGGCTTCTCGATTCCTAACAACCGGATATCCATGACATAAGGATATCTAAAGGGATACCCTTAAGAAAATAAGGAGCGAAAAATCTGTTTAGAAATTGATAAATCGCGATTTTTGGCGAGGGATGACTGTGCAGCTGAAGTAAATATTTAGCGCAGATTATACAACTCCCAACTTGCGAGTTAGTCAGCGTATAAGTAGATGGACTAATCAAATCAGAAAGGATAATTAAATGCATTTGTTTGACAGAAAACGTCGGGAAGAATTTAACGCGAAAAAAGCTTAAAGTTTAAATATTTGAGACTCTTTTTTCTATACTGAAATTTTGTAAATATAATATAAGGAAGTAGGGTGCGGTCATGAGAAAACCACCCTCGCTCAAGCTCTCTTGACATTATCCTAAGGCATCTTACTATTTTGACTCCTTACTGCGGCGGCGAGACAAATTATCCCAAATCGAAGCCATTCGGCCATTCATAATTTCGCGTGAAAGGGATTTTCTGAATAGTTTATGGCCTCGCTCTGAAAAGACCTTGCGTTTTAATGATTTTTAATGTGGCCAAATTAAACTTGAAAGCTTCTTTCTCTCTGAGAAAAACGGTAAAAAAGAACGGTTGAGTCACAATAGCCTGCTGCTTGTTCTTCTTATCAGTATTAGTGCTCAAGCGCGCAAAATAAAAATTTCGAGCGATAAAAAAACGAGCGCCCGGCCGAGAGGAGCATCATCCTCACTATCTTTTTGTAAGTTGTATTTAAGATACAGCTTGGATAACAAGGGTTTTTTAACCGTACCATTCGGGGGTTGATTTTTATCAGAAACCGCGCCTCGCCCCGTACGCCCGTTATCATTTCTGCCCGTTTATTTGGCCGAGTGACTGCCCAATCGTGAAGAAACGTTCATTTTTTTAAATAAAGATAATATATAATACAGAACTTGTCAAAATATTTAAAATTTCTTTTCTTTGAAAGCGAAAATAGTCAAAATACATCTTTTTTTATAAAAAAAATCCTCGTGGCCTATCAAAAACCTCGAAATTAAATTTGAACCAATCAAAACTCACTATTTTAATTTTTAATAAAAATGTTTTTTTTTTAAATAATTTATTCATTCTTTCCAATTTATTTCTTTCTGTTCTCAAAACTGCCACTTTTATTGAATTAATTATGCAGCCACATGCCTCAGGGCAAGACAAGATGTACAGTAAGCAGAAATCAGAAATCCGGAGAAATTCATTCTCTGAGTGGCTTAATTGGCCTCCATACCGTGGCGTACTGTCAGAGTTTTGAATAAATTATTTCCAAAAAGCTTGGCCGCGTGCCTAAGCCAACGGCCTCAGGCTCCTACTGTGTGCCCGAGGACAAGATTTTTTCTTCATGAAATGGGCGATAAACAGTTTTCTGACAGCTAGTATCATAATCATTATCCGCCCAAAAATATGCAGAAAATATCCTTATCAGAGCAGACCTATCCTCTTATGCTCTCCTCATCCCCTGCTGAGCTTTTTCTGATAAAGGCTCATTCTAATCCGTTTTCCTCGATTTTTTTTATGAGCCTAACAGCTGAAGCAAATAAGAAACGATTTCCTCCGCGGCAATTGAACCTTTATTAGGGCTCGGAAGGACGGGGGAATTGGCACGCAAAGGTTAAGGGTGTCATCGACGATATAGTAAAATTAGCGAACTTTTGGCGGAGCACGCTCACTTAGACTTTTCACTCACTTGGACTCGCGCTCATTCTAACCCGCGCTCATTTGAACCCGTCGGTCCAAGTGAGATTTTGGTTCAATCGAGCGCGAGTTGAAGTGAGCTTTACATTTTGCGTGGGCGAGGGTACTGTATTCTCAGTGGACAGTCTTACGATAGTTTTTAGAATTCGTTTTTTTTTTAATTTTCATAACTGCGGAGTAAGAATTTTTTCTGAAAACTTCCAACCGTTAGTAACAAGAGCCTTTTGTCAATAGGAAGTAACATACCTGAAAAACACTGAAAAAGATTGAACCAGTTATATTTAATGCATAAACGTTATAACTTCAGTTAAAAGTAATCATGAATCCAAATTTTATATTAATCTGTAAAACGAAGGTTAACATTTTCCAGGAATTCATTAAAAAGAAAAAGATTATATAATTCTAGAGCAAAAATAACTTTCTAGAGTTTATAAGTCAAGTTTACAAGTGGGCAACCGAAATTTTGTTCTGTTTTGCAGAGACTAAGTCTTGTAGACAACAGACACCTGCAGGAATCCAAAATTATAAAAATCTCCAAATTATAACCCTTTAAAATTGTACAAAATTATTTGAGAGTATCAAAATGATACTGCTATCGAAAAGCAAACTAAAATATTTCTCGATCATGTCACCCGGTGAGAGTCGCAGGATTCATTTTTAAATTCTTTTTTTTTTTTAAGAATTTTTTTAAGTAATTTTTGCACTCATTCTAACTCCTCACTCTATTCAACCAACACTCTAATTGGCCGACGAGTTCAAACGAGCGAAGAGTTAGAATGAGCGCGAGTCCAAGTGAGAGAAAAGTCCAAGTGAGTGCGCTCCACTTTTGGCAGGAGCAAATATGGTTATTTATCCGGCTCAAATAAGGTCTAAAAGCGACTCCATTAGGAGAGGCTTCCCTTTCATCCACTAAAAAAACCTGCTTTATTCCCAAGGGCCAATCAGATCTTTTGATTTGAAATTTAGCTTAAAACTGACTAACAAAATAATTTCAGAATCGTCTTTCAACCCTTATCGGCGAATTTAAAAATCTTCCTCAACTAATCGAGCTGAAAATGTCCGACAATTCTCTCACAAAAATCCCCGATTTCCGAAAAGTCCCGAGCCTGGTCCTTCTTCACCTCGCCAATAATCTGTAAGTACTTTAAGCTAAAGTGTTTTGGAGTAAACAGAAAACTTGTATGGCCTACTTTGCATTGCGTATTACATTTACAAACATGGAGTTATTTTGGAGATAAGTCGGGTGGATAAGCTCGAGAACCGTAAACTGACCCGGGTGTATCAAAATAACTAGAGGGAGAGGATGATATTGGAGGTGGGAAGGGATTATAAAGAGGGGTTGGAATTATCGGGATTTTGAGGCTGTTTTTAAGGGTCCTCCCTTCATTTTTAAAGATTTTTAAATGAAAAAGGGTTCAGATTTTCTGAATTTTGAATGTTGTTATTTTCATATTTATGTTTTTTTCTGAGCAAGCGCTGCAGATGGAATATTTTCTAGGGAATGCTTAAATTGGCGTGTTGCCCCGCATGTTTTAAATATTTTAGCGTAACACGTGTAATTCTGCCTGTTCCAGTGACCCATAACAATGACGACATGGGTTTTCGGCCTTGGCTCAATTTTCCTTTCTTTATCAATGATACCTTCTTAAATCGTTTCTAGCGGCAGAAGCTAGATTGGTAGCAAAAGCGAACTCCTCCTTCTGCTTCAAAACGGAAAGCGATAAGGTCCTCTTACGGAACTTGACACTCGCGACCGTCGCCATGGAGGAAGGGGAGGGGGGGTCCCTTAGTCGAAAATTGCCTCGGCTTTTCTTTATTATTTGCGCCGCGTAAATATCACTTCCAACTCGCAAAGATCCAAGGTCGACGATTTGAAGCCTCGACTAGTCTACTATTGACATGTTAAACTTGATCAAAGCGCCAATCCATTTTACCCAGTTGAGACTCATTCTAGAGGTCCCAGAGGCCGGGCTCACTGAATAAGCGTGTCAAGCTAGTGTTTTCGAGCTTCCGCACGGGCTGATCAATGATCACCAAACACAATGGATTTATACATGGTTTGAAGGGCGAACAAAGCGAGTTTTCTTTATCTCTTGACAAGTTTTATTTTGTGTTAAGGGCCTACTATCAATAGCAATAAAATCTAAAACAAAATCGTCCGAAAAGAACCGCATTTCCTAGCGGCAAAAAACACCCGGAAACGCGGAGAAGAAGGCATTTCCTCGATCGGGTTCTTAAACCCTTACGGCGTGGCTTTATTTCTGAACCGCTTTGCAAGATTCGGTGCATTCCGTTCAAATAATTATTTACCGCACCTTTGCCCCTTGGAACACATTAGGGTGCCACTGGCGCAAATTGAGCTTTGCGAACTTTTTTTTTAAATGAAGAAAAATTCGAGTCATCCTTCTTTTTTCGATCAGTATTTCAGAACAATCTATTTCAGCTAGCTTATCCTAAAAATAGTTTCCCGATTGTGGCGACTTTAACAAATTTGGCGAGAGAATTGGCGACACACTTTGTCCCCGCGAGTGTTGTATAAACACGACTTTAACTATATTTACAGCTTTGTTGTGGAATTAAGGGTAGTGGCTTCCATCAAGCCGGGCGGCCTGCTACATTCGTGAAAATTGATCCAATATTGTCAGCATTCGGGGGCCCGCTGAAGGCGGCGCATTAATCCGATTTATTATGCTCCTCGGAGCGGGATAAAGTGAAATAAGGCGGCGGAAATAAGGGAGAGCGGGCTTTTTTGTGCAAATAAAAGCGGGTTGAAATTATCCCTGGGAAAGATTGTAGAAAATCAGGGTTATTCTGAGCCTGAAAGACCCGGATTTGAATACAGTCTGATTTTGGTCTTTCTTTGATCTTTCATTTTTCTAGCGTTGTTTTTATGACCTGATGTTCGTTATTTGCATTTGGCTGAGTTACAATAACTCTTTATCTTTTTCATTTCCTGGCTGCGCGGCCGGACTCGGAGGCGCCGGATGAGTAGATCCGCCATATTGTCCCCACTTTGGGCAAATACGTTCATTTTCTATTCCAGTGCGCCAGGCAATGAATATGCTCATTTTTCCCCGGTCCCCGGTCCAGGGACTTCCAATTTCTTGGAATGACAGGTGCCCCAACTCGAGTAGCTGAGTTCCTGAAGCACTGGGCTGCTACGACGCTACTGCCAGGTGCTCTTGAAAGTTTAGTGCTTCAATTTTCAATTTTGAGCAGCGCACGCAACTTTATTGCAATAAGGCCTAAAACAACCACAAAAACCACTTTCCAGTCAGAACACGGCGAAGATTTGCATTTTGAGAACTGCGATTTCCGGCTCGAAAAATATTTGTTTCGAGCCGAAAATACGAAATTCCAGCTTCAAAATCATTAAAAATCAGCATTGATTCTGATTGATTATTTTTAACCCAGCCGTAAGACGAGCGATTTCCGCTGGGAAGCATGTGGTTTATATATTGTTTTAAATGAGCCCGGACGGAGGTATAATTTTGAGATTGAATTCTAGCTTCGCGACGGGATGACGCGCAGAAATGAAGAAGTCGCACGAGTCTAAATGACCCCGAATCGGTTTTAATTATAAACGAAATATGATCAATCAGCAGATTTCGTTCTCATCATCATCATTTTACAGTTCCCTCCGATTTTTAGAAAAGCGAATTTTTGGGAAAGAAAATAGAAGATAAAAGTGACTTTTAAAAAGTCCAAGTTCCGGCAGGTGAAAAAGATCAGCACTTTGAAAGACCAACAAAGCCAAACTGTCGGACACTTGCTTTTTTCTGCCTAGAAAGTTGGTGAAATTTTCAAGTGACAGAGCGCTTATCTTGAGTACCGGAAGGCGGGCGGGCGCGAATTCAGATTTCAAAAGAGGTTCACCGAATAAGTATCAAACAGGCTGCACCTGAGAATACGGCCATTTCCGGAGCAGATTTTCATATCTAGAGCCTTTCACTTTTTGATATGCGTGCTCTCTAAAAACTCGCTTTCCGGCTAATTGAATCGGTGATCTACCTGCTTCAACTCGTGTTATTCCAATTTTTGATGCGTTTTGCAAACATCACCTAACACGAATTCGACCGGGGCGACCTCCGTGAAGAAGTTTATTTTCATTCCGACACGCGCCAAAGAATCTTTCGAGCCTTCGGGTCAGCTGGTATTTGTTTCATAGGGAAGCCCTTATGTAAGGGAACAGGGCCATTGTCAAGTTGCCAGTGGTGGCAAGTGCGAAGTGCGAAAGGAACAATAAGGTGTAAGAGGATTTTCGAGTCGGGAGTCGACTATTGTTGACCTCGATTTCCGGCTCTCATGGCCGCTTTTTAAGGGTCTGCCACTGACTAGGCCTCTCAGAAAGACCTGCAAATATACCATGTAAAATTAAAGCTAATTTGAACAGATTTCCCATCGACGAAATAATAAGCCTGGTGGATATTTGACGAGTTTTGTCTCAGTGGGGATGAAATTTACAAAATCACGTGACGCGCGGGTTGATTTATCACCCGAAGTTCGTTATATTTGAGCCTAAATTTCCTCACTTCCTAAATCGATTCAGAAAATCTGGCCCAATCTGTTTTTATTTAACCTTTTTTCGCTTTCGGTTGAAAATTCCAAAGAAACGGAGTGGGTTATTTTTTCATGATATCTCAGGTGGAGCCGAGGCGTTATCAGTGAGGCGTATTTTCGGAGCTTCGGAGGTGATAAGCAGCTGGATCAGAGAGTTGCTGCAAAATAATGCGCGCGGATTAACCCGTTGCTGCGCGCTGATTCAATTTGGCCAATTCATGAAGGACACCGGCGGTAATCCAAGGGGATAACGGCAGGTTAAAATTTCAGAAGTGATAAGAGCAGCATGAGATGACGTTTCTCGTGAGTAGATAATTAGTTAAAAGCGGCTTTTTTTACCAAACTTATCCGGTAAAATCGTAATTACAAGCAAAACTTAGCTAAGTATCTTTCTAAAACTCGGCTCCCCTGGAATTAAGGGTCCCCTGCTGCGCCTAATGAGCCCAGCATGACGACAGCAGTGTTCAGCTAAGCAACGAGTGTGCCCTAATGAATATGAATGGGAATTATTCAGCAGAATACAGTCTTTTCTGAATAAAAGCTTTTATGTTTCTTTTTCCCGAAGAATCTTGATAAATTATTCATCAGCTTTAGTACAGAAGCATAACTGTACAAAACAAGGCTTGGGCACGCATGCTGCCAAAAAGCAACCCGAAGCAGCCGCAGGTGGAAATCAGTGTGCCCAAATATTTGACTTTGATTTCGAATCTGTCTCCTACTTGCGTATCACTTTTCCGCGCAAATATCAAATCGTCTCAGGGCACAAAATCGACATTCAAAATCGGCCCGCTTATCAGCCTATAATGCAGATAAAGTGACAATTCGCTCGTAAATTGGGTTTGTCAAAATTTGAAAATCGCGTTCCGTGCGAAGTTGCGCACTTCCTCCTCGCGCATTAGATTTTATAAAGGCCAATTCAACCCAGCCACCCTTAAAAACTCGAAAATGGATGTTAACCCATTCTTTGCGTGAGACACAAATCTGACTTTGCGCATTCCTTCGCAAGCACAATTAGAAGCGAAAACCTCGTAAAGGGGCTCAAGCCAGATTACTCAAATGCCGTCTGCGCTAATTGCGGGGTACCGCGGCGGCCAAACTGTCAAATTGAAATTTTCAGAGGTTGATGCATCGCCTCTAGAAAGCACAAAAGGGGCAGTTCTTAGAGGAGGGATAAAAATTTAAGTCGGTGTTGGTTTTCAAAGCGCGTGAAAAGAAACGCGGTTGGTAGTGAATTACCGATTTGTACATCGCCCTCTTTTATCGCTTCTAAAGCGTGGTAATCCTGATCTTTTCAAATAGAGATCAGCCCAGTGAGCTCAACACGTGATCGGGTGACCAAATGAAAGAAAAAGATAAAACACCCTTTTTGAAGTTTCTTGCCAAAAAATATATCTAACGTATTGCTTCAGAATCACTTCGATAAACGGCAGTATCCTTCGACTTCCAAACCTCACCCATCTGGACCTCTCGGGCAACGCCATCAAATCCGTCACCAGGCTTCGTCTTCCTTCCCTAATGGAGCTGAACCTCGCTCGCAACTCCCTCAGTTCGCTCGACGAAAGTCTTCTGAATTCCCGCGAGCTTGGCTACCTCCAGATCGCTCAAAATCCGCTGGAAAAAGTTCCTGCTCAGCTTTTTCAAAAACTCTCGAAACTGAAAAACCTCGACGCTAGCTACACCAAACTCATGGAGATTCCTCAAATTCCGGATGATATGATTGTCAACGAGCTTCGTCTCACCGGTGTTTCCCTGAACTGCGACTGTGACATCCTCTGGCTGACCCAGTACGCCAGAGATCTTGGCCACGTGACTCTTGGACTGAACGAATTGACTTGTGGAACACCAGCGAGGTTCTCCGGCATCCCAGTCGTCGATTTCAACCCTTTGGAATGCAAAGTCGATTCCGATTCCGACTCGAGCTCCGAAGAAGATCCTTGCCGAAGCTGGGAGTGCAACTACGGCGCTCAGTGCGTGATTGAAAACAACAAGCCTAAATGCGTGTGCTACGATGCTTGGGGTGGAGAGCATTGCGAGCAGCTTCTGATTGATACGGCCAAAGTAACTGATTTGCCAGCGAAAATTGAAGAACCAACCATTTGGGTGGATGATGTTGGACCGGCTTTTGTCGAGGTAAGAATCGAAACTCTTTGTTGATCCTCACCACGTGATAAATTTCTCGCCCTTGGATAAAATTCCATCCCCCGTCCGGTAATCAAACTAATCCCGCGTTTTCTTCCCCAAAAAATTTGAGATTCGCCAAAATTGAATACCAAAAAGGCACTTCCGTCGCGGACAATTCCAATTCGTTATCGAACATTTGTCGCGTGGTTTTGATAACGCTTCCGGGATTAAATTTTTCGGGGCCATTTTGAAGCTGACTAAAATGTGCATTTTAGGTGTCTTTTGCGCGATTGAGCTCGACCAGGGCGACTTTGAAGCTTTGGATTGCTGAGGAAGATGTTTTTGTGCCTTCTACTTCTGATGTGATTGATTCAGACATCACCAAGTTTAGGTAAGATGAAGCAGAGGCTTGAATAATGCAAATAAGGGATGATAAGATCCACAAGTCGGATCAAAAATGAATTTTTGGAAGAAAGGGCTTTATGCCTAATCTTATCTCCAAATGGTACTGGCCAAGTGGATCGTGCTTGAAATAAAAAGTGCCCGAAGCTGGCCCAGCGCCAATCCTTTTTTCATTCTTTTTCGATTTATTTTCTGCAAAAAAAGAAAAATGAAACATGTTCCGCGGTTAGCAGAGGGTTCAGATTTAGGAGTTGATTTATTTTGCTGACATTTTTGAGCGTTATTGAATTTTCGCGGAGCAGCGCGAATCAATGGAACATTATTTGCGCGGCTTAATTAAAATCAAGAAAATCACATTTCCCCGATTACCATTTCTGATCCTTCAATCAGAGGCAATCTAATTTGGATTTATTGCTAACAAAATCAAACGAGCTTTCAGAAGCCCTTTTTCACCTTTAGAAAGAAAGCCAGAAATACACAAAAAAGCCGCGCGCGGCTTATAACGATAAGACCCCGTATAGAAACTATTGACGAGTTATAACCCCACTGTTGCATATTTAATCAGATCTGGCGATGCGTGAATTTTTCATCGATCATTTTTTCGGACAATACAAGTTTTTTTGCGCGAGATGAAATATGCAAGGGCTCTCTAGTTGTCGGCCTCGTCGTGTAAATAAATGTTCTAATAAGCTTTTGTTATTGCCGTGCCAAATGGAGGATATTAAAGTTGATTATGAAAGTTGATATTAAGTTCTCCCTGAACTCAGTTGCTTTTTGTATAATCTTGTTGTCAAATGCAAGCTGTCTACCAGACACTTTTTCTTTCGACAAAATATTCACCGATCATTTCAGATACGAAGATCTCCAACCCTCTTCCGAGTACAAGCTCTGCATTAGCACCAACGGCCCCAACTCTTGTGCCATCTTCAACACTCTTCCTTCTTCCACCGAATTCCTCGAAATCGAATCCACGCTCGAGAGCGAAAACAACTCTCCCAACACTTCTGAGCAAAATTCCTCGACGTCGGAATTCATCGGCGCCGCTGTCGCTGCTGCTGTTCTCGTCGTTGTTGTCATCTGCGTCGGCGTTTTCATGAAGCGAAGACAGTACACGGAAAAGGCGCAGAAGTCTTCGTATTCCGGAGCGTCGGGAGAAGAGTGCTCGACTTGGAGATACGCAGGCGCTGGAGGAATGCACTGCCCGAGCACTGACAGATCTACGAACAACATGACCCCCGAGTCCGTTCCCTACAGCTCCTACACCGGAAACACTGGTGGCTCCGAAAACAACTACGCGGAGGTCTGCACTAACTACCATCTCTCGCGAACCCCTCATTTCGCCTTTGAGCCGGCACTTGCTCAGTCGACTCCTCAGCGAACCGAACCGCGGTCGAACCGAAGCGAACCGCAATTCTACCACTATCACCCAGATGAAATGTCCAAAACATTCCACGGAAATCAAAACCACAATCATCACAATCAATCAAGACCACTGTACACTCATCACAACAATACAAATGGATATTACTGTGCATAAACTTTAATGGAAAGTGTTAACATATATACATATATATATATTGAAATTTCTGTAAATAAAGAAGGATTTAATTCTTGATTCAAAAAAATATGAAGCTTCATTTCAAATTGTCGAATAAACCTGCGATCTATCAATAAATTGATAAAATCGCCAAACAGTATTTGCCTCTGTGGTCAAGAGTAGCTGTTGATATTTTTGATGTTTTCATTCTGTGGCTCTGAAACCCACAATTGAATGATTCGGGAAAGTGTTGCTCTCCGCCGCAACTGACCTTCTTTTTTATTAGGAAGGCGTCATATTTATTTAGACGAAAATATTGAAAAAACGACTGTCTTAATTGGGGTTAACTTTCAATCGGATCTTCTTTGAAAACATGGATTTGTGATCTTTGAAGAGCAAATGAGCCCATTTGATTACGCGGCTGGAAATCTCCTCGGCGCGCGCGGATGATCACGAATTATTTCCATATAAAGGGGTTCAACCCTTCATAATGCATGTTGAAGGTGTTCCGCATGGGCAGGAAGCCAAAAATAAACAAAACAGGGTGGAATGGAAAATGAAGTTGCATGATTCTAATTATTCGACTTTCGCCAAAACAGGATAATGCTGTTGCCACGCGTTTCTCTTGGTAAGCATTTATAATCGCAAAAATACAAAATAAAAAAGGTCAAAGCTACAAATTTCAAAATGAAGAATACAAATTCAACAATCTTTGGCCTCTAAAAACCATGAAATTTTCCTCCGACAGCGGCTTTGAAAGTCGGCATCGATGAAAAAAAGGAATCATGTCCGTGGAACTGCTAAATTATGCAAAGCAGGCCGATCATTGACAGTGTGGTTTGTGTTTTTGCGAATTTCACCCCTTTACCGGCTGCGCCCCTTGAAAATATTCCGCTTAAATGAGCAGCCGGACAATCCTTGTTTGCACGAATTCAAGTCGATTTCGACCGAATCGAACTAAATAATCATCTCGACCTGAATTTTCTTTTAAAATTTATTTCTCAAATAAAAAGGCATTTTTCTCAGTAGTAAAATCCTTTTCCCATTTTTCTCTTCTCTCGTCTTCTGCACCCAATTTGAAGGATTCCTCGTTGTCTCCAAAGCAATTCTTCCCGGAATCGCAGCACTGTCGGCAAACGCTTGTTGCTTTCTGCCACTTTCTTGGTTTGCATTGATGTTCGGCGAATCTTCCTCTGAAGTTTTGAGACTTATTGGCGAGACATGCATCAAGCGCTTTGCAGCCCATTTTGACCGACTCTACTTTCGGGCCTCTTTTTCGAATTTCGATCTGGCAAGACTGCTCGTTTTCTTGGCACTCTTGCGCAAAACCTAAAAAGAATCAGCTCTATAATTTTCGAATGAGTTATTGGTTACCTTCAGAAGAGCATTCGTTATAATTTCTGCTACTGCAAGTCATGCAAGTTAGTCTTGAAGACATAAATTTGAAGAGAGCATCATGACTAGCTGTTTCTGGCCCAGATGAATTGGGTAGAGGTTTTTCTATCTTGGTTTCTTCAATATTTCCAAATGCGTACAAGAGAAGCCCTCCTAAAATGGGATTTCAAAGGCTCGTCATTTGAGAAGCTCTGTTCATTTCTACCTTCAATTTGACCAAGACTTTCCTTTTCGTCTCCATTTTTCTTTGCTCTGGCAATAATAAAAACGAAAATTGACAGAAATTTCATCTTTTTTTTTCGCAAAATCAGTATTTTTACCCAACTTCCACGGGGTCTTATATGCACTCATAGTTTGAGATAAGCGCAATAAATCCCAGCTGACACTGCTGATATGGCTCCAATCGACCCAACGAACTGAATTTAGTTCGTTAATTTAGAAAAAATTTCATGTGGATAAACGGATTATTCTAACATAAACTGCTGACGTTTTACTTTTTCTAGCTCCATTCATTCCTAAACAACGGGTCGTAGACAGTCACATCTCAAAGCAAGACATTTAGACATTGCCAGATGACGTTTTAGTACAGTCAAAGATACAGACATTAATCCAATTTCAAATTCTTTAATTCGAGTTTTTCTCCTTTTCAAATTGGTATTTTTCGCGACAGAAAAAGATAATTATAATATCGAGAATGAAAACTAAAAAGCAACTTTCTTCGTATAAAGCCCCTGCTTTTCTGTCAAAATTATCAAAAAGAAAATTAAAAAGCCAAAAGAAAAAAAAAACGATGAAATTTATATTTTTCTTCTTCCCGCTTATTTTTGCAAACAACGAAGAAAACTGCAGAATCGCTAATCCAGATTGGGACTACTACAGCCAAGTAACCCATGTTTTTGGGATACCCATAGTGGCAACAAGAGAGGTTCATCCTTCAGCAATAGCTCTGACCTGTAAATACTTCGAATTCCTGATCAAAGACAATCAAGAAATCGTCAGGAACCTCCAACGAAGAAATCACAAGGTGGTCATTCTCGGCCGACGACAAGAACTCGCCCGAGATGTTCCAGAATACCACGGGTACGAGAAAAAGCTGCACAGTAGAGGAGTCGGCGGGACAAGACATAACCCAGTTACAGTCATTCCCGAAGAAAATGTCCTTTGCCTGAAAGAAGACAAACAACCGGGAGACATCATCCTTCACGAATTGGCCCATGCAATCCATCTTGTCGGAACTCCAAGGGGTCTCCTTCAAAAAATCGCCAGAAGCTACAGGCATGCAGAGAGATACAATCTCTTTCTGTACAATTACGCCGCAGAAGATCCGCGAGAATATTTCGCCGTCGGGGTTCAAACGTTTCTCAACAAGTCACCAGCGGAAAATTACGCGACATTTGATCAGCCGCATCGAAGACCACTCAGAATCACGAGAGATCACCTCTTCCGTAACGACAGACATCTCTACTCTTTGGTTGAAAATGTGTTGCTTAAAAAAGAAGGCTGGAAATTGCCGAAACGATGCGAACTTTGGAAGAACGGAATCATGGACCCAAACACCTTGGTCGATTCTTTTGATCAGCTTTTATAATTGCCTGACATTCAGTTTTACTTCTCTGTAAATAAATTAAAAATCAGAAGAAGCAAAATTTATTCATTTAGCCAGGGCAGATATTGCATGACTCGAACATAAACACCAGGCGAATCAGCAAGCCCGCATCCGATTCCCCAGGAGGTAACGCCAAAAAGCACCGCTTTTCTGTCATCAATGCAGACCAATGGCCCGCCAGAGTCGCCCTGGCAGCTGTCTTTGATTCCTTCTCGCCAGCCAGCGCAGAGCATTTTCGTCAAATCAAGGTTTTTAGATTCCAAAGTTGTTTTGCATTGCTGATTATTCCAAATTTTAATATCGACTTCATTCAATTTATGATTGATTTCTTTGTGCGGCGAAAACGATGTCTTTCCCCAGCCGGCGATGAAGCATTTTGAAGAAGAAGATGGTATTTGAGTTGAGCTGTCTGGTAGACAAACTGGCTGGTTGATCATTTTCGGCGATTTTTTGAAATCGAGGAGGCATAAATCATCATGAAAAGCATCCGATCTGTAGTTTTCATGAATTTTGATGCTTTGCGGATTCAAAATGATTTCATTTTCTTCAAACAAAAGGGCATCTTCTTCGTTCAAATAGATCCTTATATTTTCAAGATCATCTTCAAAACCATAACAACAGTGTGCTGCGGTCAGAATTCTCGTTTCTGAAATCAGGCTTCCACCGCAGCGACGATTTCCAAACTCGATTCTTACTATCCACGGCCATCGAGCCAGCGTTGTTTGCTTGCCGCCAAAGATTCTTTGCGAGAACGTACCTTTCGAGCAGGATTCGAGATTATCTGGAAGTCCAACCGGCGTCTTCGAAAACACGATTTCTTTGCGAGGCTCGCAGGTCCAGTTCTGAATCTCTTCATCGTAGATTTTATTGCTTTTTGCTCTTCGCCAGTGGCAAATTTCTTGCTTGTCAATTTTCCACCTGCAGCGGCATCCGACCAGAAAGGTTTTCCTCCGTGGCGGCATGATCACGTGGTTGCTTTCTTTGCAAGTATATTGACAGTTGAATATCCCAGTTGTTGCGGATTTGCGACACTTTTTAACGAGCCCCTGATCTTTAGGGACGATCGGGACGCAAGGGCGACAAACTCCAATTTGATGATTCCACTGGGTCTTTTTCAGGGGATCTTGATGCACTTTGCAGTTCACCTTTCTCGGACCACTAAAAAACTTTTAAAAATCTGAGTTTAATCATTTCCTACCCATAATGATCGAACTCTTTTTCGCAGAAAATCTCGCAGCTTGGTCCAGTACATCTCAATTCTCCATGTTTGTCTCCTCTTATATCGTTTTTTGTCATGCACTGAGAATGATGTGCCCATTTACTAAAGGCAAAACTCAAAAATTCGAAAAGAAAAAGCAGCATTTTCACAAATTTCAAACTTAATATTTTTCAGATTTCTGGCGTTCGGATTTTTATATGTACTTAGGGTGCAGAAATGATCAGAGAGACCGCGCATGTTAAACAAATTCTAGCGCCTTGATTATAAACTGCAGTCGATACATAGATTTTATGACTCAGAAGAAAACCGACGACTACCCAACTCCAAACACTTCGACGACATTTTTTCAAAGGTCAGAGGGATTTTCTCGGCGACTGTTCTTTATTCTTCGCTTCAAGGATTCATGACAAAGCGAGAGAAAAAATGAGAGTATTTATTCTTTTGCTCGGATTTGCTGCGGCGTTTTACGATACTGTAAGATAACTGTAATTGTATATTTATCTTATGAAAAATGTAGTACATCAACTATGACGAGGAGAATCAAAACCGCTCATTTGCTTACTGGGAATGGAGTATCCGAGAAGATCAGGGACACACCCTTATGCCTGCGATGGGTAAAATATCTATTCCGGAGTAATTTCAACGTTCTTTCAGTTCGCGATTTCGGACCGACTGTTCCATGGGCCTGGCAACGACCAACTTCAACCGAAGCGGGGGCTTTGACGAATGGAATTTCATGCGTTTTCGCTGTTTTTCTTGCTCTAAATGCACTTCTTTGAATAAAAACAATGAACGTATTGCTTCTATCATTGAAGTTGCCGTACTTTTCGAATATCAAGGTCTTGATGACCCTGGGGCAAGATTCTTGACTCAAGAAGATAGTTTTTGTATTTTATAGCAGGAAAAAAATGAAGGAAAAGAAAGGTAAAAAATCGGAGTTGAACAGAAGATTGAGAATAGAATTAGAGTATGATCAGACGGGAGCCCAGTTCGAGGAAATAAACCCGCCGCGACGAGAAGGGGCACCTTGTCTTGGTTTGTTCATTTGATTCATCATCGGCGGAATAGCTAGAATTTCAATGAGACCTTGAAGCAACAAAATGATCTCTATTTCTTAACACCAAACAACACAAATTCTTACCACCAAAATATACACCAGATAAAGATTGAAGAAAAGGTAAAGACTATTGAAGAATAAAGTAAAGAATGCCAGTTCAATAAAGCTTCGGAATTTTAAAATGAGCATCAAAAATTTGGATTCAAATAATGAGAGAAGAATAAATTAAGTTTTAATTTCGAATCCTCGTATCAGATGTCCAGCTGTAGCCCAACAAGGCGTCAGAAAAGGAGCACTGGGAGAGTTCGGTCACCTCGCTAATGTAAGAGCGTTTTCTACTGGTTGAAGATAAACCTTGGCCGTTTGAAATCGAGCCGTTGATAATTTGGGGAGCTGCCGATCGCCAGGATGAAGCATTTGCGCCAGGCACTAGAAAAGATGCTTAAAGGGGGAAAGAATACAAGATCACTTACTGGTTACACTCTGTAGTTGCGTATTGGACTCGACGAAAGTCTGGCCCTGCCGATGCGTTCCATCAGCGTTCAAATTTGCGCCAAGTTCGTAGCCAAAGTTCGCCCTCTTTTTCGCGTTACGGCCCTTGATAAATGCTGCTGCTTCACGGAGAAGTTCTTGAGTTGCTCTTTCGAGGAGATGGCGTTCTTCTCGAGGCAGGTCTTTTGGAATTGGGAGAACAGTGACTTGAAAACGGATTCAAAGGGTATTAGATAAAAAAGGAAAAATGATTGAGATCCGTTCCTCGAGCGTCTTCGGCAAAATCTTGGCCGGTGCAGACAACTTCATCTCGTCCACTGTCTCTTTCTCGTCGATTTTTCTTGATACGCTGTTCCTTTTGCTTTTCTTCCGCAACTCTATCAGCGTTCAATCGCCTGTCAACCTGTTTCTTCTGCTGATCGAACTTCAATCCCGTCAAAATTTGGTTCTAAAGACAGTTAAATTCCTGCTAAAGAAGTTCATGATCACCTTGAGAGTTCTCGCAACAAACATATTGTCGATTTTAGCTCGCTTTTTCCAAGCTCCGACTCCAGCGACTTGCTCGTTGACGGACTTTTTCTGGATCTCTCCCATAATTTCAGCGATCGCGGTGTTGTTCAACTCTTCTTCGTTTTCAACCACGGGTACTTGCAGCTCTAGAACACGAATGCATCCTCGCTTCCTTCCGATTCAAAAACTTACTGTCAATGAATTCATCGATAACTTCCGTGTTGCTCCATTTGCAGACGCCTTCTTCAACCAAAGTCATCCTGAAATTACTTTTTTAGCAACTCCCAAACCATGTTTTCTCACCAATAAGTAGCTTCAGAACTGAGCTTGGTGTCCAATTTGTACTTATTCACGTCTTTCATGATTTCGTCCAGCGCTTTTTGAGAATCCTCATCGTCAAATTTTTCCAACGCAAATCCATCATCCTCGATTTCTATGGAGAAAAATGAGTTTTATAAATTGCCGTCGTCGTTTTATCACCTATTGGTTCTGTATTCATTTTGATTTTCCCCTTCTTCATGCTTCTAGCGCTCTCTTCCGGCGAGCTTTTTCTTGGTCCAACAGAACTGGATTTGACAGTTGTAAACTTTCCAATAGGAACTCTTTTCGGGCCAATCATTCCAGTAGGCGTTGGTCTTCTCAGTGTCCTCGGCTGCATCGCGATCGGGATTTTGACGTTGACTTCGATTGGCTTTTCTGGCTGGTCGTCTTCTGAGTCGCAATCCATGTCCGATTTGGACTGGTCGTCATCGATTGTTTCTTTTCGGAGGACAAATGAGCCTTGAATTAATAATTAAAAAAATAGGAAAATTGAAAAACGCGCGGAAAAAGAGATAAGCGAGAGAATCAAAGCGAAAACGACAACTACTGAAACCTCTTCTATCATATTTAGTCGACACACCGGTGGTCGGAAACGGTGGAGGTGTTTTCACCCCATCAGGCGGCAGTGGACAGGATGCTTCTTCGCGAATAATTCGCTTTTCTTCGTTTTTTCGTTTGTCCTCCGCGTTGATTTCTTTGAGTAGATCTTCTGCTCGTGACTCTAGAATTCGTTGTTAAAAGTTAAGTTGGCTGAAAATGAAGAAACCTCTGGAACTAGAGCTGGATGAGGTATCGTCTTCCGAGCTCAGCTCAACGGTAGGGATCACTTCTGCTTCATTTAGCGAATTAGAATTCGCGTTGTTGTTCTTGTTTTCGGATGATTCCTCCTGGGGATCAGTTTGTTGGACAAGAGCGTCGAGAGGAACGTCATCATCTTCGTCCGATAGAACTATTGTCATTCACACTTAATAAATTCGAGCATCAGAAGATGAATAAGGTGCCCATGTCATATGGGACAGCTGACAGAGTCGAGAAGCCGCTCGCGGCTCCGAGCAAAAAATGAAAAAGCGCGGCTTCTCGATTAACTAGCCAGATATTGCCCCAAAAAATAGGAGAAAAAAACGGTTTTAGAAAAATCATTTATTGAATGAAAAATGTGGGATAGTTTTTCTAGCAGAAAAAAGAGAGGAGGGTAAGAATCACGTACTCTTGATTTGATCTTTGACAGAAAAAAAGGAATGCGGAAAAGTATCAATGTTAGATTGGTTGATGAGGTGCACGCAGATTTTTGGATGATTTGAGGTCTACAGTTTGAGTTTCAATCTTTTGAGCTTGAAACGGTTTCGGATACACAAAGAGTCAGGATTACAAAAGAGGTGTAAAATTCGGTCTGTAACAACTGTTACTGTAATCAATACAGCAGTGTTTTTCGTCGTCTAAAGTCGTCTGACAGAACGTTTCGTCTTGTCGGGAGAAAAGAGCTTGCGCGTGATGGGCTTTGGATTTGGGCACATGCCTTCGCCGTGTGTCCCGCGGCAGAGGCAGCAAAAGACGCGAGAGCAGGAAGAATGGATGCAGATGCCACGGCCGGTCGTCGTTTTCTTTGCGTAGTTTTTGCAGAAAGGGCAGTAGGCGTAGATTTGCTCGCCGTTTACGAGAGAAGCTGAAATCATAAGATAAGAATACTTATTTAGATTCAAACTAAATAGGAAACAAAAACCTGACTCAGGCTACCTGAGGCTGGGCCTGAACCTGTGAAGAAACCTGAGTAAGAGTCCTATTCTAGTGCGGCCCCAAATTACCTTTGACTCTCGCCCAATGTTCCGTTTTCCTCGTCACTGGGCCTCGCAGAACAGCTGCAGTTATGGGCGAATGGGTATTGAGCGACTTTACAGGCGACATTTTTGGCGCCCTGTTCGCGAAAGAATCTCGACTTTTCAGCAGCGAAGCAGTTTTCCAATTTGGAGAGCGATTTCTGTTCAAGTTCTTCTTTTTAATTCTCATTGCTCGCGCATAAGCAGTCAGTGTTTTCTTGTGGCGGCGGGTGATGAACGTCTGCCACGATTTTGAAACTTGCGAACACTAGAATTGGAATTGCCCAACTTGAAACGCTGGAAAAAGGAGACTTACATTGTGGATATCAGGAGCTTCCAGAGCGCCGAAGATTTTGTCACGGATATGGAGCAAATTTTGATCTTCTAGTTTTGCCAAAATATCGAAAGTTTGAGGCGTTTCTTCTTTTTCTGGAGTTCTTGGATCTTTTGCAGGCTGAGGATTTCGTCCCTTGATGCCCTCTGGAGAAGAAAACTGTAAATGATTAAAATCTTATTCAAAAAGAATAAACTTACCATTGCGATTAAGTTTTTAGAGCAAACTTTGGCCGGACTCGCAAATTTCCGCGCTCTATCGCGCAACTCCGGCGTGTTTGGTTCTGATCCCATTCCTTCATCTTCTGAAACACTCATTCTTTTCGACCGGATGACATTCGCGAAGACAGGATTTGAAATTTCAGCGCTAGAATTGGCCTCGTTTCCTTGCATTTTCTTCGGCGAGTTTTTGAAAAACTCTGCTGTTAAGTTTTTCTTTCCTAAAAAACGTCAGTAAGATTTTCTTCAAAAAAGGGTTTACCTTTGTCTATCATTTCTTCAGTCAAACCACGTGACTTTCGAGTTCTCATGCGATCACTAAAAGTTGTTATCCTCAAGAACGAAATTCTATAGCTCACCATTCAGGAGTAATGAAGAGTTTTCTGATGCCAGAGCTGATCTCTGACATTCACCGATTTTTTTCTCGAGTTTTTGATTTTCAATCTTTTTTTGCTCTTTTCCTCCTTTCAAACTTGAAAAATTGATTTTCGTCCCCCGCGATTTCGCATTGTCCGCGCTCGAAGCGTGACTCATCAATTCCTGGCTTTCTTACTCATTTTCCCACAGAGCGCGCCATTTTTAGAAAAATTTAGAAAAGATGCTGAGAGGTGGGCTGAAGCAGTTTTCGGCGCTAGAATTGTCGAAGAGAAGCATTAAGAGATATGCCTGGACGCAGAGAAGACTGGATGTTGATGGTGCTCAAGGATGGGATCATGAAGGGTGAGTTTATTTTCGCTGTGGAATTTCAATTGTTTGAAGATTACAAGAAATCAGATTCGTGTGATAAGTTGCATTTCAGATTCACCAATGTCGACCGAAATTTAACCCGTTTCCACCAGGACACAGCGATGCCAGCCGTGGACGGAGCCACAACTTTTGAAACTGCCGCGAAAGTGCTTGGAAATGGCTGGGTCATCCATAAAGTACCCCTTTCTCCTCCATTTTCTATTCATTTATTTCAATTTCAGCGATCGGGCATCAACAAGAAAAAGTACCGACAAAACGCGACTGGTCAAGAATTCGCAAAATACATGAACCGACGGGTCGTTGCCTCGAATCATCATCACACCATGGCGCACAAGCTCATTCCTCCGAATCAACTCAGACAGCGATGGACAGTTTCCGACCCCTTCAAAGGTACTTATTTCAGTAAAAATTGTATTTTTAAGAGAATTTATACAGACCGCAGGAAAGATATTCTTTAATTAAATATATAAATTACATATAAATACATATTTTTTTAAAAAAACCTGTTATATCAATAAATGGTATTAACTTTTAATGACTCACATTTTGAAGAATCGTTGAAAAATGTCGTTAAATAATTTACCGCTTCATTTTTACAAATTTTTCTGGTGTCCGATGTGATCCACCGCGCTTATATCCCCGAAAGCCAGCTGATAGAAATCTGCCTAGTACATCTCACCCGGCCTTAGTTCATTCCTAAAAGGAAAGAATCTCACCATCTTGTCCACCCTGCCTGCGACTCCGGCCTTTTCCTCTTTCTCATCACATTTTTTACGCGAAATCACGCTCTTTTCAGGCTACGACGACGAAGCGCACATGTGGTACGTTCCAGAAAACATCCCAGTCGAAGATCCAATTCCAAAAACTGCCGAAGAACGCCGCCAACTCTACGTTGCGAAGAAACAGTGGCCAACTCGAGCTCCATGCGGCCGATTGCTAGAAAAAGCAGAGCGACGATCGGATACGACGATGCACGACACCGGAAAACCAAACCCGAATCATAACACAGATCGGTCTTCTGCGCTGAATAGATTTTCTTTCAAGCATAATATTTCGCTGTCTGACTTTCAAAATTAAAAATATAACTCCACTGAATCCTTCCTAAACATCTTCCCTACAGATTGTTGTGACCGAATTTCGTTTGAAAAAGATACTGTAAGCAGCAGTCATGGATTTCGCGACCAAGTACATGGCCGCCAAAGGCTGGACAGCGGGCGACGGTCTTGGCAAAAACAGACACGGTAGAAAAGATCCAGTCAAGGTAAGCTTCTCCAAGGACAAATTGGTTCTCTACTCGCAATTTTAGGTGAAATATAAATTCGACATCAACGGATTGGGACACGATAAAGCGGAATCGGACAAATACAAATGGTGGGAGCGAGCTTTTCAGAGCGCTTCGGATGCTATTCAAGTTGGAAAAGGTTAATTACATTTGCATTCATCTTCTTCTTACGATTCTCTTCAGACAACAAGATTGAAAAAGTCGAGGGAAAGGAGACAATTGTTTCAACTTCCAGACCAATGAGCAAATCATTGAATAAAGCCTTGCTCTACGGCAGTCACTTCGTCAAAGCGGTAAGACTGAAAAGCCGTGGGAAGCGGTCTAAAAATGATTTCAAGGGAGTGATGAGCGGCGGTAAATTCACGAGAGAAGAAAACTCCTCGGATTCAGACTCGTCGTCCGACTCAGAAGACGAAGCAACAAAAGGAAAGATCGTGGAAGTCTCCGACGAAGCCCTTTTCGCCGCTTGTGGAGGAATGACGGGACACAAGGGTGCTCGGCACGGAATCAACATGACGGCCAAACTGGCCAGAATCAAGGAACAAGAGCGACTTGGCCTGGAAAAGATGAAGAATATGTACAAGAAGACAGAAGATGCGGCGAAAGAAGCAGAGAAACAAAAAGAAGAAGCGTTCAACGAATCACTGGTACTTATTGAAATCGAGAAGCCGATTGCAGCTTCGAGCTTCAAGTGAAAGAAGCCGCGAATGCAAGCGGCTTATTGACTTCTCGATTTTTAAACATGTTTTATTAGGAAAAGAGCGCGAAAAAGAAGAAAAAAGCTAGAAAGTTCGAAGAACCTGAAGTCGAAGAAAACATTCCAACAAAGCGAGTCAAAGTCGACGAGGAAAATAATGAAGAAGAAGTCGAAGAGTCCGAAAAGCCGAAAAAGAAAAAGAAGAAAAGCAAGAGCAAGAAAGAGAAGGAGGAACAAATGGTCGAAGAAGTAGAAGCTGAGCTTGAAGGAACGGGTTTTCGAAAGAGCAGCTTTACTCTTCAGTTTTTTGTCTTATTCAAAACTTGAAAACCGCGTTTGAAGAAGTTTCGTTAAAAAAGAAGAAGAAAAAGTCGAAGAAAAAGAAAGTAATCGAGAACGAAGAGGCAGAGGAAAATGATCCTCAAGAAGAGAACAGCGAAGAGCCCAAGAAATCTAAAAAGAAAAAGAAGAGCAAAAAGCAAGAGCTCGAATCGGAAGTAGTAAAGGAAGTCAAAGAAGAGGACGATTCTTCAAGTTCAAAGAAAAAGAAGAAAAAGAGAAAGAAACAGAAAGTCGAAGAGTAAATATTTTTCTCCCTGCAACTCATTTCAACTCTGTTTTATATTGAATAAAAACATGAATGAGTTAAACCTTGAAAAAAATTCCGGATTCAGAAAAAATCTGTAATTTACTATCAGCAATTGCTACAATTTACAAGTGCAATCATGTTTCAAAAGTCACTTAGGATCGTTTTTTTTCGAACTTCAGCGTCATTTTACGTTTTCACATTGAAATTTTTATCGCCCGTGCAAATTTCACTGGCTTTTTCGTTCGTTTCGCCCTGGAAACGCCCCGTTCAATTCACGAGAAAATGATATTCTTTCGATTTTATCTTGCTCTAATCCCTATCTTCGGTGCAATCATCAGATCTTGCCCTTCGTTTGTCACCTAATTTCCGCTGCCCTCTACCCTTTTTTCAGTGATCAGAACGCATCCGACGAGTGCAACGGAAAATGTCGAATGATTTACACAAATTGCCGTACCTTTTGCGAGACGATTTCCTGCGAAGAAGCATGTTCCGATGAATACTCTTCTTGCCAAGACGACTGTCCCTGTGGTGCGAACTGTCCTGAAGGTTGTGTCGGCTGCGAGAGTGAATTTTGTCCGAAGAGGAAGTATTTGACAGTCATCGGGGACTACTATAACGAGCGAATGAGCTATGTTACGGCAACGGATGGATCTTACAGGGACGGATTTTGATCTTCTTATCTGAACATTTGAATTTTACAAATTTAATGGGCCGTTATCAAGAAGCTTTAGTAGGGGGTCATCAGTTTGGCCGACCCTTTCTATAAGCCCAGGGCTGCACAATTGGATTGGAATCCAATTGGTTTCCAATTCCAATTGGATTGGATTGGTAAATTGGTTGGAAAAAAGGCGGAAAAATCAGGGTCTGTCCAATTGGACAGCCCTTCCAATTGGAAAATGGGGGTCCAATTGGCAACTGGTCGCCAATTGGTAAATTGGCAAAATGATTGGATCAAAGCACCTCTTTCCATGCGGAAATGCCAGATTATGCTTGAATCAGTGCCCCAAACGACCAGTTGGGCAATAATTTTCGATCTTAAAGTCAAAAGAATCGGACTGATGGTGGGATTTTCGATAGATAAGGGCTATAAAAATAAGTTTCGAGGGACTTTTGATTCAGTTAGAGGAGGAAGAGGGCAAAAATAGTTGTAAAGAATGCAAAAATTAGCGAAATTTAGGAATTTTCCTCGGCGAGGGCTTGCCCAACTGCCCGAAAGCGCTGAATTGCCCAAAAGTGCCCATATTGGCAATATGATATTGCTCAAATCATTTGGGCCAAATGACCGAAATGCCCGCTCTTTCCCGGCTAAATTTTAGGGGCTTAGCTGTCCGAATGCTCGGCCGAACGCTTTTTCCCCGAATGCCCGATGCCGATTCGCTTAAAAAATTCTCTCGTTTGTAAATTTTAAAGGATTATTTTAAATGAACTCTTTAAAAAAACTGAATTTTCCAATTAAAATCCGATTTTCCATTGGAATTTGGCTGTCCAATTGGAAAACTCGTGCCAATTGGAAGCAAGATTCCAATTGCCGATAGGTCCGCCAAATTCCAATTGGAAATTGGAATTGGATTGGAGTTTGGTTGGATTGGCAAAATTTGGGTTGGATTGGATTGGCAGTTGGTTGGAAAAATCCAAATTTTTTTGCCAATTGTGCAGCCCTGATAAGCCTAACCTAGGGGTCAAAATCCGCGAAAGAAACGATACTTTTTACCGAACACCTTCCGTTTCTCCAACTGATGGCTACCTCCACAACGCTGGATACGCATTCATAAAGGACCAACTGTACATTTTCGGTGGAAACACCGACGAGTACAAGATCGCCAAACTTCTCGGCTGCGAATTCAAAGAATTGGAACTAAAGCTCCTCCGACACTTCCGCGCGAATACTGGCACGCTTCAAACGACTGCTGATCATTCTCAAGTGTTCATTTGCTTCAGTTGGGCTGTTGGAATGTGTCAAATCTTCGACGAAACAAGCGTGGTGGAGAGCAGCTACAAATCAGCGCACGATCATAAATACGGCTGCCTGGGATTGTATGAAGGATCGATCATTGCTGTTGGCGGTTATTCCGGGAAGAAGGTCGAGTTTTATCGACCATCTGGCTGGGAAAATTCAATAGTAAATGGGTTGACTCCAGAACAACAGCTCTACAAAGGGCTTCGAACTAAAGCAGCGGTTTTATTTTGTCTGCTATAAAATCCAGCTCTTTTTCAACCCCGAAATAGACCATCCGCGAGAACTGAGATATCAAACTTGTCTGAATCTTCCGGAAGGTGTCTTGACTCTCGGAGGCGGTTGGGCTGGCGAATACTTTTCCGACATCTATATTTTCAAGCAAATGCGATGGAATCAAGTCGGCCAACTTTCATCGGTGAAAGAACCTGCTTTGAATTAGCTTTTTATTCAATTTTAGCCAAAACGATCCGTCACTGCTTATTTCCTTGATGACCACATTTTCTCATTTCCTGGAGATGTTCTGTAAGCTGTATTCGAATTGTCACTTATTAACTTGATTTTAAGACCTCTTGATGTCGAAAAAATGAGCTTCAACGACAATTTGGTCGACGACCGAGTGATTCTGTTCAACCATACGAATGCTGTCACGCATCCAATTGTTTTTGAGTCTTCTGTTGATTTATGCAGATGAATAAAGACATACAGTGAATGAAAATTTACGGAAACTGACAACCAGACGGAGAAGCGTCTCGTAGCCATGCGCGGGTAAATGATAGAGAAAAAGCACGTGAAGACTCCAACTGGTGCGCTTGGTTTCAGATAGTTCAGAGTAAACGGCAAACCGGCTAAAATTCTGGTGTGTCATTATTCGATAACAGCCAGGCGGTTTGCTACAAAAGTTGCTTCCCAGCGCGAACGCAGTGGAAGTACACAATTCTGAGGAATTGCGGAATATTGAATACCGAAAGGAGACGCCTCAAAGGTCCGGCCTCTCTCTCTGAATTGATCTTTATGGTGTCTGTGTCGCTGGCCTCGAAAAAAAAATTGACGACTCCCCTTTTTCACTTCAGCTTGATAAGAGTCCCCTCGATCGATATTTCACACAATTAACGTCATTATGAGTGACTGTTTTTAAATCAAAAATGTTTATTAAAAATATAAATCAATATTTTATGAAATCATGATTTTTTTGAGAGACTCTGATCAAACATCTTCAATTTTCAGTTTTTTGAATCAGTACTCCCAACTTGGGAGTCCCAACAGAGATAATAACATGACCGATTGAACCTACTTTTGGTGAATTGTTAGTTTGAACTTTATTCGTTAAAGTTGCCCCTCTCTTGAGATAGGGCAGTGATTTAGTCGTTTTTAGCCTCAGAGTCCAGTGCTCTTATATGGATTTTAATCATAGTATGATCATCCGAAGAAATTCATATATGCCTCATCTTCAGCTTAATCCCTGTCGTTCACCAATAACCCCATATCTCCTGTTAAAACACGGTTTTATGGTGCTTCGGAGGAATATTATAAATTCTGAACTTACGAAGCAAGCAGTATTTTTCTGAATCAAGAAATCAACGCTTTATTATCCCATTAAACTGTTTATAAAAGAAGTAGCTTTGACAACAGGACTTTTGCCTTTCTCATGTGGAGCTTCAACCTTCGCGATTACTTCAGGATTGCCAAAGATGATCCCGCCGAATTCGTTTCGGTTATCAAGCAAGTCAGCGCTCAGCAGTGCCTTGCAAGGATTTTCAAGAGAAGCAAAATGTGGGAAGATTGTCTGATTGAATCCTTGGCTTAATGTTTCCAGTATTCGCACTTGTATGAACATCTTTTTAGGTTTATATAGAGTCTTCTGAGCGTAATTATGTTGCATGCTTAACTATCAAAAACCTTTGAACGGCAACCTGTGTAGAAAACCTGACTCAGGATTCGTAAATTCTTTAATGAAAAAAGAAGCCTCGCAGCTTTGAGGCCTTGATTCCTGACTCAGGTTTTCTACGCAGGTTTCCGAGCCTAGACCCTAACTCATTTAATAAACCTTCCATTACTACCAAGCATGCTTCTGTAAAAAGCCAGGGATGTACCAGAAACAAGCCCGTTCAAAAGTAAAAAGAAGCGATTCATATTTTCTTTTTCTCGAAAAATTGATTGATTGAATTGATGCATGTGTTCTTTTTATACATCAGCTGTGAATATCTGAGTTGTTTTATTTGCATATTCAGGCGTCTTTGATCAAGGATGAACAAGAGGTACCTTGAGCATTCATATCTGCTTCATATTTTATGACATTTGATGCTTCTAAACGTGGCTCGACGCAGCCAAAAAACAAAAGGTTTGAGTGCTTGATCCCTGTTTTTCTTGGATCGCTTCAAATTCTCAATTATCGTCGTTCTATTTTTTCTTTATTTATTTACAGTTTGATCTCACAGGCACTTTTTGCAAGTAGTAGGACAGGCAAAGGAGATATATTTCTTGCCACAGTCGGATTTTAGATCTTTGCATGCGTCGTCAATATCTGGCTTGAAATCGCACTCAACGGGGAATTTCGCGTAATTTGGATTTCGCTCTTTTTGGTGGTCGAAAATGAGCTTCTTTGCTTTTGGATTATTCGTCGAGATTGTGAGAAAAAAGACTTTGGAAAGCTTCATCTTTTCGGTTTAAAATTTTATCAATTTTGAAAATTCTAGAGCTGGGGACGCTTATATAGAGGGAGGGGGAGGAAATTCTTGAGAAATGGTAGCGCTGGCAGAGCGTGACAAAAACGCCCGAATGTCCGGGACAACGGTGAAAAGCTGTGGCTTTTGGCGGCAGGTTCCATTTGCGGGCACGAAATCGTGATTTTCGACCAAACCTCTCAAGGGAAGTTTTTCGGATGGGGCGAGAAATTGAAGATTCTGAGATTTCGCATTTCCGTGATTTGAACTTTGAGAAAAGGCTCTTGCTTATTCTTGCTCACAAGTTGCAGCTTTTTACGGCTCACTAGTGTTATTGCTTCTTTCATCTTTTTTTCACAAGATGCAAAAAGAATTGGGGATCAGAATCTGATACGAATTCATCAAATTGCGTTTTTTGATTCGCGACATCGTAAGAAATACACTTTCAGGTTAGCTTTCTTTGTTGATTTCATAAAAAGACGAAGCTTTATTTTTGTTTTCCCTAATCATCTAATTCTAAAAAATGCCTTGTACAACGGGCATGCCGCATGCTGCATGCAAAAATGAGCAGAAAATGCCCGGAAGATCTGGGCCAGGACAATATTGGAATTGGTCCACTCTGAATTCTTTAGAATCCGGTAGCGGGCCGCGCGGATCGCCCTGGGAAAATCCGACGCACCCACGCGCCACATTTTTTTAAAAAGAGAAAAATTAAAATTCTTTCAATAAATCTGTCAAGGACTCTTCCCAATTCGATAAATTTTGACGCAATAAACACTTTTTAGTAAAATATATGAGTTCATTAGTGTGTATAATTTACACAGTATAAATCAATGAATTGTCCGATCTTTATTATCTCCGAGTCTGAACATCCTGCTGTGCCTCTTATCCGATTACAGTAACTCATCAATCTGACTAACATTTCCTCGCTGTTCTCTATCCTCGTGATTCTATTCCATTTAGGCCACGAAATTTTGCTCATTTTCGCAAAATTCCAACTGGCCATTTCTCATAGTACGCCCAAAACGTTCAAAAATGTTTTCTTTTCAGAAATCGCCAAAAACTAAATGACTTATCGACGGAAAGAGATCGTTGCCTGAAATCCCCTTATCTTCCTTTTCCCCTTTTTTTATTCAAAGAGGAAGAAAAATGATTTCTCCCTCGGGATACGAACCCCTTTCGTCGGAAAACGAAAAGCAACTCGAAAGTACCGAACTCTCCGAAGTAACGACTAAAGAAAATGAGAACGAAGAACGAAGAAAAATGCTAGAATCGGGAAGAAAAGAAGCGATTTTACATGAACCCGAAGTTTCGATGATTCAGGAAGCGATTTTCAAAAAGCTCGGCTCGGCAACCTGGGTAGAAAACCTGAGTCAGAGTCCTTAAGAGTCTAGAAAGCTGATCTCTGAATCAGGTTTTCTACGTCGGTTGTCGATCCAAGTAAATATGAGGCTGTTCTTTTGAAAAGCTACGCTTTTCGGCTAAATTCTAGAATATTTTGCATAACGCTATTTATGGTGTTTTCTTAGTAAATAAATGTTCAGTTTGAAAATCTTTAAAAGCGCGAGAGCATGTGTTCAATCGCTTCAGAAATGTTCATCCCGTTCTTCTTCGCTGGCGTGGGAATGGTCCTCGCAGGACTAGAACTCGACAAAGTCCAGCACTGGACCAGCTTTCAAGAAGTTAACGGACTCTACATTCTCGTTCCTCCGCTGCTTGGACTCAAGGGAAATATTGAAATGACGCTGGCTTCGCGGCTTTCTACTGCAGCGAATTTGAAGATTCTGGATCAGTGGGATTCGCTAAAGAAGATTGTCTTTGGGAACTTGGCGCTTTGTCAGTGTCAGTTACGGCGTTCAAACTCGATGAAATAAACGAAAAACTTTCGTTTAATCTAAGAAAAGATAAATTTGAACGCTATAAAAGGCGCTGGTGGTTTCGTTTCTTGTTTCTATCGTGGCGATTTTATTCAACTGGGTTCCCACTGGCGAATTCGACTTGAAAGAAGGCCTTCTTCTGACGTGTTCGGCGATGCTGACCGCCTCTCTTGCTTCTGCTGTGCTGGGAACAGTAATGGTGCTCGTGGTCATTGTCAGCTTGAAAATGAAAATCAATCCAGACAATGTTGTGACTCCCATCGCCGCTAGTTTAGGAACTGGTTCATAATCTCGAGTCGAAATTCTCGACTTTCCAAGACTAGAGAGACAAAACTGAACCGAGAGAATAGGCGACTTGATAACTCTCTGGCTTCTTGCGGTTCTCGCGCAGTTTTTCTACAATTTCCCGGACGGAGAATTCTTCGTCATGCCACTAATCTGCGGAATTGGCGTTTTGCTCATTCCGTTTTGGGCCTGGATTGCTTACAGAAATGAGTATACTAATGAGGTGCTAACAAACGGTTGGGAACCTGTCATTGCTGCTATGATCATCAGGTCAGTCCGAGCTTTCATTTGCTTTCTTTAACCTTAAATTCTAGCTCTGGCGGTGGTTTCATCCTTGACCACGCTCTTTCTTCAAATCCTGGCGTAGCTGTGTTTGCTCCTCTGATCAATGGTGTCGGAGGAAACCTGGTAGCAGTCTTTTCAAGCCGTTTGTCAACGAATCTACATTTGAATTGCCAACGAGGGGAGCTTCCCACCGAATTTAGTACGGGCTGCGTTCATCCGTGCTTTCTTTTCTGCGGAACGAACAATCCGCAAGTCAAGGCGGCAAATGTCATGCTGCTTCTAGGTAGGAAAGCAAAAGGAGAAGCCGTTTTATTGTAAAAATTCAGTTATTCCGGGACAGCTGGCCTTTCTGAGCGTGATCAACTTGATCGAAGCTGGTCACGTGGCCATAACTATGCCTTTCGTGGTTCTTTATCTTATCGCTTCCATGCTACAGGTACTCGAATTCTCGTGTCAAATTCAATCATTCACCTAGGTAATAATTCTTCTTCACATCGCCTGGTGGCTCGTCCATCGCGTCTGGTCTTCCGGAGATGATCCTGACTCCGTCGCGATTCCCTATCTGACCGCTTTTGGCGATCTCATTGGCGTCGGCCTCCTCACCCTTGCCTTTTCAGTTTTACCTTCTGTATAAAAAATTGATACTATTTTTTCCTTGTATAAAACTCACCTACTTTCCTGTATGATTTTAACTACTTTCCTTCGCAAGTTTCAAAGTACGCTTCTTATCTTCTTAAAAATACGAAAAACCCTGATCCCAAATACCGAAAAATGTCTTTCTTTCTGTAGCTACCCAGACCAACGACTTCTATTTATGATTAAATCTTTCGATAAAAATATGCGTCTTCCTCGATTTCATAGCGTAAAAATGAGTAATTCTCCTTTTGAAAGGGTAGATTTGCTCGATTTTCGATTTTTCATGGTTGAAATATTCCGTTGAATTGAGCGAGCTAAAGTTAAGTGTGATGAGACCATCGAAGAAATAAAATAAAGATGCCAGCGCAGCTCTGAGCCTCGGCCCGTGATGGAGAGTCGCTTGAGCGTCCTTTGATGCTCAATTTCCGTGGTTTTTCAAGAAAGTGCGCAGCAGGGGCTCAACTTCCAACGCATCCGTCAGCTCGAGAAACAGGTACTTTTCCATGCACACTATTCTTTATGATAAAAACAGCGATAATTTCAGTACGTGCATATAATTTTGCTAATTTTGTCTTAGAACGCGGGACATGGATTTCAATTTTAGATACAGATGTAATTGATCTTGGTTGTTTTGACTTGAAAATTAAGTTTTATATAACTCGTAGTAATAACTTGTAAATTAGAAATTTATTTGTTTATATTTCTGGCCTTCCCATTCAAGTTGATTGATTGATAATATGCTGATTTTGTTGTGTTAAAGATTATAACATCAATAAATACTCTTGCGACTGCCAGCAGTGCCAGCTGAAAGTTACATATCACAGGGAAAATTTCAATCATAAATTTGAGATTAAAACAGTTGCCGGTATAAGTTCACATGGTGTCGCTGGCTCTTAGCATAATCAAGTACGTGTATCTTAGAAGAATATTCATGTGCCCCTCTAGGACTGTAGTCTCTTTCGTCAGCATATCTTTCTTCATCTCCCCATCTCATGAATCCTAATTTAATCAGTATTACTGACGTGAAATGCATGACTCACGACGGTCGTAACACTCCTTTCACACAGCATATCTCCCCTTTTGCATCAAGCCATCGTCATCGTAAAAAATCGAGAGAATGCTAAAATGGGCAAAAACAAGGCGAAAACGGAAATCTCATAAACCAACCGTCGAGGATTTTTCTTCCATTTCGTCCGGGCTCACGAGACAATCAATTTACATTAGCGCTGAATATTTCTTGAGCCTTTATTCAAGTCCCTTATTTCTCAAAATCTAACTCTTCAATCCGCCCCGCCCCGAAAGATCTCCAAATTTCCGGGTCCGCGATTTTCATTATTCAATTTAAGTACTTCCGAAGAGCTCCAGTCGTCCAAAGAACTCTCGCCACTGAGTTACTTTCAAGAAGATGAAAGCACACGCGCCTGGGGCGACGAGCTTAGCGGAGATCTTCTCTACACCATCATTCTCAGACGAGTCAGATACTCAAAGAACTCGGATGAAGGCTTACAGTGGGAAACTCAAAAGGTAATCACAATTGCTTTCATAAAGTTTTGACACCCTCAGGTTCGCCTGCTGAAAGCTGGAAGTCTTGAACGACTCGTCGACCACCTTGCTGCTGCTTTTCTCCACGATGATGTCAACTTCTTGTCTATATTTCTCTCAACCTATCGTACTTTTGTCACTCCCCTCGAGGTGAGAAAGGTCCATCTTCCCTCCTCATCGTTTAATTCAGGCTTTGGATATGCTTATCCTCCGCTACGAAAATTTGTCCAACGAAGAAACGGCCAAAACACTCGCTCCAAGCGTCGATTCCAAGGAATCATATTCCAAGTCGGATTGCGAAGCCATCAAAGCCTCCATTCTTCGCGTTATGGAGCTCTGGATTGAAAGACATCCAGAGGATTGGCAACAGCCGCCAAAATATGTTCTCGTGCAGCAGACCCTCAAATTTTGTAATAAATATAAGGTAAGTTGAAAGACGAAGAAATCAATTTGAAAGTTGATACCTTAGTCGGAGACAGAAGATCTTGAACGCAAGACGCGAAAAACGCTCCACGATGCTCGACGAAAGCAAAACAAAAATGTAAGCCCATTATCACTCGCTCCAACAAAAGAAACCGACCTGGATAGAACTTCTGTAAATAAGGCACGGCTTGAATAACGAAAGAAATAAGTTGAAATTCTGAGACGTAATGCCAGCTTTTCAATCTTGACGAAACAGTATCTATGGCGAAATGACGCTTTAGTATCTTTCAATTTCAAACCCTTGAATCAAGGATGCTGCTTTATTTTTCCTCCGCCACATGTCCGAAAGCGACATCGCCAAAAGTCTGCTTGCTTACGACGTCCGTCTCTTTCGCCGCGTTATTCCTTGGCAATGTCTTGGATCTGTCTGGAGCCGGCGGGGTACGGGCGCTGAAATCTCAACCGTTAAAGCAACTGTCAAACAGTTCAATCATGTTGTCTATATTGTCCTCGCTACGGTTTTGTCGCCCTGCTTGAGTGTCAGTCAGAGGGCGAAAATTGTCGAAAAGGTACACTCTAATTTAAATGAAGAAATGGAGATGCTTTAGCCGGGTCTCTTCGCGGGATCTACAATTGAGAGTATTTTACTCCTGATTGAATACTCTCTTCACCCACCTCTTTTCGACCTTCCTTTTTCTAAAACTCCTCCATAAATCCGTTTTTAGTGGGTAAAAGTCTCCGAAGAAAGCCGCGCGTTGAAGAACTTTTCCTCCCTCCGAGCCATTCTTTCTGGTCTTCAAACTCACGCCGTCTATCGCTTGAAGAAAACCTGGGAAGCGGTTCCTGAGCCTGTCAAGAAGAACTTCGACAAGCTTCACGACGAAATGAAGTCAGAATCAAAGTCTGATCATGAAAGCTCAAGTGTTCCGTATCTCGGGACTTTTTTGCATGATTTGATGATGTTGGGTACGTTTTCATTCGTACTTTACTGATAATAATCATGCTTTTTAAGATACGGCCCATACAGATCTGCTAAAAGGCTTGATTAACTTTGAGAAGAGAAGGAAAGAATTTGAGCTTTTAACGATGATTTCTCTTCTTCAAATGGGATGCGAAAAGCATGAAAAACAACAGCCTTCTCAAGATTTTGAGCAATTTATTTCTCTTATTCAACCGCTTACTGATGAACAAGGCTTCGAGGTAAGCTACAACTGATATTCCTTGATGATAAACGGCAAATTTAGCTGTCCCAAATGGCTGAAGGCGGAGGAAAGTCGCTAGAACAAGAGCCTGTGAAGTGGGGTTCCCTCCTTCAGCATAGTTTCAGCACTTTGATGGACGATTCTGATTCCGACACCATCTCCGAGCCCCATCCGAAAATGGCCTCAAGCGCGTTGCTCGACCTAAAGTCTCCCCGTATTAGTACCGTCTCTCACAACAACAACTCGTCGAATCCGAGTGGCCTTGCCTCGCCCACCAACGCTCGTCTAAATTCATCCTCGACTCTTCCCCAAAATACGAGCCAATCCTAGGTCTAGGATGGGGGGTGATCGCTGGAGATCCGAAATGAGGCGCTCGAGATGAATCACCGATGAGTGGAGCGCGGGTTGTTTGGATCTCCAGAGCGCGGAGATCGAAGCTCGATCTCCAAATGAATCCCAGGGGTTCTGTCGATCTCCAGTTTTCGGTGATCGGAGCTCTGAATTTTCTCGAGCATGGATTTTTCTCGATTAAATTCATATTTTGCAGAGACTTTGCGGGTCAGTATCTCAGAAAATAATAATTTCTAATGCTAATCTTCAAGAAATTATCGCTCACCCACCGAGCTGAGTCTTTGGAAATTGTAACCGAACCAATTTTAAAATTATGTGATTTCAAGTGTTCAAAAATTTTGAAAACCATCTTATTGAGAAAAATACTCGAGCAGAGATAGTAAATAGTACAGTTTTTATCCAAAATTACAATCCATGCACTTGATTTGACAAAAGATTTGAAATCTACACTGGAGAATAAGTATTGCCTGAGATTTTTAAGTTGATCCGGCAGTCGCTTCTGATATCAGTAGGCTGGCAGAAGATTGTTTTAAAGTGACTCATCCGACTTCCGGGATAAAAAATTTTTGGATCTCCAAGAAGTGGAGATCGAGAGTGGTGATCGATCACCGCAATTTCGGGGTGGAGATCCCGCGGATCTCCACGCAATCGGAGATCCAAACAACCCGCGCACCACTCATTGGTGATTCCTCTCGAGCGCCTCATTTCGGATCTCCGACGATCACCCCCGATCCTAGACCTAGAGCCAATCTGCGTCTTCCATAAATTATGTGATCGTCAGAATCACCGTGCAGGATCCGTTGATCGATTTAAACGGCGTCAATTACAGATGTATCCGTGTATCAGAACATGATCGCGTCAAATCTGTCTTGGCACTTGGCCTCGCGAAGCATAATTTAATCCACGAGCTTCCGTCCTGTTGGAATTTGATTCAGAAGCTGAAGAACAAAGGTAATTTCTTAATCGAAGGCTAATGTGTTGAATGAACAAGTGTTCCTCAGGGCCCATCACATGATCTCCACATTCTCACAATATGTTTTAGAGCTGCCCCTGCCCGACAGCACAAATGTTTTTCACGCAATGGACAAGTCTCTCCCAGACGGGCAGCTGGAATTCATTCTCAGAAGAAAAACGCATGACGAAATTCACGAGGCCGAGAAGCTCCAGAGGCAGAAAAAGTCGAAGCTTTACGGAGCGCAGACGGCTACTGTTTCCGGGATGACGATTCCTCCTTCTCTTCTTTCGCCTTTGCCGGGGAAGGCTCAGGTAAAGGTCGAGAGGAAGGAGTCTGTAGCGCAGAAGATAGGATCCGTTTCTATGGCTAACCTAGGAAAGGTAAGTTATCCTCAAGAAAAGTCAAGCTTATCAATTTTTTCAGGAAGAAACAGCGAAAAACGGCAGCTCTTCGGTGAAATCCAAGTCATTATCAACCATGACAAGCATAACTCGAACAAACAAGTGACCTCATCTCTTTCTGTGTATCTGAAAACTACTGAATCCCAAAACACCAATTTGTGACCTCACAAACCAGATAAGGCAGGTTTCAAACCTCCTGTCTATTTATTATTATTAATTTTATTTCATTTCTATTTTTACCTTTTCATCAATTTTCAACTCGTGTTTATTGCGATCTTTTTTTCTGTAAAATTCGCTTAAAATCATCAACCCATCTTTGCCGGTATCTTTTTATTAATATTATTATAATATTATACCTACGACTAATTTATAACTGGAAAAAACAGGCTCCTTCTTACAGCAGGTATGCAGTATCTATTAACTTAACTGAGCCATAATCCAGGAAGGAGGCTTATCATCGCACCGGTGCTTTTTTCGCCAAAAAAATAACTCTCATTTAACTTTGAAACTTCTTCTTTTCTGTGAAACTTTCATCTTTCTTCCTTCTCACTCCATTTCTCCCCAAACTGAAACCTAACTGAAATAACAAATAAACAATTCCAGAGTTCAAAATATTCAAATTATTTCATCCAAACATCTTTTTCTGTGAATATTTTTGAAGAACCTAACTTATCACTATTTCTGCCGGTACTGAAAACCCTGAAGTACGTACTGATCTTACCTAAAGTTTGCTTTTCTTTTCTCATTGCTTTCATTTGGAATATCATTAAATGATTATTCGAATTTCAACCCTTTTACGTGTACCTTCCCAAGAATGGAAAAACAGCCGAATAAAAATAACAACGCAGTCAAAAAATCAAGAGCAAAGAAAAAGAAGCTTTTAGACGACATGAAAATAAGAAAGGAGCATCTCGAAGGTACTATCATCCTTTCTTCTGGCAGACGATAATCATCGGGTTTAGAGGATTTGGTAAATCTTCAGCACGAGAATCAAGTCTGCGACAATGATATTTCGATGCTTGAACAGCTCAACCAGAAAGATCCTTCTGAACTGACGCAGGAAGAAATTAACTACCTGAATGAGCAACTCTCCCAGCTCAATTAAAAAATCTTCATCCTTCTTCTTCATTTTCAATTTGTGCTGTAAATATACTGCCGTGGAAATAAACCGAAAAATTCTCAATTATTGTGTTTGAAACTGAGTTTGACGCAAAAGAGCAATTAATGATCAATCAAGAAGAGTTATTAATACAATTCAATAAATATCTGAACAGAAATGCGCAAAAACTTTAGTAAAAGAATTTTCTTCTCTTGAAGTTCAGAAATTTTCTTATATAAGCTAATAAAATTGACGCATATTTTATGCTGAATATTTCCTTTTGTTATATGACCATTTTTTATTAAATTTACGCTCGATCATATCAATTTGATATCATGATCAATAACTTATTGACAATAAGACCGAAATTATTTGAAAAATCAAAAAGTTATTTTGTTGCATAAGCGTACTGTAACTTCTCAACTGTCTTTGCATGTTGTTTGCATGACAATCAGGCATCCTTCTCGTGTGCGAAGTTGATCAGATGTCTGGTTTAAAAATCTTGATTGAAAATAGAGAAATGTTGGAGTCCCAGTGCCAAAGCAATTATCAAAAGATGGATATCTTGTTTGGGGTATTATAAATACTGTATTTATTGTACCGTTAAATCCCGCTCTTTTTTCTTATGCAAGCATTCTATTTCTACCTTCATTAATCTGTTATATGATTGATCGAAAATCAGTCATTTTAAATTGTTCAGAATGTCCATAACAAAAACGGCAGAGTGGGCAAAACTGGCCGAGTTAGCCAAAACCGTCGGTCAGTCCTCTATTCGCGAGGCCTTCCAAGCTGACCCCAGTCGATTTGACAAGTTCAACATGAAACTGAACGAAGAAGGCAACGATTTTCTCTTCGACTTTTCAAAGAATAGAATTGACGAAAATGTCATGGCGGAGCTGAGGAACTTGGCGAAAGTAGCGAATGTTGATGCCATGAAGAAAAAGATGTTTGGCGGAGAAAAGATCAATTTCACGGAAGATAGAGCGGTTTTTCATGTTGCTCTCAGACATCAAGGTAGATTGAAGCTCTAGAAAATGTCGGTAAGACGATGTTTTAGGCGATGAAATGTCGACCGGAGGCAAAAATGTCATGCCCGACATTCGCGCCGTCCAAGCTCACATGAAAGAGTTCTGCTCCGAGATCATCAGTGGCTCTTGGACGGGCTTTACCGGCAAAAAAATTGAAAACATCGTCAATATTGGCATTGGGGGTTCCGATCTTGGTCCTTTGATGGTCACAGAGGCTCTGAACAGGGCTGCACAATTGGATTGGAATCAATTGGTTTCCAATTCAATTGGATTGGATTGGTAAATTGGTTGGAAAATAGGCGGGAAAATCAGGTTCTGTCCAATTGGAAAGCCCTTCCAATTGGAAAATGGGGGTCCAATTGGCAACTGGTCGCCAATTGGTAAATTGAAAAAATGATTGGATCGAAGCACCTCTTTCCATGCGGAAATGCCGGATTATGCTTGAATCAGTGCCTCAAACGACCAGTTGGGCAATAATTTTCGATCTTTAAGGGGGGGGGGGGTCGACGAGAATTTTTCAGGGGTGATCGTAATTTCGCTTATACTCATAACCGCGATATGAAACTTATATTTTTAGAATTGTCAGATCCTCCCGAATCTGTTGAGCCTAAAAACATTTCATAAAAATGAGATTTAGGGGCTGAAATTGAGAAAATTGTAAAACAAATGGCCATTTTTGACGCATTTTCGCGAAAATGCCCCTGCTTTGAGGGGATTTTTGACCGATTTTTTCTGGCCAAAATTTTTTCTAGTTTTCGCCGCCTGATTTTTTCAACCCTTTTCTATCCACCAGTAGACTCTAATTTTCCCTATCTAATCCAGTTTTCCCGCATTTTTGGTCACGGAAATCCCGATTCTCGTCGACCCCCTTAAGTCAAAAGAATTGGAGTGATGGTGGGATTTTCGATAAATAAGGTCTAGAAAAATAAGTTTCGAGGGACTTTTGATTCAGTTAGAGGAGCAAGAGGGCAAAAATAGTTGTAAAGAATCCAAAAATTAGCGAAATTTAGGAATTTTCTTCGGCGAGGGCTTGCCAAACTGCCCGAAAGCGCCGAATTGCCCGAAAGTGCCCATATTGCCCAAATGTCCGAAATGCCCGCTCTTGCCCGGCCAAATTTTGGGAGTTGGTTGGAAAAATCCAATTTTTTTGCCAATTGTGCAGCCCTGCTCTGAAACCGTTCAAAAATCACCTCGGAATTCATTTTATTTCAAATGTTGACGGGACACATGTCTCTGAAGTTCTGAAGAAGTTGGATCAAGAAACGACTCTTTGTATAATTGCTTCAAAGACATTTACTACGCAAGGTGAACATTTTAGAACATCCGCTAAAAAGGTGGTCTTTGAAGCTTCAAATGATCTTGCCGATCAAATGTATAGGCTAGATAGGTAGAATTATTTGATTCCCTTTGAAATTAGCGCGAGCTTTCAAAGAGTATTTCAGTCCACAAACGAACTTAGTTTTTCAGAGACAATCACAAACGCGAATTCCGCCAAGCGCTGGTTCCTGTCGAAAGCTCCTGAATCCGCCATTGCCAAGCACTTTGTTGCGCTTTCAACGAATAAAGAAAAAGTTGCAGCTTTCGGGATCGACACAAAGAATATGTTTGAGTTCTGGGACTGGGTCGGTGGAAGATACTCGCTTTGGAGCGCGATTGGTTTGTCGATTGCTCTGTCTGTTGGATTCGATAATTATATGCAGCTTCTGAAGGTAGTATTTCCCCTGTATATTCATCAGGATTGAGGGTCTTTCCCATTGAAGAATCTGTCGATAAGGGTGAATTAAGGGCGCCGCTTCCATGGACCAACATTTCCTCAATGCTCCAGCGGAGTCAAACATTCCCCTGACCATGGCTCTCCTTGGCGTCTGGTATTCCAATTTCTTGGGCGCCGAGTCCCATGCCATGCTCCCCTACGACCAATACCTGCATCGATTCGCCGCGTATTTCCAACAAGGGGACATGGAATCGAATGGAAAATACGTCCGAAGAAACGGCGATGAAGCTGACTACCAAACCGGGCCGATTATTTGGGGAGAACCGGGTACAAACGGACAGCACGCTTTCTATCAGCTCATTCATCAAGGAACCAGGTTTCTTCCTATGATGATGATCTTGAGTTTCAACCATTATCTTCAGATTAATCCCCGCAGATTTTATCGCAACTTGTAAGAGCCACAACAACCCGACTGGAGATGGTCTTCACCACCGGCTTCTTCTGGCAAATTTCTTGGCACAGACGGAAGCTTTGATGCTCGGCAAATCAAGCTCAGAAGCCAAGGCTGAACTTGAAAAGGCAAACATGCCGGCGGAACAGATCCAGAAGATTTTGCCGCATAAAATCTTCAAGGTATTAGTACTATTATTTCTCAATGATTACCCTTTTATCTAGGGTAATCGACCAACAAACTCGATTCTTCTCTCTGAACTCAATCCCTTCACGCTGGGCCAGTTGATCGCCGCATACGAGCACAAAATCTTCGTCCAAGGCATCATCTGGGACATCAATTCCTACGACCAGTGGGGAGTCGAGCTTGGCAAGCAACTTGCGAAGCAAATCGAGCCCGAAATTCAAAAAGGAAGCACAACTACTGCCCACGACTCTTCGACCAATGCCTTGATCAATTTCATTAATGCTAGAATGTAAAAACTTTTGCCAAAGAAACATTATTTATTCACCAAAAAAGACCTTATTTTATATATTCAACAAAGTTCAGAATATCAGTTGCGAATATATTCATCAATATTTATACTATTTATTCTTCTAGTATTCTATCAAAGCAATCCAAATTTGGTGCCTTTTTGTCAAATTTTTGATTCTTGAAAATTTCTAATTGTGTGTTTTTTTCTCTGTTCGAACATGTATCTGTCTCTCTCTCTTTCTCTTATGTGAGTTCCATATAATAAAGTATGTATTGCGAATGAACATGTTCCATTTGATTCTTCATACTCCATGATTCAGTATGAAAACTCAATTTTTGAAGCAAATGAACCGAATTTAAGTCTTGCTTTTCCTCAGGGAGCAACTCGCATCGATTTCGAGTCACAAGAAGAGAACTAGACTCGAGGGCATCTTATAGCATGACCAAGTGAAGAGGCATACAGTCATACCGTTTTTATTTCTTACGGCAAAGATATTGAGATAGCATGGGAAAGGTAAAGGTCAAAGATTCAGGTTTTCATGGAAAGAAGCTCAGTTGACTCAGAGAGCTTCCCCAGAGCTCTTGAATCAGGATCTACGGGATTCTTAGTAGGGGAAAGGAAAGAAATGACGAAGCTGGGGAAGATTAAGTAAGAATCACTGAAAACGGTAAATTTTTCTCCGCAGCAGAAAATATAACACTTTATGGCATCATCCTTCAGACTACCCAGATTTTTTTTTGCGAAACTTGACGGAAAAATTGTCTTTTTATATTAGAAATTTTTGATATTTTTGAGTATGAAGCCGTATTCAATTTGTTTTGAAGCAGTAGCGAGGCGAAATCCAAGTAATCAAATACCAATATAGGTATCTCTTCCCAATTAATATTGAAAAGGGCAGTCTGCTGCTTGTCCACGTGACCTTGAACCTGGCTTGGACGTCTTGAATAAGGCGACAAGCTTCGTGCGTCAGCTGCTTTTGGTCAAAATACGCGTTTTTGTATGAATTTTCATCCGATTGATCATTTTTGTTTCTTTTCTTAAAAAATTATTTTGTAAAAAACATGGGAAAGTCAAAAAAGAAAGCTGCAAAGAGAAATTCCCCGATTGACCAATTCGAAGTCATCGATAATTCTCAATTAGAGCAATTCCAATCGGTAAGGGTTTGGTTTTTTCTAGTACTTCTTTTGTTGTTTACACTTATTTTCAAAAAACCGATAATAAACGAAAAAATGGACTTTTGCTTTTGCTGCAATTCGCAAAGCTCGCAAGAGAGAAAGATTGAGAAATTTTTGGCGCAAAATGAGGCTTTTATTCATCCACGATCGGTTTTTCTTGAAGTAAAGATATCCTTTTAAGCTATCGCTTAAGGAGGGGGTCGACGAGAATCGGGATTTCCGTGACCAAAAATGCGGGAAAAGATAAGCAAAATCTGGATTTACGGGTGAATAGCAAAGGGTTGAAAAAATTAACCGGCGAGAAGTAGAAAAAATTTTGGCCAGAAAAAATCGGTCAAAAATGCCGTCAAAGTAGGGGCATTTTCATAAAAATGCACCAAAAATAGTCATTTTTTTTACATTTTTCTTAATATCACCCCCTAAATCTTATTTTTATTGAATGATTTTAGGCTCAACAGATTCGTGAGGATCTGTAGATTCCAAAAATATAAGATTCATACACAGACCATGTGTATACGCGAAATTACGATCACCCCTGAAAAAATTCTCGTCGACCCCCCCCCTTAATTAACTAGAATAATAAAAACAAAAACAAAGTGCAATTTTCTTTTTAGAATGTGTCTAGATTCAGAAAAATTTTAATCTCTGTCTTCAATTTTGTTTCGAATATAATATAGATATAATTATATTGTTGAAGACAGAGATAAAAATTATTCTGAATCAAGACACATTCTAAAATAAAGATGTCCTTTTTTGAATATTTGTTTTGTATTTATTGTTCTAGTTTATTTTCGATGATATGGAGAAATCAAAGAAATTGATATCCTTTTATCATGCTCGTAATTACTCTGCGTAATATATTAATAATAATATTATAAAGAAATAATAAATTATTTCAATTTATCGGCAAACTAATCGATTAAAACGAGATATTTTTGATATCTTTTGAACTTCGAGCAGAATCGAAATCATTAATTTCAAGCATGAGTTGATTCCAATATTCGTTATCAAATATTTACAAGTCCGTAAACATCCTTTTAGAAATGCCGGTTTCGCAAGAGTTGCATCCAGGGCGATTTCGACGCTGCAAGGAAAATGATCGAAGAGAATCCGTCGATCGAGCGAATTGTCGACAAATCCGGCTGGAATGGATTACACCACGCAGCCGCGGAAGGCCATTTTCCGATAGTTGAACTGTGTATTCGGTCAAATTTCAAGGTAGGGCGAGACTTTCTGTTGGGAAAATAATCCTCTACTTCAAGATCAACGCAAGGACGAAGGAAGATGAAACAGCCTTGTTGTTGGCGTCGAGGAACGGGCATCAACATGTCGTTGATTATTTGATCAAAGAGAATGCCGATGTCTTTGCCATTTGTAAGTTAGCAGGGTCCTTTCTTTGTTACCTCTTTTTCAGCAAAAAGCGGACAAAACGCGCTCTCCGAAGCAGCAAGAAAGAACCGACCCCTGATCACATCTTTGCTTCAAGATGCGCTTCAAACACCACTGGCTTCCAGCACACCACGCGAGGAGAAAAAGAAGAACTCGGAAGACTTTTCTCTTGTTGGGACAACTAATTCAGACGTCGATTATATAAGGTTATATAAGGCGAACAAGACATCTTCTATTCTATCTGTTAGAATAGAATAGATATGTCTTCTTTTAGAAGATATATGACGCAAACTTAGAAGATAAGTATTCAATTGTTTTTCTAGGAAACAACTTGCTGAAGCGAAGCAAAAACTGACGGACAAAAACAACGAAGTGACAACCTTAAAATCCGAAATCATCGAGCTGCACAAAGAACTTGACCTGCGAACTGAACAAATTGAACATATGAAGGGTCATTTTTCCCGTGAAGCAGCTGAGAAGGAAATAATGATTACGGTATGATTTGGCTCTCATACTCTCTTTGAATTGGAATTTTTGTTTAGGAAATAAAGTCAGATATTGATTTGGTTTCCTCTGACGTTGAACGAACTAATGCCTTGCTTGAGACAGAGACAAACTTCAGGTATTTTTTGGTTGAAAATTATCATAACGAAAAATCTGGAAACTTCGTCCAAGCTGTGGTTTGTTATATTTTCCTCCACCAACATCTGTTAATATCCGGTCTGGAAAGGACGAAAAATGCCAGAAGAAGTCATGCCCATTCGTTTCCATATTTTAGAGAGTCGCTGGAGGAGGAGAATCGCAAGCTGATGGACATCCTGCTCCGACGAGAAGAGACAATAAAAAGACTCGAGGTCCGGGCTCGCAATGCTCTAGAAATCTCTATCAGAGCCGACGACTACATCAAAAGTCACTCCTCAAGTTCGGGCTGAAATTTCTCTCTTCTTCACTTTTCTTCTTATAGCACTTCTTTTCTTAGTAGTCTATCTTTTCCTTCTCTTTCTTTTCATCCCTTTTTCTTGATACGAACAGTTAGAATCCAGCAATAAGTCGCTCGCTGCCGAAAAAGAAGAACTCCACAAGCAAGTTTCAGACTTGCTAGCTTCCAAAAAGAATAGTTATCCCGGTAAGTTCATTTTTAATTACGATCAAACCAACGCAATATTAAAATCATGATATTATCATAGTTTCTTCAATTGTTTACGAAAAACAGAAAACTAATAAATTTTATCTAAGAGCTTAAAAAAGAGAACAAAATGTTACGGGATGAACTTACCGATTCCCAAACGCGCAATCAACTTCTCGAAGATAAGGCCAAAGAATGGAAGGCGAAGCTTTTATCAGATGAGCCTGTGAAACGAGCAAAAATAATAACCCCGGCTGCGTCAGGAGATAATGAGATGATGATGGCTGCGGAAGCGTCACGGAAGATGGCCGAGCTGAAAAAGGAAAATGAATTTTTGAAGGTAATCAAAATCAAAATTACAATAAACAAAAGCTGTTGATCATATAAATTTCCATTTTAGCTCGCGGCTTTTGTATCTTATGTTATTACTATTCACATCACGAGAGCAATATTTTTTTCAAAAAATTGAAAATCCTGACACAATATTTTCAGAATACATTAACGACGGCCACCGAGAAATCGAAATCACTAGAATTCGAGCTCTCAAAGCTCAAAACCGAATCTTCCCTCGCCCAAAAATCCTCCGAATCCGACCTTCAACGAATCTCCTCCGAGTTCACGATGCTAGAAGACCAGCTTCAAAAACTACTGACCGTGAAAAATGGTGAAGAAAAGCACTATACAAAGAGTCATTTATCAGAACCCTCATTTATCGATAGCGAAAGCGAAAAAGTTTTAGCACTAGAAGAGCATGTGAAACTTCTCGATCTTGAGAACGCTTTTCTAGCGCGGAGAATTAACAAGTTAACTTCAGAAAAAAAGCCAAAGTAAAACGAGTCTCTGCGAAAGATTTTTATGTACACAGTTAAAATCTGCCTGTAATATTTTATTAATAAAAGCATCAAGAAAAACTTTCAAAAACTTTTCAAAGCTCACAGTTATTTGTATTGACATTAGCTGCCCAGTCGCAGATGTTCCCATTCCAAAGAGTTCCAGCAGCGCAAGTGTTGATCTTCGTCTGCCCGAGTTGGTAGCATTGGTACCATTTCTTGCACTTGCAGTGGCGGTAGTTGCCATCAGCTTTTCCTTGACAGAAATTGGGGTCGTCGGCGCATGGTGCTTCTGTTGTTGTTGGCTCCATTGTTGTCCCGTCGGTTGTTTCCGTCGTTGTGGAGGTTGTTGTGGATGTCGTCGAGGAGGAGGTCATGGTCGTTGTTGTTGCACCAAAGTCTTCATCAAAAATGCAGGAAAGATCCGTATGGATTCCTGGAAGATAGCGCACTTGTATATTCGGTAGATCGCTGTAAGCAGCACCAGCTACTGTAACAACGAATTTTTTCCTATCTCCAGCGGCAACAAAGTCATAGGAGTTAAAAAGGACTACTCGGTTGTTGAGGCTTGTGGTGATTTCTGTTTCCCAGGTCTGGAAAGAAATTGATGCTGTTGGCTCTTCGTTGAACCAGAGAACGGCGGTCTTTTCTTAGGCTCTAGAATTCGACCAGGAAAATTGATTTGGCTCCTAGACTCAGACTAGTAAACTAGAAAAAGGAAAAGTCGTAAATTCTCATTCATGAGCCCATCTCCATTCGTTCAAGTCCATTTCCGGTTCGATTCGGATTCTCAGGATAAATCCCTCGTCCCATTGGTAGATAGTCCGCATGGCAAACCAAGGATCGTTCTTGTACATTCTTGGGCACTCAGGAGCGCAGCTGAAATCTCTGTTACGCTGAATATTCTTTTAGAGAATATTACTAAAATGGATTGGCTGGTTTCCATTTGCCGCTTTGCTTGCATTGAATTTCAACGGTATTTTTCTTGTTCTTGTATTCTTCGATCAGTCCGTCAGAATTGACGTTTTTGAAGATCATATCGTAGCCATCATCACATGACAGCCAGCACTTGGAATACAGTTGTCCCTCGTGACCGCCAGCAGTGCACCCATCGTTTCCAGCATCGATCGCTTCTTGCGTCAGTTTAATCACAGCTCTGTAAAATTGGCTTCTTACAGATTTCTCAGCTGCTTAACCCCTCGATCTGAACCCGTTCCTTTCCCATGTATCTTCCCAAGTTGGGCATGTTATTTGAGCACTTGCCATCCCAAAGGTACCTAGAAATTCAAGATCTAGGAAAAATTTCTCTCTTTTGCAAAAAACCTATCGAAAAGAGCTTCATTTTTCTCGATCCAAATTTTTTTTTATTAAATCAGACTGATGTCAAAATCTTTCATTAGAATAGAACCCGTCCGGGCGTAATCTCCGATATTTATGTTACGATAAGTTCGAATTGAAACCGTTTCGGAGTATCCCGGCTAAACTTTCCCATATAATAGCAAGAATATAACGTATTTCTTGCTGGTTCCTTATTGCAAGCTATATTTTTAGAGCTAGTTCTCTTTAGAAAGTGCCTGTTTCCGTCTATTTATATCATTATTTGAATCAAAATAGCTCTTTTTCACGTCAGTTTATTCGTTTTTGGAAACGAAAATGTCAAAATCGACAATGAGAAAAGCTTTTATACTATTTATTGGGAGAGAAATATTTGCAACAAGTGTTCGATGCCAGGAATATCCAGAAAAGGGTCTAAATATAATTAATTTTCTCCACGATTTTCAACAAAAAAGAGCCCTTGAAAGAACTTAAATGTCCAGGAGAGCCTTTTCTCCGGCTCAAGAACTTGATTACTCTTGAAGAATGCTTTGAAGAATGCAAAAAGATTCCGGCATGCAAGTTTTTCGGAAGCGTTTCCGATCTCACCGAAGGTAAATAAAACAAACTTCTCCTCACTAACGACTAAGGATTCATTTCTATGTTTATGAATTGCATCGGCACGGACAACTGCGAATATGACTTTGGTGATTGCGATTTGTTTTCTGAGCAAGCGTGTTCTGAATTTGTCGAAAGCCGACCCGTTGTTCTCGTCGAAAAAGAAGGCTGCGAGGAAGTTTCGTTGGAAGAATTGAGCTGCTACGGTCTTCCGCCTTTTGATGAATCGTTGGATGAGACTGAGGTAAAATTGAAATTTCCTTCGTGTATCAAGTCTTTCTGCTTGTTCTGAAATTATGCTACATGTATATTCAGTATCAAGGCTACGGATCGACGGGTTGTTGGATCAAAGCTTCAGAAGACGCACCATGTCAAATTAAGAACGATGCTTGCTTCACTATCGGCACCGTTTTATCCATTCATTTACACTTCAAGAATTTTCATTCAAATTCATTTCTTTATCGGTTTAATTAAAAGTTTATCAAGGTGAAATTTGTGGATAAACCTGAAAGATTGCGATACCAAGTCTAATTTTCTTCAAGCTTCGTTGAGGGCTGATGTGCTGATGGCTGATAATCATAATACTGAAGGAACTGTTTCTCAAGATATTCGAGCGATAAAATGGCGATGTTTGCCTTGGAAGTAAATTTTAAGCCGGCAACTTTAATCGAATTTTCTTGAGATATGGATTCAAGAAAACCAACTTCAAATAATCAACCAGTTCCACTCCAACCTTGAAGACGTCGATAATTGCTCTGACGACATGTACTCTGCCACTTTTGATGAGTCAACAAACGAATTCCATTTTGAAGTCGATCGAGCTTGCTTTGAAACTGCCCTTGGTAATGCCTTTATGAATGATCAAATGCGATTTATATGTAGATAATTACGGAACGCTGAGCTTTGGAAGAAATTTTCGATTCGAGGTTTATTCTGATGAAACTACTCAAGCAGGAAATCGGGTCGTAAAGATCGAATTATAAGATGATATTCCGGAAAAACATTGTTTTTCCCGTAATAATTGTCTTCGACCGAGATGTCAGATCAAACAATTTTCTTCCTGAGCGAAAACAAGATCGATATTCGATTCACGTGTTCTATCGCCACAAGGTTTTTATGACTATTTTTCACTTACAACTTCAACTGTCTGAACTCCAAGACAAAATATGTCTTTCTTTTGATGATTCAACGAGGAATATCAACTTTATTTCAGGATGGAGGCAGACTCACAAGACGTCGAAAAGAATTTCAGCTAAAAGTGCATCTGTGGAAATGTTTTTACAAAAATAAACAGTTGAGAACAGGAAATTCTCTAAGAGAAGACTTCTTTTAAAATTGTTAATGAGTTTTTTGAGCAAAGTATCATAAAAATATAAAATCGATCTTTAGTCTTCAATCAAGACTTTTGATTAAAATTCATAATTCTCAAGAAAAAGTTGCGTTCCCAGGTGATTGTAGGAAAATTTTCCTACGAGCAGTCAGTCGGTTCTCCTTCGCTTTTATCGCTTTGCAAATTTGCATCAAACTCATTTTTAATCGACCACTTCGAAAATTCAAGATTTTCCCGGCACAACTGTCTAAAACTCAAAGATGGGCAAATCTGAAGAAGCTGAGGAAAAAGCACCTCCATCCTACCAAGAGAATGTCGAAGTTACAACTATCCAACCAACGTCAACAAATGAAATCCAACCGGTAATCGTTCAAACTGCGCCTCAAGTGATCATGACGCAGCCGAAAACTTGGAAGAGACCATGGCAATCGATCAGTTGGTGTGATTCTGAATGCTGTCTCGCATGCTGGTCTGATTATTAGCGATTTTATTGTTTGCGATTTTTTTTCTTTAGGGCTTTGCCGTGCTATTTTGGGCGGGTCTACGCGAAATTCGAAGGCGAAGAAACCTTTTGCGGAAAATGTTGCCTGAGTAAGTTTGCAAGAGTTAACCTATTAAACTGATTTCAAGGATGTTACTGTCCCTGGTTTTGCTGGATTGGGACTGAAATGGCTCTTCAGAATCGAATCGCGGCTCGGCAAGGAGTTCAAGGTAAAACAATCTCTTCTCGTCGAAATTTCTAAAATTTTCGGATTTTTAGCTCCAAATGCGGGTTGCCTCGCTATGTACTTTTGCGAACCATGTGTGCTGGCGTCCATGTACTACGAACTCCTTGATAACTGAATTTTTCTTTCAATACATGATAACACAAGCTCACAAGTTTCTGTTACTAATTGTAGGAAAAGAATTTTCCTATAACAAGAAAGTCGGCTACCTTTCAAATTGTCTTTTACTACAGTGCAAATCTCAATCAAGCTCAATTTTTATGAGCCACTTGACGAATTCCAGAAAAATTCGGAAGAGAAACGTTCTTAGATCAGAGAAAAATGGGCAAATCTGAAGAAACGGAAGAGAAAGCTCCTCCAACGTACCAAGAAAATGTCGAAGTAACGACCATCCAACCAAGCTCGAGCAATGTCATCAATCCAGTTGTTGTTGAAACTGCGCCGCAAGTGATCATGACACAGCCGCGGACTTGGAAGCGACCATGGCAGTCGCTGAGCTGGTGTGATTCTGAATGCTGTCTCGCATATTGGTTTGATGTCTTTGTTTGTCACTTTATTAAGAATTCTAGGGCTCGACCGTGCTATCTTGGACGCGTTTACGCAAGATACGAGGGAGAAGAGTCCTGTTCTGGGCAAACTTGTCTGAGTAAGTCAAATTTAGCTAAAACCTCAAACTTATGAATTAAGGATGCTGCCTACCTTGGTGCTGCTATATTGGTTCCGAGATGGCCCTCCAGAATCGACTCGCAGCCCAGATGGGAATTCAAAGTAATGTTTTCTTGGTTCAAACAAATCTCTTAATGTTTTTCATTAAGCTCCTAATGGCGGCTGCTGTACCATGTACTGGTGCGAGGCTTGCGTTTTGGCCTCCATGTACTACGAGCTCACTGAAAATTAGAGTATTGATGATGATGTCAGTAGAAAAGCTTTATTTTTTTCAATTTTTGTTAAATTTTATTTTAAAAAATACATTTAAAAATCTATCAAACAAGCAATTAGTTTCTTGTCAGCATTATAAAAGAGAGAATCTGAGATTCTAATTAGGAATATGAAATCGATCCACATACAAGTCTATTTCTATTTGTGAAAGAATAGTTTAGACAAAAAGTAAGTTTTTTCCAGATCTTCAAGTCTCAAAATACGTTTTTGATCGAGAAACAACTTCATTTTGATGTGCTGCAAAAATGCCTATCTTGGTTATTTCGTGCTCTTCTTTGTCATTCTTTCGTAAGTTCCACCGACCAAATATGACAATTTAAACATCGCCAAAGACTTGTTGCGGTCTCGATAGTTTTGGAAAATTTTTTTCACCGCGTTGCCTCGCCTTGGGAAGAATTTCTTCGTTCAATCAATACTTTATCTGTCGCTCTTTCTCCCTTCACAGTTTCATATGCTTCTATAAGTGTTGCCTGCTGTTTTCTATATTTTTCAAAAGCCTGGAGTTGCATAAATGTCAGCTGGAATTGGGCTCATAATATAAGGCACAGTATCATTAGCGAAACTACTACTGTTTAAATAAATTCAATCGACGAAGTTTTCTCTTTTTAGAATTAAATGAATAAAAAGATTTCTCTTTTTAATAATTGTCGAATTGTCAGCCTAACTAAAGAGAATCAACATCAATCCAAAATATGCCACCTTCTGCAGTACAGAGAGTTCTCTCATTCGCACTCGAGAGAAATTTTACTCAAGACTTTTTATTGAAAATCTACTTGAAACGGTTGCAAAAAAAGTCTCTTGAATACAATGTGCTCCAAAAGTTGCTGTGATGGATATTTCGCGTTTGGTTGGACCTTTCTTTTGTAAGTTTCAATGATAAAATTTTTCGTTCTATTGCATTTTTGAAGGATCGTTGGAATCCTCATGATGGTCGAGAAAATTGTTGACGACGAATCGCCCTTCCAAAAATACATTGATTTTATTTACACATCTCCTATTTCTCCTTTTACAATTTCCTACACTTCTTTCGCAGTTGCCTGTTGTTTTGTTATTTTTCCGAAATATCGGAAATGCACTAAAAACGACGGGAGCTCGAATATTGAACAGAGTATCAATAGAGAAACAGATGTTTAATGTCATTTTAATCAGTTTTTGAGCGTAATTCGGACTTCGAAGAGACATCTCTTTTCGACTTGTCAGAGTTGATTTGTCAGCAGTATCCGAGAGATCCTGATTAAGAATTCAAAATCGACCGAAAATATGTTGCTAATTAGAGACTCTGTAGTACATCGAGTGTTTCATCTTCTTATAAACGGGAAGAGAAAATCAGCTGTATTTTTAGTCGAAATAAATTTTTATTCTGAAAAGAGACGAAATCATTTTTGAATGTGCTGCAGGCGCTGTTGCATCGGATATTTCGCTTTTGGTTGTACCGTCCTTCTGTGAGTCTCAAAGACAAACGAGTTTGCTTTACATATTTCAAGAGTTGTTGGCATTGTGGTTATTTGCGAAAATATTGTTGACGACCAATCGCCTTGGAAAAATTACGTTGATTTCATTAACAGTTCACCCTTTTCGCCTTTTACTCTTTCCTACACTTCTTTGACTGTTGCTTGCTGTTTCATTATTTTTCCGAAAATCAGGAATTTCCTTAAAATCGACCCGAATCAAGATTTTGGGCACAGTATAATAAACGAAACAGATGTTTGATTCTTATTAAAAACAAAGAGAAAATAAAATAAGGATCTCACGAAGTTTGCAAAACCTGAGTCAGGGTCTGAAAGAGGTTGTATGAAAAGCCGCGTAGCGGCTTTTTAAAAAAGAAGCCGCGAAGCGGCTTCACTAAAAGTTACATCTGAATCGATTGTTTACTCTAGCGAAGCCGCTTTGCGGCTTCTTTTTTAAAAAGCCGCTTTGCGGCTTTTCATTTAAGCTCTTTTAGACCCTGACTCAGGTTTTCGCGCTCAGCTTGCTTATCTCTCCTTGGAGACATTTCGTCTGAAAGTTCAAATACAGTACAGTTCTGAGCACAGGAAGAAATGAAAAAAGCAATAAACGAATTTGAGTACAACCTGACGATCGCAGAAGAGTTCCGTTAGATTTATGGTCCCAATACCTCCGACCACGTTCACCCCGGGCCAAAGGTCAGGAAACGCGCCATTTTCTGCAGCGCGCTAGAACTTATCGCTATTTCTGCTAGAAATATTTCAGAAGAAAGAAAAAAAGAGAGATGATGTTTTATTTACTGATAGGCTTCGTTCTCAAAATCTATCTCAAAAATTGAAACAAAAATTGAAGAAAAAAATTGCGAACGAAAAAACAAGGAGGAAATATTTTAATATTCATTATTTTTTGGCTTGTTCGACTTTTTCAAAAAGAGAATGAAGGAATCTCTGAAGAATCGACAGAAACAAACTTGAGTCTTCCGCCTGGATTCGTGGTTGAAAGCCGGAGAAACTCGATTTTGAGGAGGAAATCTATTGATTTATCCAAGGTTATCCTGTCTCCTGATCTCGACAACCTGCGTGGAAATCCTGAGTCAGGATTCGAAAAATCGTTCATGAAAAGCCGATCTTTCAGACCCTGACTCAGGTTTTCTACACAGGTTGGCGAGCCGAGTCTGTCTCCCAAAAATCATGTCTCATCAACTTTTTCTAGGTGATGGATCAACAACTGGCCCTTCGGATGCAAAAATTACACAAGAAATTTGCGAAACAAGCGACGGCGCAGCACGCTTTTGACCTCCCAAACATCATCCATCAGCTGACTAATGCCAAGGATAACTTTTCCGCCAACCGCAATTCTGTTCCTCCAGGTAGTTTGACCCACCCTCGCGAAGAGAAAGAAATTCTAGGGATGCGAAAATGGAGAAAAACAACGGGAACCCGAGGTTCAATAAATCTTCGTGCGCCAAATTTTGAAGAAAAACTCGATGGTAAGACCTTTATTAGAGGCTTTTAACAATGCTTCTAGACCTGATAAGGGCATCTTCTCAAAAGTCGCCGAACTCATTACTGTCAATTCTGTACAATGCAGAAGACGACGAGCAAGATGATGATTCATCGAGTATCAGAAAAGAAGCTGACAGGGAATGTCCGGGAGGAGTCGAAAATGAAAGGGTTTCTAGCCAGATTTCTGGGGACAACCTGTGTAGAAACCTGAGTCAGGGTATACAAGATTTTGTAGTTTCAGGCCCTGACTCAGGATTTCTTCACATGTTGATGAGCCCAGACTAGGGGGGTCTCTAAAAAGATCAATCCCGTAATAATTCTCATTTGACTTCTGCAAAGATAAAATTATCCCGTCTATCCCGCGAAGAATTAGCGCGCATGTTCTGATGTCAAAATCCCGCAGTGACAGAACTTCATAGCGAAGCACCTTAAGGTGCCAACGCGTCTTCCTTTCGACACAGTCATAATCAACTCATCCTTTTTAAGCTCTAGAAATTTCTTCAAATAAACTCCATTTTCTGAATTAGTTCTTGAGATTCTTTTGAGGTGTTCTTAATTTATTTAGCGGAGGAGGAGGATGAATTTACAGCTTTTCAAAGTCGGACTTTTTGAAGTGAACTGGAGTTGGGTCGGATTCGGCGCAGATTTCGAAGTCTTCTTTGAGGTCGGTTCGGATGCCGTTCAAACTGAAGTATCAGTAAGAGGCAAGAAGAGGGCTTCGAGTCGAAAACTTACGGTTCCTGAAGACAAGGTTGCGCCTCAAATGTACTCTCGCATTTGCCCTTTCTCGCCCGAGTTCGTAAAATCCTATCTTCGGCATTATTCAAGCAGCAACTCGACCACTCCGACCAGTCGAGACAACAAGCTCCCTTCAAATTGACAATCCGCAAGAGGAGACAAAAAGAAGGTACCTTGTCGCAAATTTTCAACTCCTCGAGTTTTTGAATGGCGCAAATCTTTTCGTTTCCAGTGCACTCACGAGTTCGCTTCGTTGTTCCTAGACCACAGGTGGAGGAACACTCGGCCCACGCACTCCAGTCTGTCAGGGTCGCTAGGAAAACATGGATAAAGTTCATAATTAATTGGCCACGATACGTTCCATTCTGTTTTGAAAAAGGTCGGAAGCCATGTTCAAAAATTTCTTACATGACTGATATTTTGATTAAAAAAAAGTTATTTTACGACGCAAAAACTAAAATTAAAATCAAATTCCTTTTCCTTAGGGTTAGGGTTAGGGTTAGGGTTAGCGTTGGTTAGGATTGTGTCAGCCAATCAAAATGGATGTTCGAAAATTTTTCTTTATTGAATATTCAGATTATGCTATGTTGATGAAATTTCTCGAGGATTTCTTATCAGAACTGTAATTACTTCAAATTATCCGAATTATTCAAGCTCAACATCAATTAAATTCAGTATCTTTACATCTATCAGCCGGCTTCACACTCTCTCAATTTTACCTCAATCGTATTTATCACAGTGATATAATCACAGATATTGAGGATCAAATCTTTTGATTCAACTTGAGTTTAATCGAGTTTTTCAAACAAAATTACCAGTATCATCGAGTTTACGATCAATTATAAAGCAATTAAATATTATATATTGACATTATCATGAAGTTCATTTCTTAGTTTCATCCTATTTTTATAATTGAACAAGGATTTTAAGGACCCCCGTCAGCTTTTTCCTTCGAAAAATTGAAATTTTTAAAAACACCATATTTTGAATGCTTCCTCAGGTTAAACTTGCTTCATAAACTTGATAAGAGGAATTTTTGACAAAGAAAAACCAATTTTTTTTGCCAAAATTAGTGCAAATTTGTCAATTTTCGGCGAAAAGTCCAATTTTAAAATGCGATTTTGAGGGTGTTAGAGTCGAAATAGACCCCAAAAAATGATGCCTCAAAATCGTTTTTTGACCCGTAGAATCGATGTTCGACTCAAAATTTTAAAATTCCGAAATTTTATTTTTTGAAAAAAGCTGACGTGGGGGTTAAAGAACTCAAAATTAATTGAATTCTTTAATTTCAAATAATCTTACCAGAAACTGCAGATAAGCAAATAATCGCTGCCTTTTTCATTTGATTCAATCAAATTTCTCTCTTGACAAAAAGAAGAAAAAATCAAAAAGCAGCTAAAAAAATTCCCCGAAAGTATTTTCCAGGTTTTTTTAATTTTTTTCCATTATCGCGAAATCTTATAAATCAAATAAGACACGCAAGAGCGCCCCCTGAGCAAGCGGCGGCGAAATTTCCGCGAAGTTGAGATTTTCGCTAATCACGTGAGAAAATAAGCGCTTCAATGGAGGACGCATCATGCAGATGTCATTCTTTTTATGCTTTGGGAGTTCTGAAAGATCATCTTTTATTTTTCACGCTTGATATATTCAATAACAGAAACGGTATTTTCAAAAAAGGGATTTTAGAACTGCATGTCTCAATATTATCAGGTGAAAAGTTTTCACTGAAAACGGCTAGACGAGTAGGAAGATTTGATTGATTTTATTGAAGAGGGTTTTATCTGTCAGATGATCTCTTTTCACGTCAATTAATATAGAATCCAGGGCTGGTAAATTAGCGCACTATTTTCTCTCGAAGAAAAAAAAATTAGTGCACTAATTTTTTTTTAGAGACATTTTCGCGTCTTTCGCGCCTTTAGTGCACTAAAATGACACTAATTTTTCCTCTTGGGGAAATTAGTGACTTTTCGAGAGCTGATCAGCACTAAAGACGCGAAAAAAGAGGCTCTTTTTCATCATCCAATGGGCTCTTCCCGGATGATAGTTTCATGGAAGACGATTTCTGTCAGGGAAGAATTTCTTCAAACTGAAACTGCTAGATATTTAAAAATCAATGCATCATAAATATGACACAATTTAATTTTTAAAAAATCGTTTTCAGCCCCCCCCCCCCACCAAATTAAGTCAGCTAAGGTTATCGATCATCCTCTTTCACCTGAGCGTATTAGTTCTTTGAAACAAGTACTTTTCAGTTTTGCGAAAAAAAATATATTTCCAGTGTCCTAATTTAGTAACAAAAATGTTGAAAGGAATAAAAGTCAACTTTTGTTGGAAATTCTTTTTGTCGAATATTTTAATGATGAGCTAAGATAAGCTTTGCTAGGAAGGTCTTCTCCTAATTTTTTCGCAGGGCCATCCGCAGCTGGATCTTCCTGCTTTTCTTCATTTTTGCCTTTCTTCTTCTTGTTATCGTCCGACAACTTCTCATCGCTGTCCTCAACAGTCTCTGAAGCTGGAGCAGCCTTGACTGATACGTTCTACTTTCCGGGAACGGTCGGACTCATTACCAAAATTTTTGGTAACCCATTACCAATTTTCGGTTGTCGATTATCAATTTATATTTATTTTTTCGCCAAGTTAATGAATAAAACACCCCACAAGTTTTCTATTTTACAGGCGCGGAGCGCACACTCGCTCGTTGACCTTTTCCCCTACTTTCGTGGTCTAAGAGCTCTTCTCAGTACCTTTATATAATTCTTTATTCACAGAATCATATATATTTGATAATTTAGAAGGGAGGTCTCCTCCCAAATTCACGCTTACTTGATAACTGCTAATGAAGAACTCCTCCCAAAGTTTTTTTTAGTTTTCTAGGATATAGCAATGCTATATTTTAAGAGTAAAATATATCAGGAGTAAATCTGCTTTCTGAATTATAAAGTAAGCATGAACTTGGGAGAAGATCTCCCTTCTGAATTGTGAAATAAATATGATTTTGTTAATTATGAATTATATTAACAATCTGCACAAGGCTGCTCCTGCTACAGACTTTTGAGGACAACGAAGATTAGTCGAACGACGACAAGAAGAAGATTGACAAGAAAGGGAAAATGCAGGAAGAACAAGCTTCAATAAAAAAATTAGGGAGAAGACCTCCCTTAGAAAGCTAATCTTAGGCTAAGAGTTTAAGCTTATCATTCAAATCAAGCACAGAAAGAGTTGCAAACGAAAAATGAATTCTATTTTTCCCTATATAATATAAGCTATATTTGTTACTTTAAAGAAAATTAACAAATGGATTGATAAAGTCTTTTTTGACTTTATAATAAAATTCACGCCCTCGATTACCCAATCCACTTTATTGAAACTCTTTGAAATTCTAATATTAACGAAGTTTGAAATTCTCAAACTTACGTATTCTTCAGAATTAAAGAGCCCGCGCTCATTGGCGGGCCAATCAGCAGCCCTTATTTTCGACACTTTTCGAGACACACGCGAAAGAGACGCGAAAGTCACTATAGTCTCGACAAAATAAATTCGCGCACTAATTTTAGTGCACTAAAAATTTTCGACAGATTTTAGGACGCGAATTTACCAGCCCTGATAGAATCAAGCACTGGATAATTTCTGATTGACGACATATTTATAATTTGATCATGGCCCATGATTCATGGGTTCTCCCGCTACCGATATGTCCCTTTCCAATAAATTTTATTTGAGTCCAAAGAGTAAATTTTAGAAGGAAAAAAGTATGAATCGGAATAGTACCTATCAAGGATGGAGGTCCATTTTTATGGTTGAAATCGCCTTTATACGGGTATCTAAAACATATTATTAGACATCAAGCATTACCAACTCAAATATATGGGAATTCAGCCTTTCTCAACTTTTTGTAATGACAAAAGAAGAATTGCTCAAATTCATAAGAACTGGAGCATACGCATCTGCAATGATTTGAACAAATATTATATTATTATATTATCATATAAAGATACCAATTTGAGGTCCTAATTATAGATTTTATGGCCGGCCTTATTTCTGAATATTGAGTTCAGCTGCCATTTATTCACGGCCTAACGATTCTCAGAGATCCGAATTGTCAGGACCCAACTCAGCTTTTCTGGCCTTGATTGGTTTCCTTCAAATAAATGGAATTAACCTCGGTGCGAGCACTTTACTCTTTCTAAAATTCGACTCTGTGCTGTCCATTATTTATCCGAGAAACTTTCTTATTTGACCGTTGTGATTCGCCGTTTAAATTTTCGATTTTCGGCGAAGATAATGACGGAATTCTCCAAACTGTGAACGAATCGACGTCTTTTAGAACAACAAATGCGCTCTCGTCAATTTTATTCGAACAACAAATTAAGCGATTTGCGACGTTTTTTTAGCGGAAGGATGGTTTAGAAAATCCTGCAACTCTCGGCTCCGGGCTAATTTAGAATAGGAGAAAGTCCAAAAGGAAAATGATGATTATTGCAGAATCCTTGTTTGAGTTTTCTAACTAAGGCCTGTCATGCTCGATAGTGACGGTTTTTTGCAAATAGTGAGACTTACATAATACGATCTTGCCCTATTTCATGTAGACATAGACAAAGTCTAAGTTTCGTCAATCTCAGAATAACAATTGAGAAATGAGTGGGTACACGCTTTCGTATTTGACGGACAAATTGTCGCCTCGATTTTCGCCCAAGAAAAAGAGAAGAGTTTTCATAACGCATTTCGCTCAAGGAGAGAATTTTACAATTTTCGAAGGTCGATTCCATAGTGGAAAAATAGAAATTCTTGACAGAAAGAGTGAGACTTTCCGCAACAGCTTCGACCCTCCATGAACTGGAATTGTTCCTCGAGGAGCGATTCCATGTTCAGACCAAAGTCTTCTTCAATTCCGCCCCTCTTTCCGAAAGGGAGTTCTCCTCCCTCCCGATTGACGCAAGATTGACCGTCTCCCCAGTTTCCAGAAGCAAGAAGAATCGGTCGAAAAGACTTGAGCACTATGTTCAGCCCCCGGAAGGAATTATTTCCAGACTTACCTTCGACTTGTTCAGGCAAAGGTACGAGAATCTATTGAATAGATTCTATTCATCGATCTTTACCTCCCTCTTTTCTAGCGATGATGATCTTGCTTCCTTCAAAATTTCAACATCTTTTGCGGATCATGCGATGAGGTAAGCATTCGAAATGAGTAATAGAGCTTGTTGATCTTTGATCTTAAAATTTAAAGTTACGACTTGCATATTCCTGGACTCAAGCATTTGATTTATCGCGCTGCAGGACTGCTGTCTTCTGTGTTTCGAGTTGCGGGAAGAGCTTTGATTGGCTTCGGAGCAGCTCTTGAACAAATTCTGTAAATCGCATTCTGTAAAGAATAAAATGAAGTTCAAATGGCGGAAGTTGGCCTTGAGAAATTCGACTTGATTATTATATTTTAAGCAGCCACACCTTTATCTTTCCATCAAGAAAAAGATGAAGCAAATGGCATCATTTCCATAAAGAGTGTTTTCCTACAGCTTTTAAGCCTCCTTATCTAATCCGGCTTAGTTGCATCATCATCGGTAATTTCTTCCTCCTCCTAGAAAGCACCCGAGCAGACTATTACACAACCCACAGCTTTTGTCCTTAACTTCCGTTGGTCATTGAGTTTCGACTTCGAAAAGCAAACCCTTCAGATTTTTTTAAAATCACTTACGCTTTCTCCTCTCTTTGTCTTTTCGATACGAAGACGGAGAAAGAGAGAAAGATTTTTCAAAAACGATAATATGAAAAAAGAACTTGTTCATGTGGATTGAGGGAACTTTGAGGTGGTTTTTGATTCTTGCCGCGAATATACGAAGAGGACAGACGCAGTGCCCGCAAAATGAATTGGTCGAGGAGCTGAGTGGAGTGATAAGGAATGTTTGAATTTTGAAAACGTGAAATTTTTTTTCAACATAACATAGGCAGAAATACTCAAAAAAGCTACTCTACATATAAAATCACACTATATGTTTGATATATATATTTCAAAGAATCATATCGGATGATATTCAACGAAGCACATTTAAATATTTACATTTGTATACGTAGCATATCAGTATGTAATATTATCACATAATATCGCTTGTTAACGAGTGCAATGTACAACTAAAACATGACTATTATATATTCTATCGACGACGTTTAAAGGTTCCTAACATGTCCAGCTCACCTAATTGGCCGTCAAATTATCCCGATGGGCTTAGGTACGATAGCAATTTTCGATGACGAAATGAGCATGATCATATCTATTCGTTCAGCTGCGGTTGGAGGATAGGAGAGGAAGGGTACATCGTTCGTGTCCGGTTTACAGCTTTCAATGTAGAAAACGATAATGCTTGTCGATTCGACTATATGGAAATTGCTGGGACAAGATATTGTGGGACAGAAATCCCGGATGTCGATGGATTCATCGCTCCTTTGACAGTGAACTTCGTTTCTGGTAGGAAAATGAATGACTTCATTTATGCTTCGCAATCATCAATTTTTAGATGGCAGTGTAAACCGAGAAGGCTTCCAGCTCTTCTACTTTCTCGAAGAACGCAGTGGCTCTGGAGATTTGATACCAGGACCGGAGTAATTCCAAGCTTTTCTCTGCTACTAAGTCGTGATCATCCACTTCGATCATGGACCCAATTACATCATGGCAGGCGTGTCAGCAGTAAAGGACTGAACTTAGAGCGCCTTTTATTCCGATAAGATGCTGATCCTTTCTTGTTCGTGGATTTTGATGAGTCAGGAATGGGTTCGAGGAAGTCAGATTCTCGTGAAAATAAATACATGTACTCAACTGTAGATAATAGCAATAGGATGTTTTTTATGCGAAGACGAAATATATCTTATTAATTAGATAACATGTCTAATTTTCAGCCCAAAATAGAAGAATTAACAACTATCTCTGCTGTCACAACTGAAGAGATAACAACTGAAGCAATTATTGAATTGACAAGTTCTTCTTCTTTTGAACAAAATTGCTCGATTGGAAATTTTACATTTGATCCAGGAAAAGATCAAACAAAAAAAGGATAAAAATTCCCCCGTTTTTCTTGATCAGACTTCAAAAAAGGAACGATTCTTCTGGTCTCTTGCCCGAATTTTCCATCCTTTCAATCGCGCCACATCTGCACGTCCTTTCATTTTTTCGATAAGCCACTGCCCGACTGTGAGAAGACGAAGAAAATCCTGCGTTCGACCGTTTATTCGCTCGCCAGTTTGACGTTTGGCTTTTTGGAAAACTAAATAATATCGTTTAACTTGAGTTTTAGAGCGCTTTTTGGCTTGGCGACCGTCTACTCCTTCAATTCTATTTATACTCAGACGTTGCTTTATGCTCTTAATATTCATGAAATCAGGTAAGCAGCCTCAATTTCGGGTTAAGGGCTAGGGCTAGGGTTACTGCTTATGGTGAGGGTAAGGGTAAGGGCCTTCCAAATAGGGATCCTTACTTAGGGTTGATTTATCATTATGAGAGCCTTAATTTGTGGGCCCAAAGTTCAAAGAACCCCTAGATAAAGGAATTCGATAAAGAAAGTCTGAAGATATTTAAAACTTATTTTGTTTGAAATCTTGATTTCAACCAAGAAAAATAAACCCAAAATCAGCTTCGTGGAATCATGCGCTAAGAGAATGATTTCTAGGACTTTAATTTTGACGCGCGTAGAAACTCTCTTTATTTTTAAAATTTCAGAACGACTCGGATTCGCCGCCTGGGATCTCAAAGCACGATGAATCCTCTCAAACATCTACCTCGTCACAAGTAACTGCCTCTTCCTGATCTTCATCTCATATATCTCGCGATTTCGACGACGTCAATAAAGAATAATACTTATTTTAGATTCAAAAGCCGATTCAATCGCCGATTCAGATGAAACTTTTCCGCATCATCCAGCTTTCTTTGTACATATGGCTCAATTTAAAATAAAGAAAATTGACGCACTATTCAGATGTTTGATAATTCTTTCAGTTGCTTTATCTATATTCGCTTCAAAAATTACCGTTAACGGTCTGTAAGCAAGATGTTTATCATCATTCATTCCGAACTAACCTCTCTGTCGTCTGTCTTCTAGAACTGTTTGTTTCCTAAGTAGAGAGAAAAATAAAATAAGCAGTTTTGAAGAAGAAAATGGTGAAAGTACTGAATACAAACGGCATTTTGACGTTGAATGACTTTGTTCACGCGCTGCGGCATGGAGTTATTCTTGAGCAGATTCAAAGGGAAATGGATAAGTGCTCCTTTACCGGCTCCCTTGGATGTCCACAGGAACGGGATCATTATTTTCGATGACGAAGCTTCAGACTATGGATGATAATTTGAAGAAAATAGACATCTTTTTAAAAAACAATTAAAAACCCTTCCTTTGATTTGCGTTTTTAATCCCCGTCTGTCAGCTTGAATCGTGCGCTCTCGACTCTGACCATCGTGGAATAATTATCCGTCCAGTTTTTCGATTCGGGACGAATCCACCATGCGAGGATGTCATCATCCAGGAGGATACAGTCATTTGCCATCGCAATCCAGAGCCAACTCGCCTGAACAGGAAGCACAAGAATCATCACCATCATCATCATCACGTGCAAAAGATAACGCATCAGCACCATCATCACCATAAGAAGTCTTGTCCAAGACGAAAAGCTCCTGTTCGAAGTCAAAGCATCACAAACAGGAATTAGTTGTTAAAGTTGCTTCTTCAGACTCTTCTGAAAACAAGAAATTCAAATCCCAGTAAGAATATTTTACAACTGACATACAGGGGCTTCCAACCTAGTCATACGAATTATTCTTCTGATGAGGCCTGTTCCCAATCGATTTATTACACCCCAAGCCACGGTTTGCGATATTCAACTTCAAATAGCCCAAAAATAATAAATGAATAAAATGAATTCCATTCATGAGGTAATAGAATTATTATCCGACTCGCAAGTTTTGATCTCGACAGAGAATTTGTTGACCAAACAAGAAATTTCAATTTGATCTTCGATTTTGATCATAAATTATCCGGCTCTTTAGAGCAGAAAATAAAAGAGCCCGGCAGTTTCTTAATTATTCTTTATCTAAATTAAAATTTCAAAACAGCAAAACCCATCTCCAGATCTCCCAGAAACGTCATTACCATTCGACAATCCCACCCTTGCCCGCATCGAGCCCGTGCATCATCAAGACAGCGATTGGAACAGTCAAAAATTGAATATGCAAAGCGAAAGATTCAATTCGCCAACCCTGAAGTTGCCATGGTCAAAACCCTGTCAATCTGTGAGCCGGAAGAGATTGAAATCATGGAAGAAAATCCAGTCAAGGAGAAAGAAAGCGACATTCTTACTCCTCAAAAACTAGGGAAGGGATCCATTTCTTAGAATGATGGTTATCAGAGTTTATATAAAATTGAGAAGCTGAAAAAAAAAACGAAAATTTTCTCAAAGGATTGAGAATTTTCGTCTAGACATGATGAATATATTAGCTATTTTTGATGCCTTTCTCTGTAAATGATCCCGTTCAGCTGAGAAAAAATCTGGTAATACTCAGTCCGTCAGGCAAATATATTCAAACGGAGATGGAAAAGAACAATGCGAGCAGGAGAGACGGGATACTGTTGATGATGAACACCAGGAGACGCAGTCACCAGAAGCAGCTGCAAGCCAAATTCAAGAGGCAAAAAGCCAGCAGGATGATGTAAATGAAGATTCACCCAAGGAAATCATTGATCCTTCGGGGATGAAAAATAGCTTCACTCAAGTTACGAACAGAGACGATATTATTCTAGAAGAAAATTGCTGTAAATCAGTCCAAGTAACTGACCGATTACACCAGGTAATCCCTCCCTTCTTCTTTCAATAAACGACATTTTTAAAGGGCCGAATGTTTCAGTACAACGAAAGCGATTACACCGTTTCTTCACGAACACAGGATACTCTTCCAAAGTCCACTTTTCGCTCCGAGGCTTACCAGCCAGAAGAAGAGGAGGAAAATAGCTCATTAGCTTCGGACGAGTGCTGTAATTGCTGTGGCGAGGTAGAAGCGCCGCCGAAGCGAAAAGACTCACTTCAAAGAAAAAACTCGCCGCCGCCTGTGCCACCTCATCGGGTTCATTTGGAATCTTGTGAAGCAAAGGGCATGACGGGCAGTAATGGCAAGTACCCGACTTGCTCCTGTGGGTACAAATGGGAACGCGATTTCATCAGCACTGATGATAGCTCTATGTAAGTAGCCTCATATTTCTTCATATTTTCATCAGATTTTGAAGGCTCTCTCGTATTGGCGCTCGACTTATCGGCTCAAGAACCAGCAATTCAGGAAATACATCTGTATCCGAAGGCGACTACTGTATCCATGCAATGGAATGAGAATGAATCATCAAAATATTCAAGTGCGCCATTTCTGAAAATCTTCTGAAAATCAAAATTTTAACTCTATTTATTTAATAAATTTTTTACAAAACGAAAAGCGCTGACCTTATTATCTTGTGGAAAAAATCTTGTCCGTTTCTTCTATCAAGCAAAATTGACAGCATGGTTAGTCCGTTTCAAATTCTTTAAGAGCAGGGAATGAAGGGAAGATGGGTTTTTATTCTGTATATGTAAGTTTGAGCTGTTTCTGTTGGTCAGAGTCGATGATGAACAATCTGAATTCAGCATCTATCTCCTTGGAATGGCCGAGTTCACGAGGCTAACTGAAGAAAACTCGTGAAACCACGTGTTCAGAATACAAGCAGAAAGTTAAAAATTACAAAGAAAATTTAATTACTCAAAAAACGTGCTTCAAAAGAATACTAAGGAAATGAGGAAAATAAATATTGAAACATTTAATGAAAAACGTCTAATAAAAAAAGAACTTGTCTATTTAAAGACGTCTAATAAAAAAGATAGGTCTATTCTTAGAAGTCTTTAAAAAAAAATGGCCATTTAAAGACCTCTAATAAAAATAAATAAAAGGTGTATTATATCGCATCATCTACAAAAAATTGAGGAAGCAATAAAATAGGTTTTTACCAGTTTGGATATCACAAAGAATTTTGCAAACGGCTCACATGGAGAAGGGACCGAAACATGAAACTCTCCCACGAGTAGGGAAAGAAAGAATATGCCGTTCTAACAGATAATTCTAGTCATTTTATTCATCAAGGCTTCATCAATTTGATCGACTTGGGATGCAAACAACATGCTATTGATGAACTGCACAGGTAGGAATAGCCTAGACATGACGCGGTAAACTCAAGAGATAGAAATCGATGCTCACAAAGATAATTGCTGTATATTATATGCAGTATATTATTATATCACCAACGTAGCAGCTATTTTACATAATTAAGAGAGTCGATCGAGCGAGGCCTGGTGAATGAATACGTCGAGGCATGGATAAAGATATCAAAAGTAAGACAATTTCTTTGAACATTTTCTTTGAAGAGTTGTACTCTTAGAGTACTGTTCATTTATCGAATCACGTATTACTGTGACGTTTTCATGGGGAGGTGTCTGGAACCGACAAAAATATTTCGACAAATTTTGCGTGGAAATTTTCAACCAATCAGAAGCCCAGATTCGGATCACCAGCCAATCAGCAGCCGAGTAGACGCCCACGCAAAATTTGTCGGAATTTTTTTGTCGGTTCCAGACACCAACCTCTTTTCGCTCCCTGCCGATGAAGGGTGAAAGGAGGTGGTGGCGCTCAGAGTCTTGCCAACTTCTGTTTTCAAGTCTGAGTCAAGTTTAGTCTGTCTGATCACCAAACGGTCAACTCACGTGAGCCGCCGGCCACTGTATTAAAGTATTTCCTTTCACATTTTTTATTTCCAGCTTATCCGACTCGGCAACTTTCAAAACGCCCAGTTCAACGTCAGCGGCCATTTTCTACGAGACATCATAACGTAAGAAGCATTTTAGTTGTACTTGTCGGTAAGACTGATTTTCTTTCAAGAAATGTGGTGGAATTTAGCGTCTTTGCGTATACAAATTATGTTGAAAATTGCATGGAAGTGGACAAATGGAGCTTTGACAATTCATTTTTGTACGTTGGTTCAGTAAAAAAAAGGGTTGAAAATCGAAACAATCGGCATTTTCAACCCCCTAAAGATCCGTAGCGAGTACAGTTGGATACGGAAATGTCACGCCAAAAACTGAAAATGGCCGAAAACTGACAATTATTCTCGCAATCATCGGCATTCCCGTTTATGGTATTCTCTTGAGCAAGATCAATTCTCAAGTCGAAAGGTGGATTTTTCATCTAAAGGAGAAAAATAAAGAAAAAAAATTTATCTTCTCCCGGAAGTCGATAATTTTCCTTTATATCGTTTTTGGAATGATCATCTTCGTGATTTTGCCGTCGGTTATTTTCTCGTTTGTCGAAGAGTGGACTTATTTGGATGCGATTTATTTTTCAATCACGACCATTTCAAAGGTAAATTTACCATTCTAGCGCTTTCCGACCCCCACTTAGATCGGTTTTGGCGATTTCGTTCCTTCGACAAGTCCACCTGACCGATACGGAACAACTATCTTCAATCAAAAGCTCTGTCTTCAAGCTCTGATTAATCCCTCTCCTCGTGGCGCTAGAATGGCTGAAAATGGAATGCCCTACCTTTGCCAGCAGACAGTTTGGCCGAAGCATATCGAAATTATTTTTACGATTTACAGAGTCATGATATTCTTTTGGATGCTCTTTGGAATTGCTTTTACGGTCACTGTTGATTCGGCTTCATATAAACGATTGTAGACCTTACTTGAAAGTACAAGATAAAGATAATCCTTTCTGGGTTAGACCTACCGGGGGGGGAGGGGCTCCCAAGGCTACGGCCCAAAGGAGCCTCCCCCACTCCCCCACCCCTAGGTAAAGCCTTAGGGGGACCCCCTTTCCCTGAGTGAGGAGCAGCTTACGGGGTTTCCCAAGGCTACGCCCCCAAAGAGCCCCCACTCTTAGTAAAGCTTTAGGCCCTAAGGCTTAGGGGGACCCCGACTCCTTGAGTTAAGGGCAACCCTTCTTCTAGTAAGGGGTCCCTACTGATATTCGTGAAGCCAGAATAGTGAGTCTTACTGTTCATTTTCTCCGATCAAATCTCCAAAAATGGTTCCCGTCTGCCTTCATCTCTACGGAAGAAAACGAGCCGACCGTGTTCAAAAACTTACTCCTAGCCGCTCAGAAGCCGCTTGGTGACATATCAAATGGACTTGGTGAGCTTCAATTCTCAGCTTTTTGCTTTATACATACTTTTTAGCGTCAAAGCGAACATCAGATGAAGCGAAGCCTTGTAACTTGCTTGTAATTCAGAATAAGATGTTGTGAAATAAAATGATGAAAATATAGGGAGGAGCTTGTTTTGAAACTCAAGACCGCAGAAATCTGATTTAATCTGCAGCTCTGAAATCCACCCCAGAATCCCAGTTAGCAGAGTTGGAACCAGTGTTCCAATTTCCTTGAGTAAGAGAAAAAATTGAAAATGAAGTTTGCATCTTTTTTGCTTTCGACGGGGCTTGCGGGACCTGCGAACAGTCCACCAAGTAGCATCTTGACGTTTGAAATTGAAAATGATCGAGTCGGACGGCGACTGGAACATATCGACGGAGGGGAAAACTTTGACTGGCTTGCTCCTCATGCTGGCCCGGTTTATGCTCCTGGGACTGAGGTTTCGCTCCTTTTGTCAAGAAAACAAGAAAATCGACTGAGAAAAAAGCTTTCAATCGTTGGTCAAGAAAATTTCAACTCATCTCCTCTTCAGCCACAACTCGACCGAATCTTCGACAATCTCGGCGTCTCAAGATCGACTGAATTTGACTTTTTTAAATATCACGATTTCAACGAAATCGAGTCCTGGCTCCTTGATGATGTCAGTTCAAGTTCCCTGGCGAAAGTTAAATCTGCAGGAAAAACATTTGAAAATAGGGACATTTATGTTGTGACAATTGGAAGTGATAGCCAGCCGAAGATCACTGTCGACTGCGGTATTCATGCGAGGTACTCATAAAAGAAGAGACAATAAGATAATATCACCTTTTATCGTACTTTTAGAAATCATTAATTTTGATAGTTATTTCTTTTTATGACTAGTGTAATTTACCGATAATCATCAATTTTAATAAATTTTATCTTCTTATCTGTTGCACTAAAATTGGTTTTAGAGAGTGGGTCTCTCCAACAATGTGCCTTTTTCTTATCGATCAGTTGATAAACGGCGACTATCAGGTAATTTTTCACTCTATCATATTATATGATAATTCATATATTTGAAATATAATATTTCAATATTTCAAATTTGAAAGCATCAATGACTATTTTTATTGAAGAAAGAGGTCTTTTCAAATTGAGTCTCAAAAGCATGAAGATATCCTTTTTTGGAAAAAGAAAGTCAATTTCAGACAGAATTTCCTGACTGTCCGGAATCTAAATCATTACATGTCTGGCATAGGAAGAACTATTAACCGAATTTAGTATATGCGGGAGGGAATCACTTGGGTGATATTTCCAGTGCTCAATCCAGACGGATACCAATACACGTGGTCTGATGGCGGCACCAATGCTTCGAAGCGTTTTTGGAGGAAAAATCGACGCGTCAATGGTATGGAAAAATTTTATATGAACGTTCAGTTGTATTTGATCACGGGTTGCACCTCATCCTTGAACAACTTTTCTTGTAGTCTTTCTTGTTTGACAAGCGATTACTGATCCTCTTTTGCGAGGGGGTATTACATCAGGCCCTCTTCACGAGGTTCAAATATCGAAGTAAAACATGAGACAGAATTGAGCGTCAATTCAATGACCTGACGAGAATCAGGAAGAAACTGGTAAAGAACGTTCATGTTCAGCGAACTTTGGGAGTTTATGATTAGGCTGAGGATGTGTCGTAAGCAAAGGGACACGGTAAATCGGAGGAGAATAATTCTGATGCGAAAGCGGACGGGGAATTTAATGAGCTTAATCCGGGAAAATTAACTTATTAAGTTCTATTTTTATCGCTTTCCGTATCTAAATAGAAAAAAAGGGTCGAGTTCAAACTGAACTAACGATTTTTTTTACTTTGCTGATAAAAAAATGAATTAATTCTTTGAAAAAAGCTCATTTTGCTAGACCAGCGCGGTCCGAATTGCCCCGGATAATCCGTTTTCAGACGGCTCAAGCTGTATCGGCGTCGATCTGAATCGAAATTACGATGTTCGTTGGAATCAGGCAGGAACGTCTAGGTAAAGAATCGTTCCCTTTTTTTATTGTGAAGCAAAAATTTCCACAATCGCAATTTTCAGCTCCCCCTGTTCATTTACATACGGAGGAACAGCCGCTTTTTCTGAAGCTGAATCGAAGGTTAGAGGAGAATTTTCAACTTCAAATGATTTATTATATAAAACAATATTCTTCTCATATTTTATCCTATAAAATTATAAAAATTATAAATAATATCACACATGATACAATTTCAATTCTCATGTCTCTCCGTCAATTATGAAAATTCTTCCATAGAAATGAATGATTTTTATTATCAGAAATTATATAATTTATAATATAATATATAATATATATATATATAATATATATATAATATATTATATAATATAAAAGAAAAATTTGAAATTTCCAAAAATGATAATTTCCAGGCTCACGCTGATCATGTGAATTCCCTAGAGCACGTGGGAGCATATCTGACCTTTCATGCTTATGGCACGCTGCTACTTTATCCGTATTCTGCCAAGCGCTCCTGGGAAGGTAAATTCTTCTTCGAGGAAGTGCGCTTATCGTGGATTTTCAGCGGACAATAGGGAGGAACTCGATAATCTCGCAAAAGAATATTCTGACAAGACAAAAGCCGTCAACAACGAGTTTTACAGGTACGAGACGATTTAAAAAGTTCAAAAATATTATCCACATTTGCAAATCTTCTAGAGCTTGAAAACCATAAAACCAACAGTTCGACATCCTTTTCGATTTTTCGTTGCACCAAAAACATTAAGTTATTCAAGACGAAGTCTATTCAAGACCTAGTCGATAGATCAAACGAAAATAAACAATTAAATATTTGCCGGCCCGAAGTTGGGGTTCATTTTCTAAGAAATCCAGTTCATTCGATCGTTGTCTATTTTCTCCGAAAGCACGTCTAAACCTAAGTGACTCAAAAAAGAGTCGTTGTCAAGAGACTTCTATTTTTGATGTACTTCTGGCATATCTTTTGGCATGTCGTCTGACTTTTACTACTGAAGAAATTTAGTAACAGAGTGATTCTTTGGGAACTCGGCTGGCTATTTTGAAATCAGTTTTCTCAAAAAATGATGCTCATTATGGAATCAAAAGTTCCCAAGAGCCGGCCTTTTGATTCCCTCGTGATTATCAAAACGAGCTCTTTATTCAAAAAGAGTCGTCAATAATAAAATTAGTTTCGAAATTGAAATTGAAATTGAGTAAAATCGCAGATGGTGAATAAACTCATAAAGTGCCACCATGTGAACTTTCTCAACTGTAAAAAGCCGGTCCTTGAGAATTCGATCGAATATTATGAAAACAAGGAAGTGTTCCATTTTAACTATTGATGAGATTATTTCAAATAATTTCTCAATTTAACTAAGATCAGCGTCATTTTTCAACTGATTCTTTCCATGTGATTATTTAAGCCACTTTGAGTTGAGAAAATTAGTTATCACGAGTGGTCGTCATTTGCCCAAGTCGTCATCTGCCCAAGTCGTCATCTGCCCAGGTCGTCATCTGCCCAACTTGGGCAAATGACGATCTTGGGTGAAAGACGATCTGTAATTGAATTTGAAAAAAGCTTTTCTATGTTTCACAGGAACGGACTCATCACTGTCAAAGTCCGGAAGTCCGGTCGATATATTTTAATAGCAAAGACTTACTCGATTAGGCCTCGATCAGAAAAAGACTGAGAGAAAGTCCTTCATAAAAAATCTCCTGCATACTGTACCATACAGTATGGTCCAAACTTGGAGCTAGCTTCCGGAGGAGATTCATAACTTTTCTCTACTTTTTCAAGAGTTATTACTCAAGTTCAAATGTGAGCCGAGACTATGCAGCTGAGTTACTCGGCACGAGTACCCTTGGTTCCACTTCAACATTTAAATTCAATCAATTCAAATAAAATTTCATCCAAAGTTCGAACTAAACACAAAACCGACTTTAGCACCATTTTCCGGCGCTAAGAGTCAGCAAAGGGGGATACGCGTTGGCAAAACTCATTACACCTTGCTTTTCGATACGGTGCTAAAGTCCCAGATTATAGCAGATAAGATTGTTTTCTCAACAAAAACTGTCGAATTTTTACTGATAAAACGCCAACTTCCTGTGAGTACTTTTTTTGCAAGTTTTCAGTTAGTTTCATCTTGCTTCATTTTTCTTAAATTTTGAATTCAATTACATCGTCATTCACCCAGGTCGTCATTTGCCCAAGTTGGGCAGATGACGATCTTGGGCAGATGACGACTTGGGCAGATGACGACTTGGGCAAATGACGACCACTCAGTTATCACATGGAACGTAAGTAAAATCCAGATGAAACTAGTTCGTTAAGTGTTTCCATTTGAGTCCACCTTATATAAAAATTACATAAAGAAATAATCCACCATCTAGTTTCGGAGAAGGGGCCGAAATCTTTGGAGAAGTAGCTGGTGGATCTGATGATTGGGCGCACAAATCCGGAATTCCGATCTCTTATACCATCGAACTCAGGTATGATTCTCCTCCAACGTCAATTGAGACGACTTCTTCATCATTCAGAGATCGAGGAACTTATAAGTTTGCCTTGCCCGAGTCGATGATTGAGCGAACTGTGAGGGAGAATATAGAAGGCGTTTCCGCAATTTATGAACACGTGCTCGCCAAGGCTGCGGGACAGAAGACCACGAGCACGGTCAAAACAACATTAACGACGATGGAAACAACAACATCAGCATCGGAGGAAGTTGAGACTGATATTGATCACTGCCCCTGTTTAGGTCCGGGTTGAGAGATATGCTCAAGATTCTCGTTGACCATCGTAAACCCGTACTCAGACTCGATTTTGTCGGAAGTAGAGCAGTTCAGAAAAGACGTAGCAATTACTTGCCTCAACAAAGAAAGTAAGTAAAGCCAAGAGTTCAGAAAATCGATCTCTTTCCCTCTGAAATCATTTATTCAACTCTATGCTCGTTTTTTCCTGGCAGAAAGAATCATCGGAAATAACTGAATATTTTCAGCGGCCACAGACGCTAAGGGTAGAAAACCGACTTATATCCAATCCCAATGCGGAAACAAAAAACCAATAGCGAAAAAAGTCGTCTGCATCAAGAAAAACGGCGCTTGGATCGCGAAAAAGAATCCATTTAAAAAGATCATCAAGAAAAAATGCTGATTTTTTGGACAAATCTGAGCCATTTAATAAATCTTCTTTCAAGTCATTATATTGTTATTATTCTTATTAGCAAGGAAAATATCCTCTTACCGGTCTTTCGATGCGACGATTCTGAAACCATCTTAGACGATCGTTCAGGCTAGCATTTGCTCTCATAAATCGGCGTGTTCAGATGTGCCACCTTTGCACCTATTACGCATGCGGCATGCAGAAGGCTTTGAAATCAACCATACTGACAATAAATTATTATCAGTCTGGTCTCCAGACTCTCGACCGATAATAGCAGCTCGGCTTTTCTAGCCTTCCAATCACAAGCTTTTTTCCCGGATTTGAGCCAGCTGTCACCGGATATTATGCTCAAAATCAACGTATGATATATTTCGACTTTTGACGATCTCCTCACATGAGTTTCTCTCGTCAGCAAAAGAAAACAAGACGAAACCATCGTCATCACCCGAGAATGACCGAAGAAAAAACTTCAAGGAAATAAATCTATTAAATAAGCTATAATCAATTGTGACATCAGCACACTCTCAAATCTCCCACACGGAAACCACCAAAACTATTAGCGTCAGAAAAAAAAATCAGCCGTCAGACCTCGCCTATTCGTAGTACGTCGCTCTTCGCCCAGTTCACGACGCGCCACCTAGCCACCTATCCATATAAAAGCATCCGGCTTTCCGTTGGTTAATCATAACTTCAACAAAAAATACCACAATCAAAAAAAGCAAAAAATGAACTTTTCCGCCCTCCTCTTTTGCACCTTTTTGAGCTCGATCGAAGCATACGCCCGGCTCAATGTCAACCGAGGTTTCTACGATCGCAACACCCGCATGGTCGACAAAAGCCCACGAATTCGAAGAAGCCCGTACTCCTACTGCATCGACATGATTGAAGCTGAAAACCTCGGATTCGAGCTCTCCGTGAAGGCGCAAGAATTCATCATGATCTGCTCGCACAAATTCAACCTCGAGCGCAAAAACCTCAACTACCGAATGATGGCATTTATGGAAAGAAATCCCAACAAACCTTATGTGTACCTGTCCTAAAAAGAACGAAAACCGAGCAATATTGCTGAAAAATGTTACTGTATAAATGATCATTTCTGTACCACAACTTCATGTTCCTGCCTCTAGAATTTTTTCCAATTCTTCTTATCCGTTCAAAAATATGTACATTTTGATTTTGCAATAAAATTGATAAATATAAAACTTTGTTTTCTTCTTTTTTTTCGGGTTGTTTTTAAAAAGTACTGTAACTAGGTCATTGCACGGAAAAAACTTTTCTTGTGCGTCATCAAATATCGCAAATGCAATTGTCCTTGATCCTTACGTCCATTTTAAGAGGCGGGGATTTATTTGACAATATTGAATTGGAAGCCAAACAAACATTGACGCACTTGCGTGGTCCAAAATGACCATGATTCGATATTCAATAATAGTCGTTGTTGTTAGCCATGATTATCACGTGGACAAATCGAACAAAAGAGAATCAATGATCCAGGATCATATTCTCAATCAAGTTCAAACTGAATCTTTTCATTTACATTTATTATTTCAAGAAACAATTTTCATTGGAAAGCACGAATTCGCCCCTTCTCTGGGTTTTTCTAGAGTACCCTCTCGACTATCGACTATTGAAAGAGTTGTGAAAAATAGGACTTACTCACTTCTTCAAAGCGTTATATGAAAAGGTCGTTTCGGAACCTTCCAGTCAAAGTCTTTCCGTAAATTCCGCAAGGTATTAACAAGGAAGACTTCAAGATGACTATACGGTATAGTCTATACCTAAAACACTGTAATAATGATATTATCAAAACCATGACGAAAAGGGCTTTCAGTGGAAGAATCAGACGAAGATGATCCTTTAAAGATGATATCTTTTGATTTTATCAAAGAAATTCTTCTCGTTATTTTGATTAAATCTTTTAAATTTAAATTTCAGAAAATACATTTCAAGAAAGGCTGATATGAAAGTTTTTCTTTTTTTTTATAAGCGTAATTATACTGAAATTATGCATTGATAAAATCAAATTCTTAGCTTTCTACTTTCTAAAACCCTTCATGGGAATTGGAATATACATATATTTTTGAAGAAATTCAATTGTAAACCGAGCTAACTGATCAATCACGGGTACGATCGTGTTGTAACTCTAGCTCTCTAGCGCGTGTCACGATTCATATAAAGCTCGCCATCTCCAATTTTCATCAGTCGATCCCAATTTTTGATAAACAAATATTCTTGATCTTCAAAGATGAAGCTTTTTGCTTTGATCTCCTGCGTCTTTGCCTATTCCAGGGTGAACATCAACACTCTCGAATCCCAACAGAAGCGAGTGTTGGAAACGAGAGCTCCACATCCTTACGAGATCTGCCGAAGATTAGTCCAGTACGAAGCGCTCGGATACCAGCTGCCAAAGGAAGTAAACGTGTTCCTCAACAAATGCGCACGAAAATATGGACTTGAGCGAGATGAGATGGCAATTAGAGTGTCACAGTATCTTTCTCAACGGCCGCATGATGAGTACTACTAGACGGATTGAAACCATTCTTCTACCTTCAATGACGATGATCCTTACACTTACGATGTTCTGTACAGATCTGATTGATCGCTTTTCTTATCAAAAAATTCTGAATAAAAATATGAGACCATTTGAATATTTTAAAAATCAATTCTTGTCTTTTTATATATAATATATAATCATATTATATCATATCATAAACGGCATATACGTGCATATAACTTATATGATATAAGGTAAATCATTGATATGCCCTTCTTTATTTATATTACAAATATTTCGTCCAAAATTGTCTGGACGTATTTTTTCTCCTGTAAAATGTGAACCAAATATATCATATATAATATTTAATATGATATCATATCATATGAAGGAAATAACCTCATCATCATTCAACGAAAGATCAGACATTTCATGAAATTATGTAAAACGGCCGATGGAATTTATTACTCAATTAAACCTCAGCTACTAGAATTTCTCCGCACAGGAGAAGCTCTCATCATGGCTTGAAGAAATCGTTTCTCTAAAAATTCAAATGAAGGATTTATCGAACCAGATTCATACTGTTATTTTTCGGGCGCTTCTGGGAAATTTTCTGGTTTCTCCAGCCGTTGTAAGTTCGATTCCAGTAGAGAAGATCGCGTTTCTCGAGGGTCTTCTCAAAGCCTAACGAGCAATTTAATTTTTTATCTTTTTTTTTTAATTCTTACCATTTACGAGGGAAAGGAAGAAAATAAGATTGAAAAGGGAAAAATTCATGTTTTCTTTTTTCTATTTGTTCCTCGTTTATTCTTTTATTCTCGACTGGGGTATCTTTTACGTCAGGTGGTTTTATAGAAGGTTATCTGCTTGAATAATTGATCAAAGAGTACAGAATCGGCCACAGGCTGCGTCCTCAAGTGCAGCTCATGTCAGACAAGCCTGATTTTGGGGAATAATGGGTCAGCGATTTGCCAAGTTATTTTGAGAATATAAAAAGATTAAGGGAAAGAGTTACCGTCGATGAACCCCTTTTTCGGGGCAAAAACCTCCATTGGAATTTAAAAACAGCCGCTATGGAAACCAAGGCCCGGGCTCAATGACCCTTCAGCCCGATTCATTCATGATTATGATTTTTACGTCCGAAATCGCAAGTGCTCTTCATTGACAAAAGATGAATGGAAAATTCTTCCGCCCTTTTTGCCACCGCCCTACTGTGCAAATCTCGGCCATTATAAAACCACACCCTTCTGGGGCATTTTGTATCACTAAATTCCAGAATTAATTTTATAATATGAAAATTTTTGCTCCACTTTTGGCTGCATCAGCAAATGCTGCCACGTGTGTGGTTTGTGAAGAGACGACAATTCAGGAAATGATTCTATATATTGACTGTAGAAGCTAACTTATCATCATAAAATCATTGAATAGACGATCTCGAAAGATTTCAGTACAGTGAAGAACCCAACTGGTCACTTAGATGCACTCAATGGATGTTACGGCGGTGGTAGTGGAGTAGAAACTGGAACATGCGATGGAACTTGCTTTGCTCTTTTCTTCACTTACAAAGGTACCAATAGTATTGGTTCATCGAATAACATAATAAGGACTCGACGGAAATGGGGACACTTTTTACGCCAATCATGCTGAGCGAGGATGCAAGAAAACAATTCAAATTCACGGAAAAGACGTTGAATTCCCTAGCGCAACTAATTGCGCCGACACTTCGAACGGATGTGCAATCACTTTGACAAAAGACAACTATGGTCTTGGGAATCAAGGAGACATCAAGGGCGTTTACTTTCAGTCGACAAATGCGATAGCGATTGGCACCAAACCAGGAAACGGATCTCCAGGTTTCTCGGGCAGTGATTCCGTTCAAAACGCGCCCATGCAATGCCTCCAATGCTCGTCTGGCCTCTCTCTTCCATCCGTAAAAATAACACCGTGTTATATATTTTCTCATAATTTTTCCATAAGGACGCCAGATGTTTCGACGGCGCCAATGCCGTGAAGGGTCATTGCTCCGATTTCCGATCAACAAGCTGTTTTTCGCGAACATCCTGGTATACTGCTCCGAAGGAATCGACAGATGCGGAGTATAAGATGGCTGAGCGAGGCTGCTCTACCGTTCCAGCTGATGAGGCGAAGAATCGGAAGATTTCCTACTTCATCGGGTTAGTCTTCTTCCGCAAAAAACAATTTCAATCCCCTCTTTAGAGAAGTTCCCCGAGAGCCAGAAGTCGACTACGAACTCGAGCGACGAGAAATCACCGAGGAATACTGCGACACAGTCAACTGTAACGATTTCAAGCCAACAGAAAAGTCCACCTCGGGCGCTGCCGCTTTCTCGACCCTGACGTCCTTGTTGATTGCACTGGCTTTCAACAACTAACAAACCCGACAACAATACTTTTTACAAAAATACCACTGCACAAAATTCTGATTCTTCCTTGATTCCCACCTTGACAAGTCCATGAGCTGGAGACGAACGCTGATGACGGGACAGAAAGACCTGTTTTTTATGTCTTTTTCCTGATGGCTTTACCTGCTCTGACGATATTGAATAAATAAATGGAATTTTGACAAGCTCAGTTCCTCTCAGACTATAACAACTCAATAAGTAATACAGAATCGAAGAGTTTGGCAGCTGAAAGTCAAATACCAAGAATGCTAATGCACTTCCCACTATTCAAAATATTTATGAGCCTCCGATATATACAGGTATTCTCGATGAACTAACCGAAGAAACCACTGAACATGAATTTTTCTAAAATATCCTTCCTCTTCTTTGCTTTTGCTAAGGGCTTTTCAGTCTACTTTCTCAACAATATTTTCAAAGAATGCGAACAAGGTAAAGAAGAACACCTTTTTCTTCATACTTAAATTTCATTCAATAGTAGCATTTGCGAATCGAGTGGCTGCAGACGAGGAAATCGACTTCCAAAAAATCTTCAACGAGTGTAATTCAATGATGAATAATTTCGTTCTTCCGGAAAATTTGAAAGAAAAAGACCCTCAATTTTCCCGCAGAAAATGATAGAAACTCGCCAAAATGGCGAAATTAATAAAACTGAAAAAATAAATATTTTGGAAACCGCTTTGTTGAGAGTGTTGTTTCGCTTTTGATATTCTCATTCGTAGTTTAGAACTTGTTTCTTTATCAAAACAGCCATTTTTTATCTTCTTAGAATCTCCTTATTGAATTTTTAAGCACCCACGGGTATAAATCGAGCAATAATCAACAAGAAGTAAAAAGAAATGAATTTTTTTGGCCTTATCTTACTCTTTTTCGACGATGCTTCTTATGGCTTTCAAGTTTACCGGCTAAACAAAATATATAACGAGTGTGCATATGGTAATTAATTGACATTTTCGGATAATGCCATTATTTTCAGAGGTCTTTTTGGATCATGTCTTGGCAAATGAAGAAATTGACTTCCAAGCAATCTTCAACGAATGTAATACAATGCTCAAAAACTACTTCGTTCCAAAAGACTTGCAAAGTATGCAACCGACGGATTCGCCAACTGACCCCTGACAAATGAATACATGAAATATCTACCGATGAGATGGTAGTGAAAAATTGTTTTTCTTTAAAAATACATTTCCATATTTTTCAATCCAAATTTGTCTTGCTGAAAAAAGGGTTTCAAAAGCCAATTTATTATTCAAGTGGCATAAAAAGACGCCGAGAAGACTCCGGTCAGGAAGAAGACAGAGTGTTAAGTGTCTAAATTCTCCGCTATGTTCATCAGCGTAAAAACAAAAGGAGAGAGGTACGAGTTCATGCATAATCAATTTGGGCGGCGTCATTAAACCGCCCGCATAAATCTGTAACTTCGTGAGGATACTGCCCCAGGGGAGTGGAGTTGGCGTCCCCTGGCGACAATGCGCCGCAACATCTTTTCCATTTCTTTACATTTGATAGACTAAGAGCTCTTCTTTTCTCTGATTTATCGAAGGAAGCTTATATAGAGATAACAGAAGCTGAAGATTATTTAAAAAAGAAGAGTCAATGGGTAACAATGGCTCCACAGAAAGTAATGACTCTGGATACGTATCCGCGAATTCGGTAAATTCGATCAACCCCCTCTTTTTTCCATCTTACTCTCCCTAGATAAAATCTGTGTATGATTCATTCATTTTCTAGGGAGGAAAATTTCCGTCAATCTACCCAGTTCAAATTCTCAAGCAGTCCGTCTCATTTGCTTCCCAAAAACGATCGAGTTCTGCGGGAGAAAGTACCTGGAAAAAAATTGTAATATTTGACTTACCTTTGCTTTTTCCGTCAACTGCTTTTTGAAATTATAATAAGGCAGGCGGACGAAAACGAAGATCTAAAGTGATTCCTTCGCAATCGATGCCCGAGAATGTGAAAGTTGTCAATAATTACGACCTCCACCGAAATCGACCACCGAAGACGAATTCTTCTTACAAAATAGAAGTGGAGAATCCGCATTACGAGATGAGTGCGAATTTCGCAAAATCCTGCTCAGTATCTGGCCTTGCAGCCATCCACAAGAACATAAATTTGAGTCGTCTGCCAACATCAAAGACGAATTATAATCTCAACAAGCATCCGTCAACTGTCAAGGAATCGATGCTACAGATCATTCTCGGAATGGGCCTGAAATTCAGTATTATTAACATCGAAAAAGAAAGTGACAATGACCGGAAGTACCAGTGAAATGCTCCTGTGCCTCGCAAACTTTGTCAACTCAAGGTCAGCCTTTTAATTCAAAAATATTGACGCTTGAATAACTCGATTAAAAGATCCGAAATATCAATAGAAGCGGATAAAATGGTGCTATGGCTTCGCAACGTCGACCGTCACTTACTTAATCAGGGTACGAGCTGAACCGTTGCAGAAGCGACAGTAGTGTAATTGAATTAAGGCTGGCAAGACTGTGTGTTTATCGGCCCGACTGCACTTGTGCTCATGTTTCTGCGAAAGGGGATGCAAATTTAGTATTCAGCCGAATTGATAAACACATCTTCTCGTTCTGAAACGATCGATTAGTATTCCTCCAAAGTTAATAAAAATTGACCTGCCGCGGAGGGACCCAAGACTGACAATCGAAGACATAAGAAAACGATTATTAACTTATCTGTACATAACTTACAGGTAAACGCCTCTATCTTAATCTTCCTCCATCATTTTTAAGCTACGCTGGCCCAGAAATCTCCTACCCCGTTAAACCATTCATGTGCTTATCGACAGAATCGTCAGATAGTTTTTGGAATAGGTGCCTTCATTTGAGCATACGAAGCAGTGACCAGGTACTGACTAAAGATAAAAATCATCTAGCCTTGTTTTACTAGCTCCTGAGGCTTGCTACGGATCCTAACTTCTTTGCCAGGTGCTTTCGGGAGCTGAAATTGTACCAGGAAAGGGTCTTTTACTTTTCTAAAATAAAAGTCCGTTAACTTTATATTGTGGCGATTTGGGAATTCCTCTTTGACCGAGTCAACCAATGCAATTGCAAATATATCTTCAAGGAAAGACCCTTAGCTACAGGGAGAACCAACACGGTGACAGGTGCTTGCGAGTGCTGACGAAGCGATCTGACATTTGAGTGAATATTTAATGCTTTGCAGTGATCGATCATGGTGAAAATGGACGCTCTGTGGCGATCGTATAAAAACAGATTTTTTGCTGCTCGATTTTCAATAAAGGCCTCTCGACAAAATCAGATAATTAATACTTGATTAGTCGACGATAAGTAACAGCCCTGGCTATCCCAGTTCGATTTTGAGTTATTTTTTTCAATTTTAATTTTGAAGGAACTATAAAAGCAGCACATAGGATCAGTCTTGGTTGTTGAAATCTGAAGGGAAAATACTATATCGAAATTGCACAAGTGTAGATGGAGAAGAAAATAATAAATAGAATTGAAATATGAATTGAAAGAATGAAATCATCAGGAGTAGTTGGAGAAATTCATTTTGAGCTCGATCTTTGGCTGGGCGCCATCACGGGACTCCGCCAACGCTGAATGTGCATTTTGCTGCGCCCGCACGCTTTTTTCGACGATGAGTTTGAACTGACTGTCGGACAGGAGCACCCGTTTTACTGAAAGACGAGGTAAAGAAGCGACCGGGATATGGGTGGGATTTTTACCTGTTTGCGAATATGAGCCAGAAGCAACTGTGAATAGCTGTAGAACTTCTTGGGTTTTGATTTCCTTCTGCAACAAGTTGAAGAGAAGTCGGACGTAGATTATCTTTTATGGGGCTAGTAAATACGCTTCATGATGCCCTGAAACCCAAAAAAAAGGATTTATTGAAGAGGATCTATTTTTTTCAATATCTACTGTATCCGTATGTTGTGCCCATTCCTGTCCGCATTCATTATTTTCAGCAAATTGGGCAAAAATCTTCATTGCTTCAAGTGTATCCCTTGGAGACATGAGATTTTCCCAGATCAGTCGGCTTACATGGCTTCCAACATCATTTATCAAAACTAGACGCAATCAGTTTCAGACACGAACGATATAAGTCTTTTTATTACCTTTTTCAAGCCTTTCGTCTGCTTTTTTGAGGCAGGTCTGGATAAGTTGGACTGTCTGCGCTTGAGAGTCTTGTTTACCCAAGCCGTGGACGAACACCTTGCAGAGATCTTTGAGATGAGCCGTGGATAGTTGGAGATGATAGTTTGCAATGAAGAAGGCGGCAACGGTGGTGGATAGATTCACCGAGTGTTTATGTACAGGCAGATCGCAGTAGCGCATTATGATAGAGTGAACTATCTTGTCATCAAAATTTTTGACGATCCCGAGAATCGAGACAACAGTAGATACTAACGAGGAACTGTATGGGAAGCGGCAAATCGTGAGGCAAAGGAGGGATGACAACGCGTACGAGAGGATTAGCTTATCTGACTCTTCCTCCTCCACGAGGTTCTTGAGCATTTGCGTAATGAAGCCAAGGGATGCATCAGAACACGATTTTTCCAACGCACATATGGTAGTTTCTAGCGCAAATTGTCTTTTATAAGCTTTCAAATGATACGTTTTTACGATATTTAGCTGTTTTAACGCCGAAACGCAGGGCGACCAATTAATTGGTACAAGGCTCTTTAATGCCTCATAAACCAACTTTTACTTTACGCTAGAAAAAAATGAACCCCCACTTATGGAGCTACTTTTTATCGAGGAATTCGATTCCGGTGTCAAAAAAATTCTTTTTTGAAAATTTTTGATTTTAGCTATTGAACGAAATTTTGAACTCGGATATTTTTTTATTCTTTCAACAATAAATCGCCATTACGTCGTCATTCGACACATTTAGAAATACGCATATTTACTCATATTTATGTTATGATAAGGATATAATATGGGGATGAAATTGAAGCTAAGCGTCTGAGAATTTTTTATCTCTATCATTTATTCAGTAGACTTATCAGTTTCATTGTTAAAAAGGGGTAAAAGGGCCATACCAATTAATTGGTACGATCTGCGTTCAACCTTGAAAAAATTTTATGCGTTCCGGCGTTAAAAGGCTTTCCTGAGATCGTCGTTGAGCTTCACGGAAGAAATGATTCTTGTCGATATCTCCAACGCCTTTTCTGTCAGTTTTTCTTCATTTCTAGTGATGATTACTCTATGAGCAACTCTCAGAATGTCCTGCAAGATGTCCATCTTTGATGAAAGCTCGTCGAAGTGAATCTTTGCCAGGGCAGAGGTCGCATGCAGCGCGTCTTCAGCAGAAATACTCGACGCTGGAGCTAGAAGAGTTTCAACAGCGAGTCCAGTGATGAGTTGGACGATTATTTCGCGCTCATCCGCTTCGTTCCAGTATTCGTCCAGTTTTGTCAAGATTGCGACTGCGTGAGCGATAGAATTGCATATTCTAGCGAAATAAATTATGAATAATAGGAAAACAAGTACCGTTGCTTAGATGATTTGGCCAAGAAGGAGATCCAGATCTTCTTCAAGTCCGTCAATTCTACACTGACCAAGTTCAACATTCCATCTGGCGGCAATTCCCTCTCTGGGCCAAATTTAAACCCTCCCGTGGCTTGCTCGGCGGCAGCGATGTAAATATCTGCCCAAGACATGATGCATGCTTCGTCTTTCAGCTGGCACATTTTCGGCGACGCGTGACCTTCTTTTGTCGGGTATCGGATCAAATCGAGGGAGGAAACCATCAGTCGGTAGACGCGCTGGATATCGTTGGTGCTTGACGCGACGCCAGAACTGAGCCACTTTGCGGCGACGCTAGAAGCTTGGACGGAGACGAGAGGCAACGAGTCGCTAGAAAAGGCAGGGCGAAGAGCAGCGGAGATATTTGCTTGGTACTGCTCAAGAAGAAAGCTTCCAGCGACATCCGGGTCCATCGAGTTTTTGAAAAGATCGATTAAACTGAAGTGAATTGAGTTTTTTTCGTGGAAAAAGAGAGGCCTTACCGTTCTAGGGAGGTCAAACCGGCGATAGAAAGCTGCGTGTTTGAGTCCGTAGCGGCGATGAAAAAGCAGCGGATCAGATCTGACAAGTGCGTCACTAGAAATTGGCTCTTATCTCCCTTTTCTTGTCTGCATAATTCCAAATCGAAGTGCGCTCGGTGACCAGAATCCACGCAGTGTTCCATGATATTGCTCAAAATCTCAGCTGCGAAAACACGTGTCCTCCAATGCGGCTTTTCTTTCTTCTCGCCTTCGTTCATCGTCATTTTCTCCTCGTCGTCTTCTTCTTCTGAGTCTTCTCCGAGGTTATTAGAACTTTCATTGACAGCAGCATGGGATGCTTGAAAGACTTCTCGGACAAGAGCGATCCAGAAGCTTGTTTTTTCCTCGATTCTTGCTGTTAGGAGGAGATTTAGCGTGTCTCGAACCTGAAAATAATCGTAAAAAAGAGAGTCAAGGAGCTTCAAACCTGATTTAGCGCGATTCCATCCGGTATTTCGAAAAGATCAAACAATTTGCTCTCAATTCCATTGGGATAGATCCCTTCACAGAGGATTGAAACATCTCTTGGGTTTCTTTGTGACAGTTGCCTGATACAACCGACGGCGACGGATTGAAGCTGTGTGTCGAGATTGGAGTTTAAGTACTCGCAAAGACGGGGGACGATTCTTGAGAGATTCTCTTCCTTTGGAACAAACATTTGAAGACATTGGGCACAGGAAATCGCTTCTTGAACCGCTGTTGTTGATTCTAGCACGGCTATGCAAGCTCTTATCGTCCTAAAAAGCGATAAAATCGGGCAAAGGGGGAAGGTTTACCTTAGGGAGTCTTCATCCATTGACAATTCCGGGCCAATGACAGTAATTAACGCCTGTAACAACTTTGACAAACACTTGACATTCTGCATGGATGAGTTTGCAGCAAGCAGTTGATCCAAAACGCAATCCACCGTCGGTTCGATAAAAGATGTGTAGTTCGGGCCAACAGCGTCGACGACCAAATACAGCGCGAATGTCGCCCAAGTCTGAACCTGCCCAAGCCTGGCATCATTCGCGATGGAGAGAAGAATTGAACAAGTCGTCCGGATGTGGGAGTTTTTTGCACCAGTTCCGACAAATCTATGTAAATCGCCCAAAACGAGGCAGAATCCCGACTTTGCCGCTTCCGTTGATTTCGGGTCCTTGATCTTTTCGAAGGACAATTGTGCGAGACTGTTGATCAAATGTGGGTTCAATTGCGCCAGCCGACCAAGGCCGGATGAAGCTACGCACTTGACAATCGGGCTCGGGTGAGAAACGAAGGAGATGAGCAACTCCGCGGTGGCTTTTATAACTTGTTCGTCGCCAACAGTACCTTTGAGTCTGCTGCATTCTTTGAGGGCAAGAGAAAACGCTGCTAGAATGTTGACTTGGATAAAAACCCGGCGATCTTTTCGAACTTGACGGAGGCATTGAATGAAGTGATTGGCAATTTGCGCTCTGTGTTTGATCGCGGAGAGTGGAAATGCCTGGCCAAAGAGGGTACAAGCTTCGTCTAGCAGCTGATTCTGGAGAGGAAGCGGTTCGGGCATGTCTACAGACTTGGTGATTATGCTTGATGCTGAGTGCTGAAGACATCCTAGAGGCATTTTGCATGTTTGAACGATATTCCCGTCCGATAATAATTCTAGATCTTGGACGTCCACTAATGAGTCGAGCAAGGATGTGGTGTATAATTCGTTGGATTCGGCCAGAGTGATGTCGGAGACTAGATGCTTGAGAAGATCCGAAAGGCTATGTTCCCACAACTCTCGCGGACAGGCTGAAAGGGTCGAATAAAGAACCATTTTGTAGTAATGAACGACGGAAACAAGGGGCTGGCCGAAGGTTGAAACGACTTTTGCGGTATGCGAGAGATATTCTAGCGCCGCCCGGAGAATTCTCACGATCGTTTCAGACTGTTTACTGACTAGTTCTGGATGTTCTTCTACAAAGACCTTGAGCGCTTTGAGTGCTCCAGATCGGGATTCGACGATGAGACGAACTTGATCGCAACTTTCTAGCTTTTGCTCTTTCAAATACGCTCCTTTGACATCTCCGCTCGGAAACGACGCCGAAGCCTGACTCAAAATTGTTGAAACAATTTCGTCACTCGTTTCAGGAACTGAAAGAACACCACAATACAGTAGCCAGGCGCCAAGGAATTTCGAACGAGAAGTTGCGGCATCTGCGGACTTGGATTTCAAAAGATCATGGGCATTTTCCAGAATGGGATTAATGTGGCATGATTCGATGACAGTATGGCGGCACAAGCCGATCGAGCTCAAGTTGGCGACCAAAGCGCATGTGTGGCCTTCCACGGCGATACGATTAGACTTGAATTTGCACAGTCTGGAGACGAGAGTGTTGAAAATTGACCAGTGAAGGGAAGGCTGGGACAGGGCGATTTGCCGGAGACACCAGGCCGCGGAAAGACGAGCCATGGGAAGCTCGTGGCAAAGAGTTGATTGAAGACCAGTTGTTACTGTTCCGTCGGAAAGAGAAGGCAAGGAGGATGATTGAAGAATGAGCGTTACAGAAGTGATGGCTTGAGAAGCAAGGGAGAGGGCATAGCCGCTTTGGATATCCGGCGAGGCGCAGTGGTCGCAAATGAACTGGCCCAGGACCTTCATCGCTTGAAGCTGCGCCTTTTCAGGCAGTAATTGGCCCACTGTTTCGAAAAGGATCCTCCTTAGCTGGCGACAAGTGTACAGTGCTTCTTGGTGACTCTGGGTCGTTCTTGGCTCCATCGCAATGCCCAAAATATGCCCTAGAAACAGCGTTGAGTTTGACTCAAGCCAATTCGATCCCAATCCTCGAATGAGGAAGACATGCGCATCTGCGATTCCCAATTTGACGATAGAAGGCGAAATGTCTTGCTTGAAAATTTCGCGCTTTTGAACGCAAGCTCCGGTAATAAACGCCTGTCTGAAGTATCCGAGGACTTCTTGGAGCGTTGGTTTTCGATCCTTTTTGTTGTCTGGCGGGAGTTTGATGTTGTTGTTGAGCGCTGAGAGGGCGAGATTCGCGATGAGGATGGAGAAGCTTTTCGTCCGCCCCTCGTTGGTCATGTATTTCGCGGCGAGAGAGAAGAGAGCTTCGAATTCGGACTGGACCAGCAGGGCTGGGTAGAACTTGGCGAGTTGTGATAGGCAATCTGCGGCGCTGCATCGAACATTGACTTTTGAGAGTTAAAAGATGTAGTAAAAGGTTCCAAAATTAATAGAATTGGTATTTAGGGCTCATTAGAAGTAATAAAGAAAAAAATTGGTAAAGATTTAATAATTGGGGGATTATGGCGTCTTGTTCCGAATCCAGAATTCAGAAAAGTAACGACTTCTTTAATTCAAACTCTGCCTGAGGAATGTGTCATGTAAGGCCTGACAGCTTTGTAAATCTTCGCATGAAACATGGAGGCTGAATTCTCCAGTCCAGAAAGAACCTTTCCAATCGCCGTTAGGGTCTCGCATCTTGTCGCTTCGCTCACTTTCAGTCCTATCAGTAACGAAGAGATCGTATCCATCATGCAGGATCCGAGAAGTCTTCCGAGCTCTTGAAAGAGCGTTCCGATCACTTCTAGCGCAAACAATCGCTGGCCATTTGATTCTTTCGCTTCTGGCTTCTTTTGCACAAGATCTGCGCAAGTAATAACCACCTGGTAAGCGCCAAAGGGGTTTCCCTTACTGTACATTCTAGCCATCGCTTCCGCTGTCAGACGACGAACGGGAGGGGCTGCATTGCAAAGGAGAAGGGCATCCAGTTCTTTTGTCAACTCGGGCTGGCATTTTCGGACGATTACTGGGTCAGTTTGTCGAAGAAAATCTTGAACTTCAGTTAACCAGTCGAAAACTAGCGAATGTCTTCTGGCGTCCGGCAATCGACTGAAATCAAATGAATGATTATTTAAAACTTTTCTTGAAAATAAATTGTTAATTTATTTACCTGAGATGTTCTTTATTCAGACTGGGAGGCTTTTCAGCCGCCATTTCAATATTTTCTTTTCCAACAGGAATTCTCTACTACGTCTTCATTTTCGAATCTCGATAGCGAGAATTTCCAATTTTGGGCGCTACTGGCCAATCGCGCTCGCGTGAGATTCTCTTTTCTTCAGCGCGGGCACCTTTTTTCGGGAAATGGCCGGGTAAATTCAGGTAAATTTTGTGCTTGATATTTCTGGAACTTCTGGAATAGAAACTGAACGATCACTTTTAGGACTCTTCTTTATTGTAAAGGGCTAAGGCTGACATTTTAAAAAAATATTTTTTCAGAGCTGAGCAGGGCGACTTCAAAGCCAAGTTGAATTTGTCAAATCTTTTTCCGGGCTCTAGAAAATGCCGTTGCTCTTTCCACAGAAGCTCAATGATGACTTCTAAAATTCTTCTTTTTATTAATTTTTCGTTTGCGCTTATTGGGAAAGAGAGTATTTTAGACTTGCGGATTATAGATAGGCCTCGGACGTAAAAATCCATCACCTCGAAAACGCTTAGGTACCTGCAAATTTCTTTGTGGAATGTCTAGAACGGCTCATTGTGAGTCTATAAAACCAAAAAAATTGAAAAAAAAATTTCGATTTTCGGCTGAAAATTCGAAAAGTTGTGAGATTTTTTGAGTAGGTACTGGAAAAGTGCTGATTTGACCCCGATCCAGTCAGATTTCGGGGTGACAAGTAGCATCATTAGAAAGCTCTTGAAATTTGCTACAAGAAACTGCAATAAAAAAATTGTACCCGAGCTTCCTGTGTTGAGTTATTTGAGGTTGAAAGCGAAGATTGAGGCCAGATTTCACCAAATTTGCTAATTTCTCGCGATTATTTTGTAATTATTAATGTTATGGTATAAATACTTGAACGAATGTTCTTACACACCCTTAGTGAGTCGACCGGTCGCCCAACCGCGTGGTTAACCAGCCGGTAACCGCGGCCCAACCAGCCGGTTTTCCTCAAGAATCATCGAAATAACCATTATAATGTATGCTTTTTGAATATTGATCAATTGACGATCATTTTGTAATGGCCACTTATGGTCATCTTTGGTCAACTTTGGTCTAGTTCGGCCGGAGGACCCTGGAGGACCTCCCTGGTGGAAGACCCTCCGATGGAAGACTAATACTTAAAATACTCAATATATGGCCGCGCTCGGCCAGAATATGGCCATCTATGGTCAACTTTGGCCACTTTATGCCGGAGGACCCCCGGAGGACCCCTTCTCCCGGATGAAAATCTACTGGAAGACCAAAATTAAATAATGAAATCGCTTGGGCTAAGAATTGAAACTTTTTTTCAATCAGAGAGCCGACCCGAAGGGGAGCCCTTGCCCGTTCATTTATTTTCAATCAGAGACAGGGCAAAGCCGACCCAAAGGGGACGCCTTGCCCGTTCTTTTTTTTACAATCAGAGTCGGGGCGAAGCCGACCCGAAAAAAAAACCATGCCCGTTTATTCTTTAAAATCAGATTCAGGGCGTAGCCCTAATCAGCCAGCCGTTTCTGTTAAATACCAACATGAATACCATTTTCATTATAAAATTTAAGAATTATAAAATGTATTCAGATTAAAAACAGTGTTTCCGATCTCGATATAATTGTATTTATTTACTCAAAAAACTAATTTAAAGGGAGTTGAAAATGACCAATCGAGTTTATTTCAATTGTAATATCGTACTTATTCAGAATCATTTATAGGTAAGAATGTCATTCATAGATGGCCATAAACTGGCCAAGCGCGGCCATATATTGAGTATTTTAAAAATTAGTCTTCCATCGGAGGGTCTTCCACCAGGGAGGTCCTCCAGGGTCCTCCGGCCGAACTAGACCAAGGATGACCATAAGTGGCAATTTACTGGCCGAGCAAAATGATCGTCAATTGATCAATATTCAAAAAGCATACATTATAATGGTTATTTCGATGATTCTTGAGGAAAACCGGCTGGTTGGGCCGCGGTTACCGGCTGGTTAACCACGCGGTTGGGCGACCGGTCGACTCACTAAGGGTGTGTAAGAACATTCGTTCAAGTATTTATACCATAACATTAATAATTACAAAATAATCGCGAGAAATTAGCAAATTTGGTGAAATCTGGCCTCAATCTTCGCTTTCAACCTCAAATAACTCAACACAGGAAGCTCGGGTACAATTTTTTTATTGCAGTTTCTTGTAGCAAATTTCAAGAGCTTTCTAATGATGCTACTTGTCACCCCGAAATCTGACTGGATCGGGGTCAAATCAGCACTTTTCCAGTACCTACTCAAAAAATCTCACAACTTTTCGAATTTTCAGCCGAAAATCGAAATTTTTTTCAATTTTTTGGTTTTATAGACTCACAATGAGCCGTTCTAGACATTCCACAAAGAAATTTGCAGGTACCTAAGCGTTTTCGAGGTGATGGATTTTTACGTCCGAGGCCTAATTATAGAGCAAACGGAAGAGAATGTGCTTTTAGAGTGGAGAGAAGGCGTAACGCTTGATAAATACTTTATAATTATTTACAAGGAATATGGAAACTACGAGTACGAATACGTAAGTTCAAGCTTGGGCTCAGCATGATTAATTGAACTGTAGCTCAACGAACAAGCCGTCGAAAAACCCTTTGCAAATGTGGTCGGTCTCGAGCCCAATACATTCTACAAATTTGGCCTTTACGGAACAAACGGAACAGCTGCAACTAGAGGCGCTACTTCTTGGATTGTCGCCCGAACGCTTGGTGAGACTGTCAGACAATTTCCAGGGACTTTGTATCCGGACAACAGTGGTTTTGCTTCCTTGGTTGTTTTGCCTGACTCGTTGGATGACTGGTGGGACCAGTGTGCGTATGTTCTGACGATAGATCTTCAGGTAGAATTTCCACTGATAAGGAAAGAAGGAGACTTTCTAGTGTCCGATTAAATCAATCGATTTCGACGTCGGAGAGTCCGTGGTCGTCATTGAAAGAGGAGAAGAAGAGCTCGTCTTGGCTTTCGGAAAAATGGCGCTAGACTCTGTTTTCAGAGTGCACAAGAAGTTTCATTATTTTGTGCATGTTGACCCAGACCATTGCAATATTACATCGTTGGAGGACAAATTTATCATATGTAGGTTACTAGAGTGTGACTTTTAGGCAATAGTTTTTTCAGCGAGAAATGATGACTCGGTGGGGATCATGAACGAAATAATTACAGTTTCAGAAGAAGCAACTTGGCCAACTGAAGCTTTTTATGAAGGGATAAGAAAATGTTTAGATAATAAGTTTTACGTATTATCTAAATTTACGTTAGCGTTATACGTCTAAGCTCGTTACATATTTAAAATTTCTGACCAGATTGAATTGAAGTAAATTTAAAGTCACTACTTTAAATAATAATAAAAAATATGGTGTCTATTTTTTCATGAAATCTTCATGAAATCTATCTAAGAAATGAACTCGTTCTATGCTCTTTTTGAACCCCAAAATATCCTCAAAAAGCCTGCCGAAACCTGGGTCCGCCTCGTCAGTATAGATTTGAAGCCTTATCAAGTGTCTGTCTGCCCTCCAAAGATCCTACTCGAGAGTTCATCAACGCTATCTCAAAACTGTGCAACATCTGTCAGCCTCACTGAAAACGAACTTGGCTGGAATTTGGACTTTGAAGCAAACTACACTTCTGGAATTTGCGAAGCGAATCAAGATCGACTCTGCGAAACGCGACTCTTTCAAACGCATCTTTGGCAAAACGACTTTGGAATTGGCATTGTCGAGAATCTTTCGTGCTCTGTGCGCATTGATTTTTATGTCGAATTTGCTGTGTTTTTATTTTAATTAAACAGTTGCTCAATGAAATTATAAAATATTCACAAAAGGAAAAGTAACTCGATCGATTTTGCTTGTCAATCCAGGATTTCTGATAAATAATTAGTTTTTAATTGAAGCCACGGGTTTTGTTTGGAGAGTGGAAGACTGATTGAAGATCCGGTTGAGCTCCTCGTTGATGTCAAGTTTGAAGGTTTTCATTTCCGCTGCCAGCTCTTCTAGTGGACTGTCGAGCGCTAGAATAATATGAAAGTCAAATATGCAAGGTTTTCTATTGAATTGAACCCTTTGAAAGAAGAAAGAGTTAATTTCTAAGCAACTCAAACTTAGAGAAAAAGCTGAGTCAGTTTCAGAAGAGCGTAAATTAAAAGCCGCGTAGCGGCTTTTTTCTTAAACGAAGCCGCAAAGCGGCTTTGCCAGTATCGAGAAATAGATTGAACCGGTAATGTTGCGAAGCCGCTTTGCGGCTTCGATTTCTAAAAAGCCGCTACGCGACTTTTAATTAATGCTCTTCACAATCTGACTCAGGTTTTCTGCACAGGTTTCCGAGCACATGCTAATTTATTAAAAAATCTTACCAGTTTTAATTTCCATATTTCTTTCTTCATCTTCCGGATTCGTCTCTGGCGGCGGTGGAGGCACGAAAAACGGTCTGCCATCCTTATCTCTTTGAATGATTCTTGCCATTTTCGCTTTGAGGCATTTTCTCGAGAAAAGAATCTTTGTATTCAAAAAGTGAAAAGAAATGAAAAGAAATCGGCGACGGGCTTCGGCGCGGTCGTCACTGCGGCTCGGCATTCGCCCGATCGATCAGTTGGTGTGAACGCGGTGCCACGTCCTGGCGCTTATTACTCTACTATCTACTCTCTTTGCTCTGATATTAAAAAAAAACAGCGTTCAAAGTCAATGACACAAGCTCAATATCACGGGCAATGGGAAAGGAAATTAATCAATTTTCGGGAATGACTCTTTCCCGAATCAACTTCACTTTTATCTGTATGAAAGAAAGGCTTTATTTACTGTAAGAAATTTTGAAAGCAAAAAGCGAAGAAATTTACATCGAGTCGACTTTTTCTTCCAAAACGTCCAAAAGCGCTGAAATCTGCTTGAGTCGCTTCTGAGCGTTGTACACAATGATCATCTTCCTGTCGATTTCTTCCATTACAGACATGGCACTGTAAGCTGGGCTCGGCAACCTGTGTACAAAACCTGAGTCAGGGTCTACAGATCGAAAGTGAAAAGCCGCGTAGCGGCTTTTATTATAATTTATAAACGAAGCCGCGAAGCGGCTTCGCAGATATGACGTACTCGATTTATAACTAATTTCTGGCGAACCCGCTTCGCGGCTTCGTTTATAAAAAAGCCGCTACGCGGCTTTTGATTTTAGATTTGTAGACCCTGACTCAGGTTTTCTACACAGGTTGCCGAGCCCAGACTGTAAGCCTTCTTGACCGCGTGGTCACTTGCTTCGCCAAGTTCCGAGGCAAACTCGCGCATTGTTTGAGTTGTGGGAGAAGGTCCTCTCCTCTTAGGCATAGTAACTGGCTCGAATGGCGGACAAAGTCCCCGGAGAAGTAGTGCAGTGGTAGCACACCGGTTCATGAACACGGAGGTCCCTGGTTCGACCCCAGGCTTCTTCAATACTTTTCACTCGCCTTTGCCTGATCCTACAAACTGGTGAAGACAGTGGGTTGTCTAGGTAGCCAAAACAAACCCTAAGCTGAGATTGACAAAGGTTCACTCAGTAGCTCAGGAGAAGCTGAAGGTTGGGAGGGTTGGTAGGCTTGTAACGGTTGGGGACCGTGGCACCAGACAAAGAACCAAAACCCAAGGCGGCATATGTAAGACGAGTTGTTAGAGCAGTTACTAGGGGGAGTTGTGGGAGAAGGTCCTCTCCTCTTAGGCATAGTAACTGGCTCGAATGGCGGACAAAGTCCCCGGAGAAGTAGTGCAGTGGTAGCACACCGGTTCATGAACACGGAGGTCCCTGGTTCGACCCCAGGCTTCTTCAATACTTTTCACTCGCCTTTGCCTGATCCTACAGAGTCGTCGCAACTGTTGTCGCGGAGCTCTTGTCCAGCACTTTTGAAATTTCCAGGAGAGTTTCTTGCGAAGCCGACTGAAGTTCGTCCATTTCTTTTTCGATCTTGAGCATTAGCTCGGATGAAGGGCGGCTCGGGCTGCGAGGAGTTGGGGTTGTCAAAGAGGCGGTGAGGGATGAGCTGCACGAGGAGTCGGTTTGCTCGGAGATGGATAGAGCATCGACGCCAGTTTCAACTAAAATTTTACTTCAAAGGTTTATGAAATAAAAAATGAGCGAAAATAATAAACAAATATTATGTCAAAAATATATCAAAATAATATTCAGCTGTCTGGCTTACCAAAAATATCCATTATTCATAGAAGATTACGCTCCGTTTCGTAACTTTGGACGCTTGAAAAATGAAATTCTCTGTCTTCAAAAACGTGCGAAGAAGCACTGCTGATTGGCCGGTCCGAACGTCCGAGGAGTAAAAATCAATTTTTTATTTAAATTTTATGATTGCTTCAAAAAACAAGATCCACATCGGAAATAAGACGATTCAAGCTTGGGTTTCAAAGGCAATCTTACGAAGATTTCGCGTAAGAGAAAATCTCATTGGCCAATAGTATCGATGGAAAGCTTGGTTCCCGAGGGCGAAGATGGGAACGCAGATACAGATTCAAAGAAGACTTCGCTAGAGACATTTTTGGTCAGAACAGAGAAAACGGAGTTTGAAAGGATGAAGGTTCTGGTTGTCGGCGGCGGCCTCACTGGTGGAATGATTTCATATTTTTTGAGAGGAGTGAAGCAGTTCAAAATTACTTGCTGGGAAAAGGTAATTGATCAAAATCAGTACTATCAACAAGTATTTTAACTGTTGTTGTAAAAACTTTTTTAGACTCATTTCCTTGTTTTAATCCCGAACTCTTTTCAGAGTCTGTCACAGAAAAAAAAATTAAAGAACCAATTTATGAGTCTTATTATGGTGTTTCCCTTTGTTAATTTTCCCCCTTGTTCACAGGATAAACGTCAGCAAAAATCTGAATTAAGCAGGATAGACTTAGGCAAACGGTTCCCGAGTTAGCAGCATAAACTTTGGCTAATTGGGTCTGAGTTAGCAGGATGAACTTTGGCACCAAGTTAACAGGGCTGAAGGAATCACCATTGTTCTGCCTCACGGCCTCAGTAATGATTCACCTACCCTGTTAACTTGGTGCCAAAGTTTTTCCTGCTAACTCAGACCCAATTTGCCAAAGTTTATGCTGCTAACTAGGGAACCTTTTGCCTAAGTCTATCCTGCTTAATTCAGATTTTTGCCGACGTTTATCCTGTTAACTAGGGGGTGGTCTATATAATATAGCCTATATTAAAGATAATTTAGTCTCGAGGATTGGGAGGAAGAGCAGCCACAAAAAGATCCAACAAAATCTCCGGTTGCCAAGCTGATACTGGTCTCCAGGTATGATAATTATATTTTAATCGCTTTGAAATCGATTAAATTTTTTAAGTACCTAACCCGATATGAGAAGAGCGCGAGGCATGATAATTTATACGATTTTCTTTCCGGAAAAGGCTTGATTTCAAAACTCGATGTGAAGGACATTTCTCACATGAAAAGCGGATCTGAAAAGATGCAACACTACAAAGCTGTAAATGGCAGCAACACCATCGCGAAGGTACTTTTTCTGAATGAGTTTCGGGTAGAATTGAAATTCAGACTCTCTGGGAAGAATCAAATGCGGAAGTCATGAAATTGCAAAAGCTGAAATCACTTGATTACTCAGAAGATGGAGTTGTTGCCGAGAATGAAAAAGGCGAAAAGGAAAAATTCGACCTCGTCCTATTGGTAACTTTTCATCCCTTTTCGAACCAATGACCATGTTTTTTCAGACGATTCCTGTGCCGCAAATTATCAGGGACATTTCATTCACTCCTCCGATCGAGAAAAATGCAAGAGAGCAGCTTGAAAAGGTCAAATTCTCATCCCGATTCGCGCTGGTCTACTTTTTTGGCGACAACTACGATATTGACAGTAGAGTCGCAGGAAGTTACGCAGCGAACAAGGATGATCCAATCGTTTACTGGCACATTGATGGTGAGTTCGATTTTAATTCGGGATTTTATCGGTTTTTAGAGGCGAAAAGATTCGGAATGGACACAGAGAAGAATTTCCGGACAATTATGTTTCACTTCAAAAAGGGGCTTTATTGCGATTTAACTCCTGCAGAAGCCCTTCCGAAACTTCAGGAACATGTAGCCCAGAGCTTTCCAAAACTAGTACGAAAAAGCTTTTTATCACGTTTTTCTTACACCCCGATTTTAGCCCACCCCGGCCGAAGCAGTCCCCCATCGTTGGCTATTTAGCCAAGTTGATGAGAAATTTCCAGGATCAGAGGTAAACACTCAACTTCTACTGGCTTTGTCTAACGAGCTTTTTCTAGGGATATTTGTCCCTGAATGACCAGATAATAATTTGCGGCGACTCGTTTGGAACTCGAGGAAACTTCGATGGATGCGCCGAGTCTGCAAGTCAAACAGCTGATCATATTCTTTCATTACTGCCAAAAGAAGCTGAAATTTCAACGGAAAAGGATAAATAAAGATACTTTCAAAACATGATTCGGCTTTTGTCTCATCCAAAAATACCATCTTTTCTCCATCAAACAAAATAAAAACCTCAACCGCGCGGTTGAAAAAGGTCACTTTCCCGACCCCCTTCTCTTTCTCCCAAAAAACTTCTTTTTCAAAACAAAAATGACGGAAAAAGAAAGCGCCGGGAATTTCAGCAAAATCAGCTCGGTCAATTTACAGTCAGAAAGCTACGCTACTGTCACCGACTTCACAGAGAATGACTCAAAATCTTCCTTTACTTCTGCTTCGGAAATATCAGAAGAAGATTCTGATGGAAACGTCCTTTTCGTCCAGGAAAAACCGAAGATGAACAAGATCGAGCTTGGGGCTTGGAAAAATGCGAGCTTGAACGATACTTCTTTTCTGTCAGAAGAGTCGGGCAATGAAGACCCAGTGAAAGAAAGCTTTGCGTCGATTGATCACGCGGAAATGGTCAGATTGAGATATGAAGCGAGGCAAAATGATCCACCAAGAATCAACAAGGTACGCCCTTAATAATGTCCCCCCCTTTTTCAATGCAAAAATTACATTTTCAGCCGACAATTGTGCAGACTTCCACTCTTCTCTCCCAAATATCCGAAAGCCCTTATTCCCTCAACCCTCTATCAGAAGAAAAAGAGCCCCCAGCGCAGGTCAAAAAGCCGCTGAAAATCGACAAAGTCGTTGAAATCACCTATCCAAAGGGACAAAAGCCACTGAAGCAGTTCGGCCGAAAACCTGTCATTCCAATTCAAGATCCAAAAGAGCTCCTCTTTGACATCACGAAAGAAGCAAGAAGAGAGTCAAAAGTCCAAAGAGAGAATGGTGGGAATGTCGAAGCAAAGAAAATGTCGATTCCGGGGAATGAAACGGGCATTGATTTTACAGGAATTCGGTCAAGAAATTAATGAGTTAATTTATTAGCAGAATTTTCGTGAACAGGGAAAAAGGTTATGCTCAGAAGAGAAATTTGAACTAAAAATTGGTACAGTAAGAATTTTTCGCGAATCACTTTTTAAGTGGTCGAGAGAAAGTGTAGGAGTCTAAGGAGTCTTCGTTGAAGAAATCTTCAACCTTTTTCAGCGCCTTTTCTTCGTTCAATTTCGCCTCGAACAGGATCTCTTCCATTTTTGAAATTTCCGACACTTCCTTCAGCATCAAGTCGCGGAGAGCAATAAGTCCTTTTGGAGAGTTTGTGCTGTCCATAAGATCGCCGAGACTTTTGAGCTTATTTTCGCGCTCTTGGATTTTGTATTCGTAGTTTTTCAGAAGTGGAATAAGGGAGTTTTCGAAGAGCGAGTCGTTTGAGCTGTTGTCTTCTGGCTGCGAGAGGATGAAGAGCTTTTCTTGCTTTGAGAGTTTGATTCGTTTCGCCATTTTTTAGTTAGTTGGTTTTTGTTGTTTTATTTTTTGATGATGGTTTTCTAGAGCGACGGATTATATACCCGCGCGCAGGGGTAAACAGATGGCGCGGGCCTTGGGCCAGGTGAGATCTGCCCCCAGGTGATCATTGAAATCAACGATCTGGAATCAATCTCATCATTGAGATCTCAAAGGCTCTTCCATGAATTCTGAATAACAAACAGACAAGCATTATTATTCCGAGTAGATAGCATTTGAAATTTCAATTACAAAAGTATGCTTCTTTTGAATAATGCATTTTCTTGACCGAAAACAGCAATTTACCGGGAAAAACTTGAACAAGAAAAGCAACAAATCGAAGAAGCGATGAAGCCAAAAGAGCCGAAGAAAGAAAATTCAGCACCAGAAAGGACTGTGAGCAAAGTTGGGACAAACATAGGAAGAGTCATTTACGATCACAGCTCGGGGATCGAAACGATGGTCAGGAATCAAAGCTCTTTTAGCACGAATACTCTGAAGCCCCTGATTTCGCGCCAAGAAACCATCAGGAATTCGACATATCTGGAACAAATAGAAACTTCCGAGCATCGAAACCTCGGTTTTATCGTAAATTTGATACGATTCATTTGGGCGACGTTTAATTTTCTCATCATGGGTCTTGGAATTTGCCTGATTGTTGGAGGAACATGGGCGTTGTTGAGACTTCGATTGGACAATATTCAGAACCCGCTTCGAGTCACGAGCGAGCCGCTCTTTTTTGTGATTATTCTTGGCTGTGTTCTTATTCTAGTGAGTTTTGATGGAGCACTGGCTTTTTTCAGAGGAAATACGCTTATGATTACTGTTCATGCTTGGCTCCTTGTCGGGCTTTTTCTCGTAGCAACGTTATGTTCCATCGTTCTTTGGAGCTTTTCAAAGACGATCAAGCAAATTCTGATTACTGGCATTTTCGACTTGCTTTATGAATACTCGCCGGATAGAAAAAGCGTCCAGTTTATTCTCGATTGGTATCAGCAGGAGTACAAATGCTGTGGAGTGCTTAAGCCAGAAGATTGGGAGCTCAATACTTTCTTTTGCAATTTTGTTGATCAAGCTCATGGTCTCTGTAAACCGCCGAATTCTTGCTGCAAAGGTTAGATTATCAGCTCTAGAAAAGTGAAAGACGCTTTTGTTTTCAGATTTCGTTCCCTGTACTTTCGAAGAATCTTTCAAAAAAGGCTGCTTGGAAAGAACGGAAGAATTCTCCGGGAAAATAATCGCCATTCTCAGCATTATTTGGTCCTCGATTTGGCTGATTATGATTCTGCAAATTCTATCGTCCAAGTTTCTCAAGCGAAGAATCCGTCTTCACGAAAAATGGAAGGAAACGTATCAAGATGCAAAGTTTCATGCGATTGGGGAGGAAATTAAGATCAAAATGCAAAGTCTAAATTGAACGGTTTTTTTGCTGGATTTCAATAGATCTGTAAATAAAACGCCAATGTCTCCTAAACGGCCTTGTTCTGGGAAATTTGATTTGTCAATATTTATTCGACCGGAACACGCCCGGGGCAGTAAAATTTTCATCCTGTAGCTGACCCGTATTTTCGCCGCTTTACCGCTTTCCTCCATGATTTCAAGCCGACCGGAAGGTCCGATGACTTCGAACAATCTCTGCAAATAAAGAATCGATTAAACTTTGTTACGAATCTCTGCGTAAGCTCGTTGACAAGATTTTCTTCATTTTTCTGAGGCGGAAGGCAAATATTGCCAGAACAAATTTTTCTATTTAAAAAATTGAAAACTTCGATTTCGATAAGAAGAAATCAGAAGCCCTTTTAATGAGCGGGTTAATTATAAAGAGAATTTTCTGGTCCTTTGGAGCTGTTGCTGAACTCTTTCTATTCTCAGGTAAACTGAATTGTTACGTAATGTACTGTCTGTAAATTGACAGTTAAAACAGTAAAGAAAAGAATAAAGTATATTTTACAAACTTCGTAAAAATCGGAACTTCCGTGACGAGAAAAGGAAGATTACTTTGATCTGACCTAACTGATCATACACTAAACTTCTAGTATAAAAGCTTCCCGGAAGAAGAATTTTTACATAAATCTAGGTCAAGGACGGCACTATTTATTGAGTCGTAATAACTCGTTTAAAATACGCCTTTTTAGTCTGAAAATTTTATTTTCAAAAAGAGCAGGGGCGGATATTTTCAAATCAGATGATTTTTTAAAGCTTTTTTTAAAAAATCTGATTAATAATAAAGTAAATTTAAAATTGGCGATTTTGAATAAAAATTTATAAAAAAGACTGATTTGATTAAATAATGTCGATCCTTGGGCAGAAAAATTGAAAAGAGATTTCATAAAAATTGGAAAACAAAATGAGCCAGAGGATATTATGGTTTGTGTCCGTTTTGGTGGAGGCCATGCTTTTTGGAGGTTTATAAATAAGGGGCGAGAAATAAAGGGTTGAAGGGTCATTTTCTTAAAATTATAAGTAATAATTTAGGTGTCGCTTTTGGCTTTCCTTTCATCGAATATGAGCTGAAATCAGAGGGAATCTTTTACGAAACAAAATGCTCAAATGGAACAGATGACATTTGGGGCCCTGGAAAGAAACTCTGCAACGACGCTTTGAAATTGTACAATACGTTGTTTACTGTAGCAGTGGTTTCCTGCACGATAGGAGTGTTTTTGACTGGATTTATTCTGGACAAGATCGGGATGTTTTGGACGAGGATGTTTTACTGCACCATTACGACTCTAGGTAACAAGATTTTTTTATCTTCGAGCTTTTCATCAAATTATAGGCTATGTAATGATGGCTCTTTATACCTCCAATGAGCTTTTGCTTTTCCCCGGTCTGGTCTTTCTCGCTTGGTCTGGCCTTGCATACCTGGTCATCAACAATGTTTGCGTCTCAATAATGGGCAGATTCGCTGGAGTCTCCGTTATCATCTTTTCCGGAACGTTTGATGCTTCTAGCGCTACTTTTCTCGTCCTCAGCAAAATGACTGGCACTTTCGGGAAGGGGCAAAATTTTGTTTGAATAGATTTTTTTCCGCGAAAATTTTTGACCTTTTCTGAAGATCTCTCGACGATGCTTGGATTTCTAGCGGTTATATCCGTCTTCATCCATTTCAGAACATTCTTCATGATGCCATACGCAATGCCGGGCAAAGAATGGGCCGAGGGAAACTTTTTGCGGTCGAATATTGTGTCCAAATGTCAGAAAGTAGGCGAAAACTCCGAAATCAAGGAAGAAAAATCGGAAAAGAATGAGCCTGAAAAAGAGAAAATTCCGTTGAAAGAAAGCTGTCTCAATCCGACATTTCTCTTATTTGCCACTGTTTTTGTTGTTTATTCGACGAGGGTTAAGGCTCTCCAAGGTGATTATTGGCGAATAGCGGGATAAATGATTTTCAGGCTGGATCTATCCTTGGATGGAATGGTCGTACGCCAAAGTCCCGGGAGACGGAGCAGAAATTGAAGCACATGTTGGAAATCTCCTCGAAATCTATGGGCTGCTTCTTTTTGCCTCGCCACTGTTCGCCGCGCTGCCAGAACTATTTAGCTGGGTCGGAAGCAAGTTGAATAGAAATGGAATTCTCAACGGAGATATGATTTCTTTGACGATAATCATGAGTTATTCAGCCATAGCGTGCTCGGTTTGCTCGGGTCAGATGATGTATCGGGTAAAAATAAAACGTATAGGGCTTGATGAAGGGTTCTTTAGGCGAAGGATTTGGACGATAATGCGAATGCATATGCGCTGATAGTGATTTTTTCGATTGCGAAGACGATTGTTTATGCTGCTCCGAATATGGTAAGTTCAAATTTTACTGCAAAAGGCACATTTTTATTTGGTATTCAGTTTCTTTTCTACATGTTCCCTCCTGAGCATTTCGGCTCCCTCTACGGCATCCTCACGGCTCCTGGAATCGTCACCATGTGGTTCATCGACCCTCTTTTCCGCCTGATTCTCGGCGACTCCGAAAGTCTTGCTGATGCTGATTTCGCACCAGTTTCTATCGGATTCGCCGTGCTTTGCGGAGTTGGTCTCGTTCAAGTCTTTTTGCCGAAAATTGGTCTGATTCCGGCGGCGAAAAGAATGTGCAGGGAGCGACAGATTCAGTCAGAAAGAACGAATGAAGAATCGCATGGAATTGATAATAAAGGATTCGAGTTGGAGAAATCAGAAGATATGTTTTGAGGAATTCTTCATGTTCTTCTACTGAGCTGTCTCTGTACATAAATAAAACAGTATGAAATTAAGTGGATACGTCATCTTTAGCGCCTACAAAAATGTTTTCTGAATAACTAACAGTAATATTGACGAAAAAACACGCTGAAGACAATGTTTTTCGCTTTAAAAACGCATTGAATTCGATTCAAATCAGATTCAGAGTCGCTGCACTAGAATACAAAAATATGTTGATTTTTCGATTGTCCTTTCTTATATCAGGCATATTTTCATCTTGGACATTTTGGGATGATATTCTCCCCAGCGAGGAAGTCAGATCGGTTTTACATAATAACGGAACGGATGAAAAATATTTTTTTGAGTTTTTTTTTTAAAATTCGAAATTCTAGCAAATAGAATATTCAACATCCGAGAGTAAAGACAACACAGAAGATGGCGATGTTGAGGGCTTGAAAGAATTCATCCATCATTTCGCATCCAAATTCCGAAATCTTTGATGATTGATGCTGGTTTTTGTATTTATTTATGTTTTTTTATCAAAATAAATTTGCATATTTTTTGTATTCATTTTTTGTTGACTTCGACATTGGACTTTGGCGCGCCTTGATCAGTGAGTCCTTTGATTTCCACGTGACTAAAAGAAGTACATGAGCAAATAATTCAACTCAAAGAGTCCTTACTCAAAGAGCTTTGCCATCAGCGCTGCTTCGACAAAGTAAACCAACAAGTCGAACCACCAGAAAACGTTTGCTGCCACAGCTGCTCCGCTCTTTCTGCAAAAAGATGTTTTTCGGAAATAAGGGGATCACCTACGAAATGGTGATTATAGCAGCGGCGAAGGCAAAGTGGTAAAGAATGAACCACATGATTTTCTCCAGCGTTGGCATTCCACTCCACGTAAAGCATTGGCACTTATCTTGAATTATCAGAGCTGGCCACCAGAATAAACTAGAACTGTTCGAGCGCATGATAAATACGGACATCAGACCTGATGATAGAGACGGAAAAGGCAAAAGCCCAGTTAGACGGAAACCAGCAATTGCCATTGTGGCAAACAGCTACCAGGCAGCAGATGAATGCGATCAGCTCGAAAATGATGTGAAGAGCCCATATTTTGGTTGGATCAGAGGTCTAAATATCAGCCGAAATCCTAGTGCGAAAGTTTATGATCGATCCATTTTTGGAAAGATAAAATGGGTTGGTTTCAATCTGATTAAAGTAAAAACATCTGCATTCGACAATAAATTCAGAATTTTTTTTGAATTATCATAGAAAATGAAACATCAGTTTTTCCAGCACACATTTGATTTAAATATGGCAAGAACTGTTTTTTAATGTTAAATAATTCAAATAAATAATCAAACCAAAAAGCCTAAAAATGAGTTTCTGCTCGACCATCTTCAACTCTCTTCTTTTTCTCTTATGTTTGCACTTTTCGAAGCGTTCAGTGTCCCTATGAAATGACTTCTCAGAATGGCCTTCTAGTTGGCTTTCTGTCAAACGCTACGAAATTCCTCCGGACACTGGAAATCCCGATTCATGAGCTGTAATAAAATAAGATATCTGTAGCGGATCACGTGAGCTTTCCCGCTGAGCGCAAATTCTGGAAGAAAAGATGAAGATTAAATTAATTCAACGATTGTCAGAGCTAAAGATAATTTAATTTTCGAATATTTCGGTAAATGTTTTTTGAAATCAACAAGGACTCATTTCTTCTGTTTATATTTTTGGAAGTGCGATTCGTTTTGGAAGATCCCCAAAAATAAAAACGAAGATCCAAAATCTGGAGAGCCTATTTGCTTTGCAGTTAAATAAAATTTGTATTCTCACCCCGCCCTGTGCGTCTTGTCTTGGCAAATACGTTTCTCTAAATTATTACGATATTTGATATAATCGAGAAAAGAGGCAGAGAGAGCATGAATTTGAAGCAGGTTTCCGAAGATTTTGAAAAGAATGGATTGGCGGTGGTGAAGGGCTTCGCGAGCGCGGAAGAATGCGAAGCGATGAGGGATGAAATGAAAAAGATTTGTGAGGGGTTGAAGGCGGATGAGATTCATTGCTTTGAAACCGAATCAGGTTTGTTTTGAATTCACTCACCTCTTTATCTTTCTAGCGAACAATGATTATTTTATGAATTCGGGCGACAAGATCAGGTTTTTCTTCGACCCAGCTGCTTTTGATGACCAAAAGAATCTGAAATCTACCGCTTTTACGGAAAGGGTTAAAATTCAAAATTGTTCATTTCAGATCGGAATGACTATTTCACCGAATCTGGCGACAAAATCCGCTTCTTTTTCGACCCAGACGCAAAAGCTTCCAAAGACGAGCTGGTCAAATCTGCTTTCACAGTAAAAAGAGTCAAAATATTCAATTTTAACCCGATTTTAAAAGTCGCTGAACAAAGTCGGTCACGCGCTGCACACTCACCCTGGGGTCTTCCATGAAATCGTAACTGCTCCAAAAACGAAGGAAGTTTTGAGAGCGATCAATTTGAAAAAAGTTTGCGTTCCGCAGAGGTACCCATCTATGGGCTCTCTTCTCTGCGATACTTAAAAATTTCAGTATGTTCATTTTCAAACAAGCGAAATTCGGCTCCGCGGTCCCACCTCACCAAGACAGTACTTTTCTCCATACAAGCCCGACTCAGACTGTCGTCGGTCTTTGGTTGGCTCTAGAAGATGCGACGGAAGACAATGGATGCCTTTGGTTCATTCCAGGTATTTTCGATCCTTTTTTTCATTCAAAAAACAGCGATGAAGGGTCCCACAAGCCGTATAAAAACGAGTCAAAGAGAGAAAAACTGGACCATGCTTTTATGAACCGCGTCCCCACTTCTGACGGCTCTGTCAGGACAGAATACAGGCTTGGAACTTCGAAAGAATATTACGAATCGTGCGACTTTACCTGGATCCCAGCTCAGGTTCGGCTTTTTCGAGCTCAAAAGAGTCATCTTTTCAGGTGAAAAAAGGAGACTTGGTTTTGATTCACGACATGGTCCATCACAAATCCCTGCCAAATCACTCCAACAAAAGCAGGAATATCTACGCCTGGCATCTTTTTGAATCATCTGAGGCTACATGGGACTCGGTAACTACAGTAATTCATTCTACAGTCGTGTTCATTTTATTCAGGACAACTGGCTTCAGTACCCAGAAGGAAAATCTTTCATGGAATTCTCTACAGAATAAATTACTTGTTTGCTTTTCGAAGAGCTTTCAGTGCCCAAGAATCCGTCATGTGATCCTCGATTTGATACTTTTCAAAAAAATATTCAAAAAATGACTTTTGCTCAAACTCGAATTTCTGTCGCAGGTTTTTCGGAGTGTGAGGAGAATTGAGCTTCACAGGGCTTTCGGGCAAAGAGCTGACGAAATTTTCGATCGCGCGGATTTTTTCGATATTTGTATCAACCCCTCTAGAATCGGTTTAGATGAAATGAGACTGAAGAGAAGCTTACGTTATATTGGTACAAGATGCAGTTTGCCGGGATCTTCTTCGTTGGAAAATTGTGCTGGATTCTTTTGTCGATAATTTATGAAAACCATCATTTCTTAAAATTTGTCGAAATAATTACCGTATTTTTTCTTAGCAAACCTTCTCGTAAAAAAGCTCATAAGTAGATTTTCTCTTTTTTCTTCCTTGCAGGCTTTTCTCCTCTTTTTTCTTTCAAAAAATAGTCTCTTGGAGGAATAAATCTACTCAGAAGAGCACTTGAACATAAAAGATAATAGTTTATTTTCAAACTATCAAAATTTGAACAGTCGCTTTCCAAAAACAACAGGGAAAATGATCATCACACCTTGCAGCGCAATAAAAGTGTAGAAAATGCCGGTGAAGCCTTCTTTTCCAAAGGTGCTTGGGATTTCTTGAAGGCCGAGGATTGAAAGGCTTGAAGAGATAAGAGGGTGAAGAGCTCGATTTTTTACCTAGTGATGCCGAGGAAGAATCGTTGGATTCCAATCAAAATTCCGTAAAATTCTTCCGGAAAGAGGAATCGGCAGAAGACGGGGGTAAGAGTGTAGCCCCACGAGCGATAAATGTTGTAGACGAAAATGAGTGGCAAGAGCATGTTTTCATCAAAACTAATTTGAAGGAAGCCAAAAACGATTCCAACGAGGAGATTCAAAATGATAAAAATCCAAACTCCGAGAAGCTTCCCAAATTTCAGCGGTCGACTTTTGATGCACTTTGCAAAGCCATCCGAGACAAAGCCGCAAAGCATCGCGAAAAACGCAGCTGTCCAGGCATACGCTCCGAAATCATCGACGTGCTGTTTGTAATTGTCGCCAGCGACGAGTCTTGCATACGAATTCCAAGTGAAAATACAGTTGAGTACATTCATATTCAGCAGCACAATCCAAACGACCATCAGGATATAATTTACGTCCAAATAATGTTCTTTTACATTTCCTCTTTTTTCGGCTACTTTTTCTTTGATTATTTTAGCTTGAATTTTCGACTTTTGGTGATTTTTGCCGGTCATTTTCGCGAAAAAGCTCTGCGAAAAAGTCGAAGAAGCTTTGTTGAATCTCATTTCCGGGAAAAGAAAAATCGAACGAATCCAAATGGGAATTGTCAGCAGCAAATTGACGCCAATAATCCACTCGTATGAGAAACCATTGTCGAAAGCGATCGCTAGAATCCTTGAATTGAGAGTTTTCAAAGGCGCGTGTTTTATTCTACCTGAAATAAGAGCTTCCCGCTTGAAACAATCCCTGGCCAATGACTAGGACGAGCGCGCCGATCTTCGGAAAAAGCACGGACATCATCGAATTCGTCAAAACGAAGGAATAATTTCCCCAAGAGTACAAATACACCGCCGGGAAGACGAGCCAGTTAACCTGCGGCGTGAATAAAAAGCAAATCAGCCCCAAAGTCACGACAATTGAGTCCTTGCTCATATCAGGCATTTTTTCATCGTGGTCATTTTGGGATGATATTCTTCCCAGCGAGGAAGTCCGATCGGTTTTACATAATAACGGGACGGATGAAAAATTTTTTTGGAGTTTTTTTTTAAGTTCGAAGTTCTAGCAAATAGAATATTCAATATCCGAGAGTAAAGACAACACAGAAGATGGCGATGTTGAGGACTTGAGAGAATTCATCCATCATTTCGCATACAAGTTCCGAAGTCTTTGATGATTGATGCCGATTTTTGTATATATTTATGTGTTTTTTCTATCAAAATAAATTTGCATAATTTTTTGTATTCACTTTTTACTGACTTCGACATTGGACTTTGGCGCGCCTTGATCGGTGAGTCCTTTGATTTCCACGTGACTAAAAGAAGTACATGAGCAAATAATTCAACTCTCAACAAGTGTCCTTACTCAAAGAGCTTTGCCATCAGCGCTGCTTCGACAAAGTAAACCAACAAGTCGAACCACCAGAATACGTTTGCTGCCACAGCTGCCCCACCCTTTCTGCGAAAAAATCATATTCAAAAATAAGGGGATCACCTACGAAATGGTGATTATAGCAGCGGCATAGGCAAAGTGGTAGAGAAACAATACAATAGAGGAGAATACAATACGTTGTTTACAGTGGCAGTGGTTTCCTGTACGATAGGAGTGTTTTTAACTGGATTTATTTTGGACAAGATCGGGATGTTTTGGACGAGGATGTTTTACTGCACGATTACGACTCTAGGTAACAAGATTTTTTATCTTCGAGCTTTTCACTAAATTTTAGGCTATGTGATGATGGCTCTTTATACCTCCAATGAGCTTTTGCTTTTCCCTGGTCTGGTGTTCCTCGCTTGGTCTGGACTAGCGTACTTGGTCATCAACAATGTTTGCGTCTCAATAATGGGCAGATTCGCTGGAGTCTCCGTTATCATCTTTTCCGGAACGTTTGATGCTTCTAGCGCCACTTTTCTCGTCCTCAGCAAAATGACCGGCACTTTCGGGAAGGGGCAAAATTGATTCAAATTGAACTTTCATCAGAAAATTTTGACCTCTTTTGAAGATCTCTCAACGATGCTTGGATTTCTAGCGGTTTTATCCGTCTTTATCCATTTTCGAACATTCTTCATGATGCCATATGGAATGCCGGGCAAAGAATGGGCAGAAGGAAACTTTCTGCGGTCGAATATTGTCTCCAAATGTCAGAAAGTAGGCGAAAACTCCGAAATCAAGGAAGAAAAATCGGAAAAGAATGAGCCTGAAAAAGAGAAAATACCGTTGAAAGAAAGCTGTCTCAATCAGACATTTCTCTTGTTTGCCACTGTTTTTGTTGTTTATTCGACGAGGGTTAAGGCTCTTCAAGGTACTCATTGGCAAATAGCGGGTTGGGAGATCTAATTCTAGGCTGGATCTATCCTTGGATGGAGTGGTCGTACGCCAAAGTCCCGGGAGACACGGCAGAAATTGAAGCTCATGTTGGAAATCTTCTCGAAATCTACGGCCTGCTTCTTTTTGCCTCTCCACTTTTCGCCGCGCTGCCAGAACTTTTTAGCTGGATCGGAAGCAAGTTGAATAGAAATGGAATTCTCAACGGAGATATGATTTCTTTGACGATAATCATGAGTTATTCAGCCATAGCGTGCTCGGTTTGCTCGGGTCAGATGATGTATCGGGTAAAAATAAAACGTATAGGGCTTGATGAAGGGTTCTTTAGGCGAAGGATTTGGACGATAATGCAAATGCATATGCGCTGATAGTGATTTTTTCGATTGCCAAGACAATTGTTTATGCTGCTCCGAATATGGCAAGTACAAATTTTACTGCAAAATGCACATTTTTATTTGGCGTTCAGTTTCTTTTCTACATGTTCCCTCCTGAGCATTTCGGCTCTCTCTACGGCATCCTCACCGCTCCTGGAATCGTCACCATGTGGTTCATCGACCCTCTTTTCCGCCTGATTCTTGGCGACTCGGAAAGTCTTGCTGATGCTGATTTCGCGCCAGTTTCGATTGGATTCGCCGTGCTCTGCGGAGTTGGGCTCATTCAAGTCTTTCTACCGAAAATTGGACTGATTCCGGCGGCGAAAAGAATGTGCAGGGAGAAACAAAATCAGTCAGAAAGAACGAAGGAAGAATCGCATGGAATTGATAATAACGGATTCGAGTTGGAGAAATCAGAAGACATGTTTTGAGGAATTCTTCATGTTCTTCTACTGAGCTGGCTGTGTACATAAATAAAACAGTATAAAACTAAGTGGATATGTCATCTAAAGCGCCTACAAAGATGTCTTCTGAATAACTAACAGTAATATTGACGAAAAACACGATGAAAACAATGTTTTTCGGTTTAAAAACGCATTAAATTCAATTCAAATCAGATTCAGAGTCGCTGCACTAGAATTCAAAAATATGTTTCTTTTTCGATTGTCCTTACTTATATCAGGCATATTTTCATCTTGGTCATTTTGGGATGATATTCTCCCCAGCGAGGAAATTCGATCGGTTTTACATAACAACGGGACGGACGACAACACAGAAGATGGCGACGTTGAGGACTTGAAAGAATTCATTCATCATTTTGCATACAAGTTCCGAAATCACTGATAATTTTTGTATTTATTTCTTTTTTCATCAAAATAAATTTGCAAAATTTTTTGTATTCATTTTTTGCTGACTTCGACATTGGACTTTGGCGCGCCTTGATCGGTGAGTCCTTTGATTTCCACGTGACTAGAAAAAGTACATGAGCAAATAATTCAACTCAAAGTGTCCTTACTCAAAGAGCTTTGCCATCAGCGCTGCTTCGACAAAGTAAACCAACAAGTCGAACCACCAGAATACGTTTGCTGCCACAGCTGCTCCGCTCTTTCTGCAAAAAGATGTTTTTCGGAAATAAGGGGATCACCTACGAAATAGTGATAATAGCAGCGGCATAGGCAAAGTGGTAAAGAATGAACCACATGATTTTCTCCAGCGTTGGCATTCCACTCCACGTAAAGCATTGGCACTTGTCTTGAATTATCAGAGCTGGCCACCAAAACAAGCTAAAACTGTTCCAGCGCATGATTATTAGGGTTGAAAAACCTGATGATAGAGACAGAAAAGGCAAAAGCCCAGTTAGACGGAAACCAGCAATTGCCATTGTGGCAAACAGCTACCAGGCAGCAGATGAATGCGATCAGCTCGAAAATGATGTGAAGAGTCCTTATTTTGGTTGGATTTTATGATCGATCCATTTTTGGAAAGATAAAATGGGTTGGTTTCAATCTGATTAAAGTAAAAACATCTGCATTCGACAATAAATTCAGATTTTTTTTGAATTATCATAGAAAATGAATCATCAGTTTTTCCAGCACACATTTGATTTAAATAATTCAAATAAATTATAAAACCAACGAGCCTAAAAATGAGCTTCTGCTCGACCATTTTCAATTCTCCTCTTTTTCTCTTATGTTTGCACTTTTTGAAGCGTTCAGTGTCTCTATGAACTGAATTCTCAGAATGTTCTTCTATTTGACTTTCTGTCAAACGCTACGAAATTCCTCCGGACACTGGTAATCTCGATTCATGAGCTGTAATAAAATTATATATCTGTAGCGGATCACGTGAGCTTTCCCGCTGAGCGCAAATTCTGGAAGAAAAGCGGAAGATTAAATTAATTCAACGATTGTCAGAGCTAAAGTTAATTTAATTTTCGAATATTTTTTTAATTAAAAATCTAACCGGTAAATGTTTTTTGAAATCAACAAGGACTCATTTCTTCTGTTTATATTTTTGGAAGTGCGATTCGTTTTGGAAGATCCCCAAAAATAAAAACGAAGATCCAAAATCTGGAGAGGGTATTTGCTTTGCAGTTAAATAAAATTTGTATTCTCACCCCGCCCTGTGCGTCTTGTCTTGGCAAATACCCTTCGCTAATTACGATATTTGAAAAATAATCGAGAAAAGAGAAAGAGAGAGCATGAATTTGAAGCAGGTTTCCGAAGATTTTGAAAAGAATGGATTGGCGGTCGTGAAGGGCTTCGCGAGCGCGGAAGAATGCGAAGCGATGAGGGATGAAATGAAAAAGATTTGTGAGGGGTTGAAGGCGGATGAGATTCATTGCTTTGAAACCGAATCAGGTTTGTTTTGAACTCACTCATCTCTTCATCTTTCTAGCGAACAATGATTATTTCATGAACTCGGGCGACAAGATCAGGTTTTTCTTCGACCCAGCAGCGTTTGATGACCAAAAGAATCTGAAATCTACTGCTTTTACGGAAAGGGTTAAAATTCAAAATTGTTCATTTCAGATCGGAATGACTATTTCACCGAATCTGGCGACAAAATCCGCTTCTTTTTCGACCCAGACGCAAAAGCTTCCAAAGACGAGCTAGTCAAATCTGCTTTCACAGTAATAAAAGTCAAAGATTTCAATTTTAACCCTATTCCAAAAGTCGCTGAACAAAGTCGGCCACGCACTGCACACCCATCCTGGGGTCTTTCACGAAATCGTCACTGCTCCAAAAACAAAGGAAGTTTTGAGAGCGATCAATTTGAAAAAAGTTTGCGTTCCGCAGAGGTACCCATCTATGCGCACTCTTCTCTGCGATACTTGAAAATTTCAGTATGTTCATTTTCAAACAAGCGAAATTCGGCTCTGCTGTCCCGCCTCACCAAGACAGTACTTTTCTCCATACGAGCCCGACCCAGACTGTAGTAGGTCTTTGGTTGGCTCTAGAAGATGCGACGGAGGACAATGGATGCCTCTGGTTCATCCCAGGTATTTTCGTTTATTTTTTCATTTGCAAACACCGATGAAGGGTCCCACAAGCCGTATAAAAACGAGTCAAAGAGAGAAAAACTGGGCCATGCTTTTATGAACCGCGTCCCCACTTCTGACGGCTCTGTCAAAACAGAATACAGGCTTGGAACTTCGAAAGAATATTACGAATCGTGCGACTTTACCTGGATCCCAGCTCAGGTTCGGCTTTTTCGAGCGCCAAGGAGAAAATTTTTAGGTGAAAAAAGGAGATTTGGTTTTGATTCACGACATGGTCCATCACAAATCCCTGCCAAATCACTCTAACAAAAGTAGGAATATTTACGCCTGGCATCTTTTTGAATCATCTGAAGCTACATGGGACTCGGTAACAACAGTAATTCATTCTACAGTCGTGTTCATTTTATTCAGGACAATTGGCTTCAATACCCAGAAGGAAAATCTTTCATGGAATTCTCTACAGAATAATTTACTTGTTTGCTTTTCGAAGAGCTTTCAGTGCCCAAGAATCCGTCATGTGATCCTCGATTTGATACTTTTCAAAGAAATCTTCAAAAAATGACTTTTGCTCAAACTCGAATTTCTGCCGCAGGTTTTTCGGGGTGTGAGGCAGGGCAAGACTATTTGCATTCTTGAAAAAATTCACGAAATTGCCTGTGAATATTCTTTTTCGAAAAAGAAATGCGTGCATATTCATTTTAGCCTATTCTCACGCATATTCACGAAATTTTGAGCGGACGGGGATGGGGCTTCAGTTTGGGTGGAGCCCGCGAGCTGTGAGCCTAAGGGCCCGATTTGATTGCGCCGCCGGCTCGAAGCTCGACCAATGGGAGAGCGCAGTGTTCGCGAATATTTGAGATATTCACGAATTTTTCAAAAATTCACGGAAGATATTCTTTTCCATTCATTTGAATATTTTCGCGTCATGAATATTCATACAGCAATAAATAGTGAATCTTCGGCAAAAAGAATAACTTTGAGAATGCAAATAGTCTGGCCCTGGTGTGAGGCGAGTTGAGCTTCAACGGGCTTTCGGGCAGAGAGCTGACGAAGTTTTCGATCGCGCGGATTTTTTCGATATTTGTATCAACCCCTCTAGAATCGGTTGAGATGAAATGAGACTGAAGCGAAGCTTACGTTATATTGGTACAAGATGCAGTTTGCCGGGATCTTCTTCGTTGAAAAATTGTGCTGGATTCTTTTGTCGATAATTTTTGAAAACCATCATTTCTAAAAATTTGTCGAAATTATTACCGTATTTATCCTCGCAAACCTTCTCGTGAAAAAGCTCATAAGCAGACTCTCTCCTTTTCTCTTCCTAGCCCGTTTTTCTCCTCTTTTTGTTATAAAAAAAAGCGTCTCTTGGAATAAATCTACTCAGAAGAGCACTTGAACATAAAAGCTAATAGTTTATTATCTTCAAACTATCGAAATTTGAACAGTCGCTTTCCAAAAACAACAGGGAAAATGATCATCACGCCTTGCAGCGCAATAAAAGTGTAGAAAATGCCGGTGAAGCCTTCTTTTCCAAAGGTGCTTGGGATTTCTTGAAGACCGAGGATTGAAAGGCTTGAAGAGTTAAGAGTGTGAAGAGCTCGTTTTATTTACCTAGTTATGCCGAGGAAGAATCGTTGGATTCCAATCAAAATTCCGTAAAATTCTTCCGGAAAGAGGAATCGGCAGAAGACGGGGGTAAGAGTGTAGCCCCAGGAGCGATAAATGTTGTAGACGAAAATGAGTGGCAAGCGCATCTTTTCATCGAAACTGAGCTGAAGGAAGCCAAAAACGATTCCAACGAGGAGATTCAAAATGATAAAAATCCAAACTCCGAGAAGCTTCCCAAATTTCAGCGGTCGACTTTTTATGCACTTCGCAAAGCCATCCGAGACAAAGCCGCAGAGCATCGCGAAAAACGCAGCTGTCCAGGCATACGCTCCGAAATCATCGACGTGCTGTTTGTAATTGTCGCCAGCGACGAGTCTTGCATACGAGTTCCAAGTGAAAATACAGTTGAGTACATTCATATTCAGCAGAACAATCCAGACGACCATCAGGATATAATTTACGTCCAAATAATGTTCTTTAACATTTCCTCTTTTTTCGACTACTTTTTCATCAACAATTTCAGCTTGAATTTGCGACTTTCGGTGATTTTTGGGGAAAAAAGAACTTCTCCACGCACTCGCTGGTCGAGTTCTAAAAAGGGCGCACGAGAGGCGCGAGGGTGGAGCAGCTGAGGCACACGCGAGTAACGCGGTAGGAGATGGGCACTCCCGGTAGGATATGAGGATTATCAAATTAGCCAGGTGTTATGTGCGGTAGGATATGAGGGTAAGCAATCAGCATGATCCCAGGTGTAAAGCGCGCGGAAGTTCTCTCATCATTGTCATCAAATGACGGAGAATACAACTGGATGCAATTAGATGTCGCCAGAAGGGCACACATATATATATCATTCGACTCAGAATTTTCTCATAAAGATGGATTTCACAGAAACCGTCGCTAAAATCAAAAGTGTGCCAAGATATGCTGGCTCTAAAAATAAACTTCAAAACAAAAAATGAGTTTCAGATTTGAATTCCTTGCAATTTGTTACCCTAGAGTAGATTTAAATTGAAAAACAACTTGTTCGAAGTATAAGGTCTAGAAATTATCATCGTTGATTTGGCCCACATTTGTTGCTCATACTGGGCTACTTAGCTTCAATCTTGTCTCCTACCGCGTTACTTGCGTGTGCCTCAGTTGATCGACCTCGCTACTCTCGCGCGCCCTTTTCAGAGCTCGACCAGCGAGTGCGTGGAGAAGTTCTCTTAATCCGATTTTTGCCTGTCATTCTCGCGAAAAAGCTCTGCGAAAAAGTCGAAGAAGCTTTGTTGAATCTTTTTTCTGGGAAAAGAAAAATTGAACGAATCCAAATCGGAATTGTCAGCAGCAAATTGACGCCGATGATCCACTCGTATGAAAAACCATTGTCGAAGGCGATCGCTAGAATCCTTGAATTTAAACTTTTCAAAGGCGCGTATTTTATTCTACCTGAAATAAGAGCTTCCTGCTTGAAACAATCCCTGGCCAATGACGAGGACGAGCGCGCCGATCTTCGGAAAAAGCACGGACATCATCGAATTCGTCAAAACGAAGGAATAATTTCCGCAAGAATAGAAAAACACCGCCGGGAAGACGAGCCAGTTCACCTGCGGCGTGAATAAAAAACAAACCAGCCCCAGAGTCACAACAATCGTCAAAAGCGCTCTTGCTTTGAAAATTCCCAATTTCTCGATCAAAAATCCCATCAGAAGAACTGAAACGTTCATTGAGAAGCTTCCAATTGTCCCTGCCGCGGAAAAGAAACTGTCTCGCTTGCTACAATTGATGATGCCGCTACTGGTGATTGTGGTTGAATTTGACAAGGGATCGCAGGAACTCTCGAATACTTGGAGGGCTTTGAGAACTTCCACGAGACTTGGCCAGCCTGAAACCGAGAACTGACTCTGATTTCATTTGTTTCTTACCCATAATCGTTCCGAAAAAGACGAAGCCTTCTACAGGCAAAGTGGCTAATAGAAGCTTATCAGATATTCGCCCCATTTTCTCTTTGAAAAAAGTGTACTTATGCCCTTTTTTTAGCTCTGTCTCGAATTTTACTAGCGCGAATTGAAAAGAAAAGATATCAATAAAACTGTTATGCTCTAAAAAAAGCTGTCTATTTTTACGAATAAAGTGCTTTGAAAAAGCTTCTTTTTTCATTTTTTTTATTTTGATTCTCTTGATGTTTATTTCATTATTTTCACGGTGTACTTTTTTTAGCGTTTAACATTACTATTGAATTATACAGGAGAATAATGCTTATGAAAAAGCAGAAAGGGAGAAGCGAAAATCTTTTTAGAATTCAGAAAGTAATTTGGTTATTTGTTGAACTTTGAATAAAAAAGCGCAGTAGACTCTGATTCATTTCTTGAATATCCTTTATTTCTATATGACATGAAAAAGCAGCAGAAAAGAGGGTGTAGAATAAATGATTGCATATTTTGGTTTTGGAGACTTTTTTTGAAAGCCGTTAAATTTGATAATTTTTATTTGAGAATATTCGAAAAAATCGAGAACGAATAGTATCTCGTTTTTGTGTGGTGATTTGTTTTATTCTATGCACGCAATTTTTATAATATTTTTATTTAAAAGGAATCGCAGTTATTGTTTCTTGTAGAAGTAAAGAAGGAAAATGCACGAGCCCAGTAAAAGCGCCATTTTTGAATTTTTGAACGTCGAAAAGCTGTTTTATGAACTGTAGAGAAAGCTTTTAGCGCACTAAAATCATTGATCAGTAATGATTCTAAATCTACCGTGGACATATTGATCGATACTGTGCTCGGAAACCTCTGTAGAAAGCCTGACTCAGGCCCTGAGACAAGTTTTTTTTCAGAAAGTCTCGGAACCTGACTCAGGTTTTCTACACAGGTTGCCAAGCCCAGAGGCGATCTGAATTGAATTCCGGAAAAGGGACTTACTATGAAGCATTCGTGAATCCATGCGATGCGCGCGGAAGTTACTGCCTCCATCGTAGCCATTGAAACCGCTGCTGCCATCGCCGTTGTTTGGACTTGGACTGGAGCCGCTGCTGCCCCCGTCGCCTTTGAAGTTATCGTTTGGTAGAATTCTCCTATTGTAGCGGTACACCTGATTCACATCGGCCTAAAAGGAGAGTTCGTTCTTGTTTACAAGATGTTATGGCTCAGACATAACATGATTCAGGGATAGCAAAGTATGAACATAATTTACTCATATAAAGCTATATCTAACCTCGTTAACAACTTCTCGAAGCGATAAAATCGAGTTGAAGAGCTTAAAAAACTTTCTGCCTTTTCCCTCTGCCCGGGCTTTTGACATGAGCGCCTTGATGAAGATCTCTTGGAGGAAGTGAATCACGTGGCGCTGCTCCATCGTCAGCCAGTCGTTTCTGTCAGAAGAAAAGACGATCTTGTGCAAAGGATTTTGAATTAGCCTGCAAAAGCCAAAAAATCATCTGATGGATTCAAAATCCCGTAGCAAAGCGGCAACAAGAGCATGATCGAGATCATCCCCACCGATGGCCTTTATTTTCATAGCGCAGGCGAAGTATTCTTTGAATTTCTGCTTCCAATCATCACCGAATTTACTAAAAAAATAATCGATAAACTTTCTTTACAGCGTTAATTTTACCTCATGTCCTTGATACTGTAATTATTGCCAGTAACGCCTGTAATATGACCGGCAGACTCGGCCGTCGTTTTCGTCCAGCGGAGAATGACGAGCTCCATGAAACTTCGAGTGACGAGAGTTTTTCGTTCCGTCTGGTTGAAGTGATTTCCAACATAGGGCAGTACGCTGATGAAATCAACGAGGACTTCTACGTGCATCGTCAGCGAATCTCGGATGTGATCAACGCAGCGCAACTTTGACCAGCCATTTGTCGGTTGCTCCCAACGAGTCATTGCACCAGTATTTTTCTCGGCTGTTATTGATGCTAAAAATGGTTGGTATTGACGGTCCTACTCAAGAAAAAGACGGTCTACGAGAGAAGAGCCTGGGCTCGGCAACCTGTGTAGAAAGCCTGATTCAGGGTCTAAAAGAGATCGAATGAAATACCGCGGCTTCATTTTTAGACCCTGACTCAGGTTTTCTACAAAGGTTGCCTGACTCGAGACAAGAGTCTAGACATGTTCGATGTCTAGACATTTTCCAGATTAGTCTTTTTTTCTTACCGACACTTCCACTTCGCAGATGTCTGTTGCTCGTGTAATCGTTCCAAAACGTCTTGACAAGTTCGAGCATTGTTGAGTCATGCGGACTTGCATCGATCGATCGAATAGTCGATGATGTCGATGGTTTGTTCCTTGAAACCAAGGCGCTATCGTTCTCGCCCCGACTGCCACCCGCTTTTCGACAAGTTCGACGGTCGTTGAAGCTCTGCGTTCCTGAAAAACACGATTGAAAACTACCTGGCTAATTCAAAATTACTTAAAAAAAGTTTGTCCGAAAAAAAGTTACCCCTGACAGATTGAGTCCCAAGCGAATATTTACCTTGAACATATTCAGCTCTCATTCCAGCATTTAAACAGGCTTCGAGGCGGCAGTGTTGACATTTGAGCATTATTTCCCGCGGAGTTAGGTTCGGCGCGCGGTTGATAATCACCTCCTTCAAGAAAAAATAATCGTAAATAAAAAATAACTCGCACTAACGCGCTGGCAGGTCATGTTGCTGAGTGAAGCGTTGTTTTGAAGGAGAACGATGCGGCGGAAGAATACGCGGCAGGAGTCGCAGCTGATCGCATTGTACTTGATTCCCTGCGCTTTTCTGTTGCAAATCGCGCACTGAAAATAGCGTTTTCTTTCCAGATAAAGATTAACAAAGATGAAAGCGAAATTAAGTCAAAAAAAAAGTCGAAACGGATTGATGAAAAAGAGGATTTCTTTGTACCATAAATTTACTTCGTTTTTAGCATTAAATTTGTTGATAATTTTTTGGAGGTGGTGCTAAGGGCGTAAAAGAGATTATAGAAGCCACGGTTATTACGTAATAACCCGCAAATAAATGCAAAAATTAGGTCAAATGGCGAAAATAGACACTGCCCAATTTGCAGTGCGAATTAGTTTTTCGATATATATTGTGGACTCTTTTCTTCAATATTAAGATTCAATCTTTACATCTTATCAATCATATAATATGAGATAATTAACCACAAACAATCTATTAAGATTTTAGTCAAGAAGAAAAGCGTGTTCAGTATTAACCCTCATTCATCTTAATTATCTTCAAAAGCAAGCCACAGAGAGGCAATTAAATGAATAAAAGAGTAGCACTAAGGAGAAAGCTACCTTTTCGTCGCTAAAAAGCTTTTTTCCTCTGGTCTTCTTTTTTTTTGGCGGTGAGCTTCCGGCCTCAGCTCCTTGTTCTGATCCGTTCACTTTGGTTAGCGTGATGACTGATGGCTGCTGAACCATGGAAGGGCGGATGAAATTCGGGGAGAGGGATTCTGGAGAGGAATGGTTGAAGAAGCCACCATTTGTGTGCTCCATCTAAAATAGCATACTGTAAATTAAGGATTATTTACTCGATACAGGAAAACCGGTTAGGTTGTCAAAAAGAGCAGTCAATAACTGATCTCCGCGACTGGTGCAGAAAATCTGAGTCAGGTTTTCATGTGGCTTTTTATATAAAAAAATCGTTCAAATCCTGACTCAGGTTTCCTACACAGGTTGTTGAGCAAAGAAGAGGAACAAGACTCATCAGGTTCCCGTTCTTCTGCATATTGGTACGGATTCCTGTCTTCTTCTCAAAAGACAGGCTCCTTAGACTCAAAATATACTCCTCACAGTTACGTTTTATTCTGAATATAATCCTGTAATTTTTCTCCGAAGATGAAGAACAATTTATCGATTTTGACGAATAGGTTAAAATCGATATCAGTACACTGTTCAAACATGCCCATTTGCACTTACTATTTTGTCTTTCTGATTGTCGTTCTCTTCTGTGCTTCGTTCTTTGTGTTCTCAAATGGCTGAATTTCGTTTTTGTTCACATTGATTTTCGTCGATTTCGGTGCGTATCGATTTGAAACAGCGAGTCAAGTGCGATTCAAATTCAAGTCTGAAAAACAAACTCGGTTTTTAAAGAAATTATTTTTTCTCTTTATCAAAAAATTAAGGATATACACCCCCTTAAAGATCTTACTTTTACTGATAAGGATGTCACTTCATAAAAATAAATACAGTCCGATAGTTCCTTTTTTGGGCGTTACTTTTTTGTGGGTTTTCTCGGATCAACTCTGAGTGGCGTTGGTTACTGTTCTCTAGTTTGTGGTTTCTCTATTGGCCAACATAATGCTTCCGCAAGTACAAAAAGGGACCCTTCCTGCAACACCATTTAATATACAAACATTCCAGCGAGCCTTGCGGGCAAAAGAAATCGCTTTTCGATACTCGACTAAGTCTCATCGACAAATGGGTGGAATATCTTCCATTTTCATCCAATAAACTGTCAGATATTCCGAACAGTCGGTCTCGGCTATTCCGAAAATGAGAAATGGAAAAACGTCGATATTGAAAGTCAACATCATTGACCATCGTATGTCAAAAGCGGAAATGTCAAATGATTACAAGTTGAAAGCTTGATTGTTTTTTTCTTATAATTTCGTAAATTATCATTATCATAATTCTCTTTTGACAAATTTTGACTCCTGGTATGCTTTTTCTAAAATCTTGAAGCAATAAAAAGGAAAAAGAAACGGAAAAAATGAAATATTTTGAATAAAAATGAATATTTTTCTCTTCAAAAATAAATTATTGATTGAATGAAAGTACTGAATAATAACATTATATAGTAATTACATAATAAAAAGATGATATCCCTGTTAATATTTCCGTTCTAGCAACAAAATACGAAGTCCTTTTATCAAAATAGAGTTGTCTCTTGAAAAATATACCGATATGATCAGACATTCTAATGAAGAAAGGGTCAATAGTTAGCCAATCACAATTTTCGACGCTCATAGTGGTGGCGTAATCCCGCATTTGAGTGAAGTTTTATCGGTATTTCGCGGGCTAGGGTTTTCTTCAGATTCGGAACTTTCAAATGAAATCGCCATAAAAAAAATTTTTTCGAAAAATTCGATTTCAAGATTTTTACAATGGTGACATTAATAACCGAAAAATTCGAAGATAGAGCGAAAAATTGAACTTTAACCCCTTTCACACTTTTTAGGCTTGAACTTTAGACCACCCTCTTATAAATGAAAATTATGGCAGAAGAAATTCAGGGGTTTCGCTTTGAAAACTGCTCTTTTGATGAATTCGCTTCTCTGAAGGAGTCTCTTTTTCCGATGTTAATTTTTGCTCGGCGTCGGGTGCCGTCCCAATTTGGCGCAGCTCAATACAACGCCCACGCAAGCCAACAGAGAGCGCTGAACGACCTCAGTCGCCAGCTCAGTCCAACTTGGGAGCCAAACTCAGCATTCCAAAAGTTCAATGAGCATTTTCCCTTCACAAGTGTTGGGAAAAACTGTGAGTGGCATTCTCTTTCGAGTTTGGGAAGACGAAATTTATCATTTGTAAATTCCTTTTTCCCGTCAAAATTTGATAGTTATGTCACTTACAGTTTTATTAGAGTGGTGACTCAAACTGACACGGCTGTTTTGGAGGTGCCAGTTTGAAGCATCACAGCACATCTGGCCTCGGCAACCTGTGTAGAAAACTTGAGTCAGGGTCTAAAGCATGTAAAGTAAAAAGGCGCTACATCCTTCAGACACTGACTGAGGTTTTCAACACAGATTGCCGAGGCCAGCTGTACATTAAAACCTCAATTTATCAGATTTTCTTTCCCGAAGCTAGAAAATCTGATAAAATGGTTACCTTCTATTTTATTCGCCTCCCGAAAAGGGGGTCTTGACATAATTTTAATTATTCAGCATCACTCGCTGGCTCACTCTATGAATTAATTTCAGCTTGTCGACAGTCTGTGAGACTCGCTGTGTCAGTCCAAAAAAATCTGGGCCAAATCTGAAATCTCTGCCATCTTTGAATCCGCTTCTGATTTTCTTCACCCTCGAGAAACTAATGATTTAACAATGTAAAAAATACAGAATCTCTTCAATAATTTGCACTACTATTTTTGAGGCCGCCCTCAACTTCCTTTTAACGAACTAAGAACTAACAAAAGATGAATAATATCAATATAATGACAGTTTTCAGCCTAGAATGATAAGGGTGTCACTTTGCTTTTTGATCAAGATTCAAGAAAATTATTAAAAGTCTTCAAACTTGACAAAAGAACAAGACTAAAAATTTGATAATTTTCTGGAATATTGATCAAATATCAAAGTGACACCCTTATTATATCTTCCTCGACGCTCTTTTTTTATCGCCGATTTCAAGTTACAAATCTCTGGAATACCAAATACGCGTCGCTATTTTCCGATCTAATTTTAACTCTCTTAATTCGCCCAGAAAGTTTTTGGAGGTCTAGAATATCTGACAAATTTATCCAGCGTCTATTTTTCTCGCTGAAGTCAATTTAGATGTTCCATTGGAAAAAAATCGATGCAAAGGAGGAGTGAGACCCGTTCAGCTTTCAACTCATTCTCATTCGGCGCTTTTTTCTTTATTCCGATGCTTTGTCCGGTCGATATTTCCAAGCTGCTTTCGCCTGAAGCTGATTTTCTAGTTGAGCGACTTGTGCTTTATCTCCGACTGCTACCTGCGTTCGAACCTTGTCTTTCTTATCAATGAAAAAATTGCTCGGATCCGCCAGGCTGCATCGACGATTTTCAATCAAGAAGGTGAATCACGTGTCTTCTGATCCCCCCATTCAAAGATTCTCAAATCCTTTTGGCATCAAAGAAATGGGAAAGAAAGCTGAAACAAAATCTAAATATTTGCCCCTCCCAAAATTTCAAATTTGTGTTTGTTGCGGTAACATGCTCAAGAGGACAGTAAATTCACAAGAGAAGAGATTCAAGATTCAACTTTGAATGAGATTTTTACCGTTTTTGGGCTTTTTCGAGCTCTCTCGAGCTTGCTGGCCGATTGATTTGAACGGAGATACTCACATTGGAGAGCGTAAGTTTCATTTTTCTAGCGCTAGAATCTCCCAACGCGCGAAAAAGGTGGTGCCGATAAAAGGCGAATTCTGGCGATAAGGGTCACGGAAAACGCCTCAGGCTTCATTAACGATTCAAGAGCCATGATAACTTGATATTACGCGTAAAAACACTGCCGATATCAGGAGGTTGAAAAAAGATTTCAAATTCTTTAAATTCAATAACGCGGTCGCGTCAGACTTTCAGCGTTAAAATTTGATTGAATGATCTTCAAACTTTATGCAAAACAGGAAATGTCGGAGATCCGGGCCCGTTTTGTTGCCTAGAGCGGTGTTTTCAATGGAAGGTTCTCTTCAATGTGGAAGCCTAGATTGAACTTGACGCCACAATTATCAAAATTTGTTTTTTGAAAAAAATGTTGTTTTTCAGTAAATTTCAATTTTAGATGGATGTTATGATGCGCCAGTTGTCATTCATGATCCTCATTCACCCGCGCCCAAGGATCTTTTAGGATCGAGCTTCAGAGGAGTACCTCCTCTTAGTTAGAATTCCAGCTAAAAAGCCCGCAAAAAGAATTTTGCTTCGTCAAATGCAAAGAAAAACATGATGAACTTGGACATTGGACTCATGCTTACGTTGCTTTTATGCCTGAAAAAGGCCCGTTTCTCCCTTCTTTTACCTCGACCCCTCCCTTTACCTTTTAAAGAAACGCTCAAAAGACTGTCTCGTTGATTGTATTTGCATCAAAGAAGAATCTCAGCGAATTTGGGCTCTGACTCTCAGCATTTTCGGCGGAATCTGTGTTTGCGCAAAATTCTTGGTAAAAAAAAGCTTTAGCCTTTAAAAAAGTCTTGTAAAAAGTAGTCGTGTAAAAAAATCGTAAAATAAGACTTACCGCTAAGAGCAATTCATAACACGTCTTATAAAGCTGACAATCAATCGTAAAATTAAGATTCTGTTCCCTACTGGAGGATTAAATTGATTGACATTTATAGATGTACTTTGGCTACAAAACCCAAAAAGCCCTGAAACCACCTCCCCGCGAATCCTACGACGCTTACACCAATCCGTCCTTTGAAGCCGCCCTGCTGCGCGAAATAAAAATGGAGCAAGAAAGAAAAATCGCCGAGCGAAATGAAGAAATTTCACAAATTTCCAAAAAACTTCTTGCCCGTCGCGTTTCTGTCTCGCAGCCTCCAGTATTTCCTATTTCGATTTCGAGAAAAATGGAGGCGTTGGACGAAGTTTCCGAGGAGGATTTTGAAGGTCTTTCTGAAAGTGAAGAAATTGCTGAGAAAACAAAATTTTGAAAATAAACGCTTTGAAAAGTCAGAAAAACGCGGTTGTTTTTGGTCCAAAGAGGTTAATTTGCATGTTGCAATAGGCAATAGAACGCAAGTTGCAATTTTTGACTTCAAATCGCCCCCGGTTATCGCTGACGATCGGTACAAGCAAGTAACTTGAGTCAGTCAAATCCGCAGACACACAAAATGAAGCTTTTCTCTTCTTTCGTTCTTTTCGCTGGTTTTTCCGCGGCTGATGAGAGTCTTTGCTCGGGAGGACAAGTTCGGGAAGAACGATGCTGCTCTCAAGAGACCTGTGATCCAAATGAACCAATATTAAGTGTTTCAAATGGACGTTTTTGAAATCGGGGTGTGGCAATAGTTTTTATTTTAGAGAAAGAACGGAAAATTTGAGCCGCCGGGAGCGCGGCTTTCTTGTCTTTATACTCGAAGCCGCAAGCGGCTTCTCGATTTTAAATTTGCTAAGTATTCAAAGTTTTTCAAGCTTTCTGCTTTCAACTGCTTCTGATGAAGTGCATAGTTGATAGTCAAAAGTGAAACACGAAAAAGTGGTGCCTCAGCGTTTTGCCCGGCGAGAGATGTCCGAGTGCATGCGTCTGTCCCGATGGAATGAAGTGGGATAGCACAGCAAGGCCACCCAGATGTCTTCATTCCTGTGCAATTCGAACTTGCGGAGACAATGAAGAGTTCAAAACTTGCGGAACTGCTTGCGAACCAACATGCCAAAACCCATCGCCTGGGGTATGCATAGGGTCCACACGCAAAGAGGCCAATTTTCGGCTTTAGAGCCGAATATCTCGAAATTCGCGTTTTTCTCTAGATTTTACTATTACGCGTTCCAGTTTTTTTTATCTTTTCTTGACCAGAATTTCAAGGGCTACATTTTTCATATTGGTGGTTTTTTCATAGAATCATGCGGTCACCGATTTTTTCTTTGCGTGTGGGCCCTAGGTATGCACCGAGCAGTGTGTCGAAGAATGCCAATGTCTCGAAGGATTCGTCAGAAACGACGAAGGAAATTGCGTGAGAGAACGAGAATGCACCCCAACTTGTGGAGAAAATGAAGAGTTCAAGACTTGCGGGACTATGTGCGAGAAAACATGCTGGTCGCCGAATGAGAATAAAAAGTGTAACAAGAAGTGCAACGAGAATGTGTGCCAGTGCAAGGATGGCTTCTTGAGAGAGAAAGGCGGAGCTTGTGTTGAGGCTGGAAGTTGCAAGCCTCAGGCGAGATACAACTGCAAATTCGGAGACTTGGAGTTCATCGACCGCTACTCAACCAAGAAAGGACTTTCCCCACTTGCTCCGGGAAAGAGCCAGGTCTTTATCTGCAAGGACAAGAAAAACAACAGGAACAAGAAGATCAATCTTACTTGCGGCGAATCTGCGGATAATGTCGGAAAATTTGATCTCAAGAAGGATTTGAATCTGTACTTTGATCACTGTGGAAGTGGTTGCTCAATGGATGAGATTCAAGAGCTTCTTGGGGCGACTGCGGAAAGGTAAGTTTGAGAAACCATAATAAAATGAAAAATATTTTGGTTTTAAAATTTCCTCGAGGAATAGATTTTGAGTCACCCTTTAAATTTTCTCTGCTGAACTTTTTCAAAAGTTTCTTTTACTTGACTATCATTCATATATCTAAAAGCAATTGCGACTCCTTCGAGCCAGGCGCCAAATGCAAGTTCTCCTGCATCTCCTCCTCGACTGGCAAAAGATTCTCATCGAAAAAGAGCTACAAATGCCTCTGCAAGGACGAAGACGGCAAACGAGTCTGCTCTTGGATCGGCAAGTTCAAGAAAGACACCTTCTTCGCTGCTCAAAACGGGGAGCCTTCCAAATTTTCTTGCGCGTAAAACAATAAACTCTTCCTTGATTTCAAAGAATAAACTTTTCTTCTCCTTCTATTACCCGTTTTTCATTAAAAGATTTAGCGGTTTATGAATGTCAGTAAACAGCTCTGATCAGTCTTAATCGAGCAAAATGGATTAAAATATCAGTCTGTCGATCGAAGCGGATTGGTTTCGATGAGCATTAGCTCCGTTTCTCCGATCATGGACACAAGAGAAGCCCATGTCCTTCAAGTTGATCAAAACGCTTGAATTAAAATATGAACTGATTTTTATTGCGGCTTTGGTGATTTCTCTCGTCGTTTTCAACGGATTTTGCTTATGGGTAAGTCTAAAACAAAGTCTCCGAAAATGACTTTTTTGAGTATAATCGCCACGAGGACCGGCTAGAATGCATGGATAAATGTCTACCGAGACACTGCATTCCAAAGAAACATCCAGTGTACATCACATTTGCTGAAAAACGACAGAGAAACCACTTGAAAACTTCTGTTCTCGTGGCAATATAAATATTAAAAGGCCTCTTTTTGATAACAAAGAAAGGGAAAAAGAATTGAAAAATAGAAATTAAGGGTTTGACGACTATCAAAGCCTTTATGTGTCTTTTTATTTACGAATTTGTTTTGGTACGTTTCCGAATCGTGACAGAGGAAATCCATCTCGGCACATTTTCTCCATAGTGACTGTCGAAGCTACTGTCAAATCGCTCAATTCGATGAAGCTCGAGAGTGTTTCTTGTTTTCTTAAGGCTCTCCACTTTCTTTGTTCCGTTGCTCGGTTCCTTCCGCTTATTCGAGTTATAATCATCCACTTTCGCTAATCCCACTTGCTGGTCGTGAATTTTTTGGTCAGCTTTTTCAAACTTTGGGAGGCGGGACTCGATTGTAGGAAAAAATGAAGAAGGCTTTTCATTTTTCTGAAGAACTACAACTGGCTTGGGCTCGTTTTCGGGAAGATTTTTCGTCGAAGAAATCGGAGGATTCGGAGGTCTATCGGAAAGAAGGATGAACAGTTGATTCTTGGCTGTTCCTGCTATACCTGAGCCATTTGACCGTAATTTGATCAGCAGTAAGACCCCTTGTTGGAGGACGAAATAAGATACGCTCTGAACATACTTTTTCACCATCGTCATTCGCTTGGTCTTTTTGAAAGGAAAATTCTGATGGTCTTTTCCTTCGGTTCTTTTCTGGTGCTAAGAATTTGTCTTTAGAAAAATAGAACCAAGCCTTAGTTTCGCTAGTTTATCGAGAAAAAGCCGATAAGTTGTCGGAACAAAATCGGCCATCTTTGCCACTTCCTCCTCGTTGATTTTCTCCCCCAACATTTTGTGTTTTCTTCTTGTTTCTCTCTTACTTGGGAATGGAGAAAGCATTCGATTAGCATTAAATCTTTTATCGCTTCTCAAACATCCGTGTATCTTTTCCTGATCCGCGCAAAGTCAAAAATCGACGATTTGACTTTGGGAAGTGGATGTATTTGCGCGATTTCAATTCCGCTCCTGTCTCCGCTTTTCTTTCAATTTGTTGTAAATGAAAAAATCTGTGGCCACAGACATTCTATTCCGATTTTCTTCTCTCTCTCTCTCTCTCTCTTTTTTGACAGTTAGAAAAACAAATCTTCTAGTTCAGGAAGTTGCTTCAGGCTGGTTAATGTGGGAATGAATGAGGATTTTCGGATTTCGCTGTCTTGCTCAAGTGTTTGCAAAGAAGTTAAGGTAAAGGATTATCGGCCGGGCAGGTCTTGGATTTTCCTCTCAATTTGTTTGACCAGGACACAATGAAAAGCAAAACTTCAAAAAGAGCTCAGGGCTCCCGCCCCAGGGCCCTTTATACGTCAAGAATCTGGACATAAGTTTCTGCTGAAGTCACACTGCCTCATCTCTGTGCTGGGCAACCTGAGTCAGGATTTACTGAGCCCAGCCAAACTGAATCAAATATGCATGCGGAAAGAAGGGCAAACGAAAAAAAATGATTTCTGAATTTTCGAAAGTTTATTCGAGGCATTTAGTAGTAGAAACATCTGACGGAAAAATACGCTTCTTATATACAGTTAATTATGGAATTTTTGGACATTTTTTGTCCCATGATTTTCTCAAAAATGTCCAAAAATTCGATACACGCTCCCAAGAAAAATGTCCCAGCCGAATCGCTTAAAAAATTTTTTTTTGAGGAAAAACTCGATCATCCTCTTTTTCCTCCTTCTTCCAAAGACAAAAATATTCTTGGGGAACGAGATAGACCTTTAATTCTATCTTTCTGAAAGAGAAAGTAAAATTTTAAATAAAAATAAATGTCAAATCTTATGATATAACTGTTTTTTCATTGTAGAATAAAAATTTTGGCGCAGAAAATGTCCAAAAATTTGATACAAGCACTTTTAAAAAGTGTCCCAAAAAAACCCCTTAAAATTGAAAAAATGTCCAAAAATTTGATGTCCAAAAATTCCATAATAAACTGTATATTTTTTTGGAGAACAGAGGATGAGAAGAATAGAGGAGGAAAAATATCTTTGAGATTTGTTTTATCTTGTTTTTTTTTTGGTTGAGAGAGAGCAAGAAGAGATTTAGAACAATGAACGGGTAGGATGAGTGTTGTATTTACTTGAGTCGGTGTTAGTTATAATTGGTTACGAACAAAGTGGGATGAACAAAAATTTGCTGGGTTGAAAATGAAAATGGTATTGGTTGGGGCTCAAAAGAGCGCGGAATTGAGCTTTCAAAGCAGCAGCAGAATCATCATTTGCTGCGACTGTTGCGCTTTTTTTAACTTAGCGTTGGATTTAGTATGTAAGTGATCCTGAGATTGGCTATTATCAAAATTAAAGAGAAAGAGAGAGAGGCAGACACGTTTTCATATCTGATGTGTATGTATTTTCAAGAAGAGTTACTATTATACAAGAGTGAATTTAAAAATAACTTTTTGCTTGGACGATCAAAGCACAAAATTGGGGAACACCTTTTATTTTGAGTTGAGCTTCAAAAGGAGCAAAATATCTCGAGGGAGCTACCTATCGGGTAGTTTTACTTGCTGGGTTGGGTACATTCTTTGTTGGGTTTATTGGGCTCTGTGGAGATTTTTAGTGGGGTTTGATGACTTTTGATTGGCTCGAAGAAGAAATAATCGCCTCTTATTGGGTGAAAATCCCACAGAGCCCTAAACCCTACAAAAATATGTACCCAACTCAGGTAGAATTGTGAAAAGTATATTTGATTTTTTGTTTAAGGAACACATGGAGTTTTTTCATTTTTTTTGGGTTCCAGCGTGGGCCCGTCCTAGACGCCAAACTTTATGATTTTAGCCCCTTGTACCAGCGACCGAGGGCGTGAAAAAATCCAAGACGCCCTCGGGCGAGTAGAAGACTTCTATCAATTTAAGCCTGTCGTGAGACTGATCTTCAGCGGAAATTTCTGAAGGGGGTACAGCCTTCTTTCAGGACGGCGCTGGAATTTTTCAAGTCGAAGATTTTTGCAATAGAAGAAAAAAAACTTGGCTTCCAGAAATAAAAAAGCCGTGGAAAAAGTAGAAAAAACGGTATAAAAACTTGCGAGGGGGAGAAAAAAGAGGAGTAGTACAAATAGATAACAAAAAATAACGGCTTCCCGCTAATCTAAGGCGAAATCGCTTTCCTCTTAGATGAAGCGAAGGGGGTAGGTTTTTAGGTACAGCTTGTGACTTGGATTTGGATTTTTGTCTTCTTTGAAAGGGGGTGAAACTTGATGGAACGAACCAAAAGAGGGGGATGATCCAGTCAGAAGAGAACGGGATGCTACTCAGCAACGAACGATTTCCGCGAAGGTCTGAAAAAAGGGGTTGAAAAGCAATCCTCATATTTCGCTTTCAAAAAGCTTTAGAACTGGATTCTTTGACTCACCATTTGTCCGAAAGGAATCGGCTCGAGTTGACCATGATTCAAGAGTTTCTTGACGCTGGAGAAGATGTCTGCTTCGGTTTCGTCTTCCTCCCCGCGCTGGATGAGTCTCGAAATGAGCTTGAGCTCCATCTTGGCGTAGGGCTTCAGAAGACTTTGCGCCTGCTGGATGGTCTGTGTGTCGGTCGAGTAGCCGTGCAGCGCGAGTAAGCGACGAAGACGGAACATTCCACGGCCGCCAAATGTGACCATCAAGCATCCGAGGGCGACTTCCATGTTTGGCAACTTTGCGAGTTTCCAGCTGAAATAAGGGGTTAACTTTTTGTAGCAAGGAGTTTATTGTTGCGAAGAGAGGACGCCCTTTGGCCATAAAATCATGAAGAAGAATTTTAGCCCTTCAAAAATCGAGAACTTACTCTTCAAGGCGTGACACTAAAAATTCCGCGATCGTGATTCGTTTTTGTTGACTAGGGAAATCAGGTCCATTTCCGACAATATCCATGAAGGCGTACAAGAAATCAATCGAAGTCGACTGGTTGATTTGCCAGTCCAGTTTTGAACAGACGAGCAGTTCCATTCGGAGAAGATCTTTGCGCGAAAAGGTAAATCCGGCTGCCTGAAAAAATGTGATGAAAGATGAGAGGAAGGAGAGGATAACCAAATATGTTTTTATATATTTTTATACCGTTATTTTACCGTGCAGAGGGAGCGAGCGAATGATTCTCTGGCTTCATCTTCTGTGTATTTAGCAGTTAGACTGAGGCAAGCGGCGGCGAGGACCCGAACCAGTCGGGTCCGAACTTTTAGAACGTTGAGGACTCGGTCGAAGACGCCGAAGCAGAGCGCTACCGTGTCTGGAGACATTTTAAGCGACTCCCTAGAAGAGTAATTTAGATATTTATCTTGAAATTATCCGGAATTTCGCGCGTTGAAATCAAGGAAGAGAACTTACGCGACATCGGAAATCCATCTGCAGGCGGTCTCGCGATCTTCGACCGAGACAAAGTCGGCGTCGGAGCTCTCGCTGGCGGCTTTAACATTTGATTCGGCGGCCTTCCAGTCCTCTCGCTGCTTGGCGACGATCGCCTTGAGGTTGAGCGCCAGACGCCGGAGCGGAACGGAATCTTTGTTTGAGCGGGCCTGAAAGCGAAACATAAAAAATGGAAAAAATTTCAAGACCAAAACATTTCGAAGAAAATTGGTTCAAGAAGGATAAAGGTCGGATTAGCAAAAATTGCTCATCAAAAAGGGAGGTTATCGGGTTCATTCTCTTCGCCCCAGAGCCGGAGGCAAATACCTGTCATAAAAATATTAGGCAAAACTTAATTTACGGGCTTTAGAAAGAATGACCTTCAGTGCGTCTTTTCGTTGAATATATTTTTCAAAATTTTACCTTTTCAAAAGTTAAAAAGTGTCCCGAACGCATAAAAATCTCTTTGTATCTTTCTGATTCTCTTTCGAAGTCGAATTAAAAAAATGGAAACGCTTATTTCTACCGGTAGCCGATCGAAGGTAGGGTAATCGATATGTTTTCTGATGAGGTGGCGTCTCTATTCGGTATTGTCGGCAAGGAGGCGATGATTCACAGAATCACCTCGTTGCGCATCAGAGCATCGAAAACCATCCAAAAATGGTGAAAGCTTTCGTAAATTTATTACGAAAAACTCACTCAATATAAATCTATTGATGAGCCTTTCCCTTTTTTTTCTGAAAGGAGAGTTGACTCTATTTCCGGTTCATAATATTGGCCTTATTTCCCTCAAAAGTGACCCTAACTGTAGGTTTAAATTTTTATCCAGGACGTCATCAAGACGACACGAGTCTAGAATTTTCCACTATTCCGTCACTGGAAATGACAAAAGAGGGGATAGGCATTGACGCAAAGACTATTGAAAAATCGCTCCATTGTAAATAGCAACGCAAGAAACAAGGTGTGACGGGGTCAGAGTTTGCTCTTTCATATTTGCTCGTTCGGATTTGTCACATGATTTTATGGCCGAACAAGAATTACCTGTATTTATAGAATTAAGGAGAATCAATATTGAAAAATTGGCAATATTTTTCGAAATGAGGCCTTGTTAGGGAATTCCAGCCAGTCGGAAAAGAGTATTTTTATTGACAACCAATCAGAATAAATCGAAAAGAGGGAACTTTAAAAAGTTCAAATCTGATTGATTTTGAATAAAAATTGCGTTCGGAAACTGTTTAATAGAGTTCAAAAGGTCAATAAAAAAATCGCATAATTGCGCCGTATAGAAACGTCTGGAAAAGAGCTTCTAAGGGTCATTAAAACAACACGGAGTGCAGCTTAGGGAGATTGAGAGCCTTGCGCAAGATTACCCGGGCTTACAGTAGAAACTACTCAATTACACCGGTCTAAATTGCCCCGAATTAGGTCAGACGCTGAAAAGTCAGATCGGAAACCAAAAAGGGTTCAAAGCAGGGGCAAAGGTCAACTAAGCGCGCTGGCAATCGTTAAAGCAAACCACTCAGAGGATTGTGGATTCGGGATTGATGACTTTGTTTTCAGAATATTAATCATTTCACCGGGACAGGTAATTTCGAGGAAATCTGACCGCTATTAAAAGCGATAAATCACCAGGAAAAATGCTGAATTCCGACTGTGACGGAAGAATTATTACTAAAAATCGAGAAGCCGCTTGCGGCTTCGAGTAAAGAAAAAATACAAAAAAGCCTCGTTTCGCGCGGCTTCATTTTTTCATTCTTCGAAGCCACAAGCTGCTTCTCGACTTTTAGTAATAACTCTTTAGTTACAGTCGGGAAAATCTTCAAAAAAACACGCTTCTTTATTTATCTCTTCTCGAGACATTAAAATATCCTTCTCTCTGTCTCATTTCTTTTCTTCATCTTTTCACCTCTCTTTGATCAAAATTACTGTTACTTACAGTGTAAGATTGTCGATCGGATGTTCCGGTCGTCGAAAAGGAAAAAGTTCGTTTCATTCAAAGTGCTGCTCTGGCGGGTGTGGCCACGTTAGAGCTTGAAAACAGGCTCTGGCCCGAGAGGAGATGAAGAGAGAAAAAGCGCGTGGGTGGCACAATACGAGCACGGTCTATTCCGACCGTCTCCTTTCTTTATTCGGAAAGACCTTGCTTGTTGTCGAAAAGAATGAAAATAAGATGTTATTTTTGGCGGAACGACAAGATCCATTTTTGTCTAAAGACGAGCGCGAAGAAAAATGCGCGAAATCGAAAGCGAAAATAGGATAATCTGCCCGCGAGGAGGGCAGATTTTTCGCGAACGCGATATTCGTTTTTTTCATAACTTTCTGGACTTCCGAATTTCTTTTTACTCAAGATCTTGGCTCGGCAAACTCTGGGCCAGGGACTGAAAGATCTCTTATTTAAAGCCGCGTCGCGGCTTTTTTTTAACAAAGCCGCGAAGCGGCTTCTACGGATTCTTATAAAGGACCTGAATTAATGATCTGCGAAGCCGCTTTGCGGCTTCGTTTTTAGAAAAGCCGCTACGCGGCTTCTAATAAGAGAGTTCCGAGATTCTAAAAACGAGCATTGAAAAATTAGAAAATCTGATTTTAGCCACAAAATCTGATTTTGCTAGATTCTCTTAGAAATCCAAAATATCAAGTCTTACGCGAGAAAACCATCATATTATGACCTGGCAAACTTGACAAAACTTGTTTCCTTTTTAAAATTACCGAATTTCTGAAAACCGTGACCGCAGTTTGTTTACTCTAAAACAACGGAACAATAAACAAACCACGATTTTCAACCACAATTGAACCCTTTTAACCTATTTTTAAAACTCTAACTTACCATTGAAAAGATTCTCCTCGACTTGTTTGAGTTCTTCTGAGGCAGAAAATGGCATGTCCAGAATTCTGCCGAGATGTTATGCGTCCATGATTTCGATTATTTTCTACTCACTCTAAAATAGTAAAATGGTAATAAGCGATAACTAAATTAGTTTCTCACAATAAAAACATCATAAAATCAAGAAGGCAATTCTAGAAGATTAACTCGTAAACAATCGTAAAAACAGAAACATCTGACCTTTTAAAAATTAAAAATAAAATATATATTTTTTAATAAATTGGATTCCTGATGATTAAATTCTATCTTCGTTTTTTCTTATCAATCTCTAATTCTCGCTTATTCTTCCCGATTTCGGCTCAAAAACTGGCCCCGACTGGATCTCGGTTTATCCGACCCCGCTCTCCTCGAAAAAAGGGAGTGAGTAGGTTGCGCGCTCAGCGAATCAACGCGCGCTTCGAAACTCCCTGCTGCGCCCATCTGAGTTATTTTCTGCGACAGTAGACGTCTGCGGCCCGAGGGCTGGTTTTTACGTAATTTTGGGGTTTTCGTGTTGCGCGAATAATTTAAATGCACGCTTTCGTCAGTCAAATTCCTCGTGTTTTTCGAACTGCCTAAATAATTCCCTAATTTAATTTCTTCTATCCTAACTAAGGTTTCTACTCATTTCTCTGCGGCTAAACTCGAAGCCGCGTGCGGCTTTTTTTACCGTCTTTTTTGCCAGGTTTTTGTTGAAGAAAAACTTGTCGATATTATTGGACTCCCTGGGGAGCAGGAAGCTCTCTTATTGAGCGATTTCGCGCCCAGATTTTCACAAGTTTATTTGACGAGAAAAAAAACTCGCCTTTCATTTCAAAATTTTACTACTGTTTGACTCGATCTTTCAATTTTCAAGATTTTCTTCGAAAAATTTTTGGATTTCAGAAAGCTAAAATAGACGAAAATGGATGACGATCTCGAAGCGAAAATGAAAGAATTGGACGAAGTGCACAAAGTCATCAATTTCCTGAAGAACTCGTCGGAAAACAAAGAAACGCAGGAAAAAGCGATGGCGGCGGCGGACAAGATCTTGAAGAAACGAGAAGCGGCAGAGACGAAAACGGTTTTGAACAAGACGAAAATTACGAAGCCAACAGATCCGAATGCGGGAATGATGGCGGCGATGGCGGCGGATGCGGAAAAACGAGCGATTGAGAAGAAAAAACGAGAAGAACAGGCGAATAAGCTCAAGGAAAGAGGCGTTTTGATGATTTGGTAGTTGATCTATTTGTTGCATCTCAAAACCCTCAAAAAGGAAAAAGGAAATGTCGCTCTGAAAGAAGGATTTCCCGCCGAAGCCGAAATGCATTACACCGCCGCTTTGGAGATTTGCAAAACGACTCCTGCAATTTGGACGAATCGGGCGATCGTCCGAATCCGCCAGAAAAAGTACAGAGAAGCTATTGAAGACTGCGACTGGGCATTTCGCGCGAGCAACGACAAATGCCACAAGGCGATGATCAATATGGGCAATGCGCACATGGCCCTGGGGGAATTTGAGAAAGCAGAAGAGGCGTTCAGAAAATGTATCAAATTGGGGAAGAAGGAATTGGCCCACACCTATCTAATAAAGTTGAGCGAGAAGAAGGAGCAAATGGAGCAGAGTAAGAAATTCATTTTTATTTGAAGTTTCTTTCAAGAAATGCTTCAGAAACCGCTAGAAAACGACAACTAGAAGAACTAGACAAGCTTCAAAAAAGTGAGTAAAAAGTCAGCTCTTAGAGATCCCAGGCTGTTCCCTTATTCTTTTATATAAATAATTCTAGCCCCACAGAACACTAGAAGATCTAGCGAAGATGGAATCGCCCACCGATCGGACTACATCATCGACCTCACTAAAGGTCTCCTCACGAAGGGCAAAGACTTGGAATCGTATCTCAATTCTTTGGAAATACTGGAACTCGCCCTAGGGCGACATAAACATCTGGTCTACGATTTCATCGAAGCAGGGGAATGGAATTCTTCAAAACGCCGGATGGAATCATCATCGAAAACCGAGCACAAGAGCGTTGGATCACGCTGTCGCCAGCAGATATTGCCAAGAATTCTAGCGAGGAAAATGCTTGTATTTCGATCATTTGGCGTTTGTTTGGAAGTAAGACCCTTTCAATAACTCTTCTTTAACTGTCAATTACAGTCACTGTCCGATACGACTACCCAAAAGGCGAAGAAGTGATGGATGACTCAGCCTTTCCGGACATTTTATTGGGCTCGCTGAGCGGCGGAAACGACCAAATACGAACCAGCTGTTTACAGACAATATTCTTCTTTTCCTCCATTGAAACGCTCAGATCAAAGCTCGTAGTTGTTTTTCATCGAACGGGAAATTTGAAGAAGTTTACCGACGCGATTTTGAATGGGGATGGCAACTCAATTTCTCTGTCAATGCAGGTAAATTTATTCACAATCAATTTCGCCCTACTTTATTTAATCCAAGAAAAGATCATATTCTATGAATTAAGAATTTTTTTATTTTTCTTCTTTGAACGGTGGTTTTTACTTCTGTCTCTTGAATACGAAATTTCCACATGATTTGAGTTTTTCAGCTGATCGTAGATATTGTCCTGAAAATTCTAGGAAGAGTTTAAAATGAGAAAGATTACGTAAAGCTCTTGATTAATGTTTCCCATTGTCCATTTCGACCTCAAGAAATGCATCGTTGTTACTCTCGTGGGTTGTTTCATCAATTCCTAAAGCGGAAGGTTAGTTTTTACCTTCATTTTTGACGGTACCTGATAGCCAGTTTCACGGATCAAAGGATTAATAAAGCGTATCGTAGCATAAACTTCACAAAGCAAGAAGAACTTCATTCTTCAGACTGCTTTCTATGCTTATCTCTGAATACCAGATTTCTGGGTCAGATTTTATTTCATCTAAAGGCGCGTACGATTCCCAGCCATGAATGTTAAATATGGCAAGCGTATGCCACCGTCCCTTTTCAATTCATTTCATCCCTCATTTTAACCCTTCATCGCACATTCATTGCGTCACAGTATTTGACCGACTTTAGATCATCACAAACTTGACGCGAATGGGCGATTGTCGTCGACTTTTCCGCGACGATTTCAGCAACACCATTCAACCAACATTGATTAGCGTCCTAGAAAATTACGAGTCGATGGAGTCGGAGACGGTGGCAAAAGTGGTCTCAGCAATAACGAATATGCTCAAGGATGATTTTATTCGAAGATGTGTTGTTTCAGGTAGTGGGAATGATTTTATCAATAGTTGATCTTGCTTTTAGCCGACATTATTTGGACATCAGTTTGTCGCGTCCTGGCTGAGGCTCCAGCCAAAACCAAGGATGATATGGACATGCTGGCAAATCTGCTCGGCTTCCTCCACAATATGTCCTTTGACAAATCTAAAGTCGTGATAGAAAACGCCCCAAAAGTCGCTAAATCCATAGAGCGATGCATGATCATCAAGTCGAAAGATGACAATGTACTGCTCCGCTGTATCGGTCTCTTCAACAATATCTGCACAAAGAACGCCAAATGCTGTTCAATCATAATCAACTACACTGAAAAGCTAGTCGCTTGCTTGAGCCACAAACGAAGCGAAATCAGTCAACTCGCCGGCCGCTGTCTAGCTTGTATGGCGGAGAAAAGTGACGATTGCTGCTTACGAATTGTGAAGGCAGATGTCGGACTCAAAAAGGTCAGCAAATTCTTAGAATCTGAAAACGACGCTGAGCGGGGAAATGCATCGCTTCTCGTTTCCAAATGCGCACCTTGTATTCAACCAGGTACTTGTTTGTCGTCATCTTTAAAGTTCAGCTCGTTTTTCAGATCCAATTCATTTGATCGAACCGCTTCTGAAAATCGTCAATACTTCCTCATCTGATCATGTTCGAAAAAACGCCGCAATTGCCGTCGGAAAGCTTTCACGCGACTCTCCAGAAGGCCGAAAAGAGCTTCACAGATGCCACGGGCTTGAAATCCTCACTGCCCGCCTGAAGAATGTCAAACTCTAGTGCCCCTTTTTCGTCACATATTTTTCACTATCATTTTTCCTGCCACCTTTTCTATATTTTTCTACAACTAAAATACCTATTTTTATCAAAGAGAATCATGAAAACTCTTCCTTTAGACCTATCAAAGAAAGAAAACAAAGATGGACTGGGATATTCCAGAGCCAGAGCGTCAAAAATACACCGCCATCTTCCTACAGCTTTCGGACAACGATCAAAATGCCAAATTATCAGGTGCTCTTGTCCGCCCCGTTTTGATGAAATCAAATTTGGACATTGCCAAACTGGGAAAAATCTGGGGTCTTGCCGATATTGACAAAGATGGGAGTTTAGACAAAGATGAATTCATCGTCTCTATGTACCTAGTGTACAAATCACTAACTGACGGATCTGATCCTCCTGAAGCTCTTCCGGCGAAGATCATCCCTCCTTCAAAGCGACCCAAATCCGCTGCCCCGCCGACTAGACCACCTCCGCCAGCAGCGAATTACAGCGCTTTATCAGGCCTTACCTTGGACGATCCATCAGGATTCTCTGCTTTCGACGCAGCACCTAAAGCTCTGGGAGCCCCTCCAGCTGCACCAGCCCCACAGGAAACCTTGATCACTCCTCCTACTCCTGCCTTTTCGGCCGACTTCAGCAATTTTGGCGCCGCCGATCCAGCTTCATCACAAGCCCCCGCGACGAATCTTCTCACAGGGTCCCAAAGACCTGCTGTTCCCGCTGCAGAGGTGCCATACCTTGTCCCAAAAGATAAGCACGCTTCATATGGCCAGATCTACGACCAATCGCACGACCCTTCCACTGGAGTCATCAGTGCGATGGCCGCAAAGGACGTATTTATTCAATCCGGCTTGCCCAATTCGACCCTGGCGCAAGTCTGGAATCTGGCGGATACGAATCAATCGGGCTCGCTAAGCCGTGATCAGTTTATTCTTGCGATGCACCTTCTCGCTGCTGCGCTTCAAGGGCATCCCCTCCCTTCTAGCGCTTCAGAAGCGATGATTCGCGCGTCAAAGGGAGATTTTTCGGACTTAGATCATGTTGGAACATCTACTCTTCCACAGACGCGATCAATTCCTCAGGTGGCGCCAGAACTTCAAGGCCTGCAGAATGAAATGAGCCAGTTGCAAGCAGAGCTGGATCTACTCGAACGACAGGTTGAAGCGCTCAAGGGAGAGAAGGATAACCAATCCTCGACGATGAGCCAGTTGCAGAACGAAATCGATCAATTCACAACCGAACTGACTCAAGCTGAAACCAGCTTGGCCGTCGCAAAGAACGAGCATAGCTCGGTCGAAGCTCAGCGAGTCAAACTCGTGCAGGAAGGAAATGAGCTGAACTCGAAGTTGGCCACGGAGCGGGGTTCTCTTGCTGAACTGGAGGCGCAGCTGAGGGAGCTGAGCATGGGGCCAAATCCGGCGGTCATTGAGCGTCAGAGATTGGAGGGCCTTCAGGTTCAACAAGTCCAGGCTGCACTTGAGCGGGATAATCAGGTTCATAAACTTTCGCGTCACCAAATTTAACAAGCGTTTTAGTTCAAATTGCTAACAGAAGTGAAAGCGGAGCGATTACGAATGGACAAGCTTCTGGCCGATCTGGAGGAAGAAAAAGCAAAACGCGACAGACCGAAATCCAAATCTCCGACTCCCCAGCTCTCGCCGATGACGCCCATTGACTCGAGTCACGTGCCTGTGTCCATGTCCGCGACTACCCTCTCCGGAATGAGTGAGTTACGCAATGATATTTTGGATGATCCCCCCGAGCTAGGTATACCAAACAAACCGTTACGGCGTTGTTGGTATTTATTCAATATTCAAAAATCATATTCACATGTTGTATTCATACAGATTAATCTCTTGGTATCTGTCTTGGCTACAGCTCGTGCTTTTTAGGACCATGAGCTTAGAGAGCCTAACTGAGAATAATAAGAGTCCTTTTGATCTCAAAAATTCCTTTTCAGGATCAATATCACCTAACACCACTCCCGCCCTGACCCCAGTGTCTGCGGCCTTCGACAATTTAACCCCACAAGGCTCCGGTCGGGGCAAGTCCCCAACGCCCGAGTCAACGGCGACGCCCGAAAGCCACCTTTCCGCACTTGAATCCATCAAAGCACTAAACACAGGCGGAAGCCTCCAATCAACAGGTCAAGCCAAGTCACCGTCCGCTACAAGTTCAATCAATCAAAAATGTCATTCTAACTCTCCTCCTGCTAATCAGCTTCAATCAGATCTAGCTGCACTAGGCACAGATAATTCTGCCGAAAATAATTCAGGCACCAGTTTGATTTCATCTTTTGATTCTCAATAAAAATCTCAATAAAGCTTCAAAATTGAAATCATGGAAGACCCATTTGGAGCTTCAAATTCAGGGGCCGACCCATTTGCCGCCGCACCAATGCCCAAAGACGATCCCTTCGCCGTATCCGCCGATAAACCGACCGATTTCGACCCCTTTGGAAGCGGAAACGACCCGTTTGCCGCTCCCCTTCCGATCCCTTCGACGGGGTAAGTATAAATATAGAGCAGAAATCATCAGAAAACGCCTTGAATGTCACGCAAATTGAAAACAAGATCAACAATATCAAAATTAACGAAATGGTAGGTTCTGATTGACTTCAATTCAATCAGCAATTCCGGTGCTAGTAGAATACCGGTGAAAAGTGCTACAGTAAGAGATAGTGAGAGTGAAACCTTCTCCTGTGTGCCATTTTTATTGACCTGGTGTTTTTCTTTTGAAACTGTCATAATTTCAAAGCGACAAGAAAAGACTGCTTTTTATTGGTTGATTTGCAAGTTTGGGCATTTTGATTGGTTGAAATTTTCCAGTCTTACTTTGTCGCCTAGCAATTATCGACGATAAAAGCAACCTTTTTGATTGAAGAATTTCAAGTATTTCAACCCTTTTTTAGACGGCAGATCCATTCGGCAGTGGAGCCGACCCTTTCGGCGCAAATACATCGAACGATGTTGACTCTGATCCGTTCGGAGATGATCCCTTTGCTTCGAAACCGAACGGAGTAGCAAGCGACGATCCCTTTGCCACTTCTGACCGACTCGTTCAAAATTCTCAGAAGAGTTCAACGCCGCAGAATTCCAGGGAGCGGGACGAAACGCCAGAGACGTTTTTTGTTTAGCTGAATAAGTATGAAAAAGTCTTTGATTGACAGTTTTTTGCACAAAAATTGATTGAAAAAAGGTTAATTCTTGATTGCACGAGCACCCCCTTGAAAGTGATCCCTGGGGCAGTGCGTTTGGTGATTCTGATGCGACATTCGGGAATTTCGATTCTTCCGAAAAGAAGGTTAGTTTATGCTCTGTTCTTTTTCCACTATTTTAATGTGTCTCAGACAAACCAGAAATCCAAGTCGGTCAGCTCTACCATGCGTCGTAGAGTAATTCCGACTCCTGAGCCCGAGGAGGGAAAAACGCGTCGTGAATCTACGAAAAGAGTATTTTCTTCGAGCTCTTATCGAAAGAAATAACACAGACACCAAAAAAACGATCAATTAATAACTAATTCTAAGTTGTAAAATACGCACAATAAATTTTCTCAATCAGCACGGTTCAAATTCAATGTTTAAAAGAGAGCGCTCTCCAATTTATTTTGGACCAAATTCAAAATTTTTCATCTTCAGGTCGCCCCGGCGCGTCCACCACCGGCTCGTCCGGCCCCTGCACGACCTCCTCCACCCGGTGGCTTTTGAAATCACTCCATCACACAATCTCAAATCCGAAAGAAATCCTATCATTCTACTACAAGTCTTGATTCATGTTTTGATACCTTATTCTATTCAACTTCCTTCAGCACCTATTTTCTTCGAATTCTTCTATTCTATTTCCGACTTAGTTTTAATATATTTGCGACTATCCTTCTTGTTTTATGTTTTTAATATTACTTCATACTATTTAAATACAGATTTAAACAGCTTAATAATCAAGATTATCCAAAGGCAAACTTCACAAAATATTGTTGAAGTTTTCTGCTTCTTGTTCTTTGTTATAGCAACTGAAGCTTTTCTGGTTTCCCGTTCAATTTCGCATCTGAAAAGCAGTCTGAATTTCCAATTTTGCATTTGCAACTTACTATGTTTGAATTTCCGCGCATCAAGTCTTTTCCAGCTGGAGAAAGTCATGTACAAAGTCGAAATTTGAAAAACAAAGATAGGAGCATAAACCCAGCTTCGCAGCCGAATCATGTTCGCTCCCCAGAGAGGGCCGAATATTGCACTCATGTTTTCAACGAAGCATCGCATTCCTTGGTAAGTAGACTTGTTTTCTGAAGTCGAGAAATCGGAAATGATCGTGGCGGATGCAATGATAGTTGGGGGAATGCTGAAGATAACGAAAAATCCACCAATTGCCAGTCCTGGACCTACAAACCAATCTCTGAAAAGGGGTAATTAAAAGGAGCTCCCATTGTTTTTGTACCTAAAATTTCCAAAGAAAAACATAAGCGCGAATAAACTCGACGTCCCCAGATTCAGCGATTGACTGAAAGCAAGCGCATATTTTAAATGAAATTTGTAAGAAAAAACCACGGAGATAACGTAGCTCAAAAGAGCAGTGAATCCAACGACGGTGAAAATGATGATGATTTGACCCTGATTGAGCCCAAGATAATCTCGAAAAATCGTGCCCACAGTTCCTTCCAGCATCGACTGATAGAAATAAATTGAGAAAGAACTCATGAGGCAAATGATGATTGGTTCGGCAAGGAAGGGAAGGCTGCCGACTTGTATGAATTCGATTTTTTCATCTTTCTTTTCATCATTCTTTTCGTCGATTTTTTCTTCCATGATTTCAGCTTTTTGGTCAAAGGAAGGTTCATTTCGAAGAGCGACAAGGCCAGTTATTCCTGCAACGATCCAGACAATGAAAATGAAGAAGCCATATCTATTCAGCTCATCAACTTGATGACCGAAGAAAATGAAGTCATCCCATGAAGAGATCCAAAAACCGCTAACCATGGAGCCGAGAATGAGTCCGGCTTCGCGTTGGAGAAGACAGAAACCGATCAAAACGCCGCCATTTTCCCCCGCATCGAGCGCTACTCTGCCTATTATTGCTCCATATGCGCCATTGTTGACGCCTTAACTTTTGATTCAATCAATTTGGAAGCTTTTTTTTCCGACCTGAAATAATGCGGGCGAAAATAATCCAGCCAATCGTTCTGTAAAATGTGAAAATATAGTAGCCTAGTAAGCCACAACTAATTGCAATAGCATACGTCCATTTTAACGATTGAGTTCTATCAACAAATCTTCCAAAAACAATCGAAACGGCTAGCGAGGCAAGATAATACAGTCCAACACAGTAGCCCATGTATGCCTCTGGGGCTCCAATCGATGTTATATACGCATTTAACGTAGGTACAATGATTCCGTATTCTGTTCCAAGGGCTAGGTACCAAAAACACATTCCAACGTAAAAAATTTTGTTCATCCTTTTTTCTCTATTGAAGAATTTTGTGAAAGGAACGGAGAAGTATAAATTGGCAAAATTGAGTTTATTAGTTTGTTTCCGGTTCGATCAGCTCGGCAAAATGGGACCATCTTTCAAATGGCCTATTTGAATGAGGATATAATTAAAGGAAAATGATTAATTGTATTCGGGAGCAGCGTCTGTCCAGATTGAAGAAAGATTTTTCTATTTATTCATCGATTTTTAGTACAGAATTTCATTTTCGCAAATTGATCTTTTGACCCTTTTTCGCCTTCATCAAGTCATTTTGTCGCACTCGCATGCCCTTGATAGTCAGCTTCAGGTCAACTTGTTGCAGCTCAAGGTCGTATTTTGACGCCTCCAGGGTTTGAAGCCATTCGTAGAACTCGACGACCTTCTCCTGGAGGCGCTCGCCGCTGAGATGGTCGATGTTGAGTGGTTTTCTTCGCTCGGCGAGGATCTTCTTTTTCTCTTCTTTTTGGGCCGCGCGTTTGCCCTTGCGCATTTTCTCCATTCTCGCTTGATAACCACTTGGAAAATATGCTTGGTTTTCAGCTGAAGACTTAGTTTTTACCCGAAATTCATCGACATTGCCAGCATCAGCTCTTTCTTCCGATCTTCTTCTGCTTTAGCAGCGGCTTCTGCAGCTTCCTCCTGTCGTCTAGCTGAACAAATCTTATTACAGTAAGTCGCCCTGCAGAGCCCGGTTAGCTCAGTCGGTAGAGCGTTGGACTTTTAATCCAACGGTCGAGGGTTCGAGTCCCTCATCGGGCGAGCTTTTTATAAGCGTACCTTCCGCTGCTCTTGCTTCTTCTCGCTCTTTTTCCTTGATCTGGCGGATTCGGAGCTGCTCCTCTCGGGTCGCAATTCGTTTGTTGATCATTGTCCTTAAATAATTAGATTCAATGGGAAAATCCAACTGTACTTCAAGTTATTCAGCTCCTTTTCGTCCTCTTCTCTCTGGACAAAATGCGAGCTGATTAATTTTTCAAGCTCAGCCAGATCTTTTTCCATTCTGACTCTCTTGAATTCATCCAGTCCATCATCTCTCTTTCCTTTTTTCGATCCGATTTCAAAGTTGGAAATTACAGGAACAGACATTTTTTCGTTGTTTTTTTGTTTGTTTATTAAGACTTGCTGTACTATTTTGATGCGTATTTAAAAGATTGACAAGTTGAGAAGAGGTTTGATATTGACAATTTGGCAGTTTTAATAAAGGTGACTTTGAAATCTTCGAGATTTTTATTGAGGGATTAGTGAGGGCAATTTAGAACAGTTTTTTCCCTTGCAGACAAATTTTAAGATCTTTGTCCACAGAAAATTATTGCCAGTGTATACCCTTAGTCAGAAGTTGTTTATTAAGAAAATTCTTTTCTAGAGTCTTTGCTGGTGGTAAATAAGAGCTGCCCGTAATGGTTTTCATACCAACATAACGATCGAAGTCATAAGAGAAAATGCTCTTTCGCTGTGGATCAGCTTGGTTTGATGAAGAACTAAAGCATCGACTGTATGGAAAACTCGTGGCAATAATTGGTAATTATTACTGGTGCGTCCTGCGGTATCGGCCTTTCAACTGCGATCATGTGTGCTCAAAGGTAGAAAATAAGGTTGCTCCCTTTCAATTCTTTCAAGGGGAGCCTCTCTTCTCTTGCTCTGTCGGAATGAGGAGAAAATGTCCGCAGCGGCGAAAGAAATTCGCCAAAAATCAGAAAATCCCAATGTCAGAATCATCGAAGTTCAAATGGATCTTGCCGATGTGAAGACAGTTTCAAAAGCAATCAAGGAGATCAAAAATCAAGAGTTGAAGATTGATGTTCTCGTGCTCAACAGAATGTTTATATAACATTAACTCGATACAAGTGGTCAATCATTACAGTCACTTCTACTTGCTCAACGAGCTGTTGGAGAATTTGAAGGTGAATTTTGAAAAAGAATTAAAGAATTAAAAAAAAAGAAATTTATCAAAGTGACACCCTTATTCAGGGAACCGAAAATGATCCAGCCAGAGTCGTTGCACTTTCAAGCAAAGCTCATGAAACAGCTCTTGGCGACGGCAAATTCTGGAAGATATATTCGTCCCCTGACGAAATGGTGTCCTCCCTCGGAACTGGAATCAAAAACATCGGAGTGCAATCATACTGCGAGTCGAAACTGGCAAATATTCTTCATATGCGAGAAATGGCCAAACGCTATCCAGCGATCAAGTTCATGTCTGTTCATCCTGGAATCGTTAAAACGAGCTTTTTTCGATTTTCGACCGAAAGTGAGTTCAAAGGAACTTTTGTCGGATGGTGGCTGAATACTTCCTTTGTCCAGTGGCTGCAAAAATCACCAGAACAAGGTTTGATCTTGAATCTTAAAAGCAAACTTTTCCATCAAATTTAGGAGCTCAGACTTCAATGTACTGCATCTGCTCTCCTGAAGCCGAAACCGGACATTACTACGCCGAGTGCGCTCAATCGAAAGTCGCGATCAAAGGAAAAAGAAATCTTGACGAAGCTCAGGAAGAACTCTGGAACCTATCCATGAAATTCGTCGAAGAAAACTGTCAATTTCACTGAGTTATAATTTGCTTTCTCATATTCCTTTTCGCAAAAAAGACGCAGTAATTATTCGAAGTCGCAATTATCGTCTGATTCTTTCGCCCGATTCAAAACTTCGTCTCGCTGTCTAAATTAAATTGTCTCTATATTCGCTCCTACGATAGACGTTTTTGAATAAACAAGTTGAAATTCTGATAAAAATTCAAAAGAGAAAAAAATTCAAGGCTACATTTTTTATCATTTTTATCAAGGTAAGATTGAGGGTAAAGATAAGGGTTAGGGTTAAATTGGTATCGAGAATCGAGAGTTGAGAAATAGAATTAAAATATTCACGAGTTATTTCGAATAATATATATTAAAACGATAGGAAATTTAAGGGGAAAACCGCGATTTTAACCGCCCGGTTCATCGCGGTTGACCGCGGTTAATGTTTTATTCGACTAGAAATTTTAGTAGAGGTCGATTGATACCCATATTAGGGGAGTTTGAAGGAGAGGGGAAAACCGCGGTTTTAACCACCTGGTTCATCGCGGTTGACCGCGGTTTATGTTTTTTTCGACTAGGAAATAAGTAAAAAGTCAATTGATTCCCACAGAGGTTCGAGCTGACCCCATAATGGAATTTGGCTTTTTCCTTTTTCTAGAAAGTCGCCTCTTTCTGCAGAAAAAGTCGTCCCTTCTCTGCCCCGGTCCACACGTAGCGGATAGCTGGGTCATTCACCGTCGCCAGTCTGTCTGGCTTGGGACCAGTCGTAATGCCAAGCCGGGCAAGGTGACTCCTACAGGACACGAGAGACCCTTAACCAAAAAGAAGGCAGTAAAGAAAAGAATCCTGCAAAGCCGAGTTTTCTCCATTTTCGCAGAGCGTGTATTTGTAAGTAAACATGGTTTTATTTTTCGTCGTGCTATAAAACCGTAAAAATTGAGTAAGAAACGTAAAGAATAAGAGAGAAAGAGACAGGGGGAAGGAAATACGTGAGCGCTGGGCAACGTGAGTAGACAGAGACGAGTCGCCAAGTTCAAGAATTTTCTGTTTTCAAAAAAGAGTGAATTCAATGAAGATTATTTCCTCCGCACGGTGGCGCTTTTTTTAAATGAGCCGAATAACCGGAAATACCAGTTGACCCCTGATATCAATGAAAAAAACGACGTTTTCTGAAAACCTGGATTTACCAAAGACCTTGTTTTACCGAAAAACTGTTTCCCGAATCGGGCGGAAAAAGGGCTTTTGCAAAAATCGTCCGAAAATCTTTCTGTACTTTCCAAGTTATGTTTCCAGAGGATTTTCCGCAACAGCCCTCTTTTTAGCCGGAGGCGGGAAAACAGTTACAGTAAAACAAGGTTTTTGGTAAATCCAGGTTTTCCCAAAACATCGTTTTTTTTCATTGTATGCACTACTGAGGTTAAATAGCACTAATAAAGTCTTTGTTACAGTACTGTCTCGTAGATATTCTGATCCGCGGAGCTGTTTACTGTAAGCTAGGGCTCGCCAAAAAAAAGTCGAGGTCGATTCTCCCCTACGAATTCTGCTTTAAAATGATCCCCGTTCTTTCCTGATTCGAATGATATGTTTATGTCGGGCATAAGTCTTGGGGAAAAAATTCTAGAGCTAGGCAGAAATTCCAGTTTTTGGGACTTCAATCACGTGCCATGACGTCATTTTTCGGAAATTTAAATATTTTTTCAATTTTTCTAGCGTAACTTTTCTTCCTCTTTTCAATAAGCTAATTGAGTTTCTTTTAGAGGTAAAATCAGGATTTTACCCTAAATTTTTTACTCAAAATCCCTGAAATTCACCATTTTTCGGCCTCGTTTCAACCTAGAAAAGCTTTAATATCTCGAGTTCCCCATGCTTTCCCGAGCCGGCAAGGTACTAAAAAGAACCGCAATGCTCTGTTCTATAAGAGTTTTGTCTCATATCTGGGGAGAATCGAAGAAAACTACTGAAAAATATTGAATTACTGATATAAAAATACGTCAATTTTTGATTTTTTCTCAAAAAAGACATTTTTTTCCTAAAAAAATTCTTAAATGGAACCCTAACCAACACTGATTATTAAAGCTCAGACTCTCAGCTTTATTTTTATATCAAAAATTAGTAGATTCGGGAGGGTTTCTTCGTTAATTTTTTCGTTTAAGCCATCAGACCCCCAAAAGAGCCATTTTTATCGAAATTTCGCTCTAAAATTTTTTTGCCTGAGTTTCAGGGTATGGTTATATGGGGAGTTTTGGGTTTTAGAACATGGGGAACAAGAAAAACATAACCACTGGGGACTTCAAAATTTCATGGCGAGCCCTACTGTAAGCATAACTAAAGGAAATCCTCCATCTCTTCAGCGGTTAAAACGTGAGTTGAATGAGACGAGTCGCAAAACCCAAGTTCACGATTTCTCACCTCCAGTCGAACTAAGATAAACGGTGCTAACGAAAGAAAGGGTTTTCATTCCCCTGGGTTTTCACAATGTTCATCTTTATAATGAACCTGTAAAAGCGTTTTACCAGCAGATGGTCTTATGATTACAGGCGTTATGAAACAGACGATTTCGATTTTTATTCTGACGTGAAATATGATCGATGGGCGCTACTGACGTCGTAAGGGAGTAAGGCCCGGGATCTGACTCCCTGAATCTCACCCTTTCTTCTTTTCAAAAATCGAGGGTTTTCAAAAAAACTTCTTTCTTTTTTTCCTCCGTTTTACGTCTTGTATTTACGGCTAGTTGAGTGTTTAGTCGTCGACAATTTTAATCACCTTTTTTGATCACATTGTGACGGAAACTCAGATATTAACGAAATCAGAATACAAAGAAAAAAAAAAGACGAAGAAGCAAGATTTTCAGAAAAGAGAGATCAAGGAAATTCGGGCACAGAAAAAAAGATTTTTATCAGAATCAGCAATTTGTAGGAAAAAAAGTGAAAATTTTATATTTGCCAATTAAATTTTGCAAATGACGTCAATAACGCGAGTGCGGCTTCGATTCCTAGGGTCCGCAAGGAGTTTTTTGAGGGAAAGAGTTGAGGCGTTCTGGAAATAATCGATAATGGTGTTCCATACTGACTTTAACAGAGGTTTTTAATGATACTGTTTGGTGTCTTTTATTATCAATCTATTAATAAAAAAAACCTAAAAAAATAAATTGATTTCGTTAATTTGAGAGGGCCGAATATCGGAATTCGATTTGCTGAAAAATTCATGCAAATTTTTTGATAAGATATCGTCACTTCGTAGTTCTTCGCCTCAATACAGAGCCCTTAATTTGAACTTCAAATTTTGTCTAAGTTAGCCATCAAATCAGTGCAGAACTCAAACTGCATAATTGCGCTCACCCTACGAGGGAACAGCCCTCCGGGCGAGCGTTCTGTGTGTGCACGCCTGCATGTGCTGCATTGGCAAAGTGACGCTACAGGCAGCATTACTCACCGTTCAGAGAATCGCTGATCGCCTTAGGGCAGAAAAAAATAAAAACGTGTGCCCAAAGATAGACTCGGCGAGTCGCATCAGCGCTCTACCCAAGTGAGCCTGCTTCAGACGCGAAGAATGTCACGAGACTTCATTCCGATTTTTAACTTTTGGGCACACCCGACAACGACAAGTCACCTCACTCACCAGCCTACGCCAAGAGTTACTGAACATTTTACGGGACTGTAAGAACAAATTCAAGAAGACAAAAAAGGGCAACTTACTTGAAAATATTTTTTATAATTATTAATTAACAATTATTATTTTTTAATTACAAATCATTCTTGATGGTTTTATCAAATAAGGTGAGATCAGCAACCTGTGTCTAAAACCTGAGTCAGGGTCTGAAAATGATATTTCTGATTTTCAGACCCTGACTCAGGCTTTCTACACAGGTTACCGAGCTAAGCCGTTGAGGTTTTGACTCAAAACTTTTGAGTAAATGTCCTTTATCGCGCCTCTTTTTAACGAAATAACAAGCTATTATTTTATTCGAATAACAAGCTATTATGACTCATTAGTAACATGTCTTTTCAAGTGAGTCCTGCCCAGAAATCACCGACTGCCGAAATCCCTCAGGAAGAATATCCCCATCCCAGGTACTTCCTTATCGCTAGACAAGACCTTTAGACATGCGATAGAATGTGTCTAGATCCGTGTCTGGGTAGAGGGGAAATAGAAATTCCATAATGGAAGGTATTGATTCTTGATCGCTGGTTTGTTTTTCACTCTCGTTTCTGACATTTGCTTTTGCTCCCCAGAACGTAAAGAACGTAATAAAAGAAAGGAACTTCTTAAATTTTCAAATTTTTCAAGATCTCAGAAGATGTTCAGAAGTCAATTTGATTTTTTGGTAAAAGTATTATTTCTTTTCAAAACCATTTTCCATTGTTGATTGAATCAGCTGGTAACTCTAGCTGATTTTCTCAAACTCATCGAATTTTGAAGTTTGAGACAAGTGGGCACCAGTGGCGCCGGTCGGTCTGGGGCCGCTGGGAAACAAACGAGGCTTAATTTTTTTCGCTGGCCAATGCGCTACTGGCTTTAATCTTAGTTGTGCTTAGAGTTAGTCGCCGCGCTCAAGAATTATTTTTTCACTATTTATAGTTCACTTTTTTGTTACTTTGCTGCTATTTCCAGAAAAATGGATAAAAAGAGCTTCTGCAATTAAAAATGACAGGTTTTAAAGTGTAAAATACGGCTAATGAGCTACGTAGAGAGACAATTAAAGAGTCAGCGTGTCAGAATTATTGCGGGAAAGTGTATTTTTAAGGCTAGGGTGGTCGATTTGGCCCAAAGCAGGGCTCATAAACTCTGGACTTGTGAATGCCAGAGTACCCTATGATAGCTTTTAATAAAGATCTATCCTTGATCTTCTGAATTACAGAAGCTTTTTCCGTCATCTCAAGAAAAAAGCCACTTCCGGTGCCTTCAAAGTTGGCATCTCGGCCAAAATCGCGAAAATAGCCCATCTTCAGGGCTCCAAAACTCCAAAGTTTGCATTATGGTCCTATCAGTTCTTACTATTTTTAGATTTCTTAGACCCTAATCTTAAAATTTACAGAAGGTTTTTCTTATTTGATAGTTTTTTCTTTAGAAAATTTTTCAATAAACCAAGGTACCTTTTTTTGACTATTCATTCCTATAAAATCCCCTGCGGGCATAGCCTAGACGCCACAAGCCCTACCCTAAATGAATGTCCTTAGTATTAGCTTTCCAAAAATGTATCATATGCCACTATTGTAAAGGTTTGAAATTTCAAAATATTTGGTTCACTTTCAAAATACACTAATTTTCTGCAGCTTTAGTCGCAATTTCCGGGAGTTCGAGTAGAGATAGCCAAAAAGTGCATAAGGAGTTTTTTGCTCCAAATTTTCTGAGGAAGCCAAAAATGCAGGTCAAAAAAAGAACCTGAGACTTGGCCAAAATCGACCACCCTAGCCTTAACACCTTCGCGCTTGGGCTAAAAATAGCTACGCAAAATATACACTATAAAAAAATCGTTAATAATAAATATCAACAGAAGCGCCAGATTTTCTCATGGCAAAAAACCAATCCAGATTTTTTAGCGCGAAGTGGATAGTCTCTCCCGTCGAATATCGAAGCTCATCGAAGAAAACGAGCGAGTACTAGTTGGCCCGCGCCAGACCCGCCGCCGCAACTCCCTCGGAGTCGAGTCAATAGCCGCCCTAGGCGAAGCTTCAATTCGCGACGAGCTCAAAGCGCCCGGTGGAAAATCGCCCAGGAGGAAGTCTTCTACTGGCTCTCTCTCCAATTCCAGGTGCAAAAACAGTCCGAGAGCAAGCATCAACCTCTATTTAGGCGATCTTCAAGAAGCGGTCCTTGGAGATACGAAGAAAGAATTCTCCAGCTCGGCTACACTCCCTCAAAGTTCAATTCTTCTTTTAGTAGAAGAAACTCCCTGCCGATAGATTGCTCACCAGTTGGGCAAGCTCCGTCTTCTTTCGTAAGTTTTTGCCTATTTTAGACCCTCTTTTGGCTTGAAAACCTGAGTCAGGGTCCTAAAAAGGCGACTTTTCATAAAAGCCTTTCATAACCCTGAGTCAGGTTTTCCACTCAGGCTGGAGAACTTAGGATCCTGTGGTCAATCAAGTTGAAAATTAGAACCATTCTGTTTCTTGTTTATCGTATGCATGTTCCAACAGAGTGATTAATTTGTTGTGTTCAGCGGAGCATTCCGACGGTGCTCACGACTCCCGCGGCGCCCCGGTCTGGCCGCCGTGCTTCGCTCCCCGCCATCTCGGGTGGCTCCTCCGCCTCCTGCCCCATCACCCCGCGCTGCCTTTTAGAGATGCATCAGGAGCCTGAGCTCGGCGCCTCGGCGGCTGCACTCCATCGACCGCAGGAAAGGAGGACACCACCAGAGAACAACTAATAGCCAAAGCATACACAGAGAGCTAGAGTCATTTTTTCTTTTATTTTTCTTTTTAAACTTTCTAACCTCCAAAATGAAGAGATCGAGCGTGATTCAACTGAACCCTGAATTCGAAGCGAGTCGAGATTCGAGGGATTCAAGAGACTCACGGTATTCGATGAGAATGGAAAGGGATGAAATGGACTCGACGGAAGAAGAGATTGACATCGACGTAGTTGGTGAAGATTCGGATAAAGAAGAGGACCAGCCAATTTCGGATGCTCAGGCGAGGATTTTTCAAGCACCATAATTTTTTATGTAATTCGCTCCATGTATATTTATTTTCTCTTGGATTCTTGATTCAACCTGAAAAGTAGATCTACAAAATTTCCCGAACTTCTTTAGTGCTCATAAAAATTCCACAAAAGAAACTCCAAGCCACCCTTAGCCGAAAGCAATCAATTCTCCGCCGCTGGGAAGCAGAAAACGGACTTTCCAAGGCATCGATTCCTCCAGCGTCAAATCATTCTACTGATCATAATGAAAATGGCTCCTCCCGGACCAGCGCTAGAAACACCCCCGAAGCGATGGAAGTCGAGAATCACCCACCCACGATAACGATGCCGCTTCATCCTGCGTTCAGAGAAAGCGCTGGGCAAAAAATCGGAGCTAGAGTCAATGCTGATATTTTTTGCACGATAGAACAGGTAGAATTCTTGCAGAAATAAGCGCTGAGCTAGATTTGTAGATCAAAAAGCAAGCAGCTGCCCAGCGAGAGCTCTTAGCAGAGCAAGGTTCATTCGTCGCCCCGCAGCTCAACGGGGGGCAGCCTGTGATGAGCCACGTGACCCGGAACGACTCGGCGCCAAACGCAGTCGTTCAACTCAAGAAAACCGTCTCGCCCACTCCATCTGATGATCAGGGATCGCAAGAAAATGATGTACAGTCTCTCGAATCGAGTCATGAAATTTACATTAGTTCAGGAAAGCAGACCGTTTCGATGCAACGACTGTGGAGTTGGATTTAGAATTGCTGGTCATTTGACAAGACATTACAAGTCAAGATCTCATCTTACCAAAACCATGACTAGTCCGCCTGCTTCCTCTCCTTCTCCCGTAAGTTGAAAGCTCTTTATTCAAAAAAAAAATGAGCTCGGAAATACCAAAAGTATCCTTCCGGAGGCCGGCTTCTCTAGAAATGATTGATGATGATCGTTCTGATTTCAGGCAGCCAGCGAGGCGTCGTCCTCGATGCAAGCGAGTCCGTGCACGACGCCGAGTCCCGCCAAGTCGCCTCCCATCGCGCCCGAGCACCAAAGCGGCTCCAGACGCTTCAGATGCGACGTGTGTGATATTGGCTTCAGATTCCAGGTACTATTTTATCTTCAAGAATTTTCGCCTTTCCTAGGGGTTTTGAAAAGATACAAAAGAAAGGGAATAAACTTAAGGGTATCAATTTGCTATATTTTTTTGGAAAATAATTTTCAATTTTTCAAAAATATTTTCAGGGCCACCTCGATCGTCATTTGCGTTCAACAACTCATCTTTCCATGGAAGAAGCTGTCCGTCGCAACACGAAAGAAAATTCATAAAACATGCCCTTATTACAAAAAATACGCAAATCAAAAAACCAGCCATAGCAATTTAAGGGTTATCAACCCGTTCATCCAACAATCTGAAAAATCTGTCCGTGCTCACTTTTTTTTTGATATTTTCTACTTTTTTTTCTTGCCATTTCGGCGCTGCTTTTTACGACGTTTTTAAAGTTCACTGTTACTATTGAAATATTAAATCATAATACAGGCTCACTATAAATAAACAGTGTCTTGGAAAGAAGTCATTTGTCAAGTTAGGAAAGAAATCAATTGAAATCAAAATTGGCGAATTTCAAGGGTTTTTCTTCGTTTTAAAATCTCGTCATTAAAATCGGATCATTCACAGGATACCCTCTTTCTCCATGAACAAATGGAGGATTCAGGTAGAAGGGCAAATCTAAAAAAAGCATGATCCCAAAAAAATCATTGGCACGTCCCTGATGTCCTTGAAGCAACTGTATTTGGCTCATTTCTTCCGTTTCGTCCCTAATTTTCTCGATTTCGACAACAAAAGTGCCAAATCGCTATTGCCGTGATAAATATTATTTATAATAATATAAATATATATAAATATATATAATTTGTCTTAAAGACAAAAACGCCACCTAAAAGTACACCGATCCGACTCGTAATCCAGTTGTCTTGTTCATTATCTTCAGTCATTTCGCCTTTATGATCTCTTGAACTACCCCTAAGAACTAGAATTCAGCGAGTTTTTTGGGCAAAGTCATAGAAAATAATCGTCTAAAGTTTATTCTTTATTTTTTGTTGGACCCTTTGTTCGTTTTTCTGAGGAAAAAGGAAAAAAAGATATCATGATGTTCAATTTATTGAGTCAGAAACATACGAAGCAAGTTTTTGTTTAATCGTCAAAATCGCCAATTTATTCATGTACTCATCCAGCTCATTTCTAAGCTCTTGAATGTGCTGCCTCCGTCGAACTGAGATTCTTATCAGACTATTTTTCAATAAATGAACTGGAGAACATCACCTTTTCTTGCTTTTCAAATCTCGAGAGACGGCTCGTTTTTCTTCAATTTGTGTTTCCATGCCGATGGCTTTGTCTGGGTTCAGCCGGTTGTACATAAATGCGAGAAGTGCCATTTTAGATTCAGTAGTGCGCTCACCAGAATCGTCGACGAAATCGTCGCAGTTTCCTGTGATTTCGTACTTGAACTTTGTAACTGAAAAGATACTCAGAATTTTTAAAAATTCAGGTTCGGGCTGGGGTTAGGGTTAGTTTCGTGGTCGATTCGTGGGTTTATCCTTAGAGTCGAAGATAGTCGACAAAAAATGGAAATTCGAGCTCAAATCGGCAATTTTTAATTGATAATAATGATTTTATATTCGAAAATCGAAGTTTCTTTAGTTTTTTTTCCTTGATTTTGAGCTTTTCATTTTTGTTTTCACAAACCTGGAAAATGACAGTACCATTGGTCATATAATGATTGACTTTTAAAAGATCAACAGCAGTTATTATATATATACTCGTAATTGATCTTAACCTCTGAACCTGAAAGCTGTGGAGGAAAAAGAAGCAATAATTAGAAATACAGCTCTCTTCATTTCATGCACTGGGTTCTGAATCTATTTGAATCGTAGGAAATCAGGTATCGACCACTTCTTTTCAAGTAGCGCACACTTTATCTATTTAACACTAGCAGGATGTCACAACAAATTCACTCTCTTACTCGCGAAAAACATCAATAAATTCATGGCCAAAATGATAAATGGTACCCTTTCAATTTTTTGAAAAAAAAATATGCAGTTTAGAGTCGACCTTAGTCAGAAATCAATTTTATTAAGTGACATTTGCGCTCATAAATTTATCTTGGATTTTCCTCGAAGAGAGCAGCAATCTTGCTAAGAGAATATGAAAAGACTGTCCTTTATATTGTTACTTGCAAATAATGCAAGTTCTCTAGAATATGCAAATCCTGATTGTTCATAAGTCGTGAAGACTCAGATTATTTTTTAAGTCATTATTTATATTCAAGTGCAGCAGACCTCGATCTTGCACGTGAATGTGAGAAAATTTGTAATGATGAGGCGATCATGTGCTTGGATCAATGTCCAAGTTGTCAACGACAATGTACTGCTGAGTATCTAGGTATAATTGGGTTCTTTTTTCTTTTTTATTTTATCAATAAGACTGCTCCGATTCTTGTCCTTGCTATGACTACTGTTACAATGGCTGTGATGGCTGCGAAAATATAATCTGCCAAAACTGCTTAGAAAACGGAAACAACCAAGTCTACTTCGAGCAATGTATTTCAAAAGCTTCCGTAACACTTGATTCTTGCACAAAAAACTGCACGTTAGAGAAAACATGCCACGATGATTGTCTTTACAAATATGCAATTGATTCTCAGCTTTGCCCCTGTATGAAAAATTGTCCTGAAGGATGTCCCTGTAAGAATGGATTTGGATGCGAGAGAGAAATAACAGTGATGTGCCAAGCTTCGGAAAATAATTATAATGTCGAAAACGTGACAATTGTAGATATCGCATATTCAATATCTGAATCAGGACAAAATCTGGTGAGCCATTTCTGATAGCATAAGAAACAATCTCTTAATTTAAGGGCCATAAATTTATTGCTTCACCGATTGAAGGATCAATAAAAATTTTGGATGGATCTGGCCACGCTCTTTTAAATGGAGAAATTTATTTCTTTGGGGAGATCATGATCCTTATCAAATCGCAAAATTAGTCGGATGCGCCATTACAAAAACATCAAATCGTCTGAACAATGTGTTTCATTCACTTTATGGATCCCATACAACAGTTTTAAGTGCAAATGAAGAAGTGGTTATTTGCCAGGGAGCAACTTTCACACCAAAGCATCTTATTTATGGAACAAACGATTGCGAATCATTCAATGGAAAAACAGGAACTAAGATTCCCAGTACTTTGGCAGGCCATACCGGCGGATGTATGGCAAATTATCAAAATGAAGCTACTATAATTGGATCACCAGTACTCGTTGAGAGTTTATCTTTGAGGTATAATGAGTAATATTTTTGGAAAGACTTTGTTCGCGTTTTACTAACTAAAATCAGGAAAATAATTTGTAATAAGTGGTTGGAGGTTCCTGGAGAATTTTCCTTACGGGTTTATTGCTGGCCATAGTTGTGCGTCTGTTGATGGAAATGTTGTTGTTGCAGGTGGACTTTTAACTGACACCAATTTGGAGACCCTCGATTTTGACAATGTGTTTTTGCTCAAAGGTGGAGAATGGTTTGTTATCGGAAAATTACTATCGGTAGGAAACAAAATCACCTAAAATTGAACATAAACTTCAGAAAAATTTATATTCTTCAATGTTTGTCCTCGGTCATCAGATCTTTATTGTCAGTGGACTTGGAAATGATGAAAAGTATGTTGTGCTTGAAATTTTCTCCTTCGCATTCCATTAGAGTAAAATTAACAAATTAAATTAAAAATCATGTTTCAGTCAAACAGTTGAGCGTTTTGAATTGAAAGGAGATTCCGTCATTACGTCCGAGATTATGAACGAACACAGCGGAGCTTGCCTACGACCTGTTCTTTTCGAATCCTTACCAAATGAGTGCAGAGAGCCATGTCAAAACTTTTGTTACGCTTATCCTTGAATTATAAATTTATCAGAAATATCAAAAATTTTTTGATTGTTTAAAGTGTGAGAAATGCATAAATGTTGATCTTTAGTTTTTGTGGCAATTGAGCTGTGTTAATGAGCGCCTGATTAAGCAGTTTAATTGCAGCGCGGATTACCCGTCGCCAGGCGATCAAACACAGCTTCGTTGCATATATCGATGTAATTAGGATTGCTCCTGGGATTTCACCTTTCAAGGAACTCTTTTCCTCCGCCTCCAATTCGATTATAAAAGATTTTCCTTGCTATCAAATGGTATGAGAGATACATGAGCATCAGACAGAACGATGGATAGGAAGGAGTTTTTTTAGTTTTGAAGACATAGAAGAGAATTTTTAAAAGCATATGAAAACTCTTGTAAAGACGACTGTCTGTAATAAGCCAAACTCAGTCGATCCCATTTCAAGATAATGGCGATCATCAGCTCAAGGTACGTCCGACAATCACTTCTTTTCTGAATTGCTCTAGAATCTCGTGACTCCAGCGCTAATCATCAACCTGATCGCATTATGCGTAAATATTCCACAATTCATGACATGGTATCCGTGGCTGTTTTACCTGACGATGACAGTCGATGTTTTTTGCTTCATAATTTTGTCTGTTGATCTTGTCCATCGATACAAGCTTGCCTCGAGATCGAACCAGATGACGGAAGGTCCGAGGCTAAAGAAGATGTTTTTCTTTGATGTTTTTCTCACTGTTCTGATTCTTCTATCGGCTTTGCTTCAGGAAGGGCTCTAGAAAAGAAAAGATTATTCCTCGTCATTCTTAAGAGCAAATGAAGGGAGTTGAGCTCGTGGATAAACTTCTAGCAGAAGAAAAACGACCAGTTGAAGATGAAATTTCAAAGAAATACTTTTTCAAATTCATCCGGCGAACAATCCGCGCTCCACGCCCTGGGCTCATGATTTGGATTTGGCGAAACTGCACTCCTCTCCGCTTACCCCAGTCATCTTATAATCTGATTGTCAAAAAAGCGGGCCAGCAAATTTGGGGCGTAACGCTGTTTTTGCTTTTCTTTCTTGTTTTCTATGGAATACTTGGCGTTCAATTATTTGGCAATTTTGAGTACCATTGTGTTCGAAGAAAATCAAATCGAGGAGAGAGTCAAGAAAAGTATTTCAAACGACTTTTGGAAGGAGATGTTTCGTATGGAGATCTTGCCATTCCTGATCGCCACTGCAGCCCTTTCGCCAAGCTTGGAGAACAAGGGTCCTGCCCGCCAAAGCTCACCTGCCAGAAACTTGGCCTTAACGCAACTCAACGAGGCTGCACCGGCTTTGAAAACATCATCACATCCGTCAAGACCGTCTACGAAGCTGCTAGTCAGGAAGGGTGGATCTATTTGATGTACAATACCACAGATGCGTATCCGGTTTGGCACGGCTATGTTTACTTTATTTCCATGATTTTCTTCCTTGCTTGGCTCGTCAAAAACGTTTTCATTGCAGTTGTCATCGAGACGTTTGCGGAGATCCGAGTTCAGCTGAACAACATCTGGGGCAGCTCTAGAAGGGGAAAAACGGATTCGGTTGGCCCAACTCCCGCCGAGTATGAACGTGCAGGAGGTGTCAGGCCGAGTGAAGGAGATGCAAGGGACCACGCCGCCGGTGTTCACTCCTGCAGAGACTGCTCCTGGGCCAAAGTTGGAGCAAGTCTCGGTGTGAAACCTTGAGTAAACATAAACTGGGGGCATCTTGAGCCAGAGATCATGATCAAGCTTCGCCTGGATGATCTTCAAAAATGAAGATTTGGAAGACAGCAAAAATGGAATTTTCTGAAAAATTATCATCTAGGGTAAAATTTATCGCTGATCACGATAATGAAGTCGTTTTTTGTTATTACTGTCAAAAATTCAAGATGAATCTCGCTCTCGAGTATCCAGATCTTGATCGACAGGCCCCTCTTGTTCGTAAATTCAGCTAGAAGAAATCGTTTGTTGACCACTGAATTTGTACCGGGATGAAAGAAACTGATTCTGGTGATGTTCATCTTTGGGCCATTTTCTCTCGAATGCTTTTCTTCTCAACGGCGTCTTTGACCTGTGCGCCCCAATGTCATAACAATATCATAGTTACTTTCAAACCGGAAGTAATTAAGATTGTTACTTTGATTCAAGCAGCTGATAATAATTGGAAGTGATCTATTTCGAAAATTTATCATCAAAAGACCTTAACGATAGCGCCATCAGAATCAGTATCAAATTTTACGCTGTCATGGAAGTTTTCAGAGAATTCTAATTCTGAGTCTTCCATATTTTCAGTTTTGAAGATCATCCAAGCTAAGCTTGATCATGATCTCTGGCTCAAAATGCCCCCAGTTTATGTTTACTCAAGGTTTCACACCGAGACTTGCTCAAGCTTGGGCCCAGGAGCAGTCTCTGCAGGAGTGCACACCGGCGGCGTGGTCCCTTGCATCTCCTTCACTCGGCCTGACACCTCCTGCACGTTCTCACTCAGCGGGAGTTGGGCCAACCGAATCCGTTGTCACCCCTCTAGAACCCAAATCGAGGAGAAACCTCGGCAGCCAGTTTTACACGCGGTGGGGCCAGATATGACAACTCTAGAACTAGTCGACGACGATGAAAATGACGATGATCATCCTTCTTCGCTTTCGCGTTTTCGCATCTTTCGTCATTTGAAATTTCGCGCTCGGACACTCGACAGTAAGTGGTTCAAGCGATCGATGATGGCGATGGTGAGCTGTTCAGTCATGATGGCGGGATATTATGACACGACAGAGTGGAAAGAAGAAACTGACAGAATTCGGGTTGGTTTGGAATGTTTTTTCGTCATTGTTTTCCTGATCGAAGCGCTGGTGAAAATCAAATTTCTTGGCTGGAATTACTACATGAAATTCAGCCTTCATCGATACGAGCTTTTTCTGGTGATCATCGGAACAGTTGGTCTTCCTCTTTCCCGACTTCAAGCTTGGTCCCCTTATTTTCGCTGCGTTCCTGTTCTCCGAACTCCTCGATTGATCCGCGTTTCAAGCCGTTTAGAATGTTTCATCGCGAAGATCTTCGGCCCAGGGAAGAAGATGGTCCTCTTACTTGCTGGAAGTCTTTCGATTATTCTCTGCATGGCAATGGTTTCTATGCAGCTTTTTGCTACAGACACTTGCGAGCCTCTTTCGACAGAACTTCATCGAAACCATTTTTGCGATTTTCCAAGAGCGGCGATGGCCATGTTTCAGATTTTGACGCAGGAAGATTGGGTTGATGTGATGAATCATACGAGCTCTGGAACTTCACAGCCCTTTGTCATCATGTATTTTATTTTCTACCATTTCTTCGCCACAACAGTTTTACTCTCTGTTTTCGTCGCCGTCATCCTAGACAACCTCGAGCTCGAAGAAGAATTGAAAAAGATCAAACAATTGAAAATGCGACAGATTTCTGCCGACAAAGGCGAAAAACTACCATGGAGAATCCAGCTCTTCAATCGTTTTCCGAATCGGCCTCAAATGGTCGAGTCAGCAGCACAAGTTGGAATCAAGCTTCGGGCTTCAGTGCTCGCTTCGTTTATTGAGCGGGAGAATGCAACTCCTCTTGATCAGGTTGGTTTTTCCCGATAGGGTCTTGACAAGAGTTCTTTAGATGAGTGTTCACCGAAACAAGAACAATAAAAGAAAAGTCAAGTCGACAGGCGATCCGATCAAAGACATCATCAACAACGAAATCAACAGAAGACTTCTAATTGGAAGACGAATGGAAGAAGCAAATCAGCAAGCTCGTCAACTCTTCCGCGCGGGATCGAATCTCAAATCCTCCGAACTGACCGAGCCAAGCGCGAATATATCCCGCCAAGCTCCTCAACACCGCAGTACGAATTTCCAACTTCCTGCTTCGGCTGACAATCTCCGCTTACTCCACCATCGAGCGAAAGAAGCGCGAAACAGAAAAGCGAGAATCCTCCGAGAGCTTGAAGAAAATCATCCGTTTTTCGACAAGCCGCTTTTTATCATCCCTCGACACGGGAAATTCAGAAACTTTTGCAAAAATCTCGTCGATGCTCAATACAACGCGAGGGACAAAATTTCAGTCGGGTCGGGTTATTTCTCCATTGGAGGCTTCTCGTTGTTGGAGCTGATTGCGTTGATTCCGTATATTGATTGGTTTATGCTTTTCATGACGATTGTATCGACATTGTTTATGCTTACGGAAAACCATCAAAACCGACTCATTGACAGAAATAATTTGGAATTACGATTGATGGAGTGGATATTCTTGACATGCATGACATTGGAGCTTGGAATCAAGGCCTGCGCAAAGGGATTGATTTTCACTCCGAATGCGATTCTAGCGAGCGCTGGTGGTGTGATCGACCTACTCGTCTGGATCGGGAGCATTGGAACAATTTTCCTCCCTGAGCATGTTTCATCCCCCTCCTTCGGCTACAAGCTCCTCTGTCTACGGTGCCTAAGACCTGTGAGAATTTTTAAACTTCTCCCTCCAGTTCGAAAAGTTGCAAAAGAATGCCTCTCTGGATGGAAAGAAATTCTCATGGTTAGTGTCATTCTTTCCGTGTTGCTTTTTGTCTTTGCTGCTTTTGGTGTCGTGCTCTTTGGAGATGGAAAATTGAAGAAATGCAACGATTTCACGATACATAGCGAGGCAAATTGCACCGGCTTCTTTTTCCAAAAAATTCTAGTTTCGAATGAGCTGCATTTGAATAACGACATCAATCCGAGAAAACTAATGGTGCCAAGGGCCTTTGTTAGCCCGCGAAATTTCAACTTCGACACGATGGAGAACTCAATGCTGACGCTCTTTGAAGTCTTGAGCCTCAAGGGTTGGGTAGAAGTGCGAGATGTGATGATTAACCGCATCGAGCCATGGTGGGTTCCGCTGATTTATATCCATATTTTTGCCATCCTCGGTTGGCTTATCGGGCTCACGCTCTTCATCGGCGTCGTCGTGGCGAACTACAACGAGAACAAAGGAACCGCTCTTCTGACTGTTGATCAGCGACGCTGGGAAGATCTCTCCCGTCGGCTGAGGATCGTCCAACCTCTTCATCAGCCACCACGTCCAGAAGACGAAGGCGTTCGTGCCCGATGCTACGACATTTCGCAGCACACGACTTTCAAGAGGACCATTGCTTTTTGCGTTCTAGCGAATTCTTTTCTCCTTTCGCTCAAATGGGAAGGTGATGAAGCGAAATTCCTCGCCTGTGGACATTGCGCTATTTCCGTCATTTTCATTCTAGAAGTGATCATCAAGCTGATTGGAATGGGATTCAAGGGCATGTGCGAGAGCTTTCGAAATTTAGCGGACATGTGCATGGCGGTTCTATCCATTCCCTGGATGATTGTTTATATTGTCACTTATGAGACGCCAGGGATTTTGCCAGAAACTGGAAAGGAGCTGGCCATTTCTCATGCTCCATTCAATGCTACTTCAGGTGCAATTAGCACGATGGATTGGTGGAGAGAGTCGAACTACAAATATGGAGTGACGCTGATCTTATTTCGATTTTTGTTTATTTGTGGCAAACATGTAAGTTCTTTTTAATTTTTAAAACATTTAATTTCTTCAGAATACGCTGAAAAATCTGATCATGACGATCGCGGTCTCTGTCTACAAATCCTTCTTTATCATTCTCGCCATGTTCCTCCTTCTCTTGTGCTACTCTCTCTTGGGAGTCCTGCACTTCGGAAGCGTCAAATACGGCGAAATGGTCAATCGACACGCCAACTTTCAAAGCGGTCCCCGAGCAGTCATCACTCTCTTTCGAATCGTCACCGGAGAAGACTGGAATAAAATCATGCACGACTGTATGGCCGAAAAATACTGCTATCCGTCGGGCAATCGGGATTATTGGTTGGGAAATTGCGGCAGCTACGCGTCGTCGCTGTTCTTTTTCTGCTCGTTTTATGTCATTATTGCGTATATTATGCTGAACTTATTGGTGGCTATTATTGTGGAGAACTTCTCCTTGTTCTATTCGGCTGAAGATGATACCGGAATGCTCTCACAGAATGACATTAGAGTCTATCAGGTGCATTTACTTGATTTTTCTCTTGAAATTTTCCTTTTCTAAGCAAACTTGGAACATAATCGACATCAAACGAAAAGGCCAAATTCGAGTCAAATACCAAGTTCGTCTTCTACTTCGGCTTCTTCGCTTCCGACTGACTGTAAATATCCAGGACAGGTTACTGTTCAAGCACATGTGTTGTGAGCTAGAACAAACATGTCGCTCGGAAATGGTGTCTTTTTATGAAGTTTTGATGATGATTGCTTACCGTTCAGTGGACATAAGGAAATCCCTGCAGCTGGAAGAATTGATCCAGCGAGAACAGCTTGAAGCTACCATCGTTAAGGTTTTAGAAGAAGCTAGAAATGCTTCAATTCAATTAAGAAAGATCTTTTTAAAGCCGATTAAAGACGAAGAAGTAGCAAAAGAAACGATCAAAAACTGGCTCGAGCGCTGCGTAAGAAGAAAACGAGTCCATCGAAAATCGACTGGAAAGTTCGAACATCCCAACGCTCGAAATATCGATAACGTCCAGCGACCAGTAATTGTCGAGAGCTGTTCGAGCCCCAGTGGAATGGATCAGCTGTCGCGACAAGAAAGTGTTGATGGGGAACGACCAAAATTGTACCGACAAGAGTCTTTGGCGATTTCTGGCGACTCTGTCGAAGCGAATTGGATAATCAAGAATCCGTTTCAAGGGCGACCTCCTCCGCCACCAATTCCGACTGATATTTCTGATTGGTTCAATAATTTGAACTTTGACGATATTTAAAAATTAATAAATTTATATGTATACATGTACCCTCCCCGCTATCTATCATCTTCGAACTATCGATAATTTTTTTTGTTTGTGAATTTATTTACAGTATATAAATAGCAGCAATGCTCGTAAAATATTGATAAAATGCATTTCTATATTGCACGGCAGCGGGCCATCCTTTGGCGTAATTGAATGTCACGTGCATATATTGTCGACTCTGACGGTTTCGCTTTGCTCTTATTGATGACAAATCGCAGGAGACCCGGCCAGTCGACGGCGAGCTGAACATAAACTTCATCCTTTGTGACCTGCTTTCTCATTCATTTTTAAAAGCTGATGTCAATTTTTGCAAAATTGAGCTCTTTTTGGATAAAAACTATCCGAAAAACGCCGAATAATTGATTTTCAGATCATAAACTGACACTTCTGATTGGTAGTCATCAAAAGGTTTCGGCAATTATGAAGTTTAATTTATGATAAAGGTCAGTTTCGATCAATTTTTGTTAAAAAATTCCAGATTATTTATCAGCGACTCATTTTCTGGCTTACCCAAATAATCGAAAAAAATAAACAGGCAAACGGAATTCCCAAAAACAGCAGGGCAGTAACTGATGCAGCATTTGAATCTTGAGACGAGCTAAAATCAAAGGTTAATTTCAGATTCGTTGAAGAAAGTCGGATTCTAAGAACCTTAGCTGTTTCTTTCTCAGCGACCAATTTAGGTCTTTCCTGTAAAATGCTGGGTTGAAATCTCTTTGAAAAGGGCGTTTTAGAAAATCGTTTTTTCGCTAACTACTGCAAAAAATTAGGTGCGCGACATGATTCTGTATTGAGAGCTCTCAGGGCTGGAACTACAGTTCTTGAGGGAGTTTTGATAACTTTGCATATTTAAATTGCTGGAACATGTTCCACTTTCGACTTCCGAATTTAAGCTTTTGAAGAGCCTTTTTAGGTTATCGTACTGACATCCTCATTTTCAGGGTGAAGGTTAGGGCCAGGGTTAGGTTTAGGGTTCGGCTTTTAAGACAGGGTCCTAATTTGGAGTCAGGCTTGGGTGAAGGTTAAGGTTCGTTACAGTAGAAATAGTACTAAGAAGATGGAGACCTTCCATCATCCCAATTAACGACCATACACCGGTGAAAGAAGGCCTAACCCTTGGTAACGCCACCACTACGAGTTCCTAAGCTTGTGATAGGCTGATAGTGGTGGCGTAACCCAGGATTTGAGTCTGCTTCCACCGGTAATTTTAGTAGAAGGGGTTATCATTCGAACTACCCCTAACCCTTAACCTAGCCCCCGTCAAGAATGCATAGTGCCTAAACCTAACGACAAGCCCAGATTCTAGAGATATTGGACCGCTCGAATCCTATGCTCGAATAAAAATTCCTCTCTACGGAATTTTCAGGCCCCATACTCATTGATAGAAACATATTTTTTCGCCTTTCCCATCATTTTCGGACTCTCCGATCATGTACAAAATTGAGTCATCTAATCTTTCCATCGTTATAACAGTAGGTCTCTCCTAGCTATTAGCTTTTCAAACAATTTGTTTCTCTAGCTTTTCTTCTCTTTCAATTTTGATTCTTATTAAATTTTTCGGATTTTGAATTAAAAATTCAAGTTTTAGAATAAAACGGAGTTTCTGTTCTTTCAGCTGATTTCTGCCCAGCGTGCCGGATTCAAATTCGATAATGAAAAAAAGGTTCGCGAGGACGATTTCGTTTTAGTGGACGTTAATTATGGACGATGCACGCGCCCGACATCAGAGCTGCTCTGACTTTAGGGGCTCGTGCTCAACACGAGTTTGATTCCGTATTGCCGAATACTGCTGCATTATAGATATTCACAGCCCGCGCTGCGGTTTGATTTGAAAGACGTAGAAGATGACTGAGCTGCGAAAATAATTCGCATAAAACTTGTCGTTGGGGTTCAGGAGGTGGAGGTTAGGGTTAGTGTTAGTCTTTGACGTCGAGTCTAACTTGAGATCAATGAAAACAATTATTTCATAAACATGAAAACCTCTTATTGAAAATACCTTTCAAAATGGTGAATCTCTCGAAAAAAACATTGAAAAAGGACTGTTTGGCCGTCTATCAAAGAATCAGTAGAAAAATCAGTTGCTCAATATTGATAGTGGGACCATTTACCATATGCAATCTGAATACAGTCGCTTTCTTTTTTACCTCCTTTCAAAAGTCCTTTTTGATTCCTTAGCAAAACTTTCTCCTTCTAACATTTTCTTTTCTTTCTGAGTTTTTTCATTCTTATATGCTAGATATCTGATTTTCTTCAAATAAAGATCTACATATTGGTTTCTGCTATTGACATCTACTCATCTATCGACTCGTTATTGAAAATGTAAATGTAGATATCGAAAATTTTAGATTGATATTTTGTCTGACAACAGCCGCTGTCTAAAAAGAACGAAAATCGAGGAAGAAATCTTCGAAGAAAACCGCTTCTCTACCTGATATAAAGCTCTCCAACAACCCCATTTAAGCTAATACCATCAATATCTCTCATTTCTCAGCTCTTGATGGTCGTTTGCTGAAGCAAATAAGAGCCCCTCTTTGGCAGGTTGTAGCCGCTTTTAGGCAATACAAAGTACCAAGGTACTTCATTTACCATTCAACTATTGTCTATCGTTGAAAATTGACAAGTCCGCTTCTCTAACCCCATTCTATCTGTTACAGTTTCGCTTCAAAGTGACTGTAATTGACAAATATAAACGTTTCGGCAATCAAAAAAAGCTCGGAAATCAAGGAAGACTTATGCAAGTTGGAAAATCTTACTAGTATGGAATCGGTTTTCCACGAAACCAAGAGCTCTGTTCTCTTTTCATTGTTGTCTTCAAAAATAAATTGACTTGTTCTGAATCAGTGGCCAATTTTTTCCGCAATGAAAATGATATGATGCATGCAAGCAAAGGTGCCACATTTCGATTTATGCTTAAAAATTAATACCTCTTGAACATAAATTTGTCAATTTTTCGCTCGTCCATTTCTTCCTCTTAAAAACTATATTTATTTTTTGTTCTTGGATTCTGTGAGTGGGGGGAAATGAGACACCGTGTTAATTTATTTACGTTATTATTGGCAGAACGTTAAATTCGGCCATTAAAAAGAGGGCAGACAAATAAAGAGAGAGACTCGATATAGATTAAATTCAATTGCATTTATTAATAATAAACTGTATGTAGAAGTTTCTTCATTGAACTTTCAATTTGAGCCACCAAGAAGAAAAGAAACAAGGAAAACCCAGGGTAATCAGCTCAGCTTGTAATCAATAATTTTAAACTTCAAAAGACCCTTGGCCAACTTGGTTCGATTTCATTCTGTCTTGTTCTGGCAATGACCTCATTTGGCGCAACACTTTCAAGGTGCCCCCAATGCGCTCTACTGATTGGTGGGCGCGACGAGATCATCCGTTGGGGCTCAGCCAGCGCGAGTATGGCCCGATTCGCGTCATTGTTGCGCAACTACTGAGCGAAATCGATCCTCGTGATTGGCCGCCGGATCAGCCTGGGCTCAAGTTGGCTCGGTTCCAAGCCCCGGACGAACACACCAGAATGATATTTTCGAGTTCGAGACAAAATCACCTGTTATAAAAAAAATCGGGGATTAACGAGTTCCAAAAAGTGAGAGAAAAATAACAAAATAAGCGAAAATGTCTTTTATGAACATTTTCAAACAAGCTTCAAGGAAAGGGCTAATAAAAGATACAATAAAAGAAACTCAAAAATAAGGTGATAAGATAAAGCTTTAAATCTATGGAACTACACTTAGAAAGATTGAAGCCAGATTTTTTAGGATTTATTAAACAAAACAAAATTATAATCACAGAAGTCTTCTCACGAACTTTTTATACGATTCCAAGAAATAGTTTTTAACCCTTGAAAAAGAAAAGTTGCGTACAAATTCTCCGACCAGCTGCTCTTCGATTCCATCGTCGTGCACCGGCTTCAGCGAGCCGAGGCGGAGACCATTTTCCGGGTCATTTCCGGCGGAGAAGAGGTTGTGACACCAGCGCACATCGCGAATCAAGTTTTCGGTCGTAAAGCTGAAGTTATCGCGCCTGTGATTGAGAAGCTCTGCGTTCAGGTCACCGGTAAGTCCGAGGAAAAAGGAGATCTTCCTTGATTTGAATTTGAAATCAGAAAAGACGAACTCATGAGTTTCTTAAGGAAAGAATACGAGACTGAATATCGACGATTTCGCGAAGATTGTCGGAGGAGACGATGAAGAATCTTACGAAAACATTTCTTCTCAGGTAAACCTCAGTTTAAACCGCCAATATATCTATTTTTCAAGACCCAATTCGATATCTTCGACGCCGACAAAGACGCCACCATCGACATTCGCGAGTTCCAGACTTGGATGATGAAGCACGGAAAATTCCTCGACCGGGAAGAGCTCGAAGCCATCATTAAATCCGCCGACGTCGACAGAAACGCCGTCATCGACCGAACCGAATTCCTGCAAATTGTGTGCAAAAAGATCTTTGTCGATCAGCTGCTCGAGAGGAGGCTGATTCAATGATGATGCATTGGAGATTTTTAGCATTTAATTTTTGTCAGACTCTGCACTACTTTTCTTGATGCCTTTTCTGTTCAATTTTTAGAAAGATACCAGTACAAATAAAGAAACATTTGCAAATCTTCCGCAATCTATCGCTGTTCATGTGACTACTCTCGCGAGCTTTTTCGAAAGATCGTAGTCTATCCCTCCGACATTTACGTGTTCGAAAATAATCCTGAGGATAATGGGTGGTAAAGATTTGAAAGAAAGGTAACTTGGATTTGGAGAAATCTTCGAGACCTTTGAATTCAACTCGCAACAGTTTTCCGTATGTAAGCGTGTCGATCTTCATAAGGACAAATTTGCATAGTAGACGAGAGTACAGTCGGCTCAACTTCTGTAGGGATAAGTGAAGAGCATATTTGTAATAAATTGATTTAGTCAATTTGTCCTCTATCTAAAAATTGAAAAATAAGCTATTAAAATGAGTTTTATGATGCCTTAATATTTACAAAATTTTTAAATCTCTACTTTTCGTGAGCAAAAAAAAACTTTTAACGAAACAACATTTTATATTAAAATATTTGCATCCTGTAAAAGACGAAAAATCTCACGCAGATCAAAAAATACTATATTTCAAATATAGTATTTGTCATAAGAAGAACTCCACTTAGCCAGACCTTCAGTGGATTTTTTTATTAATAAAAGTTTAACCATGAAAGTTATCGAATTTTCTTTCCATTGAAACCGCTTGGAAGTCCCGTTTCTGCTCGTAAACATCATTCCACGTGTTCAGTTGAGAAGGTCGCGCTCGTCGCCAGCTGATCCAACGTCAAAAGTCACCGGGATTACCCCTTCCTATAAAACCGACCCGCTTCTGCTCCTCAACTCATTACAAGAAACACAAAGAGAGCAGCCACCAGCTTTTTCAGAAAAAAAAATTGGTCGAGATCGAGCATGAAATCGCGTCTTTCGAAAAGCGCAAAAAATGAAGTTTTGCGAAAGAACGATTCATTCTAGCATTCGACACAAGCGACAACAAAAATTATCAGCTATTTCAGCTTTTCTTTTATGTTTTTAACGAGATTCTTCTGAGTTTTTGAAAGAAAACCTGCGGCTCTTTTATGGCTTCTTTTTCATCTTAAAAACATAGTTTTGTCGGTAATAAATCAGCTTTAAAAATAGAGCTCTGCGTCTGATCGGAAATCGCCACTTTTCTTTCAAAGCTGATGAGCGACGGAAATCTCGGTCTGTCTATTTCTTGAAAAAGTCGATCTTGGCTACACTTTATTTGTTGTAAAAGTCAAGACGAGAATCACAATCACGCAGATCAGGGTCACGATTAAAATGGCGATCATTTTGAAGTTTCTCCACCACAATTTCGTCTGCGGAGGAATGAGGGGAAGACAGGAGGACTTTGATCGTTCGCGCTTTTCGGGGATGTCGATTGAAGTGTGGATCAACTCGTGAGGGTAGGAGTTCAGCGAGGAATTGTTCATTTTTACGATGGCTTCATAAGGCTTTTTCGGGGTTTTATACTAGATTCTAGAACACTCGAAAGCAAATATCAAAGATTCTCCTCCAGAAGGATGGAATTGATAAGAGTTCAAAAGAATTGTGGGAAACCCGTTCCGGAGGCGGTGGGAAGCTGGGCCTGATGCTTCTATTCAGACTGCTATTCGGATTTCGCGTCTGGCTGCGATTATCTTCGTTGTAAACTAAATTGAACCTTGTTCGACACTCATCGAAATCGATGAAGATTGCACCTGTGTCATAAACATTCTCCTCATCCCCATCGTTTCTCATTAATTCAGTGTAGACGACATCTTCTAGCTTTACTTGTATGTTCATTTTTCTCGTTTCTAGAGCAGATGGACATTCTGGAGAATCTGGAGATTCTTGAGACTGCTGAATTGTCGAATTTCGGTTGGACTTGGTTCGCTTTGGTTTTGCTGGAGCTTTTGGCCTCGAAGAGGGTTGGGAATTGGAGAAGACAGGATGAGACTGGTAAGAAGTGGAGGGTGATTTTGGTTTGGAGGACTGTGGTGGTGGAGGAGGGGGCATTTTCTTGAGCGACGATGACTTTGAGGGATGAAATTGATTGGATAGTGCGATGAAAACACCATATTTTTGAAAAACTCATTATAAATTTATATTCAATCAGGCGGTGTTTTGTTGAATGAAAATTTCTACGTCCGAAATATAAAAGAAAGAAGAGGCTTGCACTAACGATCGTTAGTATCTGCATAAATTAGTTTATACAAAATGATCATCTTGATATCCCCTTCCTTTTGCATTTCACTGAATCCCGACGAGTTTCTGTCCAAATTTGTCCTCGCTGTCTTCGGAACTTTTCTTTCAACAGCAGGCGCTCCTCCCAATTTTTGAATTCTTTGCGCGATGCTCATCCCCTCCATTTCGCCAAGTCCGGTGCTGTCAGAGTCCGACTCGATCCCGGAAGAGCTGTTGCTCGATGATCTGCTCAAAGTCGGCGGAACTCGCGAGATTGAAGACTTCTTCTTTTCGCGGACGAGGCTGTTCCATAAATAAATATGCTCGCTTGGCAAGAGTCGGGTGCTGAAATTAAAAATTGATTTCTGCTACCATACTATTCAATTCGTCAGCCTTTTAATAAGTAAAGCAAACCCTTTTTTGAGACGGTGATTTATCTCGTGATTGCGTTTTTTATTATTCAATTTGACAAATTAACATTCGAAATAAAAATATTTGCAATTGCATCTTCAACTTTTGAATGGATAAACTTTGATGAATAAACTTCAGCAAACTTTTGGAAAAAAAAAACTCATTTTATTGAGATAAAAATATGGTTTAAGGGCGTCAACATCGATTTTCGGCTAAAAATCTAGTCGACTTAACTTAAACCTAACCGATGTTGACACCCTTAATGAGGTTTCTAGTCTATCGTCGGAAACCTGTGCACAAACCTGAGTCAGGGTTTTCAAGACCCTGAGTCAGTTTTATACACAGGTTTTCGAGCCAAAATTTCTGTGGTTCAAACCCTAGCCTAGAAATTTTTTTGAAATTTGGCAAAAAACGGGAGAAAATGCTTTGAAATTCTTACTTTTCAAAAACTTCATCTCCAGTCCTCTCATCACAAGTCCATTGAATGCTTATCATTCTTCGTCTACTGTACTCAAAATCTTCTAGCTCAATGTTTTCCCAGTTACTGTCTCTCTTTTCCGTCTGCAAGTCCTCAAGTGCGAGAGGAGCTTTATCCTCCATTTGACTCCTCTCGCGCGCCCTCCACTGCCGATTCATCCTTTTTTAGCTTTTCTTTTTGACCGCGAAAAAAGGAACTTTATTTTTAGGACTTTGTTTACGAAGCGTAAAAAGTAGTTTGGTTATTCTGAACGGAACGCGCCGTTTTTGATCAAGGCAAATAAATAGCGATCGTTAACTACGGGAGGTCGTTTTTTTTTTCATGAGCATCAGCAGGTCTAATTAGCGCCGATAGAAAGCGATAGGGTCGATAGATTCAGCTTGCTTGTTTTTTTAATTTGTCTTGTAGGTCTTAGGTTTGGGACTGACAGATGCAAATGCACAATAATTATAGTCGTAGATTGCTGATAATACTTCCGAAGTTCGAGCGATAATTGTCAATTTTCTCATGAAAAAGAGGAGAAAACTGCATTTATCAGACCTTCGCTCGCAGCTGAGGAAAAAGCAGCCCAAGGAAAAACCTGAGTGAGGGTCCTGAAAATTTTTCAGTGAAAAAACAAAATGAAAAGCCGCGTAGCGGCTTTTTTGAAAATGAAGCCGCAAAGCGGCTTTGCTTGAAAATATATTTGATGAAAATTTTATTTTTTGCCCTCCTTTTCAGCTTATTTAGGACCCTGAGTCAGGTTTTTTCCAAGCTCAGGCTCGTGGTAAATTTTCAATTTCCTTTTTTGTCTTGAATAAGATTATCAGGAAATGCGCCTCTTGAAAACGAGCCAAAAATAAAAGTTTTGATAAGGCAATTTTCAAAATTTCTGGATCAACACTTATAAAAATACATCTTCACACAGTGCCACTTGCTAACTGCCATCAAAAACTGAAAATACCTTTTTTATCGCATTGCGGTAATCATTATTTACGTTATTATGATTTCAAAAAAATATAGCCGCGATATTTTTTACTCAGTTTCATTTTTGAATTATTTCAATGAAAAATTACCTTTTCCAATTAGAGATTTTCCCAATTAGAGCTCTTAAATCTCAAATCTCTCTTTTATCGAAAAAAGTATAAGATAAAAAAATGATTTGAGAGACAGATTCTGAGCAGATCTTTCAATTCCTCTCGTTTTCAAAAATCGAGTGGAGCGGCTCAATCTGTTCAGAATCTCCAGGGAGTCTCCGTTCGATCCCTCCCGGGGGTGATCTCACTCTCTTTTACAATCCGACCCAACCTATTCATCCCTCTTTTGAAGTCATTATTCGATTTGCGCTTCTTCATGCAATTTTGGGTTTTATGGAAGTTTTTAAAAGCAGAAAATTTTCATTGAAAATAAACAAAACTCCTGTATTGAAAAAAACAGTATTTTAAATTATGAAACGTGACTTCAAGATAATATTCTTCTAGCGCATGAATCTCCCTAAATTTCGATGATTTCATAGCAGATAATCAATGAATGCGCTAATAGTAGTGAAAAATCATCAGAGAATTTTCGATGATTCGGCTCTAGAAACATGAATCATTCTTTCAGAATTTGCAAACCACAAGATAGTTTTTGTCAAATCTTATAGATAATTTAATATAGATTAGCTAATGACCTGTCTAAAACATCCACAGCGCCACATTTAGGGCAGAAATATGCTTTTTATCATCAAGTTAAAATAAATGACTGATAATAGCATTATTATAATACAGTAAAAGAAAGTTTGAAAACTAACAACAGACCAACTATCAGTAGGAGTCTTGTTACAGGATGACTTTATTTTCGTAAAAATTTCAAATCAAGGATTTTTACTTCCGGCCGCTCAAATTCATAAATGATCAAAAAATGTTGCCTTTTTGCTATTATTAATTTCAAGCAGCTTCGGTCTAAGAGACATCATCAAGTCCGTCAACTCCTCAATAACCGATGACTTTCTCGATCAAACCCTCAACTACGGATGCAACTGTTTCTTCGACGCGAAATGGCTGAAAATGGGCGAGGAGGGCTTTGGATTCCCAGTAGGAACTCGAGTTTTCAATCTTTATTTCGCGGGCTGGAAATGACGATAATTGACTCTTGATTTTTCGTCGAAAAGCACCGTAAAATGGAATGATCAAAGAAACCGCACCTTAGACAGCATAATAAAAACTTGGACACTGCTGATCCAGCTTTCTTCTGAAAAAAAGACCACTCGGAAAAGTGTCTTTTCAGGAAATATAAAAATGATATCATGAAGATTGATCATTGATTTGAAACTCGAAGAAAGACGCGTACGACAGTCATTGTTTCCGGCTCAAAAAGTGCTACCAGAAATTGATGAGTACGCACGGGCAAGTGGTTTCGAAACGCATTTGACTAGGGTTAGGGTTAGGCCGTTAGGGTGAGAAAACCATTGAGAGTGAATCATGTGATCCTCAATTCGCCTCGTATAAATTCACCAAAACCGATTCCAATGAAACAATCTGCTCTTACCAAAATGGCGAATGTTCCAATGCCGTTTGCGAATGCGACCTTGCCTTTGCCTCTTATTTTTCCCTCTTTTCCTTGGGTTTCCGGGAACCCTATTCGAGCCATTCCTCTGCGGAGCAAGGTGCTTGCGGCTGGTACCCTGCTATCTACTGCAACGCGCATCAGCCGGCGAAAATCCCAAGACCGCCTTGTTATCCCTTGGAAATCCCAGGATTTTCGATCAATTATCAACCTCTAATGATCAACGAAGCGGTCGGTTTTTGTGATTCTAGAGGCGACAAGCTTTTTCAAGTAAGCAAAGAAGAATGTCTGGTTGACAATAATTGTCAAGTAAATCGATCAAAATTTTGTATTTTATCAGCTGGGAAAAAGCTTCTGTGCGGGTTCTTTTTTATTGCTTATGGTTTCTTTTCTTTGCCACCATGCAAGGCAGCTGAGATAACTGGGCAGACGGAACAATAAAGCGTCTCGTTGATTTAATATTATTTGATGATTATTTGAGTTTTTATTTGATGACCTCTTTCATCAAAAATAAGTTCAAACTTTTAGCTCAAATTCTTGGAGGAAAATTTGGTGGAGAATGTCAACATGTTTAGCCGAACACTTGGTGGCAATTCGAATTATAATTTGGAAAAGGTCTACTTTTGGCTTCCCTTTGAAAGGATTGTCGATGAAAATGGGGAGTTCTTCTATGTCTCCTTGGTGGAAAATGGGTTGAGGAGCACTGCGGATTTATCTGAAGTAGGGCTCTTTTTTCATCAAAAAGAAAATCTTTTTCTAGCACTACGGAACACTCATCAATGATTTCAAAAAGAAACGCGTCGCAAACAACGAAAATTGCCTGGTCCTTCGCGTCACTGCATCGTCAATCTCAATCGCTCCTGCCAACTGTGCCTCGACTGTTCCGTTTACAGCTTGTTCGACAACAGATTGTCAAGTCAGAAATCAGGATGTCCTAGGCTCGGATCTACTGGATTCGAAAAACTCTGAATCGAGTGCTTGCGAAGAAGGCTGGCTGGAAGATGGAAAGAATAACTGTTTGAAAGTTTTGGCATATGAAGATGGTATTTCGGACGAATGTATGATACACTTGCAGAAGCTGCTGTAAGCCCTAACCGTTCATTTCAGGTGAATCTCAGGGAGCATCAATGGATGTCCTCTTCCAATTGAGCTACTGGTTTCCTGATATTACAGTCACTCATATCTACAATCAGCCAAATGAAACATGCACTGTAAGTTGATTGAACAAAGCACATTTGAAAAATTCTTCTTTTCAGAACATCAAAAAATATGAAGACATCAACATGTGGGAAATTTCTTCTGATGCCTCTCTTTGTGGCGAAACTGTGAATTATGTTTGCGAGAAGCCATCTTTAGTAGTTGAGCAAGAAATCGTCCCTGACGCGTCTATACCAGGAATGATCACAGCGCAAATGACGGGAAATTACCACAAAGAAAATATTCTTTCCTGCGAAGAAAATTGGAGCCCGACTGGAACTGGCGAATGTCTCAGGAAATGATTTTAGAAAAAAAAAATGTTTTTTTGCGATATTCTGGTAAAAAAATCATCATAAGATTTTTCACAGAGGGGAGAGATTTTGAATCTGCCATATCATTTTGCGGAAAACAAGGAGGAAAGCTTGCTGGCTATCCGGAATACATGAACAACCAGCTTTTGAAGAGTCTTGAGCAAATCGGAGCAGCATACATTGAGTTATTTTTCGGAGATTTTCTACCGAGAAAAATTTTTTTTCAGCATTGATTCTGACTCCTCTAGCCAAATGACATCAACAATTGGAAGGATCATTGATCAACAGCTTATTGAGGAGACTATTGCAAGGAATCTCTGTGGGGTACTTACTACAACCGAAAATTCGACGATCATTGCAGTTGATCTGGGAGTAAGCTGTGATGAAGAAAGACCATTTATTTGCGAAAAAGCTGTTTCTAGCGAAAAGCGAAATTATTTTTCGTTTTTCGTTCTTTTATTTTCCCTTTTTCTTTTCAAATAAATGCCTTGAGTTCCATTATAAGGAATAAACTAAGAGCTTCTTGATCTGTTTTATTGACTGTAATTTACAGAATCAGAAATGCTGAAATAAAACAAGATAAATCATTGATTGACCTTTCGGATTAAATTTTAACCGCTAAGGGGTTGAAAGCTCGCGCTCGTTCGAAATTAGTATATCGACCTGGCAATTGCTTGTCTCAATTAAAATTGAAACAATACCCGTTCGTACTCTCGTAGAACGAGAGTCTCGGGAAAGCTTTTAATTTTGACCTCTGAGAATTCACAAAAAAGAGCGATCATCTTTTTCAAATCAATGCTCACACCCGACACCTTGCTTTGCTGGTGAAGAAAAAAAAATCAATCGACAAGTAGTTAAAGTAGATTATCCGAAGAAAAAATAACAAACACAATTATTTTTTCCTCAGAAGAGAGAAATCAGATCTCCGAAAGAACAGAGCGCAAAACACAAGATTTGAAAACATGATTACGGAAAGAAGAGGAAGATGGATATTTCTAGTGCTGATGATGATGCTGTTGACTTTGGCAGAGGTTTGAAAAAATGAAAGAGTATAAAAATTTCAGGTAAAAAGAGCCGAAAAAATGCGGCTTTTGCTTCTCGAAGCCACAAAAATGCGGCTTTTGTCTCTCGAAGCCGCAAAAATGTGGCTTATGTTTCTCGAAGCCGCAAGCGGCTTCGTTATCATATTGACAAATAATGGATGTGTAAAGTTTTGGCTCAAAAAATTATCGAATCGGTCGACTGAGCTTTTTTCAGCTCCTTTGTACCAACCTTTTATATCAGGCTCATGGTAGCGTACCGAAACTAACGACCGCCTGGAAAGTCGTTCTTTACTCGATATGAATGGTCTGAGCTTGAGCTGAAGCTCATCAAAATGATGATTTATTAAACACCTTTCTTCTCTAATTCAGAAAAGTCAGACCCTCTCAAAGGCGGTCTCGTAGCACTGGCAGCGACTGTCGGAATAATCATCGTCAGCTTGATTGTTTTCCAGGTTATATTTCTTGACAACTTCGAGTTCCATGAATAATTGAATGACTTTCAGAGCGTCACGAAAAGCAGCATCTTTTACATTCCTGACTCATTCGAACCTGTCCATTCCAAAATATAAAGCGTCGATTGTTCAACTTAGAAAATGCTTCCATGGGTATTACACTTCTAGAACGAAATGATGAGAACTGAAATACCGCACGAAACAATTTCTAAAGCTGAGTATTTTTTTCTGCTTCAAGACTGATGAAATCAACAAGGAAAATACGAGGGAAACATTTACGGTCTTTATATAAAGAAGCTGAGCAGCTTTTTTCTCTCAAACAAAGCGGCTTCGCCAGATTTTTTAAAATTCATTGAAATGGTAATTTTGCGAAGCCGCTTTGCCGCATTGTTTGAAAAAAGCCGCTGCGCGGCTTTTCATTAATGATATCTTAGACCCTGACTCAGGCTTTCTAGACAGGTTTTCGAGCCAAGAAATAGTGTAGAAATGGACGAGCATCGGTATTATTGAATTCAAGCCATATTTTGTTCGTCAATTCCTTGTTGATTTCAACGATTTTATTCTCTCAATTTTCAAGTTGAAATATTCTCTACTCGAGGAGTAAGTGATGACAACTCCGGCGTTACTCGCCGGTTTTATGCGCAGTGACAAGCATCTGCAAATTTTCACAGAATTATAAATTTTTCTTGAGATTAGCGTTTTCGTCGCTCGGAGGCCGTTTTGTTTAAACACGGGCACACCGACGTGCAATGTTTGAGAGCAAACAGAAACTCAAACAGGAATTTGAGAAGAGTTAGCGTTAAACATCGGCTGGAATTTGAACAAATGCCATCCTCCCAGCAAGTTTTTTGTCGAGGGCGGCTGGTGGTGGAGTCATGCAAATGGAATTGAAGCTTGAACGAGGGGCGAAATGAGCCCCTGAGCTCGGCAGAATGAAAAGAGAACCTGAGTCAGGGTCTGACTAATCTTTACTGAAAAGCCGCGCACCGGCTTTTGTTTTAACGAAGCCGCAAAGCGGCTTCGCAAAATTACCATTTCATTGAATTTTCGAATACCGCAAAAGCCGCTTTTCCTTTAAGATTTGTCAGACCCTGAGTCAGGTTTTCTTCACAAAAGGCCGAGCCGAGTGGCCCCCCTTCCTAGCTACTCAAGGACAGAAGTTGAAGCAGAAGGTCAAGTTTTTTGCCTCCATATTTCGTTCTCCCCCAACTCATCTGTCTTTTTTTTTCTTTTCCATGATTTTCTGCTTCCTTCATCAGAAAAAAAATTTCTTTGGGAAAGAGATCATTCATATCAAGAAAGGTGTTAATCAGGAAGAGACCCTGTGCGCTGACGCACACGACTCAACCTAAAAAAGCGTTTTTTTCCTTGCTTTCAAGAGAAAAAAATGGCGTCGCAAGAAGAGCTCTACGGAAGCTTGGATCTGGACCGACACGTCCAAAACTTCAAAAACTGCCTTCGAGTTCTTCTTTCCGACGAGCGATTGCTCCACGGTGGCAAATCCATCGAAACTGAAGTGATTGACAAATGCTCTGTCGCGTTGAACCAAATGGTCGAACTGCACTACGACAAGCGACACTTGAAGGATGTGCTCAGAAGAGGGCGGGAAGAAATTGACTTTTTGAAGAACAAAGTTCGCGATTCCAACACTCTCGTCAATCACCTGACCAATGTACAGGGAGTTCATGAAGAGCGAATTGAAGATTTGACCACTCGACTGCGAAAGGTATATTCATGACTTTTTCCACAAAAGAATAGAGAACTAAAGAGAAGACAATAATTGTAATATCTTTAGATCATTTTTAAATTAACGAAAATAATAGAATGTGGAAATAATTTTTTAAAGTAATCACTGTATAAATGAGTGACCACCGATTCATCTCTCAACAATTCATATAAGGAAAAACAATCAAATGTCGACAAAGAAGCCAAAATCGTCAACATGAACAAAAACATCGAAAACATCAAGGATCAGACCAAACGCGCTGAGACTTCCTACAAGGTTCCCCCTTCTTTCGCTTTCTTCATGCGCAACCTTTTCTAGGACAAAGTCAAGTGGATCGAAACCGACCAGATGCGAATCTACAAAGATGGCCGAGCCACGCTGGAGCGATTGGACAACGAGAAAATTGCGCTCAAGAACGAATTCGAAGATGCCAAGAACTCTACCGCCGGTCTCAAGGTCAGTAAGAAACTAGAAACACAAGCTTTATAATCATTTTAGGCTGCTTTGGAAAATGCGAGAACCAAGCTTTCGGATGCCATCGACGTAAGTCATTTATTGAACGTCTTTTAGAGAGTCTTTTTTCTTCTAGGAATCGGTCAGTATCAGTGATTTCGGATAAGTACAATGATTTTTGCATGAGATAAGATATTTGCTAAGATTTTAATTTTAAAAGTTGCCGCTCTATTTTCTGCATGCTTGAGATTAAGGGAATGACGCCCTTAAATATTTCGAATCTATGAAAAAACATAACTTGCATGAATTATTGCTCTTGATACTTTTGCGCAAATGAGATTACGCTTAAAAAAGTTGAAAACCAGGACCTTATGAAAAATTCTAGAACATCGATCCAGAAGCCTAAAGTCCCTTTCTTTCTTTCATTCTTTCAGGAGGAAACCCCGGCGCCCGATGTGGATGGAGCGCCACTTTCAAAATCAATCTTTACGCGTTCTTAGTTTTTCCAAGCTTTTCTAATAAAATCAACTGCACAGAATCCTCCTCAAAGCCTTCAAGTAGGGAACCGTCATGAGTATCCTACTGAAAAATAGTCGTGTTGAATTTCATGCAACTTTATTAATTTTTTAATTGAAATAAAACTAAAGCGAATGTATGGCAAAATTGATCATAAAGATTTTTCCTTATCGAAAAAGAAATAGGTCAGTAAGTTTTGAATTAAGGGTAAAGGCTGCGTTAAAATGAAGGTTGTCTGTTTCGTTATATTTACTTTATATTTTTTGAACTGTCATTTTGAAGAATCAAAATTTATGAATACTTTGAATAAGCACAGTTTTTTTATATATTAACAAAGTGTAAGATAGAAGAATGAAGAGTTGAAAACTGTTACTGTTAATTGAAAGATTCTAGCGTAAATGTTAGTTTCAGTACGTTTTGAAATAGGTAAAATCGATTTTTTCGTAAACAAAAAGAAACTGCCGGAAATTGCACAGATAGTCGGTGGGTCGATAGATGAAGTACAGTGATACTATCTGTATCGGATAGTATGGATAGTAAGGGAGTCGAACTTTGAATGTCTTTTAGGTGAAGAATGTGTTAGTAAAAGCACTTTCAGGTCAATTCCACATGTGGAAGCGTCGAATCTTATTGGTTAGTTTTTGAGCTTTCTTATTGGCTGGAAAAGATAGGACTATCTACAAAATAAATAAAAGGATGGATAGGAGTGATTGGTGTCTTCATTTTGTTTGAAAGAATGATCAAATCAGGTTTGGAGCGACTGTTGGAGCGAATTTTTATACTGTATGAATGAACGAATTTATACAAGTTGCGTATGTTTGCGGATTTCGGAAGGAACGTCGATTTCGTTTAGTTTGACAGAACTTGGAACGTATGGGAACTCGGGCTGGGCCACGTAATTGAGGTCGCGCTGGATGACGCCGGGGTTTTTAGCGATTTTCGCCTGAAAAAAGGTTAAAAAAGAGAATAAAAAAGAGACAATCGTACCTTGATTATGGCTAGAAACTTTGATGGTACACGCTCTTCGTACTCGTGAACAGGAGTTATCAGCTGCAGAAGCTTGAGGACCTTGAAACAGGGAGATAAACGATCATCAGTTTTAAGGGGCGTACCTGTGCTCCAGTGAGACTTTCGCACATAGCCAAAAGGTTGTCAGCATCTTTTTCGTCCTGCTTTTTCACCTGCATCAGTTGAGAAGCCTAAACTCGCGCTATACCCTTAATAATTACGCCTTCGCCAACCTGGACAAGAGGGGAGAGCTCCTTGAGCATGTGCTTGTCCCTCATTTCCCTTCTTGAGAGATACTCTTCAATCTGCGAGACATTGTAGCGCAATTGCATCGCTTTTGTCCAGTTGCATAAATCTCTTCGAGCTGAATTGAGAGAATTGCTTAGCGAGCTCGTAAACCCTTAATTCCGCCTACCACATAATTGATTAAGAGCAATAGAGACAATATAATAAATAAGCTGTCGACAAATCTGTTTGATGACAACATCGTCAGCACCAAAGGAGGCAATGAGGTCTAAGGAAGTACCCAGTTCGCGGATGAGGTCCTAAATGGAGGTTAGAGAATAGTTAAGACTAGAAGTTTGTTAATTTGCTAGTGAGATCATGCGTTGAATCAGTGATTTGAGTTGTCAAACGACCACAGCGAAGGAAATCATTTGTGAATTTCCTTCAGAAAATTAAGGGGGTAGGCTTCCTTAGCAAGATACTCAAGAACGCCTTTTCCAAGAACTAATGCTATTTATTGAAGCTTGAATTGGCAAAAGCTCTGCTTGAAAATCGTACTTAAGGATGTCTACCTCCTTAAACTTCATGCAAATATGAACACATCGATTCATGCCCATAATTACTGAAATGGAGTAGCTCGGCCTGGGGAGCGGCGTATGCCCAGTTCGCTGATAATTTCGCTTTATAATCAATACAAGTTTAGTCAAGTTATTATCAATGAAATCACACAAACAAGAATTGAACAAAATAACAACAAAAATAAAATTGAAAAAAACTTAACCTGGACGGCGAAGGGTGACAAATAATTGTACTAGAATTAGAAAATGGAAATTTTGGCTGAATGAGAAATTGGTTGATTTGAACCTGTTAGACATTTGTCAAGTATAATTACGTTTTTCTGCTGAACGGTTAGTATATCTTGATTTTAACTTGACGAATAGGTACCTCGATGGACTTGCCAGAGTCACTCCCGTGGAGGGAATCGTGATCGAGCATGGCAGAGACGACAAGAGGTTTGAGCTTTTCTTGAAGAAGAGAAATCGTGTTTTTGTACAAGGTTGTTGCTGTTTCGGAGAAGAAACCGCGGAATTCTGAAGGATTTCATGATAAAATGCATGTAGAATTTTTACTAGAATATGTCTTGATAGCTATCATAAAATCAGTGACTGTGATGTTAGATACACTATATATTCTCTACCTAAATCTATTGATACCTTGTTGAACCCATAAAAATTTCAAATAGACAGCTAGAATCTACCGTAGATTTCAATATCTGATCCTCTAATTTACCGTTGATGTCGAAGTTTTTAAGGCAGTGTGAGTTTTGTTGTGCATCATTCATTAGAGACGAGTCAGCTTCACCAGAGTACTGATAGATCAAATGAGTAAAGCGTATGGCGACACACGTCCACTGGGCGATTCCTGGTAAGCTTCGGTTGTGTCGTTTTCCCATTCGTTTTAGGCCGTTGATGATCGCGATCAACAACTCTTTCAGCATCGCATCGTCGTTACTTGCATCAGTGTGTCGAAGCGCCATGAAGAGGAGAAAAGCTGCGCCGCATCGAGGAGAGCCGATTTTGTTGCCACTTTCGAGAATGGCATTGACAACGGAACCGAGATCGCGAGCTTGGAAGACGAGGATTCCGTCCGAGGCTTTCTTTGGTTGTCGGTCGATTTCCACTTTTGTTGATATTGCGCTTTTGGAGCCGCCCAAGCCGAACCAACTTCTAGCGCTGGTTTGAGGAGCACTAAAGATATCATGAATCGAAGAGCTAGATAAAAAAGGAACAACACTGATTTAAACCAATCAGAAGCCAGAAAATTAAGGGTATGGTACGCGCACAGGGTCAAGTCTCAGAATCGGTTTTTGACCAAATATTCTGAATCCCCATGAAATTCTGACCAAAAAACTCCATATAAGTATTAACTCTATCTCAACCCATTTTTCCACAAATGCAATTGAAAGTGGCGAAAATTAGTGCATTTTGGCTAAAAGGCGGAAATTATAAAATTTTTACTATTTTTGGTCGTTATGATAGGGTGTCATATGATACCTTTTTGGAAAGCTCACGTTCAGGACATATATTTGCGATAAAAACGGCGCCTATTGGGCTATGCCCGCAAGGCAATTCACGGAGCCAAACGGACGAAAAATAGGTACCTTCGTACTTTAAAATTTTTTACATAAAAAATTTTAACCAATTGAAAAAAGCTCGTGTAATTTTTAAGATAAGGGTCTGAACTTTACTATGAAAAAGTATTGGAGGGGTTTACTATCGTAACTTCAGAGGAGTGTTTCTCTGAATATAGGCTTATTTCGCGTTTTTCGACCGAGACGACAACTTTGAGCCACCCGCACGTGATTTTTTTGTTAGAATTTAGAAAAAAGCTCGTGTAAATCAGAAGATCTAAGATCGAACTTCATTTTAAGCTATTGTACACTCTCCCAGCATTGACAGGGCCAGAGAAGTGTTCCTCTGCTTTGGGCCTCCGCGCGTACCATAGCCTTAAGTGTTAGCCAATCAGAAGACGACAAAACCAAACCGCCAAAACTAACCTTGGTGAGGCAGAATTCCTAGTATCATAATCCGATACTGAAATATCATCTTGATCCTGACTATCGTCAAAGGACCTGACACTAGGAGATGACGGAAAGAGCGGGCTTCCACTATGACCAGCTTGCGTGGCGAATTCATTTGCCTTCTTCTCCGCGCTTCTGAGTTTTTTGTTTAACTTTCTGCATAGTTTCTCCAACCGCTCATTCGTGTTCGTCAACCGAGAGATTTCTCCCATTAGGCTTGAAACCTGCTCTGACGAGCCCATTTCCTGGCCGTAGAGCTTTTCTTTCGTTTCATCGAGATCAAGTTGCTTGTTCATCATTTCAGCTTTCAGCGTTTCAAGGAGAGTCATGTCGATTTCGTCCGTATTCATCTCCGTCGAGCGCATCCTTGACTTTCTCTCCGCTTGTTTTTGCTGCTCTGCCAACTGCGCTTCTTTCATCGATTCCAAGTCCTTCATTAACAACTCGTTCTTTCTGATCATCACGACATCAGCGCCTCCGCCTTCCTGAGCAGCGTCGGTCAAAGCTGTCAGCTCGCCATTGAGCTTTTCGTTTTCAGCCTTGACGTGGGCGAGTTCGACTTGAAGAGTGTCGTACTTTGCGGTCACCTCGACCATTTGGTCGGCCTGTCGATTTCGAGTGATTTGGAGCTCATCGTTCAGGTTTGCATACCTTTAGTTGGTTTTTTATAAGTTATCTATTTACAACCATATTCATAAACTCAGGCTTACGAGCTGGGAAAGAAAAATTGAGGCCATAGATGAGTTAAAAAAAACATATCAATAATACTCCTAATACTCTCCTTGTCATCATTCAAAAGCGCACGCTGGGCAATTAATAAAAACAAAACCGTTTCCTTTGATTAAGCGTATTCAACTCTTGCTCCTTCTCCATCAGTTGAGAAGAGAGCAGTTCGGCCGCACCATCACTTGTTCCTTGACTTGCTTGGCGCCTGTACTCATTGACCTTTATCTCGCTCTCAGACCGCAGTCGCAAAAGATCATCGTCCAAAGTTTTCGCTCTTTGTCGCAACTGATCACTTTCCGCTTCAAGTTCAATCTTGACTTTCTGCGTCTGTTCTAATTGATTTTTAGCAGCCATCGTTTGTCGATTCGCCTCTTCGAGTAGCGCCTCTAGTTCCTGAAAAACGCGTTGAAAACAGAAAACTTGAATAAAAAGAAGCTGACCTGAATTCTAACGTCCTTTTCCGCCGACTCCTTGACCAGATCGTCTCTCTGATTCGACACTTGACCAAGCTGGGCCACGATTTCCGCCGCCTTTTCATCACTGAGCTCGCTGCTCTTGTCAGCTGAAAAGAGATTATTCAATAGCCCCTCTTTTGAACAAAGATGAAACCAATCCAGTTTTCGATTTCACAAATTACTACTGACCTTTAGCGAGTTTTTCTTCTAGCTCCTTAATCTTTGCCGCTTTGTCGTCGCTTTTTCGCTTGAGTTCCATGATTTTATTTTCAAGACCTTTATTGAGCGATTTCATCTTGTTGACATCACGTGCTTCTGCTCTGAGAATCCTGTATCGTCGACGGGCTACTTTAACACGCCACAAGCACTGGATTCGGACGATTCTTCTGATATTCAGTACAAATAGTTTCCTGGCCTGATACATTCGCCAAACCGACTGAATCAGCGTAGCAGCTTGCTCTCGCTTGAGACCAAAAGCGGCCTGCATTGCGAACTTCTTCCTGACTAAGCTCTGGACATAAACCGTGCCTCTTCTCAGCTTTTCGTACATGATCCTCGCCTTGGTCATCATCCACCAGCTCTGAATCTTCGTCGCAGCAGCCTGTTCCCTCAGCTCTTGAAGCTGTTTTCGAGCGAGGAAAGCTCGGGCTGCAGTTTGAAGCTTGATCGCAATTGCTCGTTTTTTCAGGTACTGTCGTCGGTAAATGAACATCTTGATGAACTTCTGGATGATCGCTGCCGAGTGATTCAACCTGTCAATTCTCCATTTTTCCATCAGCGCGACCTGACCGGCTCTGAAGAAGATCTTCGTCTTCCCGAAAGCGTATTTATCTTCATCGGGAATAAGTCGGGTAAGCATCGCTTCGCACGCTTTTCTCGGCTCCATTTTCGGCTCTTTTCCTCGAAGAAGAACGCGGTAGCGAGTACGGAAGTCTTTGTACGTCCATCTTCCGGGAATCCAGCTGCAGAAAGCCGCACTGTCTCTAGAACACCACACGCTCGAAGTTGCTCGACCGAACGCGATGGCTCAAAAGTAAAAACGGCCTTTTCGTCGTTCGGCTTGATACAACGCACGTAATGAGGAGTCGTTGCGTTCAATTTCTCCATCAGGCTTTTCAAACTGTCCGAAAACTGTCGACCAACAGTTGCTTTCAGCGATTTTGATCGAGCACCAGGCCGTGTTGGTTTCTTCGACGGAGGCGGCGCCTTTTCTTGGAACAACTTTGCAACGAGATCAAATTTCGACCCTTTGAGAATCGCCACTTGTTCTTCATTGACTGCGTCGCGGTTTTTGGACACAAAATCTTCAACTTGATATGTGACATCGTCTGCAAAGTGCTTGATAATAAACGCGGAATTTGACGTTCTTGGTTTGTCGAAATTCTTGTGTTTCTTCAAATGACGGTTGTACAAATTCATCGCCCAGCTATCATCAGAACCCTTTGGCATCTTGCACTCCTCATCGAGCAAATCGAGGACTCCGAGTTTTGCTTCGATCAGATCAATACATGGTTGATTGTCGTAAAACTCGATCTTCGTCCAATTGAGCTTTTCTTTTTGGTACTCTTCTTGTTCAAGTTTAAAGACGTGCTGGCAGAACTGCTGCTGGAGCTTCTCATTAGCGTAGTTGATGCAAAACTGTTCAAAGGAATTGACTTCGAAGGTTTCGAACCCGTAAATATCCAAAACGCCGATAGAATTCGCTGATTTCGACTTGGTTTTCAGCGCTTCATTGACTTGACCCACGATCATTTCGAATAACTTCGCGTAAATGAACTTTGCGAGGGAGTCTCGAGCGCTGATGGCTTCTTCTAGCCGTAATGGTTTATCAAAAACATCGGTGACAGTTTGAATTCGTCTGTGAATAAGCCACTGGCAGAGCTGCGAGCTTTCGACGCCCATGAGCGTGCAAACGATTCCGAGAGATTTCTCAGCTGGATCGAGAGAGGCGGAGTCGTTGCCTGACTCTGTCATCTCGATGTTGCCAATGTGAAGGATGGCGGCGAGGACGCGAAGAATGAGACTTTGCTCTTTTGAACCGACGCCCAGGAGAGTAAGGGCGTATTGAGTCTCGCTGAATTCCTTGGCATCGTCAACGTTGTCTACTTCTAGGCATTCTCCAGCAGTGAGGTAGGTGAAGTCGGTCACTTCTTTCAAATGGAGGGAGGCGAGCTAGGGGTCAAGTTAGGAGGGAACACGTGAATATATAGTTGAGCTACATAAAAATGATAAAAAACTAAGCATAGGCTAGAGTAATCAACATCTAAGTTAATCGCGTGCAAGGAATGAGGATGAGACAAGTGGCTAAAAAATGAGATAAGATGGATGCATCATTTTTGAACCTAAATAAAACACCAAGGAAAAGGACTGATTGAATGGTTTTTGATTGACTTTTTGGCATTCACGATTGTAATTTCACCTCTCTTTCAATGTCAGGCGGAAATCTGACGATCTGAAAAACTAACTAATTTTCAGGATCATCAGAAAATCGAGTAATCAGGGAGCACAAGAAGATACGAATATATCTTCAAGAAAATTGTAATCAAATTAAAAGTAACTCAACTCAAAACTCAATAAAACTCAAAGCCGGAAGAATACTCACTCGGCGGTTCCACTAGGGAATGAGGAATTAGTTTTTTTATAGGAAAAATCAAAGGATAAATAGCAAAAGGATTAATCTTAAAGAGATACTCATAGTTTGGTAGAGCATTAACCTTTGTTTTCTAAAGAGTGTTAAATAATTAATCATTTTTTAAGACGATAGAGGTAGAATAGGTACCTGTGGATCAGTTTGAGCAGCAGCCACAAGCTGGTAAAATATATGATAGTTTCTTTCATTCGGTCCCGGTCTGACAACACGAGATTTTTCCAGCAGATAAGTTCGCATAGCCGCCCCGGTTACTCGATGCTTCTGGTCGAAATCAAGCTCGATGTATTTACCAAAACGGGACGAATTATCATTCCTCGTCGTTTTCGCGTTTCCGATGGCTTCCATGATCGGGTTGCTCGCTAGAACTTTTGTCTCGACATTGTCTTTCCCCGAAGTAGGGCCGGATGATCCTCCAACTTGTGCGAAAAACTTCATGGAGAACTTTGCAGACACGGTTTTTCCTGCGCCCGATTCGCCAGTGACGATGATGGATTGATTCTTCCCGAAGCGAGTCATATTTGTAAAGGCCGAATTGGCGATTGAATAGATGTGCGGGTCGAGTTCTGCGTTGTCCCGGGTTGAATAGAGCTCGATGAAATCATTGTCGTAGATGGGACATGCTTGGTAGGGGTTGATGGCGACCAGGACAATTCCACAGTAGGTATACACTTGTTCACGATGAACAAACCGTTCCTAGACATTTGATAAGGAAAGAGAAAGGGGACTTACAAACCTTCAAAGAGTTTAACACAGCCGGTTCATGAAGAAATGACAGCGCCGTCAAATCATTCTCTGCCAATAAAACATCTGGATTACGCAAATGCGGCTTCCCATTTTTCTTGAGGTTGAACTTATGCACATTGTACTCGTCGTCATCATCTTCGCTGTCTGAGCCGGCGTCATCCTCGCGCTCGAAGATGACATTCACGTGATCGGACTCTGGATCAAGATTTTCTGCGAGCTTGCAGGGGCGCCAGACTGTTTCGGCATCGGGGATCCAAACTCGCGCTCCCTAAAAGAAAATATAGGGGTACAGTCAACCGCAAGAGCATACCTTGACATAAAGAGCTTCAAGATCTGACTGAGCTGGCATTGTTTGATAAAAAATAGCTTCTTGATTTGGTACGATTTCGATTAAAAGCTCCTTTTACAAGAAAACTTTAAAACACATCTGAATGAAAAAGGTAATACAATATTCAATGAATAAATTGAGCTACTGGATCAGTAACAGTAGTGATAACTGTACTATTTTGATACATAGAAATTGAATTTCAAAGTACTTTTTAAAGAAGTCATTTTTAAAAGCTGTAAATGATTGATTTGTCAGTACCCAGGATCTGTGGCGAGTTTCAGTTTTAAAATAGAAAAAAATGGCTCGACTTTGATGAAAATTGCAAAATTTTTCAAATAAATGAGTGATCAAAGAATCTTTAGCGGCGGCTTCGAGAAGACGTCGAACTTCCGTACTTCTTCTTCTCATACTCTACTTGACGCGCCTTTTCTTCTGAAAAGCGGGTTCATGGACAGTTTTGGTTTCGAATAGTAGGAAAAACTGGAGGTCGTAAAAGTGAGTTTCACACGGTAGTATTTATCGACTAAAAACGATGATCCATCAACACTTTCGATTCATGGTTAATTGAGTCATCATTTACTGAGCTTCCTGGTTTTGAACAATTTAGGGTTTGATCCAAAAATAAATATAGTGGCCCTCTTAGTACATGTATTTTCTTCATAAGTTTTATTGGAACCTCCTCTTTGCTTTATTGACCTCGAAGTTATCGATCTCTCGAAGACAACAGCGTTTTTCGTCAGTTAATGAACCGCTCCTAAGCGCTTGTTCTCCTGTCTGATGCGTTCCATTTTCGCATCGAGCTCATCCCTTCCCCTTCTTCTCGAGTCCCTTCCACTATCTCGTCTTCTTCTAGAAGGGGAATGATCCCGTGAATACGATCTTCTACGTCTTCGGTTATCTCGACTTCTGCTCCTCGAAGATCTTCGTCGATTTCGCCGATTTCGTGAGCGAAGACGATCTCGATCTCGGTCACGATCTCTTCGTTCATCTTCGTAGCCGTCGCTAAAGATAAGCTCGGATTAGAGAAAAAGAAGCATTGTGGCTTTATTTACCTGCGCATTTTGGACTTCTTCCAGACTGCATCGTCGTCATCTTATAAAAGAAAAATTGACCCCTTGACACTTGTTGATGAATTATTTATGAAAAACAATTTGAGGGTGATCAATAAAGAACTTAAAAGTGTCCTGTTTCTGTTTTGATAGACGCACTTCTTAAATTACTTGTTTTCCTATGATAGATTTTCCCTTATAGATTATCTTCGCTCGTTAAACCCCTTCTTTTCTTTGTAAAATGATTACCTGAAGAATTCTTTACTGTAAATTTCTCATCTTCGCTGGAGGAATCTTCTTCGGAGACAATATCTTTGGCAGTTTGAAAAACAGCACGGCTGAAAATGAGTTAATTAACCCGCTTCTCAAACTTGATCTCTTTCGATTTTCTCTTGAGTGCTCTAACATACTAAGGGCGTGTGATGCAAATGTATTCGCTGCTGTAATATTACTGTTGATATTACTTGTCGACAGCCGAAATTGGCCCCTGGAGACATGAAGGAGAACATGCCTCTAGGAACAAAAACAGCGTTGTGTTTTCCCTTTTGTGGAAATTCTAGCGCTAGGAAATGAAAAACGACATGTAGGCCTATTGTTTGGGCACGCACTCATACACACTTTGGGCACACAAATTTCCATTGAAGCGATGCGTAACCAGGATAATTAAAATTGATCGATTTGTGATTGCATAGCGCTTGAGTAATACAAATGCAAATCAAAGGCGAAAATTAAATATAATCTCACCTTGAATTTCGCCGCTTCTTGGAAACTTTCTTTTGATTCCTGTGCACAGTGGAGACGTCCAATTCCAAGTCGCTGTTTCCGTCTTCTTCGCTGCTCGTGTTCGGGTTGATAATCAGCTGATTTGGGTTGGTGGACTTTTTCGCGCTGTCGTTTTTCACGGTCCGAGTTATTTTCAGAGCTGAGAAGCTTTCTGTCGAAAGTCAGGGTTTTTAAAATATTAATATTTTAGATACTCAAACGATTTTCTTTATTGAGCTTTGTTTTGAGAGCTGGGCTCGATAACTTTTGTAGAAAACCTGAGTCGAGTTTAAAAAATCTATTATAAAAAACCAAAGTTAGAAACCCTTGTCGATTGGGCAGCAGGATCATCATCTCCAGTAACTGGCAGTCGGCGAACAATCGTCTTCGATGAACTTTGAGGTAACTGGGAGTCGAGGGCCGAATCATGACGTTGAAGATTCGAAATTGTTAAGGATAAGCTCGATGCTAAGGCAGTGGTGTTTTTCAGCGCCGGATTTATGTGCACCTTGGGCGACTGTTTCTTCAACTTTGAGCGAAGGTCTAATGGAGGTCTTCTTTTGGATGATCTGGGTAAAAAGGGTTGAAGAAATCAGTCAAAGGGCAAAAATGTACTTTTGTGATAGTAACTGCTTGCGCATCGCTTCAAGATCTTCTTCATCGGAGCTGCTATTATTTCCATTTTCGCCGTTTTCGGAGTTTGTTCTCTTGAATTTTCCCAGCGAGCCTGAAAGAAAAAAAAAATCAGAATTCTAGTCAGTCGTTTATTTGCTTTTGAAACCAAAAGCCTTCTTCTCAGGTGCGAAAATCAAAGAAAGACAGAAGGGGGAATGATTTGACACTGACTTGCAGCATCTAAAATCTATGTAGAAAATCCGAGTCAGAAACAACTTTGTCTCTCATAAATGGTTATAAAATAAAATTAAGGGTGCCTCTTACCTAAAGCAGCATTTCTCAGGGCTTCCAGTCCGTCCATTTCTTCGCTAGACTCTTCATCTCCGGACTTGTCCTTTTCATTTTTCTCCTCCTTTGAGCTTTCTGGCGATTTGGATCTCGATCGGCTTCTGCTCCTGCTTCTGGTCTCTTCAAGAATCGATTCATGCGTTTCTTCGTCGCCAGAGAAGTCTTGGAGTTCTTGCTCGAAGCTGTTTTCTCCCTCCTTTCCCAGCTGAATTTCATTATATTCAGAATTCCTTTTTCATTTTACCATATGATCTTGACTTGAAGAATCAACTCTTTCAGGCGACTGTTGATAACCAACTTTTTTCCACTTTCCGCTAGTTTGGGAACTCTCGCTTTTTCTCCTTGAATCGTCGTTTTTCGTAGAAGCAGCGTATTCCGAGTTCATTAGCTCATTTTCTAGCTCTGCGTCAATATCTTTTTGGGTTGAGAAATTTCGACCGAAGAAAAAAATGACGAAAATGATGCATAGAAATGGACACATTCATCCTCTTGCGGACATAGTCATACAGTGGGTTGCGCAGTTGGTTGCCCCTTTGTGATTGCAGCTTTGGTTGCCCCTTTGCCCGCGCTTTTTCTATTGTTCCTTTCTAGACTCGCTCAAAGTGATTGCAGGATTGGTTGCCCCTTCACCCGCTCTTTAGGGGGCAACTACCATGAAGTTGAGCAATAAAGGGAGATAGGAGAATCTGCCCATGTCTGAAGACATGTGGCGGGAGATATTGGCCCGGGACATGGGCATTTCTGAGCGCGCCTAATTTTGGGAAGAAGCCGCGCAAACCCTTGTCGGCTCTCTCATTGGCTCAGACCCGTTTACTTTCCAGATTCTGTTCTTCAGAATCTGGAGATTCTTCTAAACCGCCAAGCAAGTGGTTAAGAAATTTTCTAGACTTCCCCGACAGTGATTTGCGCGGGACACGGGGAAGGGGGCCCAGGGGCTTTCTCCCACAAGAGTTAAACTTCATGGTACCTGCGCAACCCACTGTACAAAACTAGGACTAGCGGATGATTCATACTTCTGGGCCAGAAGATCTGGCCAAGAAATTATGGGCATCTGTGTAAAAAACCTGAGTCAGGGTTCTGTAAGAGCTTTGATAGACGAACGCAGGACCCTGACTCAGATTTTCTTCATAGATTGCGGCACCCTGACTATAATAATTTTAAGAGTATCACTCCGGAAATCATCGTTTTCTCAACCCTTTTCCCAACTCATCAATATTCTCCTTGGAGTCGCCCTCCAGGCTTTCTAGCTCCATATCAGACATTCTACAAAACAATCGATGAAAAAAACTTTCTATTTTTAGCGTTTTATTTTCAGTAAGATTCAAATTCGTCAAGTTTTGAGCAAATTTTTATAATAAGAAACATGTCCACAGTAACACGTGAGTCGAATTTTCTATTTTTTCTTTCAATTTGAGCTTTTTTTTCTTTCGAACGATCATTCTAGTAGTCGGTCCATCGGTGGGAGCAAGTGTTGCAGCAGTAGAACAGCTTCATCGACATGGTTTTCACCAACATTGACTGGAAGAAGCAGACGCCGCGGTTGCCGCACTAGAATGAATGGTTGAAAGGGGATCACCATTTTAGCACTTCGAAAAAGTGCACTTACGGATGGACACTCATGCGAATCAGTTCTCGGAAGAGCAGGATCTTGCGATACTTCAGGCACGATTCCGACCAACTCGTCCATCTTTGAAATCAGCTTGTTGACGTAGATACACGGGTTCTCCGCTAAAGAATGGTCATTTCATGAAGAAGGGAAATGAAGAAAACCTTCAGATTTGTAGCCACAGTTTCGGCAGCAGTACTCAAGTCGTTTTTCAGCTCGATTTTCTTTCGGGTACAACATGTTGTTGCATTCCAAGCAGAAGAGGATTCCAACGGATTTTGGGCCATCAGCTTGGATTTCTGCAAAAGGCAGTCTTTTCGAAGGGTTTTCTTTTTAAATTAAAAAAAAAATTTTCTGATCATTTTAATTTTCAAATAAATTGTGAAAAATTAGCAGTAGTTCAACCCTTGGCCATCAGCAGTTGTTCCCTGAGTCGCCATCTTCTCTGCTTTTCTTTCCTTTCAACCCTTTTTTCGTAAAACTCGCTCTTTCTTCCACTTTTCTCGGCAGTGAGTGCGATCGGGCGCAAATTTCAAATTTCTCGATTTCAAACTCGCGCGCTCATTGGCCAATCGGCACAATCCAGAAAAAGGCTCGAGCCGCTCTGAGCGAAGAGTGAGAGGAATCGATTCGAATTTTATGGTTTTTACGAAGAGAAATGCACGAAAATAACGAAAGAACCGAAGAAAAGAGCAATTTATAAGTCAAAAAATTATTTTACATCAAAATATATCACAAAAATGGGTTTATTTTCGGTCTGTTTTCGTTAAATCAGAAAGAAAATTGATTATTTTTATCAAAATTTTCGCCTTTTTCATGATAAATTTCCCTATTTCTCCATAACTCTGGGTTTCTAGAAGCTTTATCGCCTTTTAATTATATTAAAGTTTGTTATTCTGGTGCACTTTATTTCCACTTTTCTATTTCTTTTTACTCATTTTCGTCCCTCTATTTCAAATTTTCATCTTCAGAATGCTTTCCCGAGCGATTCTCCGAACATCCGTTCGAGCCACTCCTCGACTAGCTGTCCCATCCGTCCGGGCCAAGGTAAAATCCCTCTCTTTTTATCTGCCCTTCAGCCTCTTTTCAGTCCGAGATGAGCGTGATGCAGTGGCTGCAGATGGAGCCCAAGCTCGAACAGGTCATCTTCGTTCTCATGGGAGGCCTTGCTTTCATCGTTGTCGCCCAGCTTTTCGGTGCTTCTCCACCAACTGCTCTTCCTGCTGGTGCTCCTACTGTAAGTTCTCCTTCCTTATTTTAATAAACAACGAGTTTTACAATTCAGTACCCCTGGGAAAACCCACCAGCCGTAGCAGACTCCCCCTTCGGCGCCCACCCCGTCGAGAAGATCGTCATGGAAGAGCTCGGTCTCTCTAGCTACGAAGAAGCGAAGCCCTACCTCAAGGCCTGGTGGGCCGAGCAGCTCGCTGAAATGTCCGAGGACGAAATCAAGGCGCTCAAGACTAAGTACCGACTCTGGCAATAAGTTAAACATCTGCGTCTTTTGGCCAACTTCAGCAAAAACAATAAATTATTCGGAATATTCCAATTTCCAAACAACTCAAATTTAGAAATAATATTTTGTTGTAAAATTGAGTCTTTTGAACGAGGGATAAGCTTGAACAGTGAGAACAAAAGAGCACATTTGTGATTTTTTAGGAAATAGGAAGGCTGACTGGTAGAACTATAAATTTAAAGCAAGCAGTTATTGTTTCAGATGAGTTCAGGCGAGCGTATTCTTGCAATAATGAGCATGAAAATAGCGAGTGAGCTTTTTTGCTGTTCATTCTTCGCGGATTTCTTCGAGTTTTTCGGTAGTTGATTCTAGCCAGCTCTGAATATAACAATTACTTTAGGAGTATTTTTACAGAAGGGAATTTCTTCAGCTCATTGTTCCTTGAAGAAGCGCTAAAAAACCGAGGAGCCACTTGCGGCTTTGAGAAAAAAACGAAGCGAAAGACGCGATAAGCGCGGCTAATGTCCTATTTGACTCGAAGCCGCAAGCGGCTTTTTGGGTTACAGAGTTTCTTCAAGGAAAATGCGCTGCAGAAACTCTCTTCTGTAAAATCTACTTACGGCTCCAACATCTTTTAAGTTTTTCTCCTCATCGTCATCTTTGGAGTACCAGCTCATAAAGCTATCCGTGATAACCGAACGCATGGATTCAAGGAACGGTGGACCACTGTTGTTCATATTGTTCGGAATTCCTTGCGAGATGTTCTTGTACTCAGGCGGTGGCGTTCTGGTCCCGCTGTTGAGCCATCTTCGCATGGTTCGCTTGTAGCTTGGCAGCGATGTTGGTCCAAGTTGACGACCCTCGTCTTCGGGTGGACCGGGGTAGTTGGCCGTTGCTGTGTAGGGAGGACGGTGTCGCCGGGAGGAATGGCCGGAAGAACTAAAGGAACATGTTAGGCCGAAATATAAGGAGACTTTCGAGTAGAAAAAGAACTTTGCCTTGTGCTCACCGTCCATCGGTCGTCGCATTCGGATCCTCTCGGTTGAAGTAACAGAAGCAGAGGATGATGACGATCACTATCGCCATCAAAACGCCCCAGATCGCCCAGAATCTCGATCCTTCTTCATTCATCAAGTTGTTTAATCTGAAAACTCCTCTCAAACAAGGTTTTCATCAAAAGAATAGGTCAAGAATTGTACTTCGTAGATACGCCTATTTATGAATTTGCTCGAGTTGGTCCATTTTTAATTGTTGTAGTGATAAAAATCGAGCAGAATCATGAGATCAAGCTGCAAGACGGACTTTAAAATTTGTGAACTCGAAAATAAGATTAACGGCATAGGGTCCAGTTCAGACCAGAAACAAACTGTCATCATCAAGTCCGATTTTAGCACAAAATAACGGACGGCTCATACTTTAGACCCGCAAATTCAATCCTTGGGGGCTGTATTTTAAGAAATACCTGTATTGAATGATCGGAGCATTTAGCTTCGTCATTTTTATTCTATGTACAAAATCTGCTCTGAAGGTTTTTTCAACTTGTCATTATTTTTCGCTACGTCTTCAGAGAGTCGTAAAATTGATTTTAATTAGAAAACAACCTTTTGTCCGGCTTCTTATCTAGGTCACTACTGATGATATAACGGGGTGGAAAGACGCTTGAATTTGAACTTACTGTTGTATTTTTTGCGTCGTCGTTTTTTCTTCTTCATGGCTTGATTCTTCGATAAGTTCCTTGATTTCTTCTTGCATTCAGTTTTTTAATAATTTTCTGAAAAGATAATTCAAAAACGCAAAGATTTCTGGGGACAGGAAATTATCGCTACAGTAAGTAATTACTAAATTATTAATGCGTCATATTCAATCAATTTGGAGCAAGTGTGAGAGCTAAAAACCTGCTACAGTGGCGTTTGCGGTTGCCTCCCTGTTGGAGCGTCCCTCGTTACCTCCCTATCCAGACGCTCTTTTTCTAGAAGGGCGCATTAAATCGAACCAGAAATCGTCCCGCGTTGCCTCCCTCTCTAGACGCGTTTGGATAGGGAGGCAACCGCAAACGCCACTGTACGCCGTTTCCTTATTAGGAAGCCTTGAGGTCGGTCATTCAGCTATTGTTCTTGGGCGTTTAGGAGTTTAAGACTTTTTGGATTGGAAACAAAGGGGGTGTTTTGACCATTTTGGACGGTAATTCGGAGATTCTGGTAAGCAGTCGTCTTCAGAATTAAGGGTGTCTTCGGGCTAACTGCCTTTCATATTACTTTCATTTGAACTTTAAGTTCAATAATTCGTTAATAATTCTAGTAATACTAGAATTATTCTTATTGAATTAGACCAGGTTCAGCACTATCCCTAAAAGAAGCAAAAACTTAAACAGAAAATTAGTTTGACGATTTCCGAAATCGACGAAACGAATGGTTTTTTCTTTATTTTACAATTATTGATTATCTTTAAGATAGAAAATACTTTTTAATTAAAGAAATATTTTTATAGCTTTCCTTGATGATATTCATAAATTTGTTTCTTTGTCAATTTTTGATTTTCTTACCTGTTTGTGAAAAGCCGCAGGAACAATCTTTTTTCAGAGCTCTTTGAGAAAAAAGTTCAAAAGAAGCTTGGGATAGACGGAACGAGACTACGGGAAGGCTCTCTATTGAGAAGCGCAGCGTCACTCGGCCAACGGCAGAGCGCTCCGCGGCCAATTGACAAATCGAACTCAGCTCCCACCCCACTCGCTCCACACGCCCAGAATACACCAGCACCACTTTTACTACGAACAAGCGTTTTTTCGAGCTTGTTTGTTTCAAATATCTTCTAGTTATCATTACCATAATTGATCAAAGTCATCAATATAAGCTTAATTATGACGTCTTACTGTAAGAAACCATGAAAAAACACCTAAAACTATACTGTAGTTTCAAGTCAGATGATGAAAATCGAGAAGCCGTTTACGGCTTCGAGTCGAAAAAAATATGAGCCGCGCAAAGCGCGGCTTTTTTCTCGAAGCCGCAAGCGGCTCCTCGATTTTAAACATTAATCTGTTATTAAAATTGAAAGGTCAATAGGTGGCTAATAATCGGATTTGGCAAATCTAGATTTTTCGATCTACTATTAAAAAATCAAGCATAATTCCTTCGCTTGAGAATCCTGGGATCTCCCGCTGCGGTTTAGCACGGGAAAGTTCAATGAGTTGATAAGACCCTGAGAGTATGATGCTCCAATTGTGTAATTTTTATACTGACATACGCGGTTTTACGCATTTTTTTCTCAAGAATATGATGCTTTCATCAAAATATACTTTGTTAATAATTTAATAAACAAATTAATAGAAATATTATTTTTATAAAATGCGTTGATTATTTCCACTAAAACATGCTAATCTCACATGACATTGACCTAGACCAAAATTTTTCGAATTTTCGCCCTTGAGCTCTATCACGTGGATTTCTTCTAGTTTCGCTCAATAACCCTTTTTCGATTACCAAAGCAACAAAAACAAAATGGAACTAATGTCGTGTATTCGTAAAAATATGGAGCCAGAAGTTGCGCCAAATTATCCAAGAAAGGATGCAGATTTTCTAGAGAGACTGAGGACTTTTGAAGACATAGAAGATTTTCCGATTTCGAAGGAGAATGCGGCGCTGGCGGGATTTGAGTTTATTGGACCGGATGATAGACTAAAGGTTCCGACAATACATCTAATATAATATAATATAATATAATATAATATAATATAATATAATAAGTTTTGTCAATACTGCATTTCAAATACATAAATTTTATACAAAAACCGTAACAAAGTAATAATATCTGAAAATTTATATTTTTTATTTATTGTCTGTTGCTGGTATCTCAGAATAATTAAACATGATAAACGCATCCCGAATAACACGCTTGTGTGAACCATTCTTTACGCAACAACCTATAAATTTACAACAACAGATTTAGTATAGATACTATTATAAATCGCTTTCATTTGGATGGAGGGACAATTGTCCGCACACAAGCCATGAGGCGCTGCACTACACCGCGCTACTAGCCAAGAGATGGGGGCGCAACGGAGCGCGCGCTGATATCAAAATCATCAGCAGGGATCAAAGTCTTTGATTCAAAGAACATTTCTCGTTGTTTTGAATATATTTATCTAGTACTAATTTAAACAAATAATTATAATTTATCACCTAAACAAAATGATAAGGAATGGAAGCTGTCCGTCATTTTCCAATTTAAAACTAAATAGTTATGAGAATTCCCATAAAAAGTATAATAGTGTCAATTTTGAAAATGCACCGAATTTATCTATAAAAAGGACTTTTGGTTCTTTCGTTTTTTTTTCTCATACGATTTCAGTGCGTCTACTGCGAGGGACAACTTGAATCCTGGGCTTCAACAGACGATCCTCTCAAAGCCCACATCGAAAACTTCCCAACATGTCCATTCCTAATTCCGCTTCTAACCGTCCCACAGAATCCGTCAAAATCATCATACGACGAGCGAGTCGCTAGTTTTTCATCTTGGGGACGAAGATGTCCCTCTGCAGAAGACCTCGCTGCAGCTGGTTTTTATAAATCAAAGAAACGCGGCTTTCCAGACTCAGTAAGATGTTTTTACTGTGGCTTGCCGCTGCATTCGTGGGAAGCCGGCGATTTGCCATGGGAGGAGCATGCAAGTTTAGTTCGAGATGAATTGTGAATTATTCAAACAAAAAGTTCTTTCTTTTTCCAAGTTTTTATTTTGATGGAAAAGAGAGTTTATCGAATTTTAAAAAAGGTGGCAGCCTCACTGCGGCTTCTTGATTCAAGTAAAGGGATATGGGAAAGTTCAAATACACCTCACCAGAAGGCTAGGGCTTCAGATAATCTGTGTAGAAACCTGAGTCAAAGTCTGAAAGATCTTTATTGAAAAGCCGCGCAGCGGCTTTTTTAAAAGGGAAGCCGCGAAGCGGCTCCACAAAATTACAAAAGCAATCTATTTTAAAGAATTTCGAAGCCGCTACGCGGCTTCGTTTTCAAGGAGCCGCTGCGCGGCTTTTCATGAAAGATCTACTTGACCCTGACTCAGGTTTTCAACAAAAGTTACCGAGCGGTTCGAGCCCAGGCAGGAGGTATTGAACTTTCCTTGTAAGCTTCATCAAATATGCCCGTAGAAAACTTGAAATGATCAATATCGCCGACTCTGAAAATGACGCCAACGAAAATGAAAACGATGAATTGATAAGCATAGGTATGAAGTTCAATATCAACTTGCTGATTGTTCTTTTTTTTCTGAAGAAAATGTGGAGAAACTTGACCGAGAAGAGCTTGAACGAGTCTGTCTGTCTTTAGGCCTCCGTTTGAGATGTCATTTGCACGTGACTAGAATTGATCATTTGCAAAGACGGGTTAATTAATACGGAGATAAGCTGCAGAAATGTCGTGCAAAGTCTGTCTAGTGAAGAAAATAAGCGTGGTCTTTGTCCCTTGCAGGCATCAATGCTGCTGCTCAGGAATTCGGTTTCAGCGAAAATAACTTTCTTCAACAAACAAAATTGATAGTCTTCCAAGTCGACAGATTTCATCAAATATTTAACCCGCTGCAAAACCATAATCCAGAATGTGCGAAGCGCCTCGAAACATGCCCGATCTGCCGCGTTAGATTAAAAAGTTCGATTCGCGTTTTTACTTCTTGAGCCATTTTTACTGATTAATAAATCCACAAACCCAGATAAATTATAGCAGGCGATAAATTACAAGGTTATAAAATAATTTATTTCGCAAGATTTAAAGAACTGAGCGGCAAAATTAATTTTCTTCAAAGTAAAGAATGAGGAAAGTTCAACCTTGTCGTGCCATCCATTTTGCGAATGCGTCTTCGTCATCGTAGTCGAAACTTTTTCCCGGTTTTCAAAAATTCGATTCAATTTGGCTAAGCTTTGCTTAGCCCTGCGATTTCCAGGGAAAACCGAGCTTAGCTTAAGTTATCTATCGGCCAGCTTAGCTCAGATTTCATACCTGCTTAGATTTCTTAGCAACCTTTTTAAGCATAGCCGAGCTTGGGAAACGCTTAGCCGAACTTAGCCAAAAATAAATAAAGCAAAGCCAATGCTTATCATTCATAAGCTTTGATGATTTTTGATTAGCATTGACTTAGCTCTATTAATCTATGGCTTAGTTCGGCTCAGCGCCTTCCAAGCTTGGCTATGCTTAAAAAATAGCTAAGAAATCTTAGCAGATATGAAATCTGAGCTTTGCTGACCGATAAATAACCAAAGCTGAGCTAGCATTTTGATAAGGACAGAAAATATAATAATAGGCAACCTGAGCATTGCTAACCTCATGCCCAAAAATAATGATGAAATTTAGCAAAGAATGAAAGACGGTCAGCTCAGCTAGACTAAGCTAAGCTGGATTCGTTGCATTGCAATTTCATCAAGTTCAAAGAAAGAAAACCGGTTGCCTATAATCCAGGGGTTCCTCAAAAGTCTGTTTGGCAAGTTCTGGTTCATCAAGTAAAAACTCCGCCATTGCATCGACAAACGCACTATTGACAACTGAATGCTTCTTTTAGTCGTTAGCAATTAAAAACAATAACGGCCTTTGACCTTCGAGGATTTCAATATTTAGTGGCATACATTTCTTTTTTACTTATACTCGACTGCACTCAAAGCCGATAAATTCAATCGGCAAATCGGAAAATCGTCAAAAACAGGTGCCTTTAGATTCTAGCCGATTGAATAAAGGGTTTATGAGGGTTCAAAAAGAAAATCAACTTATTTAAAATTGCTAGAAAAAGCTGCGTACCTCCACTTCCAGTTACTCTTCCAGCTGACATCGTTCCTGGATTCTTTAGGTCCTCTTCTTCATCTTCGAAATAATCATCAAACTGGTCGGTAAATGATGCCGGAATCGCAACTGTCATTCCGAATAATCCTGCTTTTTCGGTTAAAAATTTTTTTGTTAATAAATATTTTCCGACTTTTTTAACCGCTTTCCTAACAAAAGATTCATTTCAAAAAAATAATAAAAATATTTAACTTGACGAAAATCAGCTCTGACTGGAAAAAAGGTGAAAGCTCGAATAAAATGAAGCAGCGAAAACGACGGTTTTTCAACTCAAACAGCGCCGACTGGATGCTCCTTTGGGAATACGCTGGAGAATATTTTTTTTCAGAATATTGTCTGAAATTGAGATGGATGTCTTGCTTGGTTATTTTGAACAAATTTCAGTATGAAATTTTGAATATACTAGAAATAGGGGTTCCGATTCGAAGGTAAAATAAGGGTTCAAAATTTGGCCAAAATTTTTGAATTCGAGCGAGCGACTGGCTGAGCGAGATTTCTCAAAAATAGGTTGAGCGAGCGGAGCGACTGAGCAAGCGGCGTTTGAGCGAGATCGGAGCGAAGTCAGAGCAAAATCTGAGCGAAAGTTTGAAGAAGATGTTTCCCGAAAACCACATTTGATATGAGTTGGGTTATTAAAGTATATGTATTTGTTTGAAATATGAGAGTCTGGGACATTCAGACTGAACTTACTTTATTAAAATAAGAGTTCATCAAGAAAAATTATTCCCCGAAGGTCCCATGCTTCCTAATATCCCCTCTCAATTACTGTCAATTTATGGGTTACTGTTGGTGTCTCAAGTCAGCAAAACAAGGTTTCCAATTCGGTCAGCCAATTTTCGTGTGCAAAATTTGATTCTGAAAAAAATGAGTCTAAATGACTACATCTAAATGAACCACAGTTTTTTGCCGCAAACTCGCATGTTATCTCATTAAAATGAGGCTTTTCCAAATTGAATAAATATCAAGGGAGCTGGTATTTGAAAACCACGTGCCAGATAAATCCACAATCTTTATCAATTATTCCCATTTTAGCCGATGATTTTCTTTTCTCCACAGACTTTTGGGGGTGGTTGAACAAGGCTGTGAAAAGGCTTTATTTTTTAATTCTGTAAAAACACTGGGAAATCATGGATCAACTTTTACGGTGAATAATGTATTCTTCAGAAGCAAAGAAAGCTGTATCAAATATGCGTCAAAAACGCACTGGGTTAGATCCAAAATCGCATCGTTTTTCTTATGTTGGCCTACTGTAAATAAATCGCTTGATAAATGTTTTCTTTTGCAATAATTTATTTAAAATAAGCAAACAACGTCTTATTGACGAGCAAAACATGTTTTTCCAGAAAACAAAATCGAATGGGCAAATACACAGGCTTGAATAATTTTCGAATAATTTACAAGTCGAAAAGTCAGAGCTCGATAACATCTCGATACGACGGGTCCGTGTGGATTTTTTTGGATTCTTCGATTGTCGTTTCTGGTTCTTCGTCATCACTCAATGTTCTGATGTATCGAGCTAAAGTTCCATCTACGCGGTCCATGAGAAATCGCTCGAACTCGAGTATGTCTCCTTTTGAAGCTTCATCAAGGACCCTGAATTTTCCTTTAGGGTCGAATCGGGTGAAAACATCGAAGAAACCTTAGCTTCAGAAAACATATAGAATTTCCTAAAACGAGACATAGAGCTTAAGCTTTCTACATTAGGAGTTTTTGACAGTGCGCAGTCCGAGCCTTAGATTAGCCTATACACTCCTGGATCTCGTTAAAATATTAAAACCCCTGACGATGAGCTTATCCCGAAACGATCCGAAATTCAAACTTTCATATTCTTTATCAAAAATGTATATTTTTTCTTCTCATTAATTCTGCGCGCCAGCCAAATGCGTACCTGTAGTATTCAAGACGATCATTGACCTTGATATTGACGTAGGGAAATTCGGCTTTTAGCAAAATCTGATTCATGAGCAATCGCGCCGTCCTCCCATTACCGTCGACAAAGGGATGAATGAATGTAAGCGTGTGATGTGCTAGTGCGCTCTGTCTGATCGGATGCAGCTTTTTGAAGCGATCGGACTGGAGAAAATTGGTAAACTCTTCCATCATTCTTGGGACAGCTTCTGGAGGAGGGGGCGTGAAGGAGCCGACGTACACTTGGTGAGTACGGTACTCGCCTCCGTTGTCAGGATCGCCCGACATGACCCGGCGGTGCATGTTGAGAATGTGGTCTTCTGTGATTGGAAATTCAACAGTTCTAGAATCAGGATTAATTCTATCTTGCAAGGCTCATGGAACATTCTGATTTTTTGCAAGATTAATGACAAAAACAGGCATTTTACCGTCGATAAAACAATCAAATACAGCATTAAGAATACAGTAATGGAAAACTGGCTTTTCGTTCTTACCGATTTACATATCGAATCGCTGCTTCCATTCCAATCACTTCTGCAAGCTCTGTCACATCAGTTCCAATCGGCGCTTTACCGGTAATCAAAACATCTCGAACTTGTTGAAATGTCAGCGTATTCCCCTCGATTGCAATCGTATGATAAACGAATTGGTAGTAATCGTCGTTGAGCGTTTTTGTCAGTTGAAAGTTTTCCTGATGCGAAGAATATTTGTCGAAAAGCAAGTCTTTCGACGAGTCGATGTTTTTGAGTTTTGCTTGATCCACTCGCAGCGCCAGTTCTTTTGTCTTTTCTCGCATGATCAGCGCTAGATCATGGCCAGGATCTTGCTGTAGCGCTCTTGAAATGTATCGATCAGCTTCTGCAGGTTGATTTTGATCGACCTTTACTGTCCCTATTCTGACTAGAATCTCCGGATCCTTCGGATTGATTCTCTGCGCTTGATGAAGAAGTTCTAGGCCTTTTTTGATCTTCTTTTCTTTGATCAATTTGTCTGCTTTTGTGAGAAGAGCGGTTACTTCGGGCGATGAACTTTGTATTTTCTGAGTACTGTCGGAAGATACAGTTGGAGAGGGAATGATTTTCGGAGGCGTTGGTGTTCGGACATCACGTGGGCAAATTTCTTATTTACTGGCTTACAATCATTGAGTATCATTGAGTAATTGATGTTTATAACGAGTCCCAATACATCAATTATTATCGTCATCCCCAGGGCTTTGGTGGAGGAGGTGGTGTTTAGTGTTTAACCAATCAGATGCAGCATGTCGCCGGTGATAGGTACGCTCTGACACTCAACCGCTCAGAACTAGAACTCACCCCTACCAAAGCGCAGCTTACCTTTGCGCATCCCGTAGCATAGTTCTCGAGAAAAAAAAGAACGCTAGAAAAACATGAGAGAAGTTATTTCAATGCACATTGGCCAGGCTGGAGTCCAGATGGGATCCAGTTGCTGGGAGCTTTATTGCTTAGGTAAGATTTTTTCCGAAAACGAAGAAAAAACTTGGTTTTAGAGCACGGAATCGGCGCTGATGGAAAACTCATCGATCCTGACGCAAAAAAAGACGACTCCTTCACCACTTTCTTCAACGCTACCGGAAGTGGCCGACATGTCCCCCGCGCTATCTTCATCGATCTTGAACCCACCGTCGTCGATACCGTGCGACAAGGCAAGTACGGGCAAATGTTCCACCCGGAGCAGATGATTTCTGGAAAAGAAGATGCTGCCAATAACTACGCTCGAGGACACTACACGATCGGAAAAGAGCTCATTGATGGTGTTCTCGATCGCACTCGAAAGCTGGCGGATCAATGCTCTGGTCTCCAGGGCTTTTTGATCTTCCACTCCTTCGGCGGCGGAACTGGCTCTGGTTTCACCTCCCTTCTCATGGAGCGCCTCTCTCTCGATTACGGCAAAAAGGCAAAACTCGAATTTGCGGTCTACCCAGCGCCGCAGATCTCCACAGCTGTTGTTGAACCCTACAACTCCATTCTCACCACTCATACCACTCTTGAGCATTCTGACTGTGCTTTCATGGTCGATAACGAGGCAATTTATGACATTTGCAGGAATAATCTCGGCGTTCAACGACCAAGCTACGAGAATTTGAATCGACTGATTTCTCAAATCGTCAGCTCGATTACTGCTTCCCTTAGGTATGCATTCTACCTCTCGAAAAATTGATCCAACCCTTATTTTCAGATTCGATGGAGCTTTGAACGTCGATCTCAACGAATTCCAAACCAACTTGGTCCCCTACCCCCGAATCCACTTCCCTCTTGCCACTTACGCTCCCATCATTTCCCAATCGAAATCGCAGCACGAAGCCCTCAGTGTGTCTGAAATCACCACTGCTTGCTTCGAGCCAGCAAATCAAATGGTCAAGTGCGATCCTAGACAGGGCAAGTACATGGCTTGTTGCATGCTCTACCGAGGTGATGTTGTGCCTAAGGATGTCAACGCGGCTATTGCTCAAATCAAGGTTCGATTCTAGAGTTACTTCTTTCTGATCATTTCTGTTCTAGACCCGCCGAACCATTCAATTTGTCGACTGGTGCCCAACCGGTTTCAAAGTCGGCATCAATCACCAGCCCCCCTCCAGCGTTGATGGCTCTGACATGGCCTCTGTGAAGCGAGCGGTGTGCATGTTGTCAAACACGACCGCTATCGCCGAAGCTTGGGCCCGACTTGATCACAAGTTCGATCTCATGTACGCCAAGCGAGCCTTCGTCCACTGGTACGTTGGAGAGGGCATGGAAGAAGGCGAGTTTGCTGAGGCTAGAGAAGACATGGCCGCGCTCGAGAAGGATTATGAAGAGGTCGCTCTTGACTCGACTGCTGAGGGGGAAGATGATGAATACTAAGCCTGTAATTTGAGTTTTGGAATAAAGCTCTCTCTCTCTTTGAAAATCTATGATTTTTGTAAGCCGTTCCTTTTTGAAATCGTAAATAAGGCAGAAGCCTTTTCGAAGGGGAATTTCTTTCTTCGTTTTTCATGTCTGTTTTTTCATCTCTCAAAGTCATAAATGACTGGTAAAGAATCAACAATGACATTAAAATTATCACATGCGCTAGAATTTTGTGCTCCATTTAAGTCGATTTTCTCTAACTCTGAACTTGGATTATTTCGAAACAAGATGTTATTGGTTGATTGAATCGGCCAATCAGATTTTCAGCAGATGCGGGTGACGCATGGTGGCGTAGGTGGCCTTTTTGCAGGTAGATAGGCCGTTTTTATGCGATTTTAGGCAGTGGACGGAGTAAAGGTTGCGTTTTTCATGTTTATTGGTGTTTTCTGCAAATAAGTGTTTTGCTTCTGATGAAGGTAAATGTGCAAAATAATAATTTTCTCATTGATTTCGATTCAGCTGTTGATGGTTTCTTCGATCCAGTTTACATACTGTGACACTAGAAAAATATGATCTCTGTGTTCTTTTTTGGAAGTACCTTTTGAATAAGTCCCTGGCCAACTCGGATCCCCACAGTTTTTCGCAAAGGATGAGACGCCGTAAATGACCGGTTTGTTATCCAGGATGCAGATTAGCGAGGCTCCCAAGTCCCCGCCACATGCTATTTGAGGATCTTTGCGGACGAAACTGGCGCAAAAATGGACGTTCCAGGCGAAATTTGACGAAGAAACTTCAGAACGACGGCAATCTCGATCGTTGATGATTTTCACTGAAATTTATAAAGCTAGACACTCCACACATTTCAAAACTTCACATTCCATAAGATTTTATAATCCTCGGGAAAAGTCAAAAATAAATACGAATTCTTTCTCGAGAATCGAAAATTATGGTTTCTTCAAATTTCCTACCTTCAACTTCGCTGGGTGTCCTGCGGCTGTCAGCTTCATTTTCGTCCATGTAACTGCCAAATCCAGCTGTGAAACAAAACTCGCCCGCATTAACATGATTGTCAAAATCAGGCAGACACGCTTGTGTTGTCGACAGCGCTTCTTCGCCAGAAAAGAACATGTTCTTTTCGGAATAAACGAGACACAAGTCATTCTTATCGCCAATATTCGCCTTGACTGGCGAGTAGTCGGGATGGATCGTGAAGTTTGACGACTTTCTCTCCACCTAAATTTCTATTTTCAGTCGTTTTCTTTTGATTAGAACTTACCAAGTCTCGTCCTAGAAAAATTTTCGCCTCGGCTTTTTCCGTATTCAAAATGTCAGTACAGCATTTGCCGCTTGTGAGAATGTAGTTTTCGTGAATAATCGAGCCACCGCATACTCTGTTCTTTTCCACTGTCACGATCTCGTCGATGACGTCATCATATTCATATGCTGCATTTGTCGTTACATTTGCTTCAACGATTTCTAGGAAAAATGGTCAGTTTCTCTCTCTCTTTCTCTTTTTTTTTTCTACCTTGAACAGTCGTTTTGTAAGTTATCTTCACCGCCCAGGACCAAGGCGTATCAATGATATCTCCAGTGCCGTTGCAAGGCGTTAGTCTTCGAGGAATACTCCTAAATGGAATCTCCGTCGTTGTTTGAATCTCGGTCGTTGTCGGCTCAGTTGTTGTGGAAGTCGTCGTCGTTGTTGTTGTTTTTTCGGTACTGTTTGAGTTGTTGGCCGACTCGTTCGAGGGTGAGGTAGAATTTGATTGAGAGCCTACTTTTTTGGATATATTTTATGAGAACAATCATTCTACCTGATGATGAGTCGTTTTGACCGTCAGTGTTTTCATTGATGTTTTCCGGAGCAACACCAGATATGATGGCTGATACCCCGAAATAGACTGCAACGCCGATTCCTCCACCAATAATGAGGACTAAAATGAATTATCCGAATCATCATCTTGGCTAGGAGACAGAGAAATTGTCTATTAGACGGGGATCGAGCCCTGCCAATACGAAAAAGGGTAGCTCTTGTTGATTTTTGAGTCGAAAAATTTTGGTGTCAATCAAACAAATCATCAAATTTACACAAAACACATCAAAACCCAACCCTACCTAGAGCAAAAATAAGCAGAAAAACTTTCCCATTGGCAATTCTTCTTGATCTGTTTCTAGCTTGTGCTCTTTCTCCAGCTGCCGTCTGTTCGTTTCCATTTCTTGTTTCTTGATTTTCACCTTTTTTCTTCGCTCTTCCCTTCTCTTTTAAACTCTCGTCATTTGGCTGCTCTGGCGAGCTAACATGAGGCTGAGCCATTTTGAAAAATTTTTCAAAGAGTAATTTTGTTTATTAAAAACATTCTGAAAAAAGCAGGCGCTTTTCTTGCTGAGTGTGAGGTGCTGAGAGCTAGAACGTGGAGTACAATTGGCGGTGGTGGTGTTTAAGCGAGCTAGCGCGCCCCCAAGCGCTTTTTAATTTATATGCTTAAGATTTTCATAAACCAGAAAGATGATTACGCAGACCTTGCTTTTTGGACAAAAATAACGAAAAAAGTAGTTGAAATAGAAAAGAGATAAGAAGATTGAAATTTTAATTAGCAATTCAGGCTTTTTAGCAAATATCATCTGTGAAATGTTTTTCGTAGTTTGTAGTCATATTCTTGAGGATCAGTCGAGACTTGGAAATGGCGTCTTTTGACGGTCTTGATTGTGATTCATCAGCTGCATTGATGTACCTAATGTTGATCATTATACTATTGATTATTACTTTTCAGTTAGTTAAGTTCTCTTCACTGAAGATGGTCTTTTGACCGAAATCGATCTGCAATAAAATCCCTTACTTCATTTATCAACTTGATGTCATTTACAACAAACATTGTTAAATAACCAATATTATTGTTTTCAGCTTAGAGCTCTAGAATTAATCGTGTTGCTCTTATCATTGCGGGAACTTTAAATCTTTGCCACAAAATAATGGCAACGTAAAACTTACTTTGCCACATCTTCTGTGGAATATCCAAAAATCACGAAGTCGAGATAAAAATGTCGGTACAGTTCTTCAACCGTTTTTCTTGGGATCTTGCTCCAATGAAGCTCATCTTGTCGTCTTTCATGATCTTTTCCAGCACCGTTCGCTCCTTCTTTTCCTTCTTCTAACGAGTACTGCCCTCCTATTTCGAGCTCGCTGAGATTGATAAGCTCTAGAATCTTCGGGATCTCTTCTTTGCTGTTTTCAAGGTGAGTTATCAGCTCGTATTTGATGGCACAAGGAGAACAGAGGTTGAAAATCGTCGTCCAGTGATGATTCATCGCTTTATTTCCTGGATTCGCAGCGACATATTCTGCAAAAGACTCAAAGGAAGTCCGATATCCCTCGGGAACTCGATTCTCCGCCTTCCAAAATGGTCGGCTCGCATTTGCATAGATTTCATATATTTGATTTCTTGAAAGTATTTCTTGCTTATCCCGCCAGCCAGAGTACAATCGCGCGAAAGGATGTCGAACACTCACGACTTTATATTTTCCAGTGACGATATTTTCCAAAGAAAGCTGCTGAGAAGTTGCTTTTCGCAAACTTTCTTGATTGATTCGTGGCATCGTTCCGTAGAGCTCGAAACTGGGCTCGGCAACTTGTGCAGAAAACCTGAGTCAGGCTAAAAGACGCTTTGCGGCTTTGCTTTTTAAATGCCGCTTCCTGACTCAGGTTTTTGACACAGGTTGCCGAGCTCAAAAGCAGAAGGCCTGTCCTTTTCTAAAGATTATTTTACGATCGGACAAGAATTTGACAGAAAAGTTTACCTCTCAACATCATTTTTAGCCTTTCACTTTCATCTTTTCCTTTCGAAACTGAAATATAATGGAAATCGAGGGCTCTTTGCCAATTGGAAGTTCCACACTTTGGGGGTAAACAGATTATCAGGTCCATCGAGTCGGTCAAGTTGAAGACATTTGATCGAAAAAGAAGATTTGTCCTGCAAGTTTTTTTCTGCGAATCTGGCAGAGGTGCAGTTGTATCGTAAATTGTCTGGTGAAGAGAGAATAATTCCTGAAAAGTAGTCGAAGGATTGAGAAGCATGTTGCTGATCAAAGGAAGAATTCGACAAGCTCGATTGAGGATGAGTTTTCTCTTTGCGAAGATTTCCTCGAGATTCTGTTCTTTGTTGATTTTTGCTTCTGGTTTTTCGACATTATATTTTTTGTAAACATTCGCAGCTCTCTGGGGATCGTCTTGATTATCATTTGACGGATTATCGTTCTCTTGAAGCTCTTTCGTCAGATGCCGGAAATTGACCAAAATACTGAGGTGAAGAGTAAGAAGGGATAGCAAAAAGAGAACTAAATAAACGAGCTTTTGATGCTGAAAATCCATTTAAGATTCGTGACAGACATATTTTGAAAAGAGATTTCTCGCTTGTTTACAAAATATTGTCCGGCGAGCAATATAAATTATATTATATTATATAATCCTATCTTCACCGTCTCCAAAAACGACCCGAAGCCTTTGAGAAAGACAGTAGCTTCCGGGAAGCGGGTCGCTATCTTCTCAATCAATGGTTGTTTACTGAAATAACCACGGTAAACAGGTCATCTACGTCATTTGCCTTCCGATAAATTTGGAAAAGCTCAGATTTCCGAATTTTTGACGTTATCTTCTTTCAAAAAGAAACTGACCCGATTCAAGAGGCGTTGGAAATTTCCATCGCTATGAACTTTCTGCTTACGTTCGTTCCATTGTTTGCCAGTACAATACACGCCAAATAATCTTCCTTTGTTTGATTATCCAGATTGACCATATAAATACCACTGAGCGAAGGTCAGTAATCATAATCAGAACTTTCATACTCTGAAAAAAAAACAAAAACCAAAAATGGGAACTATAGACTTTTTGATCGAAAACGAGCTGCTTTTGAATGGCGATGAGATTTCCAATTTTCTTGACCAGAATGAGGTAAACAAGAATCTTTCGATTTACACTATCATTTTTCTGAGATTGAAAACAAAAATGAAATCCGAAAATCCTTCGCCCGATTTTTGGCCATTCAGACCAGAAAAGTCGATGTCGAAAAAGTCCACTTTTCGAGCGAAAAAATGATCAACCTGACCACTTCCATCTCGTCTCTCGCATCCTCGTTTTCTTCAACATGGGAAGACCTTATCAAAGCCCTTCCCTTCGAAAAACTGCAAAGCTTCATCAACCCGAATATCGTTCCGAAAATCGAAGCCATGGAAAATCTGCTCATTAACTTCAAAATCGACGTGGACAAGTTTCTAGAAGAAAAACGAGCCAGCTTCGCACGATTGCACTTCCTCAGCAATCAGGAAGTTTTGAACCTTTTCGCTAATGGAAACGATAGTGAAGCAGTTCAACCCTTTTTCGAGAAGCTTTTCGAAGGAATAGGGAGAGTTGAGTTTGATGAAAACTCACTTATTGTCTCGATGATTTCGAAGCTCGGCGAACGAGTTCCCCTGGCCGACCCGATTTCGATCAAACAAAGTCCAGATCTTTGGCTCGCTGATTTCGAATTTTCAATGAAAAAGACCGTCAACTTGGCTATTCTAAAAGCATACGAATCATTCCCTTCTTTTGAAAACCGCATTGATTGGATAAAAAGCAACCCAGCTCAAGCATCCATCGTCGTCACTCAAATCAAGTATGCCGAAGCCGTCGAGTCCGCAATCGCCAATCAATCCCTTCCTGAAGTTCTTCAAGACATCAACAACCAGCTCTCTGAACTCACCAAGGAGACTCTCAAGGACCTGAATGCAAAGGAGCGCATGACGATTCAGAACATCATCATCATTTCTGTCCACAATCGAGATTTGCTTGCAGAAATGATCGAAAAATCAAACCCGCTTCTTTGGCAATCCCAGCTGCGATTTTACCTTGAATATCAGCAAGTCGTTGTCCGAATGATGACTTCTGAGAACGAGTACGGCAACGAATACCTCGGCAACTACAGTCAACTCGTCATCACTCCGCTCACCGATCGCGCTTACCGAACCATCATCAACGCGAAACAACACTTTTTCGGCGCCGCTCCGCAGGGACCAGCAGGAACAGGAAAAACAGAAACCACCCGTGATCTGGCTAGAGCTCTCGGCAAAAACTGCGTGGTAATCAATTCTTCCGATCAACTCGACGAAAAAAATTGTGCAGAGATTTTCAAGGGAGCCATTGCTAGTGGAAGCTGGGTTTGCTTCGATGAATTCAATAGGATTCACAATGAAGTGCTCGTCAATGTTGGTGAGCAGCTGAAAATGATTAAGGATCATCGAGAAAGGGGAGCGGAAAGAATTGAGGATTTCTGTGGAACGAAAAATGTCAAGGAACGGGTTTACTTATCTTTAAATTTCGAACACCATAATTATAAGAATTTTATTTGTTGGAAGTATTTTGAAGTGCTATTTTGATTGAAAATCAATTAATAAGAGCTCCATCGTATGCTAATGCGGGCGAAAGTTCCATCTAGATATTTAGATTTATTATAATACCACTAAAATACAAAGTGTAGCCAAACCCCTGTAAATTTGAGAAAAACCCGCACAAAAGCTCTGTAAGGACAGTTTCATCGCCGTAACAATGAATCCAGGATACGCGGGAAGAACTGAACTTCCGGACAATCTGAAGCCCTATTTCCGACCAATTTCGATGATGGTGCCAGACTACGCACTCATTGCTGAGATTATGCTGTACTCGTCGGGCTATCAGACTGCTGATGTTCTTGGCAAAAAATTGACGCTGGTGCACAAGTTGTGCTCTGAACAGCTCAGTGCGCAAGATCATTATGATTATGGAATGCGAGCTGTGAAGCATTCAGTAACTCATGCCAAATCCCTAAAGCTTCTCTACCCTGACCTCGATGAAACAACTCTCTTGGCCGACGCTCTTCGATCCCTGCACTTCAGCAAATTGGTTGAAGGGGATTTCCCGCTCTTCGGAAACATCATGAACGACGTCTTTCCCGGCCATCAAGCGCTCGACAGAGACTACGATGAGTTCGAACGGGTCGCTTCTGAAGTCTGCGCGTCTCGAGGTCTCCAAGCCACGGAAGATTTCATCGCGCGCCTTGTCTTGACTTATCGAGCCTTGAGAGATCGCCACGGAATCATGATCATCGGCAAATCAGGCACTGGAAAGACAACTCTTCTTAGCGTCCTCCAAGAAACCCTCTCCTCGCTGAACATGAAAGATCACGTGCAAGACGGCCAGAAAGTGCAAGCAGTCGACAGTGAAATAATTTTCATCAAGACGATGACCTGCACTGAGCTTTATGGATACCTCGATCCGATAAGCAAAAAGTGGAATGAAGGAAAGCTCACGGAAACCTTCAGAAAATTTTCAGAAGAGCAAAATGATGGGCGACAAAAATGGATGATCTTCGACGGACCAGTTGATGCAATCTGGGTAGAAAATCTTAATCAAGTTCTTGATGACAACAAAAAGCTCCCCCTCGCTAATGGAGATGTGATTCCAGCAACTGAGAACATGCGCTTTATTTTCAATGTCCAAGATGTGAAATGCGCTTCGCCAGCGACCATTTCTCGATGTGGGATGATTCAAATGTCCGAACAGTTCGTTGATCCTCTGAAAACGAACATTGGCGATCATACGATTGAGAAAATTTTGAAAAAAGTGAAACAGGAGCAAAAGAATTTGATCTTTGAGTCTCGTTCTCAATTAAAAGAACAGATCATCAACGCCATAGATACAAAAGTGCATGTTTTGACGCCTTCGTCTACTCGAGAACAGATGAAAGAGATCCTCGCTGAATCGGCAGGACCAGATGGAATCGTCATAATCGACAATCTCAATCATCCCTCCAAAGAATGCTATGGAGCTCAACCACCTCTTGAACTTCTTCGAGAGTATCTGGACAATAACATGCCGAAAAGATTCATCGCTTTTTATGATCGCCAGGGTCTAACAACATCGCCGGCTCTTCTCCGTCATTTTGACATCATGGAAGACATCTCAACCATCATCAAACAAGAATATCTAAATCTGGAGAAGTTAAAAGTTAAGCTTAATGAGCAAAGAACCAATTTGAAGGGCGAAATTCTGAAAGCCATCGATATCGACTTCCTGAAAAACAAATCCTTCTTTGCCCAAATGACAGAAGAAGACGAGTTTTACTACTCTTCTTTGATTTTCTCCCTTTGCGTCTTTCACGCAGTCGTCACCGAAAGAGCTAATCATGTTCCTCACGGCTGGAACATCGCTTATGCTTTCAAACAAGAGGATAAGTTTCGAAAAATGTTTTCAGGCCAAAAAATCACTTTTTAACTGTGAGTGCCATCTTCACCGCCGTCTCAAACCGAGTCGAACGGTATATGTATCTCTTGAAAATTCTAGAGTTTCGGGTACTTCCGGTCAAATTTACGAAATTCTAGTTTTCCACTGCCGTTTTTGAAACAGAAATGATACTATGGCATATAGCATGTCAAAATGACCGCTAGGACGTGAGGAGTGTAGGGGTCTCAAAAAACTAGTACTTTTGCAAAGAAAAGTACCTAAAAATAATTATTTTGTGATTTTTTGGCACTAAAAATATCAAATTTCAAGAAATTTTCGATTTAAATGTAGTTTTCATTGTAGATTTATTTATAAGAGATAAAACTTGATTATCCATTTGCTTTCTGCCCGAAAAAATTAATAATTGATATTTTTAGTGCTAAAAATCACAAAATAATTATTTTTAGGTACTTTTCTTTGCAAAAGTACTAGTTTTTTGAGACCCCTACACTCCTCACGTCCTAGCGGTCATTTTGACATGCTATATGCCATAGTATCATTTCTGTTTCAAAAACGGCAGTGGAAAACTAGAATTTCGTAAATTTGACTGGAAGTACCCGAAACTCTAGAATTTTCAAGAGATACATATACCGTTCAACTCGGTTTGAGGCGGCGGTAAAGATGGCACTAACAGTTAAAAAGTGATTTTTTTGGCCTGAAAACATTTTTCGAAACTAATCAGAGGATCTCGTCATTTCCCTTGAACAGCTTGAATCTCTTTCTTTAAATTTCAAGGAAAACAACTTGATCAAACAACTACAACACGTTGAAATGCTTCGATACTTAATCGGCGAGTGCAACTATGGCGGAAGAATCACAGATGATAAAGATCGCCGACTTTGCAATGCGATTCTCGAAGATTTCCTGTTCGCAGATCTCGGGAATTTCAAATTCCAAGTCAGCCGGGACTTCTTTACCGACTTGAATTCTGAACAAAAGGCAAGAGCGCTTGATGAGATTCTCGCTGGAACTTCTGAACTTTCTCTCCTTGGACTGAGTGAAAGTGCCATTCGTGGTCAACCACTTTGCTCTGCTAAAAATATCTTTGAAGGGTTGACTGCATTCGACCATTATCTCAGAAATGTGGAGTTTTCACCTGTTTCCACTGATTCTCCTTTTTCCACATTCGTTGCCAGCGAACAAGAACGATACAAAAAGCTAGTCGAGCGACTTCTCTCCCAGCTTGAAGATTTGGCCAAGGCAGTCAATGGTAAAATTCTCTTCCGCGAGTCTCACAGACGAGCGCTTGCGTCTCTTGCTGCTGGTGAGCTTCCTCAAGATTGGAAAAGGATCAGTTTTGCGAGAAGCGCGGAAAACAAAAATTTTGAAGATTTTCTCGGTGATTTGAAGGACCGAATTGAGTTCATCAACAACTGGGCGGAAAAGGGAGAGCTCAAGAGCTACGACTTGTCGAAAATGTTCTTTCAACAGGTTTTTTTATCTTCTTTTATGTTTTTTATAAGGATTTTTAGGCATTCTTCACCGCAGTTTTGCAAACTTTTGCGCGCGCCAAATCAGTGTCGATTGACGAAGTCGGTTTCGATTTCCAAATGCTGACTCCATACGAACCAAAGGAAGGTGTCATGGTCTCTGGGCTTTTCGTCGTTGGAGCAAGCTTTGATATTGGAAAACAGCATCTCATCCTCAACAACGGTAGGGAAAACCATTCAAACCTCATTTTTATTTATTGATTTAGGATCTATCTTCAACTTTCCCGAAATCTGGCTCAAACCCGTCCTCAAATCAGATCTTCCAAAAGACGGCTCATTTTATGACTGCCCAGTGTACAAGACTCCAGAGCGAAAAGGAGTTCTTTCAACAACCGGACACTCTATCAACTTCTTGATGATGATGCGCATCCCGATTCCAGCTGATGAAAACGCTTCATCTTTTGTCAAACGAGGCGTTGCGCTGCTCTGCTCAAAGAATTAATTCTTCAATGATGGCTCTTTCAAAATCTATCTTTTCACTAAAATCTGTCAATTTTTATCAAAATAGATATTGATAGCGCTGATTATAAATCTTTGACTGCTTATTTTTGACTCAGAACTGAAAATCATTCGATGATTCTTATTCTAATTATTTATTTCAAATCATCAGGTTAATTTTCGCTTAGCAGCATAATGATTGTGTCCTCGGCATCTTCATTGCAGGCAGAAAAAGCACGCCTAACTTTTTCCTCTTCGAATCCCATCTCAATCATATTTTATCATTATTAAATGATAATATTATTACCGCCATAATTTGATCAATAAGAATATCTGCTTCAGTTTTGCTTGAGTCTCCTTTGCTAACTGATCTATCCTTTGCTACGATCCACGATGGATCCTGAGTTCGTCCAGTTAAAGTGATTGAATAGGCCTGAGGAAGAAGATACCACTTTTCTTCTTTCATCTTTGTTTGTGAAATCTTCTCATTGACCAGCGCAAAGAACTCTCCATTTGGCCCGTAGTAGATAAAATCATTGTAGCATTTGCAACAATCACTTGCAGTTTCAAATGAAGCGTAATATTGTCGTTTGGCAGGAATTCGGATTTGAAAAGAAGAATGAGAGACGAGAGTGTTTTGAAGAACGTATTCGAAGTTTTCTATTCGGTCAAGCACCATTTGATGGAAAATCATATTTCCATCGCACTTGAGATAGGCGCCGGTAACTGTCAGAGGACGAGCAGGGCTCGGCAATCTGAGTTGAAAACCTGAGTCAGGGGCTAGAAGATCTGTAATGGATAGCCGCATAGCGGCTTTTTGAGAACGAAAAATTTCGCTATCTGAAATAGTAATTTTGCGAAGCCGCTTTGATGAGAGATCTTTCAGACCCTGACTCAGGTTTTTTACACAGGCTGCCGAGCCCAAAGGACGAGTGAATACATATTTTTCGTGAAGAAGAACTTATGAATAAAGTAATATTTAATTTAACCTTCAAAAACCTCTTTGAAAATCAAAATCTGCGTTGAGATTGCCATCATTGATGATGTCCCATCCACTTTTATTCAGGTAAGTTTCCTGTTTGAGTCTTCGAAAAAGCATGTCTATATCATTCAATTGAAATTCTTGCTCATCTTTTATTGGATTGAGATTGAATCCAGCCAAGCTTCGAGGATAAACAACCATCGTAAGAATTGTGAGAATGACTTCGATTGTGAAGCATGTATCGAGTTTAACAGTTTCACAATTTAAATCGTTTTTGATTGCCCATCGAAGTAAAACAGCGGCTGAAATTGGAACGCAGAGATTGCTTTCTTTTTGATCGAGAATATTTTTCGTCAAATTTTTGAAATCACAATTGACGTGTCTTGAAAATGTTTGCTTCATATCAGCCATCGCGTAAGATTTTGTTAAATTGGGATCATCGAGAGAAACATGAGGGACATCTTTGAGGGAAACAATTTTCGATACTTTTTGAATTTCCTCGATGGTTAGCTTCAAATATTCGTCTTTGACTTTTTGATCAGCTTTAAAAGGACGCGTCATCGATAGCCATTCAGCATTACAGCTCTTGGGGTTTTTTAGTAAGAAGTTTTTCTCCAAATTAAAATGTGCTCGATCATGATTCATAGTCTTACCTTTAGTTTTCGCTGGATGACATCTTTTTCAACATTTACGATTGGATTAAATTGAAGACTCCACGCAGATTTCCAGTCACAAATTATATAAGCGACTAGCTTGAAATTATCTGAATGCCCTTTTGGGCATAGCTGATTTGCTGTCGAAAAAGCAGCAGAGCCAGCAACTAAAACGAAAAAAAAGAGCTAAGCAACTTATAAACTTACGTAAACTTCTAAGATTTTGGTATTTGCTTCCTCTTCTACTGTATCCCATTTCTTGGTTGCTTTTTCTTCCGCAATAGTCAATCGCAATTCCGAAATCAATCCACTTTGCTTTGCCATTTTTAAGAAGAATATTTTCTAGTTTCATATCATAATCAGAGTTGCAAATTTGTTGAGCTGAGTGAGCTGAGCTGGGAAGAAGTCGCTCAGCTCAGCTCAGTTATTTTCGAAAATGATCTGATCTGCTCAACTCAGCTCAGCTCAGACAATTATCACTCAGCTCAGCTCAATAATTTTCGAACATGATCAGTTCTCCTCAGCTCAGGCCAGCTAAGACAAGTATCACTCAGCTCAGCTCAGCTCAATTATTTTAAAACAATTAAACTTCTTAAAAACAGTGAAAAACAGCTCAGTTTAGCTCACCCAGCTCAGCTCAGCTCTAATTAGGGTCTGCTTAGCTCAGCTCAGCTCAACTTCCTAAAAAAGGTCTGCTCAGCTCAATGAGCTGCAAAAAAGGCCAGCTCAGCTCAGAGAGCCTTCACGCAGCTCAGCTCAGCAAAAATAAACCAAAATTTGCAACTCTGATCATAATGAGTAATTCCAATTTTCTCCATATAGTGCTTTCCCTTTTCGACTCCTATTGCAATTTTCTTCCTTTCTTCAAGACTGAGATCTTCTGCCTTGAGTCTGCTTCTTAAATCGCTCTCGCATTTTTCCATGATTGTTATCCAACCGAGGCAGTCTGTTTTCCCAACATCTTCTTTTAAAAAAATCTCCACATTGCAAAAATGTTTAATAATATTTTCATGAAAAGGAATAGCGGAATCTTCATTTGTTTCTTTGTTTTCCGCGACGTCATAATCTAAATTATAAAAATAAAAAAAGCAAGATATTGTCAAAATACCAGAAGAAAGATGAACGTCAAAAACAATCTCATCCATTTTTGACGTAAAAAGTGCAGGATCAAAACATTGAGCTCGAACAGCAACTTTCAATTCTCCAAAGATTTCTTCGAAAACAATAGCCTCTCCTCCAGCTGCGATGACTTTTTTCTCCAAAGAAGAATCGACCGTCCATTTTCCATGTTCTTCTTTAAGTTGCGATCGTTGAATGGGTTTGCCTTCGAGACCAGGATTGCGGTCGAGAATTTTCTGTTGAAAATCAGTTATTCGCCAAATATCGATATGATCCGGTGTGTTTTTCAAGACATCCTCATTGGAAACTTCTCCCCATCCCTTCTCAAAAACAACTTTGCTAAAATCGCCACAAAGGGGATTCGTCTCGAAGTCTACTCTCATTACGGATAAAATAAGCCTGTCCAAATCATCTCTACTCGTTGTTCTCTTCAGCTTCTGTTTGAGAACTCCCAACCATTTCTCAACAGCATCTCTTGTCAATTCTTTAGGGTGGCTCGGTATTTTCATTTTTATGAAAAAAAATAAAAATTTTTATCCACGGCTTTCAGACTATAATTGCCATTGACTTTCTTATTGACTTTTTTGATGGTGTGCACACTTACTTTTACACAAAGATCCTATTTGATAAGCAAATATACCGCCAAGGAAAAATATAAAGAATAAACTCAGTCTCGTATATAAATTATATTGTATAATATAGCGTATATTTGACTACCGATAAAAGAAGGGGGCTGCCTTGGACCAGAGCCCGAATGAGCGACACCGTGTGAGCGTATTTCGCTTTTTCACTCAGGCGGAGGACCCCGCCTGCTGGAAAACTTCCCTTATATGAGAAGAAATATCTTATCGAAATCTTGGATTTTTTTATTTTTTTCCTTCTTTATGAGCTGGTTTTCATGCTCCAAATGCTAAAACTAACCATACCAAGTTCATCTGGTAACTTATAAAATCTGTGCGCAGGCGGTTGTGCCCAACTCTCCAGGGAATCGGCTGCCTACTCATAGGTCGTTCGCCGCCTCCTCCAGTCGATCTCGATTTTCCTCCTTTTTCTCGCTTCTTCTAAAATCCAAGCATTTCCCCGTCGCATTACGACTAGTATAAAACAAAAGAGAGAGAAAGAAGAAATAAAGAAGAATTTCTTAACGGCCAAAAAAGCAGAAATCAAGGATGAGTTCTGTGAAAGTGGCCGTTAGGGTTCGACCCTTTAATAAAAGGGAATTGGACAATAAGGTAGATATTAAAATAAATAAAAATCTAATTGACATTTACGGCCGATCAATCTTGAAATAATTGCAAGTTTATTTTTTAAATTGACAATTTAGGCAAACTATTGAGGAAAAATCATAATTTTAGGGGTCCAAGAGGGCGCCTAAAAATATATCAATTCTCGGTTGCCGATTGAAAAATCTCGAATTCCTAAAAATTTTAATCGCAAGAATAAAGTGAGTCTCCATCAAATTTCAGGCCGAAAACATCATTCAAATGTCCGACAAAACCACCGCCATCCAGAATCCAAAATGTCCCGACGACTTAAAATCATTTTCATACGACTATTCCTACAACTCCCATGATCCAAAATCGTCTGACTTTGCCGACCAGGAAAGGCTTTTCTCGAAACCGAAGACGGTGATCGATTTGTATGGCTATGTTTTAAAAAACATGTCAGACTTGGAAAATTGCTTGATGCTCTGCAGATGGGGCGAAATCAATAAAACAGATTTAATATTTATTTCGCGCGTACCAGGCCCTATAAATGGATCATTATTGCTTTTTGTGGCGAAAAATTTTTTATATAATCATTTCTCTAGATTTAAAGTTCAGAAACCAGAATTAGGGTTTGGTTAATTTATTTGAGAAAATTCTATTATCGTCGTTGACGAAGTTTCATTTTAAATTATTTTCAAAACTGCAACTCGTAGTAGCTCAAAACTGCCGCTTTGCGCCGCCTAGCGCCGCTCAGTGCCGCCCAATTTTGCAGATATCTAAGATTTCGGCCCTCATTGAAGAATTTTTTTGTTTTCTTATCGTCACTCTTATTCTCGTATATTAAATAGTCTTATCATCAGAAAATGAACAACAAATTATTAAGGTTGTGACTAATAGTCTTTGTACCATCAGAAAATAATCAACAAATAATTAAGGGTGTCTCGTAGTTTGTACCGGGCCGGGCGGCGCATTCCAGTACCCCAAATTTCTTTATCAATATGACTGTATATTTAATGCTCTATTCTGAAAAGCCCTGAAAAGGAAAAAGTTTACCGCGATTTGGGAGACGAAATGACCGCTCATTCTTTCAACGGCTACAATGTGTGCATCTTTGCTTACGGCCAGACTGGCAGCGGAAAGAGTTACACAATGATGGGCACTCGCAGCGACCCGGGACTGATTCCAAAACTGTGCAATGAATTGTTCACGCGGATAACAAGTAATGCTCAGTCAGTGAACTTCTCCGTCGAAGTAAGCTACATGGAGATTTATTGCGAGCGCGTGCGGGATTTGTTGAATCCCAGCTCTGCGAATAAAGCTCTTCGCGTGAGGGAGCATCCGATAATGGGGCCCTACGTGGAAGGTCTGTCAAAACTCGCGGTCAAGGACTACACCGACGTCGCTCAAATCATGGACGATGGCAATAAAACTCGAACTGTCGCGGCGACGAATATGAACGCCACTTCTTCCCGCTCTCACGCCGTCTTCTCCCTCATCTTCTCCCAGCGATCTCCAGACGATCCGAAGAAAATCAACAAGGTTTCGAAAATCTCTCTCGTCGATTTGGCCGGATCAGAGCGCGCCAACTCTACCGGCGCTTCCGGAACTCGACTGAAAGAGGGAGCAAATATCAATCAGTCGCTGACCACTCTTGGCAAGGTCATTTCCGCACTTGCTGAGGCGCCACCAGATGTTCAAGGATCGACGAAGCGGAGAAAGAAGGAGTTCGTCCCGTATCGCGATTCTGTCCTAACTTGGTTGCTGAAAGAATCTCTCGGTGGAAATTCAAAAACTGCCATGATTGCGGCGGTTTCTCCAGCAGACATCAACTACGAAGAGACTTTATCAACCCTTCGTTATGCTGATCGAGCAAAGAGAATTCGCTGCCATGCCGTAGTCAATGAAGATCCAAATGCAAAACTTGTCCGAGAGCTGCGAGCGGAAGTGGAAAGATTAAAAACTCTTCTTGTTCAGGCAAATCCGGAAATAATGAATCCACCTGATGAAGAGGACCCCGCGCCAAAGAGTTCTAGAGCCGAAGCCATGATTGAATCAGGCCCTGATGGCGCAGAAGATGAGCGAGAAAAGACCCTCCAAGATCTGCAAGAATCCGCGCCGAAGAAATCAACGAGCCAATTGGAGATGTTTCTGGCTACTGAAAAGGCGGCAGAGCGTCGTGGCTCGGCGACACAAACGAGTCCCCAGGGAACAGGCGAGACGCAGGTTAAAAGTTCGCTGAGTTGTGCTGAGGAAGAAGGAACCACCTCGTCACCGGATTTGGAGACTATTAAATCGATCGCGGCGGGAATCGATACCATTACTCTGGCAAAACGGTCTAGACATGCTTCTGTCGTAGATGGTTCAGATGCTGATCAGCAGGCTCAGACAATCAAGGTCCTAAAGCAACTAGAAGAGTCGGAAAACTTGATTAATGAGCTGTCAGAGCCGTGGGAGGTCAAATTGAAACGATCGGAAGAATTGAGGTCTCAGCGAATGGCGATATTGAAAGAAATGGGCGTCGCGCTTAGAGACGACACTAGTGTTTCCGGCGTCTTTTCACCTAAAAGCATTCCTCATCTAGTAAATCTCAATGAAGATCCATTCATGTCCGAGTGTTTGTTGTACTATCTCAAGGTCAATGCAGTGACCTACGTTGGCACAGCTACCCTTCCTGCTGATATTGTTCTTTCCGGCACTGGAATCACCTCCAGACATGCTGTTTTTGAATACGTTTTGAAAGACGGACATGGTGAAGTTTTTCTGTCAAGTTGTCCGGAAGCGAATACTTTCGTGAACGGGCGACTTTTGGAAGGTCGAATGAAGCTAAAAACCGGCTCTAGAATCATTTTCGGCGCTGCTCACGTCTTTCGCTTCGTCCATCCGACGGCGGAGAATTGTGATGAAAGCTTTGTCGATGATCTCCCGCCGGATGAGCCCGATAACCTGGCAGAAGTCGACTGGGAATACGCGACGAAGGAAATCATGGATCAATGGGGAATCGACCTGAAGGCGGAAAAGATGGAGATGCACATGAAACTTCAAGAAGCACACAGTAAGCTTGAGGAAGAGCAGGAGCGCGCCGCCATTGCACTAGAAATTCAACGAGAAGAGTACGAGAAGAAAATCAAATCGCTTGAATTTCAAGTGAACATTGCCCTTTCTGAAGCTCGTGGAGTTCTTGGGTGGACGCCGAGGCAGATAAGATTGGCAAAGTACTCCTGGGACAAGTGGCGAAAATATCAGTTTACGTCGCTGAGGGATCAGATTTGGGGACACGCTGTTCTCATCAAAGGTTTGTTCGTCTTGTAGTCAAGGGGTAAGATGAGTTCTAGAGGCTAATGCGATTGCGGCGGAGTTGAATAAACAAGTTGAATTCCAGTTCTCGCTTTTACGTGATGGACTCTACACGCCTATTCCCGTAAGGATGATCAATATTTCATGGATCTTTCAATCCTATTTTAGAGTGACATCACCACTCCGAATCCAGGTCAATCAGTTCTTGTGGTCGAAGTTCGCGACAAGTTACACGGAGCACTTCATTACTGGAGCCTCGAAAAACTTCAGGTGCCATCATTGTCAAAAAATCTTAGGTAACCAAGATCAGGTGCGACTTGACGGAATGCGAAAAATGTACGAACTCGCTTCTGAACCAAATGCTGCGAACAAAGAGCCGAACTTTCCAACCAACTCTAGAAAAAGCTCCATCGCAAGTGATGTTAGCATGCCAGTCACTCCTAAACGAGGTGAGAACTCTTGAAGCAGCAAAATTTCAAAGAATCTAGTTCTGGAACCAATCGTAAATCCAATGCACCAGTTGCATCCTGACGATGGATCCCTTGAACGACCACAGTGGCTGAGATTGGTAGGAAGATTGAAATCAGCTTCGATGAGCTGCTTGAGTGAAGCTGGAGGGCGGCTTATGTCTCCGAGGTAAAAAATTACGAGAACCATAAGTAATATTTAAAAAATATATATCTGTATTTTTTCAATCAAGAGCTTACTGATTATCATATTAAGCCAAATGTCATGAACATCGTAACCCTAACCCACCAAAAACACCACCTAAAGATTTTCAACCCCTTGTATTTTTTTCAGTCGAATATCTTCCTACGGAAAATAGTCAAACAAGAAGTCTCTTAGAGATGTAGGGTTAAGACATCATCCGTAGAAGTTAGTTAATGAATATTTTCTGAGTTTAAAAAGAGTTGGGAAGGAAAATTAATTTAAGTTCTCCGATCTCGCCCCATGTACCAATGTCACCACAAATCGACATGGCGAACAGTGCAACTGGAATGGAAACTGCACTTTTCAGCCTCCTTTCATCATCAGGTACCAATTCCTTGCTCAATCCCAAATTATCCCTCAATTCCTCAGATGCTTTTTACGATCGAACTCCGTGGTTCAACCCTATTGGCCGAGGATCTCAGCCCCTTTATCACTTGATTCCGTCGGTTCAGGATCAAGAAGAAATGGTCAGCTTCCAACATCGAGTCCGTATAATTTCTGGTCATGGGGAGCTCAAGGCAAGTCCTCATTGTTTTCCTGGACTAATTATTTCTGTAGGGTGCCGTGTTGATTAAAACCGAGAGTTTGCCAAAAGCTGAAATCGCCAACGTCGGCTGCATAATTCTCCTTGGTGACGAGGCTCTTTCCGATGATGGAGCAGAATGGTCTCCAGATAATGGCTCAACTTTCAGCGGAGAGGAAGAGCTGAAATTTCCGATCGGTGAGCGGGTGATTGAAGGCTGCAGTTCTCCGGAAGGCCAAGCAGCGCTCTATGAAGAAGATGACGACAACACTACAGTTTGGGGGCTCCGATTGACGATTGAAACGCTCGATTTGTTACAAGAGGAGTATTCTGATGCTTTCTGTCAGTTTACCATTTTCGGCCGATGCGAAGAAAGCTGGTCTACGGAACCAATACCAATAACAGGTTTGGAGATATTCAGACTGGGGGCTTAGATCTTACCAATTAAAGCTGGTTCTGCAACTGCAAACGCGACCTGGGAACTGGCAGTGCGCGCTGGTTCGGATCTTATTCGAGCTCTTCGAACAACTTCCATCGTTCTTGAAGTCTTTGGGCACTCCAGCGGATCGTCCATTCCGCCATTCCCGCATAGATTTACAGATCCGGATCCTGCAATCTCATTTTTACCCGCTTTCTCGAAGCCAGTTCCTGTTAGCTCTCTTTATGGCCCGGGAGGGATCAATCAAGGTGGTCAAACTCACAGGTACTTTTTTATGAATAAACTTGAACTCCAATAAATGAAACTTCCAGCCGACACGATATTCTTGCTTGGTTCGAGCTTTTGGAGCTGGACGTATCTGGCGATTACAAAGCAGTCCCAGTTGAACATGGTCCAGAACGATCCAGAGGAATGTTTTTGCTCCACCATGGTGTTCAAAGAAAAGGTAGGCTATTCAAGGGATGGTGTATTTTAACATTATTCAGTGGCACTGACAATCACTCACGAATCCTCCGCGCATCTTCGCTGGGCAGAAGTTTGCGAGGTCGTTGTTGGTCGAGTTCGAGCCAGGGAAGATGGACAAAGTGGAATGGGCGACATGCCTCTTTCGCTTCCTGTGACGACTAGTATGTGCTCTCAATTTGGTGGTGATCGAACTTGCTACAGGAATGGTTCTCATCGTTAAATGTTTTCAAGCTTATTTTTTCGATCGATTGAAAACCCAGGAAAAAGGGTCGAGGCTGTTTGGGACTCGTCGTTACATAATTCGGATTTGTTGAATCGACCTGGTGGACAGATTTGGCTCACGATCTCCGCCTATGTCGATCTTCAACAGTGCACTCAGCCTGTCTGTATTTCCCGCGATGTCTGTGTTCAAGTTTTCCCACGTGACGCGCGACTTGGACAATGCAGATCGCTACGCCAGGTAAATTGGCAACAAAAAGAATAATTGATTATCGAGTCTTTTTTTAGCTTCTGTCGCCTAGAAATGGCATCCCTGCTCCAAGTACAGACGCAAATCGAATCTCGAGCATCTTCGAAATTTCCCTCCGTTACCAAAATCTATCTCCTCGCTCCTCAAGACCCATTCTTGACACAGCGAGTCAGTATGTCAAGGGCGAGGAATATTTAACGAGGTCAGTCAATACCTTTTTGCTGATAAGGCTGAACGCTGATCTAGTTGGCGGCCGAAATGGGACGGGCTCATTTTGGAACATCAGAATCTTTTGAGAAGGCTTCAGCATTTACAGGACTTGGAGAAGATCAGACACTGGCTACATGCGAATGATGTGGATTATCCGGTTTCGCAGCGGGGGATGTTTGGGCCTACCTGTAAGTGTCCATTTAACTGCTTCTCTGAAAGTTTTGGGCATCAGATTCTTTACCAAAAACGTCAATTAAGGTCAACCCGGAACATTTGAACCCTTCCAAGCCGACCAAGAACTCGACGAAGACAGCTACACCCGAGAAGAAACCGCCACACTGAAGAAAGCCCTCGGATTAATGTTCCACAAGTTCCCATCTGTCTTCGTCCAGAACTCGTATTTCGCGACGTCTAGCAATTGCCAATCGAATGGAGGTAAAGGTGCTTGAGCGGATTTGTCTTAATTTGTATAATTAAAAAGACGGAGATTCAGGTCTGGCAAGCGTCGACTCGTTGCTGTCGAATTCGCCTAGTCTGTCCTCGATGAGATCGCGAGCGTCGGATTTTACTTCAATGTCTTGTCTTACTATTCCGCTTGATGAGGTATATGATGAGGCATTAAAAATGCGTCTAATGCTTTATTTCTCCAGCCCTTGGATCCTCCTCTGAGCTCTCCAGGAGTCGGCCCAAGCACTTCCTCAAACAACGTCTCAAACCAAACTCGCCAGATGATCCCCTGCGTCGAATCCGTGGTCATGAATCCCGTCATCTCGCGGCGCGGCTATCTCCTCGTCCTGGAACAGGGCTCCTCGCACTGGACACGGCGATTTGTCGTTGTCAGAAGGCCGTACTTGTTGTTCTACCGATCGGCACGTGACCCTGTCGAACGATCAGTCATTAATTTATCTACCGCCGTGGTCGAGTACTCAGCCGATAAACAGGTAAACACACTAATCAATACAATAAGGCTTAATTAGCTTATGAAAATTTCAGGACGTTTTCCGAACGCCGTATATTTTTGCTGTTTCGACTCAAGCTAGGGCTCTTTTATTGGCAGCAGGGTCAGAAGCTGAGGCTAATGGATGGTTGTATGCTTTTAATCCACTTCTAGGTATGAAAGTAGAGACCGTAAATCGGATTTTTTGGTGACAGTAAGAATTTTTTTTCTAAATTATTTCCTCGAGAATTACATCCTAAACTCAGTCGTTCTACTTAGGGCTATACCATGATCTTATTTATTAGCTGCAAGTAAAAAATACTACGAAATGGGCCACTCGTCAAGACTTGCTGAAAAGTGATGTTCTTCTGAAAAATCGAGTTCAATATAAATTGCGCCTTTTCTGTCCTGTGAATATACACTTTGAATATAACTGTATTTGTCATAAGTCTGCTTTTATTTAAACTTTATTATTTCAAGAATTTTATTATTGATGCCATGAGAATAAATATTTTGCACTCATTTACCTTTGTAATGAATCAACTAAATATCTAGGAATCTGAATAAGTGAAATAGGTTTATCATTGAATGAAATCCTTTAAAAAATCCATTTTTGAAAAAATTCCATGGTCTTATGGTGTCCAGAAGAAAAAAGAGGCTCGAACTTTGAATTGATATTTCTGAATGGAAAAATAACATTTGAAAATATACCCCGTCGGTCGTCGATCACGTGTCCACCTGAGTCTCTCTCTCTCTTGTCTAGTAAACTCAACGACGAGTGTGGTAGCTTCGATTTAGCTGGCGTGGGCGCCTTTGACGGCTACTCCACACGAATCCGGTCGTTTTCAGAGACCGAGGCCAAGATCGTCGCTACAGAAATCTTCATCGACGAAAAATATATTTTTTTTTGAAAATTTTTTTTATTGTCGAAATTTCGTTGAACGATCAGAAATAGAGAGAAAGCCGATAAAATTCAACTTTTTATTTGAATCTGGGAAAAATAAAAAGAGAAGAAGAGAGAGCCAGTGCTGTAAATTGAAAAAAGCTCGACTAAAACCAGTAAGTTGAATGAAATTCCTGAAGCTTTAAATTTATTAAGAAATCATTATTTTACAAATTTCATATTTCATTTCTATTTTATCAGAATGAAATAGCGTAAGCTTCATTGAACTACTTCATAAAATAGACTCGATCAACTTATCCATAAAATTAGTCAAGTTTTATTCAGACGAGTTTTCTCAGCCGAAATCCGTTTGAAACTCCCATAATTCTGTTTATTTGACGGCCAAAGTAAATTTGAATTATGCCTGGGTGTGATTATTTTATTTCCTCTCAAGTCAAACATTACGAGAATGACCTACTTCCTTAAATTGCCCTTCCAATTATAATTTCGAGAAAATAACAAAATTTTAAGCCTGACCCCTGAATTCGTCATGGCAAACGAATCGATCTCCTGATAGAAGAAAAGAAATTCTTTTGAAAAATGAGCGTCACAAAAGCCGGAAGAAATCCTGGTTCTTTGCTCCTTCTCGTCGAAAAAACTCAGGTAAGACCATCATCGAATTTCGTCTTGGAATTTCAACTTGATTGACTTCACTTCCTTCGAAGAAGTTCACATATAATTCTTACGTCGTAAATGTTAAAAGAACCATAAGTTTAATTAGCTCGAGACTTCAAACGATGACTCGTCAGATAGCTCAGAAGATGAGGATGACAACAACGAGGAGACCATCAAAGAACATCAGCAAATAAAAACGCAAAAGTAAGTTCATCTTTTTTCCCAATCTCGCCAACCTGTGTTGAAAACCTGAGTCAGGGTCTAAGTTAGAGCTACGTAGTTTTTGTTTAAGTTCTTTCGGACCCTGACTCAGGTTTTCGACACAGGTTTCCGAGCCCTGTATTTGACGAAAGGGTCAAAAATTAGTTCTCAACCCTTTTTTGTAAAGGCATTTTTGAAATTTCTAATCTTCAAATTCCCAAAACCTAATCACCTGAACTCTGAAAAGCGGCGCCACGCTGTGACCTCGCCCTGACCTTTTGTTGTAGTTTTTCGACGCAACAAAAACCGTGTCGCTTCAAGCCCGTGAAGCTCGTTCATCAGCTCAATGGAGGTTCCTTACTGTCTCCTAGTCTTCTTGATCTTTAAACTCCTTTCTAGGTCGCTGGACTGGGCAGGATAAAACGCTCGAGCCTGGATACCAAATTCCAAACGCCTCGCGGGAGAAGATGATCAGACGGGTCAAGCGCGAAATCAAGCAACAAAAACCGGCTACGGCGAAAAGTAGAACAGGTAAGGAAAGAAGGGGTTTATTTTGGTCACGATGAGGAAGGGGTATCATGAAGTAATAGCTCGTCGAGGATTGTTGATTCGCATTCTCGGAGGATTTTTTGAAGGTCGTGATATGACGATTCTTGGATCTGTTTCCTCAAGCCCTCCTGGCACTTCAAATTCTCAATAATTGCCTACAAAAGAAAGATAATCTCTTTCTCGTTGAATCACAGCCGGATTTGGCGCAGAGTTTGGTCACAGACAATTACCTTTTCTAAACATGTCTCGCCAAGTTTACAATCTCTGACATCCTCTCTTGTCGTCAATATTTTCGCGTAATTTGCGCACTCACCCACTTTGATAATCAACAACGAAGTGAGTTTTTCTGATGAAGGGCGCATTTTTTTCTCTGATGAGAAGGGCGAAAACTTGTCCGCTTGAGACCGTTCTCAGGATGCTTGTCAAGTACTCAACAAATATTTGCCGACAGCATTTACTGTAAAACGTCTCGGAAGCTTTTTATCGCTTTTCAGATGAGTTGCATTTCTGTTGAAAAAATTATGTTTGAAAATCAATTTTTCAAGGGCCGAAATCAAGGAAGAAAATTCATCAAAATCTTTATCATTTTTTCAGACATCAAAAAGATGATCGAAACTCCATCTTACCAAATGTTCTCCGTGCTAACCGTCATCCCCGATTTCGCCAAACCAGTCGAGCCAGAACGAAAAAGCGCCGTCGCATCTCCAGTGCAATCCCCCCTCACCGTCGAATCAGAATCGCAATCAACAACGATTGACTTCAATCTCGACAATCTCGACGAAAATGGCAAGAAAGTTTCGAGCTTTTTCGATCAAATGAAGGCGCAGACCTTGAGTCTAATGAGCCAGTATTCGAGGGAAATCCAACATTTGAGGGACAGCATAAATTTTTATAAAGAAGAACTAGAGATCGTCAAGAGCTTCATGACCGATGAGCAGAAAATTCAACTAACACAACAGCTGGCAGAGCGAAAAGCCTACAGGTAGAACCGCTCTCGCTCTTGAATTCTCTAACCGATCAATTAAGATCTCGAACAACGTCCATTTCTACCCACCCGCCAACTCCGATGTCTAGCAGACATGTGTCTTCAAGCAGTTATACGTCCGACAAACATTCAGTTCCAGCAAATAACACTCTGCCTCAAATGCAAAATCAAACTCCCTTATTTCAATACTCACCCACTGAAACCGTTTTCCTCCCTCCACAGTATCCTCCAACCCATCAACCAACTGAATAGAAAATTCATACTTTTCGAGTCGAAAAGAAACTTCGAATCGAAAAAATTTTTTCACCGCTTTTTTTCTTCACTTTTTTCCTCCTTTTTCCCTTATTATTCAAAAAAATCTCACAGTTCATCAAGTTAAAAAATCAATGTATTCCAAGTTCCACATTCAATTCTATCGCTCATTTTTCTTGTTGTTACTTTCCTGCTTTGAGCTAACCTTGCGGATGAAACTGCCGTGTCGGGAGCGCCGACATTGCATACTAACCATGAACAATGCTCTTCAATAAAATTATCAAAATAAAAATTCTTATTTTTTTGGCCCAAAAATTGAAAAATAATTTTTGGCCCAAAAATTGAAAAATTTTTTTTTGCCCAAAAAATAGAAAAAAGATTTTTGCCCAAAAATCTAAAAAAATTTTTTTGCCCAAAAGATTGAAAAATTTGTATTTGCCCAAATGATTGAAAAATTTGTTTTTGCCCAAAAATTGAAAAAAAAATTTTTGCGCTGATAATGAAAAAAAAATTTTTGCCCAAAAATTGAAAAAAAAGAAATTTTTCCCCAAAAGATTGAGAAATTTGTTTTTTTGCCCAAAATTGAAAAAAGAAATTATGATTGTTTAATTCAGTATTTCATTTTTAAGTCCTTTGATTGTCTTTTCATTTGGCTACGGGAAGGAATCTTCAGTTGAGATTTGCCAAGCCATAACATTTTGCCAAGCGCCAGCGAAAAAACTCCTTACTCTTGCTTTTCGAAAACTACGCTCTGGGGTTTTTTTTATTTTGAAGAAATGCCAAGGCAGGTTTCTACGCACCAAATTGAGAATTCTCCGAGACCGTAAGTCAGAAATAGAGAAAGACAGTATTTATTTTTGAGAAACAGAGGAAGAGCGAATTATCAGCAGTCGCCGGCGGTGAAGAGGAGGGAATCGAGAAGATATTCTGAGGCGCAGCTGGAGGAAATTATTCATGGACTCAATAATGAGTAGGTATTTTCGGGGCAGTAGGGGGTTATGATTCGAGCTGCTCCTAACCTAAGCCTAATTTAGGGGCGATCCCCCCCGGGACCCCCCACCTAAGGCCTAAACCAAGGGATTTATCACTGATAACTTATCAGAATATAGATGGACTTCTGTAAGAGCAAATAGTTCATTTCATAAGAATTTTCTTTACCATCGAAACTGCTTGGTCTATTTGGCGATTTTTGAGCAATAAAATTAATAGTAAGGAAAATGTTCTTTGGTCGAATGGTGGATGCTAAGGGACATGTCAGTTTTATGTCTCTGGTTGCATATCATTAATTCGTCTTATGAACTTTAGTTTCTCTCAAAACCGGATGAGAGCTAATCAAATTTATTGAGAAAAGAAACCAGCAATGCGTTACGTAATTTTCTGTAAAAAAGCTTCCGGAAATCATCGGAGAGTTTTTTCAATCTTTGATGCTTAAATTATTTTAGAAACGAGTCCAAGCCAAATCAGCGCCACTCCGGAAAGACGGACAAATCTTACAAGTCCGGCAAAAGCAAAAAAGCGAAGAAAAAGAAGAAAGTAGAAAAAGTATCTGAATCAGAAAACACAGTCTTCAGGGAAGTTTTCCTCGAAAGAAAATGACCTTTAGGTTTTTTTTCTGTTAGAAGGAAGGTCGTTTGGGCGCATAATTATGCTGGCTAAGCAAACTCTTCTTGAACTTTACATTCTGTACGTTGATCTGACAGTAGACTCCCGTTCTCATGATTGAAATTATCTTGACTTGTCAGTTCTTGAGCTTCAAGAGTAGAGAAACTGTGAAATGAAAAGAGTTACAATTGTGGAAACTGGTAAAAGCAGTAGCGAGGCCGAACAAGATGACGAAAAATACTCCTATAAAAACGGATCAAAATGATTCTTTATATAAAAAGTTTACTTTAATAAAATATATCCGGGAATAGAAAGAAATCGAAAGGCAGAAGAGCTTCTGTCATTCGCCCAGCTTCGTCGAAAACCAGTTCGACTCGAAAAACTAGATCAAAACATGCAATGACCTCTTCATCCGATTCCTCTGACGGATCTTCGACCGACTATGAAGACCGTGATCAAGAAGCTCGTCGACACGAAAAATGTAAGCAAAAAACTATGAATCTCAACCTCATTTTCTATCAGATTTGAATTCGTTCATGGACGAGGACCAAGAAGACGACTTCAAAGAATACACGACGAAAACAAAGAGCAAGTGCTGGACGAGCTTTCAGGACTTTGTCGAAAAAATCATCACGAATCCGACGTATCATAAAATCTTCTTACTCCTTGTTGTTATCGACACGACTTTGGTTTATACCGAGGAAGGGGATCAAATAGGGAGTAATCGAAAACGAATATTTTCTATGCAACAATTCATCAATCAATCAGTGCAAAATTTCGTCAGTCCAAAGGCAATAAAAAGCCGCGAAATTTTATAGAGAAACATAAAATAAAAATGCCAAATTTTGCTGAATTTCGTTTTATCTTTTTTTTCGAGAGAGTCAATAAAATGATCCTCAAAAGCTTCTTATTGGAATGATGGCTGAAAACCTCGATACTTGCGATTGTCCTAACGCTTGCGAAGATTGGTGCCTTCTTCCACCAGAAATTCCCACAAATTCAACGGAATCAACAAGGTTTCTTCAAACTTTGCCTTTCAATGGATCTGATGAGTCCAGTGGTGACGGATTCCTTACGACTGAAGCATCAACAATAACAACAACAACTGCAACCACAACCACAACACTACAACCAACTCCACCAGGAAAATTGAAAAAAAAGCGAGAATTATTTTCGAAACTCAAAATTTTATTTTCGACAATTTTTTTCATCAACTTAACAGGAAATGAATGTTGCAAGTACCAACGACTGCTGCAGACATGGATACGAATGGGATACACAACTTTTGCGCTGCTTTCACTTTTCTTCATCGAAACGATTGTCAAACTCACGGCGCTTCCTCATTTGCTCTCCCGTAAAATGGAAATTGCCGATGCTATGCTTGGTAATAAGAAGCCCTTATCGAACAACTACTAAACGAACTCTTCAGTGATTGTCTCTTGGATCATGTGTTTCATCATCGTCTTTACCCTCGAAGAACCCGATTGCGAAGGAGATGGAGGCGATAGTGGGGGAAATCTCAACGGAATGAAAGGAGTTGTCATGCTTACTTTTCGAATGCTCAGAATTTTTAACGGCCTCGCGATGCTTTTCGCGAATTTCTTCGAAGGAAAGATCAGACGATACCAAGAAAAGATCAAGTTCCAAACTCAGATGCTCAATCAAAGTCAAGAGGAAAAGAAACGACTTGCAACAACTGCGCAAAAGATCTTACGAGACAAACAGAACTTGCAATTGCAGCTTCAAGCAGTCACAATGTCTTACAACCGTTTGTTTCAAATCCTTAGTAAGAAATTATCAACTGTTTCTAGAAGCGACTCAACAGAACCAGCCACCGCCAAGAGGGCCTCCTCCAGCAGGAGGATCATTCCAACAGCCAGCTAGAATGCTTGCTCTTCCAACCGTTCATTCGCCAATTCCAGGAGGAAACACAGACGACGAAGCTCTAGAAAATCTCATTGAGCACGAAATCACCGCCGCTGAAAGCGCTCTCGCCTCAAACTGTAATCTCCCCAAAAATTCTCACCTAACCATTATTCTAGCGACGCGAGTGACTGAAATAAACGACACGGAAATTCTCCGAGAAAATCCACCCTCCTTTTTGCCACCGATTGCTCAAGGAACAGGACCATCTGTTATCATCACCCCTCCATATGTCCCCGTTTCCAAATCTCCTCGACGAAGCAAAAAGAAGGATGAAAAAGGTACATCACATGACTTTTAAAGATCACGTTACTAAACCCCTCTCATAGCTACATTGGAAGTGCCGCAAGAAAATTCTCCTCATCATCGAAACACAAATCCATTTGATCAAGATTGATTCCCCTACCTCAATTAACTTTATTTTTGTATATAAAAAAACATCATTTTATAATAAAAAAAGTTGTCTATCCAAGGGGCGTGTATCCAAGCAGTTCCATCTGGCATGACACTCTAGTTGCATTTCCGTATGTTCCAGTGCACTTGGGGTAAATGATGATTGTCTTTGTTTTGACCCTGGATAAGACAGGAATCGTAAAGATCTTGTTAAAAGTATTAGCTCCCGGAAGATCAGTCCCAAGTCCTAGCCAATTGTAAATCGTGCTTTCTTTTCCATTTCTTTTTCAGGGCTTTTTCTTAGAAACCTCCCCCCCTCCAAAGAATCAAACATGAAGCCTCTCCTATCAATATAAGCAAAATCAACCGCCGAAATCAACCCATCTTGTCCTTGTTCATTCAAACAAATGAGCTGAAGGCCGCATATTATTTTTCTTTCCTCGAGTTCGATTCTCAGAGAGATCAGATCATGAAGAGTTCCTCTTGAGCATTTGCAGGTGAAATTCCAATCTTTTCTTGTTACAAATAATTCATGTCTTGTCGAATCTTTTGTGGAGAAAAAGTTGGATTTGAAACATTCTTGAAACGCCGATTCTTGGTTTTTCGTAGGGGGATTCTGCCGTCGAGACGAAAATGCTCTCATCCTTGATTTCACCGCTTGTCAACCCTAGCGGCCTTCCTAGATCAATGTAGCTCCCGTAAAATTCCATTTGAAAATGCAGCGCGTTTCTGCCAAAACCGGCTTTTGGAAAAACCTTGATGGCAGAACACTCAATCGGCTGGTTCAGTCGAGTTGATTCGAGACAATCGGTTTTTGAATTTGCTGTGATCTGGGACTCGTACTTTCGCCAGTCGCCACGGAGGGAGAGAAAGGCGATTTGGACGGATGTTACCATCATCAATGAACCAGCTTGAATTTCAGGAGATAAGAAGGCGAGAGACTTGATTATCGTTGGACGGCGAAATGAGACTTTTAGCCAAGGTTTTTCAGACGTTGAGTTCCAGTTTGAGAATCCTAATCGAGGCGCTCTTAACTTTGGTTCAAAATTTTACCATTAATTACAATGCCTTAATAGTTTATCCCTGAAATTGTGGCTAAGATTGTGATGCCTTGATACCGAGTGAGTTTTTTTGTGATGCAAATGGGCACCATAAATGTCGCAAATATAGTATTACATAAATATTTTTAACTTGAGGGAAGTTTGATTCTAGTTGTAAAATTTTATCACCGGATAGAATGCGTTGTAGGGTCTGTGAAATGGAAGACGAACAAGTATATTGAACCCTTATCGTAACTCCGGCGCTGTAAAATCCGAAGCTTCAATTTGATCATCCGCAATTTCTCCCGTGCTCATTCCAAGCGGTCTCCCGGAGCTCAAACAAAAGTCCAACTTCAAATTATTCGCCGATTTCTCCGCATTAAGCCGCGATTTCGTCCGATTGATTGATTTTTCTATGTGCTCAAGTCGTTCTGAAAGCTTGGTCATTTGCGAATCAAGGAGGGATTCGAGCTCGTCAATTTTTCGCAGCTTGGAACAGTCGTTGAACGGCATCTTTTTGAGAAAATGTTCGAGGTTGAACGATCTTGATTTTTTTCTTGAGAAGGTTTCTTCGGCTGGAAGCTGGTAAAGATTCGATTTTGTTCTAAAAATTGACCAAAAGCAAAGAGAACCGATTCTACCTCAAATCAGCGAGGGAGTCCTCCATGTCTTCAATCCTCATCACCATTTCCTCCAAGCTCGCCATCTTAAACTTCCTCAAAACCGCCGACATTTCTCTATCAAAAGTTGAAATCTGCCCTCTCATCCCCGCCGTCAAAGTGGTCTTTTGAGAAAAGAGAGATAAGTTGGTGACTTGTCGGATGATTTCTTCATTTTTTGTGAACCCCTCTGTTTGGGTGGATATTTGCTTGTTGATGATGGATGTTTCCAGCGCTGATTTTGATTCGAGCTTTTCTTCCAATTCATTGATTTTGGAGATGTAGGATTCAGACTTTTCTAGGAACGATTTTTCCTTATCAGCGTTCTAGAGGTAGAATGATCACGTGGATATTAACACTGTCGTATTGAAAACCACATTTCTAGAGCTCTTTCCTGAGTCTTGAATAAATTCTCCAAAGTGCTTACTCGCTCGACCAGCTTTTCGACCAACTCATCATTTTTTGATTCGAAAACCGGTTTCTCAACCAAAGATGATTCAGAACCAGAATCTTCATCCGACGGAACTTCAAGTTTTACCTTTGTTTTCTTGCTAAACCAAGATTTTTCTCGATCCATATTTTTGAAAATTATTTAAAATTTCAATTTCAAAAGTAAGATTTTAAAATATTTATATCTTGAGCTTTCCGATTTGAAAACAAGGGGCAATCAAGGACACTTCAACTAAAAGTCTTTTCTTCTTTGGTTCAAAAATCCCGGTCTGAAGCTTGAGCCTTGTTGACCTGTGTCAAAGAATTCAGGATGTGGGCAGAACTGCTTATCCAACTTTTGACTTGAGGTTAATTCTGACGCGTCCTTGGTGAATTTTGCCCCGAAAAAGTAATTTTACGGAAGAGTCAATTTTACAAGAATCAACAATTTTCAATTTTGCATCCTCTAAGAGGATATGTCTATTTCTTTTTCGTTACAACGGTTTGTAATGTATACTCAGGATTACTAGTTGGCCAGCGGCGCAAGAATCGTGCGCCGGTTTGATATGCCTCCAAATAATTTTTATTTTTCCATTATACAACCCAGCCCCTTAAGATGTTCGCTCGAAATTATTAGCGAATGAACATTCCAGAGCGATTGAAGTCTACTTTTGGTCGTTTTTCTTTGTTCTTTTTCAATAAGCCTTTTTTATATCGAAATTTTCGAGTCGAAAATATATTTCTCGACTTATTAGCGAGAATAGACGTCACAAAATCATTCGCGCTTCGTTTTTCTTCGATCAAAAATTCGCATCAAAGATCCTTCCTTCTAAAGTACATGATGGAACCTTGTGAAAGCTAATTTACTCCCATTATTGTAGAATTAATTTTTCATGTGCGCACTCAATACCTTGTTAAAGAGCAGGACGACTGGATTCGAAACTATCAGACTATCAGAATGAGAATCCTGAATTCATTTTTTCTTGGATCAGTTTTAGCAATGGCGAGGACGAAAAGGGTCTCGCTTTTTGATGGGCTCGATAATTGGACTGCTAAAAGAGCTGAAGCAGACGGTAGATAACTTATTACCTGGGTAAAAACCTGAGTCAGGGTCTGAGCGATCTTCAACAAAAAGCCGCAAAGCGGCTTTTCAAGACGAAGCCGCAAAGCGGCTTCGCAATATCAACATTAAAATATTTTAAAATTCAGGAGAAGCCGCCTTTCGTTCAGACCCTGACTCAGTTTTTACATTGGTTGCTGACCCCAGCGCTGATTATCTTGAAAAAACTTATTCTATAATAAAAATTAAGGACGAAAAACGGAAAGCCTTCTTGCTGCCTTGGACGAAGCCTATGAAGAAATGATGTTCAAAGAAATTTTCGACAATTTTGAGAGAAACGGTCAGTTTGACCCTTTCCAGCTTAGCTACTTATAATTTTGAAAAAAAAAAATAAATAACCCTGATGACATCAGAGAACACTTCCCTCTTTTGACCTGCTAGAAATGACTCTAAGCCGACGGGAAATCAAGACTTAGACAATTAATTGAACATTGATAGGGATTAATTATGTAAACTTGTACCTACCACCGGTATAAAGAGAACAAGGAGATGGTCGTTTGAAAACTTTTGGATGAAAATTATTCAATTTTTTTTCTTTGTGAGCCTTTTTGGCTCAATTTTGCCGAGAAAAAGAAGTTTCTCCTTGCTTCAAGAGCTTGAAAAATGGGCGACTTACAATGGTTTATTGCTTTTTTATGTCGTTTTTTGGCTTTTTTATCAAAATTTTTAATAAAAAAGCTCATTTTGGACTAATTTTTTGTTTTTTTTTATGTTTATTAATCAAATTTATGTGAATTTTTTCATAAAAATATAAAAATATAAAGAAAAAGACCCGCAAATTATCGATATTTTAGCAATGAGTCAACCGAAATATGTAAGAAGACAGAACTTCAACCCTTTTTTAATGATATACTGGTAATAAAATAATGCACTTTTCAACACATTTGTGCGGTTCCTTCTCAGCCCGGGTCAGATTCTTGTTGCGGCGAGTTACACTCATCCCTTGTGCGAGCAGATAAGCATTTAAAACTTGGATTTCGACTAATTCTATAAAAGCGGCATTTTCGCAGGAAAAGAGAGAAATCGAGAGGGGGAAATTCGAAAGGAAGATGGCGATTTTTCTAGTTAAAGAAATGGTCCAAAATTAATAAAAGCGAAAAATCGATGTCTTTTTTGACCGTTTGTACAGTCATGACAGGAGATGTAGATTGCGCAGGGACAGACGCAAATGTCTACATTAACCTTATGGGCGATAATGGAGAAACTGGGCGGATAAAGCTTGCTAAAAGCCAGACCTTTTTGAATAAGTTCGAGCGGGGTCACGTGGACATATTTCAACTTGAATCGATGGATATTGGAGAGGTAACATCATTTTGCCCCTCAAAAAGATTCATTTTTTAGCTCGAAAAATTGGTCATTGAACACGACAATCGAGGAATCGGCAGGTAAACCCTTTTCATGTGAAAGTTGATAATTGAACTTTTAAAAGTGCTTGGTACTTGGAGAAGATCACTGTTACCAAAATTGGTTCATCTATTAGGCGTGGCTCAACTGATCCATTTTGAGAAGCGTTTCGCGAAAGAATCCTTCTGAGCCGGGATCAGCGTCAAACCAGGAGCCCCAGAGAAGGAGTTTTTAGTTCAAAAATGGCTTCACAAAGTTGGCGATATGGATACTACTATCGTAAGTTTTCCCACAAAAATTTTTCACGAGAAGGGTCGATAAGAAAGGCTGATTTTCATGCCCTAATTCGCAAGCAGACGGTTTAACAGTAAAAATGGTTTGATCGAAGATTCTTATCATTAAAATTAGGAAGATATAAATGACCAAAAATCAAGTTTGAGTGCAAAAATGAAGCAAATCCATTACTATTTATATAAAGAGCAATCGGTCTTTGAGTTAAGAAAGTAACTAATCTGTAAAGAACTAGTCTGTTTGAAGAATGAATGAATTAATCCTCTTTTTGAAAATATCGCCTTGGGCAACAATCTGATCCTTCAAAATTCTAGCTCACCCTCGAACCGTGACGAAGAAAAGCGAAACTCGCGAGATAAAAAAACCATTTCAATGCTGCTGATTCATCGGCTTTTGTGCTCCGAGCTCTACTTTAGACAATAAAAATACTTTCTCACGCTTTTTTCTGTCCCTAAAATAAAGAGAGATGCATCAGAATACTCGAAGAACTCAGAGATCTGGCAGATCGGGAAGGTCGCAAAGAAGCAGACCTTACAATACTTATGTCAGGCTGGGCTCGAAAATTTGAATAGAAAGCCTGAGTCAGGCTCTAAAGAACTTAAATGAAAAGCCGCGAAGCGGCTTTTCAGAAACGAAGCCGCAACGCGGCTTCGCTTTAATACTCTTGTCTATAATTAGTAATAAGCGGGTTTTCGTGTAGGCTTTTTATAACCTGACTCAGGTTTTCTACACAGGTTTCCGAGCCAAAATGTCAGGAGGGAAGAATTTGCAAGAATTCCTGGCGTTTTTGATGAAGAAGAACACCTCCTACGATCCCCAAAAACTCCCTAATTGCAAGAGCATTTTCAGTTTTCTCGACACTCCTTGCTTTGATCTTTCTTTTAAACATTTTGCGTTTCAAAAACACGCTTTATTATTTTGGCAATCAACCGCTCATTTTCAATGGAGAAGGAGAAACACTTGTTAGATGGCAATTTACTGTTTCTGTCGCGCTTTATTCAGGTAAAACGAAGAGCCATCTAAAACCCTTTATAAAATTCAGTTGTATTTTTGGTGGCTGGATTAATTCTGATAGCCCAACTTTGTTGCGCTGAATCTTGGGCTGCGTCACGCGGTTTTCTCTTGTTCTTCCATTTTGTCTTTATGGTTGGAAATGCTCTACCGCCGATTTTCATCATTGTCTGGCTGGCTTCGGAGAATTCGCCGAGCAGATACGACCATACAAGACGTAAGTTTTTTCAGCCCTAGAATTGACAGGCGTGTACGAGAGGTTGTAAATTATACTACTATTTGACCGACTTTCCTCTTAATAAAATAAATCGATTCTTTAAGAGTTTTGAGCATTTTATAGTGTCTGATTTTGATCAGATTTTTAGCCGGGCCAACAGCAACAGGACTTTGCGTGGCGAGTATCATTTTTGGATTTATTGCTTCTGCGCTGATGGTTCTCAGGAAAAAGGGTTGAAATCTGGTCTTTTAACTTGACTTTTATAAACTTCCGAGCACGTGATATTCGTTGGGAAACGAAAAAAAAGCAGAATAAATTGATTATTTAATAATATGACTCGATAGAAAACCCCAATCAAAGCTGTTGCTTAATCAAATTTCCAGCGGAGAGGAATTCCCAGCAACAGGAAGGTTCAAAAACGTGACCGTCAAAATCGTTGAATTTATTCAAGCTTTTTCAATATCAAAATCCTCAAGTTTTGAACAAAAGTTGCCGAGTCCAGATCTGATCTTGGAGCTTTCTTGAAGTGACAACTTGATATGACATCGAATTCAAGTTGAAAACCTTAGAAATACTTGAATTTCAGCGAAAGCGTTTTTGAACCAAACAAAGGATTACATTTTCGATCCCGATCATACGATGCGAAACATGGTAAATTCCGAAATTAGGCGCGCCTATTTTTAAAAAATAACAATTTTAATTTAATTGAACACGAATGTTTTATGTTCACAAAATAATAACAGAGAAATTGCGGTTTTTCTTAGTTCGCAAAACTGCCACTCACGTTGGCCAAAAGTCGAGTGGCGAAAGAAGGCGACAAGAATTCTAGAGCCGCGAAACACTTTTTATTTATTTTCATTTTTGAACAAAAAGTGGATTTTGAAAAAAAATTTTTCACTTTTTTTCAAAAAACTTGCGAAAAATGAAAAGCGAAATGAATTTCTAAAGGCTAAGCTCCAAAGCTCAAAATGTGTTTAGGGAAATGAGGGTTTGACTTTTGGAGGTAACAACACGTCGCGAAATATTCAACATCCAGACGTTGGTTATGCGCTTTCGAACAGGTGCTGACGCGGTGAATCCATTTTTTCGTTAATTCTGAATTTACTGACTGTTTACTTTTAGACTCTGAGTTCAACTGCTGCCGTAAATGATCACTTTTCACTGCCAAAGACTGTTACCATTAACTGAATTCCGAAAAAAAGTATTCAATAATTCAAAAAAATATATAATAAATCAAGAGAAATATGTTTGATTAAATGTGAATAAAATTTTTTTCAGGGAAAAATTATTTTTACTTGACTTACTAGTACTTACATTTGATAATTACCATTTGGTGAGTAGCGTGACATCTGTCCTACACAATCCGAGGGGCGCGCTACCACACCGCTCTGCAGACTGCAGCAAGCTACTACACCCTAGCGGGATTGATGACTAAGTTCGTGGGGACTAGGTTCGTGGGACTAGGTTCGTAGGTGGTTATGCCAAAGTATGCAAGATGGGGTATGGTTTCCTTTCTATAAGGAACAATGTGGTGCGACTAGGTTCGTGGGACTAGGTTCGTAGGGGTGCTAGGTTCGTGGGTTTTGAAATAAGAGATTTTTCTATAAGTATTATAAAAATTATAAATTTTTTATAAGGAACAATTGAGTGCGACTAGATTCGTGGGACTAGGTTCGTGAGTTTTGAAATTTTTTTTTATAAGGAACAATTGAGTGCGACTAGGTTCGTGGGACTAGGTTCGTGGGTTTTAAATTTTTTTTTATAAGGAAAAGGAGGGTGCGACTAGGTTCGTGGGACTAGGTTCGTGGGTTTTGAAATTTTTTATAAGGAAAAGGGGGTGCGACTAGGTTCGTGGGACTAGGTTCGTGGGTTTCGAATTTTTTTATAAGGAAAAGGGGGTGCGACTAGGTTCGTGGGACTAGGTTCGTGGGTTTTGAAATTTTTTTTATAAGGAAAAGGAGGGTGCGACTAGGTTCGTGGGACCAGAGTTCTAAATTCTGAAACTTTTGAGCTAAGCTAAGCTAGCTAAGCTGAGGATCTCAAAATTTTCTCCTAAGCTAGCTAAACTGTGAGCTGACACTCTCAAAAAATTGCTAAGCTAGCTAAGCTAAGCTGAGGTGTTTTTTTGCCTCAGCTTAGCTAGACTAGCTAATCTAGCTGGGTCAAAAAAAAAAGTAATTTTTGTCGATATAATTTCCTGTTTATCTTATTTTTTTTCTTCTTATTGGTTTTTTGAAGATATTCATTAATTTTATTAGCGTCAAGAAATATAATTTTTTCCCCCTAAACCATTTTTTGCATGAAAATTTCAATTTGAAATAGAAGATAATTTTTAACTCATGCGCGCAAATCGATCTAATATGATGCAGCTAGGGCGGTAAAAACCAAAAAAAGTACATCACTAGAAATGAGATTGATGGCGCTGTCTGTTAGAGGTTACATAAATATTACAATTACAGACAAAACGGACAATTCCGGAAGTTTTTTTCTCGGGAAAAAACGCCAAATCTCCGGAATTGTCCGAACTCGACTTGAAATTTTTTTTGCGTCAGAAGTGCCTTTTTTAAGGGTGTCAACCAGAAAATGGGCTTTTTTAGTGCTGCACAAGGCTTTTTTGGCCCTTCTATGATTTCTTTTTTCCTTTTTATTTGAAAAAGGTGGCTCTATATAGAGAATAGGCCTCTCAGTTGAATTTTTTGTCTTAACTTTCCGGAATTGTGCGCTTGCAAAATTTTTCCAATTTCCCTCAAATCTCCGGAATTGCCCGTTCCGGAATTGTCCGTTTTGTCTGTATATTATGTCGAATGTTATAGAATCGGCGATGGAAAAGTGAATTTTTTCTACGGACCTCAAAGAAATTCGATATGATCCATGAGTTCATATCAAGGATATGATATCAGTATACAGTACTTATCAATTTTTCTTGTTCATGAAATCAGAAATTTCATCTAAGATTCAAGGATAGAGAGTCTCTATTAGAGACTGTTAATGAAGTAGCACGAGCAATTTTTAGACTCAACCCAGCTTCTTTTTTGGGTGTCCAAAGCGATCGGGTCCGGGAGTGTCTAGTTGAGTTTTTTTTCAAAAAAATTGCTGGGGACAACATTAAAAATAAATAAGCCGTCGACCATGCCAGATCTTGACTAAAATATTGCCAATAAGTGTGAATCTGCGGGAAAAATTCGCAAAAAGCGTGGGTTTTTGAGGTGGTTCAATCATGTCAGCTTAGGGGGCCTAAGCTAGCTAGACTAGCTAAGCTGAGGGCCTAAAAATTTTCTCCTGAGCTAGCTAAGCTGTGAGCTGACTGTTTCCAAAAATTGCTGAGCTAGCTAAGCTGTAGCTGTCAGCTTAGCTAGCTTAGCTAGCTCAGCTAGATTAGCTCACCAGATTTAGAACTCTGCGTGGGACTAGGTTCGTGAAGACTAGGTTCGTGAAGACTAGGTTCGTGGGACTAGGTTCGTGAAGATTAGGTTCGTGAAGACTAGGTTCGTGAGACTAGGTTCGTGGGACTAGGTTCGTGGGTTTTGAAATTTTTTTATAAGGAACAATTGAGTGCGACTAGGTTCGTGGGACTAGGTTCGTGGGTTGTAAAATTGGGTAAAGTTGAATGGTAAAAATGACTTTCCCACCCCCACCCCCAAAATAAGCCGCTAGGCTCTTTAACTGAATTTCTATGTTAGCGCTGAATAACAATGGTTGCCTTAGAAGAGTTAATGAACCTAGTCGCAACCCATTTTTCCTTATAAAAAAAATTTTAAAAGCCACGAACCTAGTCCCACGAACCTAGTCGCACCCCATTTTCCTTATATAAAAATTTTTAAAAGCCACGAACCTAGTCCCACGAACCTAGTCGCAACCCATTTTTCCTTATAAAAAATTTTTAAAAGCCACGAACCTAGTCCCACGAACCTAGTCGCACCTCCCTTTTCCTTATAAAAAATTTCAAAACCCACGAACCTCGTCCCATGAACCTAGTCGCAGCTCCCTTTTCCTTATAAAAAAAATTTCAAAACCCACGAACCTAGTCCCACGAACCTAGTCCGACATAATTTCTCCTTATAGAATAAAAATAATAACCAATTAAAAACCCACGAACCTAGTCCCACGAACCTAGTCGCACATATTTTTTCCTTATAGAATAAAAATTCTAACCAATCAAAAACCCCCGAACCTATATTTAGATAATAATATTATATTATATGATCATATAATTACAATACATATATATAAATATATATAAATAAATATACACATATAAATAACACTTAATCATTATAAATAAAAATATACATATAAAATCAAAAACTCACGAACCTAGTCCCACGAACCACGTTTTCCAGCCAGCCACCCACGAACCTAGTCCCACGAACCTAGTCCCCACGAACTTAGTCATCCCACACACCCTAACCTAATCCTAACCTAACCTAACCCTAACCTAACCCTAAGGCTAGTAGCTTGGTCATGCGTTGTGTGGTGGGGCGCCTCTCGGCTTGTGTAGGACAAATGTCACAGCTCCCCCATTTGATTAATTTATAAGGAATAAATTGAGCTCTACGAAGAGTGTGGGAGATCACAATATTTCATCGAGGGTCTAAAAGATATAAGCAGTTTATTTAGATATTCACGCAAATTTGTATCGAAAAATATAAATTAATCTAAGCAAAAATGCTTTTATGGTTTTCTTCTCACGAATTAATACAAAGTCGCGAATAATTTACCGATTCTCCTATAGATAAGAATAATTTAAGAGAACGCCAACGGTTTATGTTTTGAAATACTTTTCTAAAAGAGATATGGTGAGTATCATCATTCGTTTCTATAAAGAAACCGCAGCGCTACTCTAAGAGTACATAATTTTATTTACGAGTGGTCGCAACCAACTTGCGATCAATCATTTGAGCTTCTGAGCTTGGCTTAAGTTTACGCGCTATAAACAGCTACTTAAACTCCTCTTCTCCTTCTGATAGTGGAAGAGGACTTGTGAAGACACAGCTCTCAGTCCAGCTTTTTTCTAGAGTCGAAAAAAACGAGGTGAGTAAAAAATGATTTTAGAAAAATTTTAAGCTGAATCAGCGCCGGAAACTGGTTACGAGTTCCATTCAATAGCGAATGTTTCTCACCAGTTAAACGATAGAAAGTCAACTTTTATTCTTTGCCGTCAAAATTTGACGATAATTCAGACAAAGATAATTCAACGATGCGACAGGCAGCCCAAGAAGAGCCAAAGGGACAGTTCGAACCAAAGGTAAGCTTGCCGGGTGAAACTTTCATCATTCTCTCATCGTAATAAAGAGCCCCTCATACACTCATGTATAAGAAGGACGATATCAGTAGAGGATAAGTGTAGGGTGCTATTTGGCGTTATGGCTAATTATGGCGGTATTAGTCGGGCACCCACAAATAAGAGTACTTTTTATTGGTGAGGAATTACTAATTACCGGCTGGTTACCGGAAAATACGTTGTCACCGGCCGTTTTTGTTCTAGAAGTGATAGACTAATGTTTGACACCGGAAATTGTTCCTTATAGTCAGTTCTCCTGCAGCCTAAAAGATGAAGGTTGTATCAATTCTCTGAAGAGAGTTATCACTAAAAACAGTAATTTTTACTAAAATTTTGTTGTTGCTGCACGTTCCTAATTTCTAGTCCCATTTTCGCCAAAAATAGTATTTTAGTGATAACTCTCTTCAGAGAATTGATACAACCTTCATCTTTTAGGCTGCAGGAGAACTGACTATAAGGAACAATTTCCGGTGTCAAACATTAGTCTATCACTTCTAGAACAAAACGGCCGGTGACAACGTATTTTCCGGTAACCAGCCGGTAAACCGGTAAATCCTTAGAGTTATCGGGAGTTAAACCCATCATTCGACTCGTCTTGACGAGCTGAAGAAAACTGCACTTGCAGATTTTTTACGATTTCCGGCCCCACAAAAAGTTTTTTGAAATCATCTAGGGTTAGAAAAAAAGGAAGAGAAAGGGGGGGGGGCGCGATATCAGAATAACACTTACTTTATTCAAGGCCTTAACTTTATCTTGAAAAAGAAATTAAGGGTGTACCTCAACTAAAAACCCCAAAAAGCTTGCTTCTAGCAACATTGACTTTACCGGCCTGTATATCCCAAAATTTTGTGTGGAGATAATATGGGAAATATTATGGATAGTATGTGTTGTAGTTTAGTCGAGGGGTTGATCTAAATCTTGAAATTAAGGGTGTATCTCAGATAATTTCGGAGAATTACTTGCTTCTAGGAGGCCATTTTTCGCAATTCTTGATGGGGGTCCAACAAAATGAGAACCATCTTCTACCGTCATCTAATTCTAACGAATTTCTAGCACTATGCGATTATGGCCATCGTTGCTGTTTTCATGCTTTACCTCTACCGAGACATTCTGACTGGCGATTTCTAACTGATTTACAAATAAATCATCTTTCTTTTTTCTTAGATTTTATTTTATAAAAACTGATACAGCAGTTAGTTATGTACAGCAAACAAAAAGATAGAAAAGCAAGGAGGGATATTCAAACAGATTTTTTGCAGATTTTTTCACAAAATTTTTCTTCACTTGGCCAGAAATTGTTTGCTTCGATAAATTTTGTGTTGAGCAAAAAACTGTCAAATATCACGTGACCAGCGCATAAATTTGAGAGTTACAGTATTTACATAAAATTAGAATTTGAACGAAGTGTGGCTAAAATTTGAATTCATGATTAGTTTATGTCTATAAACAATTTCAAAATGAGCAAATTTAAAATAAAGGATTTGTTAGCTTTATAAAGTGTCTTTTCGGAAGACTTTGACGCCGTCGCACTCGTGAGTTTGGGAAGAATATGGCTTGATGTTTGGGTAGGTTCCACAGCAAGAATCCCTGAAGAAAGGAAGTTAGGGTTAGGGTTAAGGTGAGGTTTGATTTCTTACTTGACAAAGACGGCATTTTCCATCGTATTTCTTCCAGCATTTTTCGGCTTTTTGCAGAAATCATCGTATATGTTCTTTTCCTTCAATTCGAGTATTCTAAGCTCCAGACGCCAAAAGCAGCAGCGAAGTCATTCGAAAACTTTTGTCGCACTCGCAAAGATTTCTCTTGCAAGCTTGTTTGCCAGTTGGTCCTAGGGGAAAACGGTGAGGAAAAGGAGGAAGAAGGGGCCTTACTGTTCATGCAGACGATTTCGCCCTTGATGAGCCTGGCTTTGTAGCGGGTAGAAACAGGGTCGCAAGCGTCCGCTCCGTATTCTTGCTTCAGGCATGTGTGGCAATCTTGAAGCTCGTGGCATGATGAGTCGATAGCGTCCAAAGATGCTCCCTTTTTCAAGTTCAAAAGAAAGAACGGCTCAGTTCGAAGGAATTGAGGGGTTTTGGAACTGTTCCTGTCCAGAAAGATTCTGGTTGAGTGGATAATCGGGCCAGCAGTGGCAGCCGTAATTGTTCATCCTTTTAGAAAAGAGCGCCGGCTTCATCGGTTTTCCATTAGGCATTCTGGCCGCATCCGAATTTCGCAGCTTGGAAACCAAAAGAGTCAACCTCTGGGAGCGGTTTTTTGATCGCGTTTCGCCTTTTCGGGTTCATAAAAAAAAATACTTTTAGTCTCAAAATTTTTCAAATGAGCCCATTCCTGGACCACCTGGGCCTCTTCCTCGGCCAGTTCTGAATAAAGGAGAGTCGAATTGAGACAGCTCCGCGATGAGTTCTCTGCTTTCTTCGGAGTCTTCATAGCAGACGCCGTCATATTCTAGCTCTCCCGCGTCACATGGAATGTCAGCTTCCTCGACTTCCGCCTGTCGCTTTGTTCGGGAAAGAACTGATTCCTCTAGAAATTGGTTTTTATAATTGGGTTATCGATTTCTGCTTTAAAATATGGATCAGATTTAGGTTTAAAAAATTTATTTTATTATTTCTCAAATAAACTTATACAGAAAACACCAGTTTGAAACATTCGAAAATTCAATTATGGTTTCTTACCGAAAACATCTGTCGCCGCGGCAAAAGCAAAAAATGAAGCCAACAATCTCATTTTTCTTTTCAAACTTTTTTTTTCGATTAAAAAATGAAGATCTGTTTTTGTCAATTTGAAAATTTCAATGTAAAATTTTGTTTTGAAATTCCAGAAATATCGAGTTTAAAAACAATCGTGCTCGGAATCACGGGCGCCGTTCGTGAGTTTTCATGATCAACAAGGGTGCGCGCGCCCTCCTGCGGAAAATGAATGGAAAGTTTAGAATTTGCACTTTGCGTTTGAGGATTTTTTCTTTATTTTGAAGTTAAAAGAAGTTTTTTTTTTAAATATTTGGAGAAGAAAAGTGTTGAGATATCTTGCACTTGAATTTTCAATCGAGTCAATTTTAATATAAGATGATATTTTTTTTATTTACAAATTTCAGGACCCTCTTTTCTTTCCAGAAAAATATTTGGGTCCTTTTTATATAAAATTATTTCAAAAAATGAAGGCCAGCAGAAATGAAAAATATTCAACTAACAAGAAATCCAGCTTCAACTCATTCTCTCTCCAAAATATTGGTTGAGCGGTTAAAAGCGTGTCTAGCAGACGTTGTCAATAAATGAACGAATGTGGTATCACAGAAGCGCCCGGGAGTATCCGGGCAAGTCAAAATGGGGTTTAGAGAAGGGAGAGAAGGACGAGTTTGTTGTCGTCCATGCACATGTGTTTGTTCGGATTGTAAGGGATGATTTTCGTGTTGTAGGTTCCGCAGCATTGAGTTCTGAAGAAAAATTTAGATACAATGCAAAGTGAGCCTTTCAGTGGATTTCTAGGATGATTCATCGAGCCATCAGCCTCCTGATTGGCCGTTCTTTGATCGACCAATCAGGGGGAAGGAATATGGTCTTACTTGAGAGAACTGCTGGAAGCACTGCTAGAAGAGCTTGCTGAGGCATCAAAAGAAGACTCAAGTTTTCCATTTGAGCCTCCTCCGTTGGAACCGTCGTCGGAGAAGAGAGCAAGAGAATCAGCACTAGAATCAGCCGCTCCGATCGCTCTCGGTCCATTGCGGTGGCAGATCGAGTCATATGTTCCTGCTTGTTTCAAGTTGTCGTTGTCAGCCTGCCACTGGTCCCAATGATTCGCGAAATTGATTGCGAAGACTTTGTCGCATTCGCAGAGGCTTCGTTTGCAAGTTCCTTGGGCTGAAAAATCGCATTATTTTCCGAAAAAGATCGGAAAAAGATAAACTTACGATCTTTGCAGAAAACTTTTCCATCCTTCAATCGGGCCCAGTACTGTGTATGGACACTATCGCATTGTTCATTTTCTCCGAACTCGTTTCTCAAGCACATGTGGCAATCTCTCAGGTGTTTGCAGCCTTCGTCGAGCTTGTCCATCGGATGACCTGAAGACAAAATTAAGGACACGTGTCCTTTGCGGCGAGGAAAGGGCCCTGTTGCAAGGTTACCTTTTCCGTTGAGCTTTTTGTTCTCTGGGTAGTCGGGCCAGCAGTGGCAACCATAGTTGAACATTCTTCGCGAAACTTGATCGATGTTGATTCGGACGCCATCGTGGCCATCTCTTCCGAACAAAAGTCGGGCAAGGACCATCGTCCATTTCTGATGCTGTGAGATCGCCCTGAAAACCATTTATTATGAAAGTAAAATCACTCGAAATTACCTGGTAAGTGAGTTTTTCTCCGGATCAGCTTCTTGGATCTCTAGCAATTTGTTGATGTTTTCATCTGTATTTTCAAAGCAGATTCCATCGTACATCACTTCTCCCTCCTCACAGCCAGGTACTTCAAGAGCTGGGGGTTCTTCAGCCTGGCGACGCTTTCTTTCAAGTCGAGTCTCGTAGTTTGCCATGACGTCGTCTTAAATTTTCAATTTAGAGGTTCCTTTCAGAGAGTGTTTTCAGGAAACTAATCTACCAAAATCTTTCTTCTACTCCATCAAAATCAGCCGCAAGAAGCGGTTTTTTCTTCCGCCAAAAAAATGGCTTTTTGTTCAAAAAAAAAATCTCTCTTTTTTTTGCTTACCGAAAAGATTGGCTGAGGCAGAAACGGCTAAGCACTGAAATATCTTCATTTTTCTTATTGTTTTTTTCTTTGTTCTTGTTTTGCTCTAAGAAAAGAAAATAGCGAAAATATTACTTTGAAAATTTTTCGCTTATTTCGGCGGAGAGAAAAACAGAGCTTGAGGAATGAAGCTAAAAAGCGAAAATGGTTATCCGAATCGTGTGGCGCCGCAATACAAAAACACTAGAACGCCGTTCACGAGAAAAACTCTATTGACCATCTAAACAATCTAACGGCGTAAGCATTCGCTTCAACCCTGCTTTTCTACGCACTTCACCAAGCAAGATTATTGTTTTTCCTAATCAATGATTATTTTCTTGAAATTAACGATTCGTTATTTTTCCCCACAATTCAATTACATCTATTATGAATTCAATTAAATAAAGATAATTTTTGATTGAATAACAAGACAATTATTTGAACTCTGTCTTACGTGAATTATTCGTGCGTGGAAAATTTGAGTCAGGTTCTGAATGGAGATCCGAGTGGCTAAAAATCTGAAGAATCTGTTTCAGGCAAGCTTCTCCGAGCCAAGTCTACTTTTTAATAATAAAGCTCTCCTACGTACTTTTCTTCTTAACAAAACTCCTGAAATTTTCTCAAAACTAATAAGTTGTGAAAACTCTTTATATTTCTATCATAATTCAGGTTTCTGGTGTCTAGAACCTAGACTCTAGATTTAAGAAATGAATGAATATTTTTTTTATTACAGTAAAGGCTGTCTATTAACATGCTTTTTATTTGAAAATAAAATGATGCTTTTAGTTTTAACAACGATTATTTTGAGTTATTTTGACTGGTTAGCGCGAACTTGTGAACGTGACTATATTGAATTTATGGAAGTTTATAGTGTATCTTTTTATTTAAAAGTTCTGACTCTTGATCTCTTAAAGATGACGAATTTTCTTGAAAATCACAGAACTGTGTCTAAAACGAATCAATTTGCCCTTGACGGCGGCGGGTTAAAAAGGTTAATAAATTGTGTTGGCGAGGAGACTACTTTAATGATATCGAAACTCGTTTCAATAATATTAAGACCAAATTCCAGCGCAGAGTTTCAGAATTTATTTAGGAATTCAGAGATAGTGAACTGGGGTTTCTTCGTAAATCAAGTGCTTCGCCGTTTTGGTGAACAAAGTATTTGATGTGTTTTTATCTTGTTGATCGGCTCAACATCGGAATTGAATAAGCACCAGCAAATTGTTAGCTAAAATTATCTTTGTTTGGAACAATAATTTCGCTTTCCGTTTTCCTTTTTCCTCATCCCTTGATGCAAAATAGACTGAATTAATTGGCCTGCAGTTTTAAATACGAGCTAAAACGGTTACACACAGCAGCTACAGTTGTTTTAATTACAGTATTAACGAAAATATAGCAAGAATTTCGGAAAAATCAAAAAAATTCTCAAAAACTTATGAAAAATTTGAAAAAATGATCTTTTTTTCAATTTTTTTTTCGTTATGCGTCTGATTGAGCCGGGCTGAATAGGTTGCCCTAGTAGCGCGCCTGTGCGAAAGATTTTGCACTTGCTAGTACAGTCACGGCAGCTGATTCATACCTTTGCTCGAAAATTGATAAGAGCACTCGCCTTCAGTGAATTGCAAGTAAATTTGGCGCGTTTTTCCTGCGATTTTGAAGAAGAGAGTTTATAAGAAAATCATTTCTTGAAAATGGATCGTCGGCAACGGGTAATTACAAAAACTTTATTCAAAATCTCTACGTTGCCGCAGAGTTTTTTACATTTTTTAATAAAAATGAAGAAAATTAAACAATAAAACAGAAAAGTTTCTTTTAACTGCTTTTTCTTTTTCATTTTTGCCTCATTTTGGGAAGATGAAGATTTTTCATTTTTCATTAATTTATATGATAAAGCAGCTGCATTCAAGATGGAAAGATCAAAACTGATGAAGTAAGACAGATTTTCTAAGATCTTTTAGATCTCGTTAATTATTATCCCTTTGAAATTTGCGGAAAGGAGATAAAATCGCAGATGTTAATTTGGAATTGAAAAAAATTCTTTGTGGTTTTTAGAGATGAATTTAAGCAATTGAATATCATTTTTCAGAAGTCGAAACTCACCGCTGACGCCGAGCAAAACAACCTCATCGCCAGTTTCGAGCAGCAACTCGCCGAGAAAGAAGCGAAGAAACAAGCTCGTCAAGAAGCCGAAAGAGCTCGTGAATTCGAGCGAGAAAAGAAACGCCGAGAATTCGAAGCGTTTCAGCAAGAAATCAACGCGATCTGCGACTCCGACGAAGACACAACTCCAAAGCCAAAAGTTGTTGAAAAAAGCTATGCTGTTCCGATTGCGATTAGTTCGGTCAAGGGAAGATGGGACAAAGTCGAGCAAGATCGAAAGAAAGCTGAAGATGAGAGGGCAAAGGTAGGAAAGAAGGCTCTAGAAAATTTTTAGTCTTTTGAAGATTTTGAAAGCAGCTCATCAAGTTCCAAAGGGATCTAGCTCGGCTAACATCCTGACAAAATTACAGATTTTCTCGGTTAGTTACAGTGAATTTTCATCCCATTTTATCCCTCATTCTCGAGCTGCATTCCAAAAGTTCCAAAACTAGCGAAAAATGTTCATTTCGACTGCCATAATTTCTGATTCATTTTCACGGAAAAATCATAAATCTCATCTTCTATTACAGTTTTTCATGGCCTATTCTAGAACGAACGAAAGCAACGAATGGCCAAAGACGCCCAAGACAAGAAAAAGCTCCAAAAAGAAGAGCTCGAAAAAGAACTCGCCCTCGTCGAGTCCGGCGAGTCCACCCGACGCCGAACGGTTAAAAACACCGCGAAGCCGAAAAAACTTCAAATTTCCGAAGATGACCTCATCAAAAAAGCGGAAGAAGAGCGTCTCAAGAAACTTAGGCTCGAGCGAGAAAAACGAGAAGCAGAAGATCGAGAGCGAATGGCGTCTGAGCGAGAAAGACTGCAAGACGAAGAGGAGGATGAAATCAAGGAGGAAAATCAGAAAGTTGAAAGAAAATCAGTTGTGCCAAAGAAGTTAAACTTGACGATGACTGATTTGGAAAAACAGCGAGACGAGCAATTTCGAAAACGAGCTGAAGAAGAGCGGAGAAGACGAGAAGAAGCCGACAAAAAGCTCTTCGCAGCTGAGCGAGCCCGACTTGCCGAAGAAGACGAGGATGTTGCTGAAGAAATGTCGAATGAGAGGAAGGAAGAAGTGAAAGTGGGAAAGATTCAGCTGGATTATGACAAGATTGTTTATGAAAACAACAAGGCGAAAGAAAAAGAGCTGGAAGAGGAGATGAAAGGCAGGATGAAGCAGTTCAGGAATTTGAGGCAGCAATCGAAGGCCTATCAGGAAGAGGATTACAGACAGCGAGAAACTCAGGTATTTTACCGACTAGACCTTCGTTTATCGATATTTTTAAGGCGCGATCAGAATCAAAAGCCACCGTCAATGTCTCAAAACTCGACTCAAACAAACTCAATCTCGACAAACACTTTGCCGAATCTGAAAAAGAGTCCGAAAGAAAACTTGCCGAAGAAAAAATGCGCGAACTCAAAGATGAGATTCGTCAATTCAACGAAGCCAAGGCGAGAATGATGGAAAACGAAATGAAAGATCTTCTTTCGGAGCAAAAAGAATGCGAAGAAAACCAACCGGTTGTCAAAAAACTCGACGCGAGCAAGGTCAAATTCGATAAAAACGCTGATGAAAAAGTTGCGAGAGATGCGGAAATGTTAAGACTCGAGAGGATGAAAACGCTGAAGGCGGAAATGGTCGCTTTCGAAGCTCAAAGAAAAGAAATGGAAAACGAATTCGATGTCCTCCCGAACTCAAAGGAGGAAAAAAGTAAAGTTGCTGTTGGAAAACTCGATTCTTCGAAGACCCAATTCGATTCTCTTGAACAACAGAGGGCAGAGAAGAGACTTCAGGAGCTTCAAGAGCAGAGGATGAAAGATCTTCAAGCTGAGATAGATCGGATGGAGGAAGAGCGCGAAAAATTCGATGAAGAGGAAGAAATGAATGGTAAGAGTCCTCTTTGACCGTTTCTTGTTCAAAATTGTAGGTGAAGATAAGAAAGAAGAAGTTCAAAAATCAGCTCCAAAGAAGCTCACGACTGATTTCGAGAAGATGCAGCTCAAGAAACAGCTAGAAATCGAGCGAGAAATGAAAGATCAAAAGATGAAGCAAATGCAGGCTGAACTTGAAGAGCTCCAGGTTTCTTTCTCTAAAAAAACGATTCACATATTTTTAAGAAAAAATGGAATGATGAAGAATCTGAGGAAGAAGAGGAGAATCAGGCTCAAAAAATCATCGTCGAGCCCGGAAAATTGAACAAGCAACAGCTTTCGTTTGACAAGGTTTTGGTTTGAATGTCTTCAACATGATTTTTATGAAACTTTGGAGTCCAAAGTTTTTCTAATTTGGTCTGTCTGTTTTGTTTTTCTTACATTCATATTTTCATTAAAACATTGCCATTCGAGATGTCGACCGCGATGAGCTCGGCGGATCAGATGCGTTTGAAATACGCGCGCGATCAACAACTCAAGGCGGAAACCGATTGCTTCCGAGATCTGAACAAGATCCAGGCCCTTGTTAAACACATCATCTCATATCTCATCATTGCCATATGAAAATTGATTTATTCATTCATGTATTAACATCTGGAACGGAGCAAGAACTCAAATTGCAAACCAATTCTCAGCGACATTTGTACGAAATGACCGAGCATCGGCCGAAAGAACCGGTAAAGAAGATGAATTCTGTTTCGAAGTTTGAGAGGATGCAGCAGATGCAAAGAGAGGAAGAAGAAAAACGCCTGGAAGAACTAAGGTTTGTTTCAAATATAGAGCTTACTGACACCCTTATCATCTTTTATTTCTATTTTAAGGATGGCGAGAGCCTTAAAAGAACGCTCAGAAATGATCGAAGCAAAAGAACGCGAGCTAAGGGAGGAAATGGATGAGCTAGAAGAGGTCTTTCTTTTATCGAAGCTACGACCCTTAATTTTTCTAGGATTCTTATTCTGACGAAGATGATATGAACGGATCTCCAGCATTCCTCGAGCCGCTAGAAGACATCACGCTAAACGAGGGAGACAAATTCAAACTAACTTGCTCTATCGCTGGTTTTCCTCAACCAAAAGTAGGTTTTGGAGAGAAAAAAAGGTGTCGAGAAGTTTAGGTGATCTGGTATCATAATAAAATCCCCCTGCCAAATGGAGTTGATTATCAATACAAAGTCAAGGGAACTTACTACTCGCTTCATATGGACGAAGTTTTCAGAGAAGATGAGGGAACTTATGCAATCAGGTTTGTCATCATTTTTGGATGGTATTTAAAAAGGTTTCAAGGGCAATAAACGACAAGGGGATCGACATGTGCGAATGTTTCGTCAATATCAGAAGTTGAAAGATCTTGCCAGTGTAAATTTGTTCATACTGTAATTAAAATCGATTTGATGAAGCTACATTTATTTTGCGACAGTATTTTCAGTCTTTTAAATTTTCGTCTACGTCTTCTTCATTTTCTATGTCGTCGAATTCGGCAAAAATGTTTGGCTCATATTTGAGCTCTTCGCTCTCAATTGTGAAATTATCTGCGAGCCTAAAATATCGTTGCATTTTATGCTTCAGATTTCATCTTACGAGATGAGCTCTTCAACGATCATGGTAAAAATCGCACCCAACCAGGCGATACCAAAGAACATCCAAACTTGAAAACAAGGATGAGAAGCCATTAAAATGGGAAGCCCTTACCGACAATGAGGGAGCGGTAGATTTTCAAGAACTCTGGTTGAAACATGAATTCTGGAATGATTTTCGGTTGGGGAAGATTTTCCGTGTCGATGTGCTTTGGCTTTTGAAATGTTGGTTCTGAACAGTTTTGCTGTGATGGTTAAAAATGGTAGTACCGTAGTCTCCATATCCGATCGTAGTCAAAGTAACAACGATGAAATATATAGACGTGACCATGTCCCACCCTTCGATGTCATAAAAGATCGCCAACTGGATTAAGCCCAGAATAACGATTGAAATTGCTAGGTAGAGAAAAATGCTCCCAACTCGCACTGCCTAAAAATCAGCTTAGAAAGCAATCAAAATAAAGCTGTTTACTCGGGACGGCTTCTTGCCGAAAATTTTCTTTCTCAAAGCTCCAAGTTTTTCATTGAAGAGTTGAGCGTACATCGCCATTCCAAGAGCTGGACATCGTTATTGAATGATTTTTATTTGACAGTACCTGTGATAGGAACGCTGATGAGAATAAACACCGACACAAAGATCTTCCCATTGTCCGAGACCGGAAAAGTCGAACCATAACCAACAGTTGTCGCAACTTGAGAAGCAAAGAAAATCGCGTTCACATAAGTTCCGAAAATGCTTGGACAAGAGATGTTCTCCAAGCACTCATCTATGTCTTCACTTGTGCAGTTCAGATTTTCCAGCGCTTCGGTCATATTCACGCTTGTTCTTGTTTTCTTCTCATTTTTCAATTTTGGCAAGAGTTTCTTCACGGTCGGGTGTGGCGGTTTCGGCTGCTTAGGAAGAGGAGAGGAGGAGGATTCAGCGTCTTCTTCAGTTTGGCTGTCCCCGAGCGCCAGATTTTTGAGAAGATCGAAGTTTCCAGAAGCCAGGTCTTTCTGTTTGTCCAAAATTCCCTCCTCGTCCGCGAGTTCTTCTCGTTCCGTTTTGAATTTAAGCATTTCGATCCAAAGCTCAAGCGCGTTATTTTTCGTCTTTTCTTGAAGAAGCATAAAGTCTGTTTCCAGTCGGTATCCGGCTATCTCGTCATCGGTGTGGAAAATTTCGCGGAAGAAGGATTTCAGCTCGTTTTCCGATTTTTGGAGGTATGTTTCGGTGTAATTGACGAAATTTGATGTGAGATCGGCGATTTTTCCAAAATCAGTCGCAGTGTCCTTAATTTTTAAAATTAAAAAAAAGAAAATTTCACAAAAAGAGTCAAACCTTTAATTCAGTGAATCGAGTCACAGTCTCATTCAACGCTTTCACTGGTATTCCTGTGTCATTTTTACGCTAGAAAGTTTTTTATCAGAATTTTTTTCTTTGACAGACCTGATTATTAAGCTCGTCAACGACCGTAGTAAAAATATTTTTGTCTATCGAATCGATTGATTTGTATTCATAAAGCGAGATGTTTCGCTTGAATTGATAATTTATCATAAAATCCAGCTCGACAATTGAGTTGATTGTTGTATCAGGAATCAATTTGATTTCTAAACAATATCAGCTCAAGCTCTATAAAAATAAACGAAACCATTGACGTTGAAGTCGCTCGAATTCAAGACTTGATTTTTTAGCAAAACGCGGTTGAACCAATCCGTGTTTATATCACCAACTGCGAGGACCTTGAATATCATTAATTAAAAAAAAAAACTAATTTTGAAGCAAACAATATCTCGTCGCCGATTATCGCTTGGTCGAAAACGAAGGCTCATCTGGGTGATTTGAAAGATGAAACTGGTGGTGTAAACTTCAGCTACTTCAGCATCAAGAATCGACGGACCGGAATAGTTTTTCTGAGTATCGCGGACTTGAAAGAAGTAAAAAGAATGAAAACGCAATTGAGCCTACATGTTCGATGAAATTCGAGACGATCGGTATTATGAGGCGAAAACGGTTCAGTTGCATTTTCGGCTTCGATGACCGATTCTGGCATTTCCTGGTTGATGACGTTATAATTGAAAATTTTAAATTCTGCATTTTGGTTTTCGATTTCGATGGCACGGGGGCCGAGAGACAGCATATCAAGTTCGCCAGAGAACGATCGAGTGAATTTTTCTTGCCCATCAACTGACAAACTAACAATGTAATTGTCATCATTTCCAGCGCGTTGACTTTATCAAAAGATTATAAAAAGTTATCAATTTTTAGCAAACATCCGAAAATTTTTATGAATTTTTATGCTCTCCTGATTTTCCATCGTGAAAGCATATCGTTAGTATCAACTGGTAAATCGAATAAATTCATCATCAAAGAGTCATCGTTAACTCGAACAGTTAATGCTGAAGTCTGACCTTGATCATTGACCTAAATAGGGTAGTTAATTAATAGTTTATTTATAGTAAGTAAAAATTTAATTTACCTCTAGCAAGATGAATTCAAAAAACAAGAATCGAAATTCAAAAGTGTCTTCAGGAGAAGAGCTCAATTGGAACTCAAAATTGAAATTGGGGTGCATTTCTGGGCCGCCCATTGTCAGAAAAAAACATTCGTCAAAATTTTCACAGCTTTCAATTTTTTCATATCCATCTGTTTGCCGTCGTTTTCTTTCAGCTCGATCAGCGCTTTCGAAAAAATCAACCCCTGCTCCGTCATAAAGTCGCAAAAGCTGCTCTCTCTTCCGTTTTCTCCCTAGCAGCGCTTCTTCCTGTTCCCGTTGTTTTTCCGCAGCTTCTTTTAGTTCCCGAATATTTCGATCGACCTCCAAGCATTTTTCTCGTTCCGGAGCGCCTTCGATTTCCAAGAAAACGATTCCTCCGACGACGATCAAGATGATGTAGAGAAGCAGCAAAACGATGTAGCTGACAAAACTGGACCGCAAAAACGGTATCCCACCGCGGCAAACATGAAAACAGGAAACCATTCTCTCTCTTACTCAAAATTTACATCTGGTTCTTCTTCGAAACTGAAGTTTACGCGACTTCCTTTATAATTTATTCAATATTCAGCCGCTAATTTCAAAAGAAAAAATAGCGTCAGAATATTCTTCTTTTTTCAAAATTCATTGTTGAAATTTTCAACTCTCAAATCGACCATCTTTTTTTGAAATGAAATGTTTTATTTACAAATATGCAGAAACAAAAGTTAGATACAGATTTCGAGTTGACCATAATTCGTCTTTTCCTCCCGCTCGTCTATTCTTGCAATGTTACTTTCGAGCTTGGCACCCCATCTTTGGATCATTTGTTGAGCCCATTCTTTGTCCCAGAGGTTGTTTTCTTCTGCCGGGTCGCATTCGATCTTGTAGAACTCTTTGCTTTTCGGCATGAGTTTCCATTTTCGCCAGCGGATCGCCTGGGGAGCGAAGTGGACTGCATGAGTCATGATTTCTTCAGGACCGTCGATTTTGTCCGAAGCGCCGGTGAGAAGCGGGAAGAGAGATCGGCTATCTGGGCCTTCGTTGCATTTTGGCTTGTATTCGACCAGGTCGGAAAGGGTTCTAGAAAAATATCTTCAACCAATCGAGGCTTCAGAGCTTTACCTGTAGACATCGACGTACGAAACGATTTTATCCTCGATCGTCCTCGCCGGGAACCCCTTTGGATACCACCACATAAAGGGCATTCTGTGCCCTCCTTCCCAATTCGTTCCCTTTCCTCCCTTCAGTCGGACGTTTTGGACGCCGTGATCGCCGTTCGTGAGATCGATTGCGTTTTGAGTATGGCCGTAGAGAGCTTCGTTGACGGGCTCGTAGTTGGTTCCAGCGCCATTGTCGGACATGAGGACGATTAAAGTGTTGTTGATTTGATTGCTTTTTGAGGTTTTAAAAATGAGCGATTTATGCCAAGAGGGCATTTTTCAATAAAAATTTTCGGGATTTTCGACCAATCAAAAGCCTCAAAAATTTTTGTGACGAAAAAATAATTTTTTTTTTTCAACCCTTTTCCTTTCTTCAAGCGCTTTAAACAGCTTTCCAACCATTTCATCCGCCTCCGCAATCATCTCCCCCACAATCCCCACTTCCGTCGTATTTCTAAATTTCTCCTGAGAGTTGAAAGGCCCGTGCCCAAATCGCATCCCGTAGTACGCAAAGAACGGCTTTTCCGAATCAGCATTGGCTTTGATGAACTCATTGAGCTTCGTTGAAATGGTCAAGTCTTTTGTTCGCGAGTCGAAATTGGGCTGAGCGATCATGGATCGAGGGTAGTTGTTGGTGAACCGCTCGCCGTAGGTTTCTTCTTTTGGCCAGGGTGCGGCGACATAAGCGCCTTTCCAGAATTTGATGCCTGAAAAAAAGCTCAATGGAGGAGAAAGATGAAACGTTTTGAAGAGATTATTTGTTCCAAATTATTCAGCAGGGGTCTTTTTCACAGAGTGCCCCCCTTAATTCATCTTCTAAGACGTCGAATTTTCTAGTGCCAAGATAAAGCACCTCTACGTACCTGTGTCTAGCTCTCTTTGAGTAGGTCCTCCTTCTGGAAAAAATCGCTGAATCGCCCACTCAGTAAACGGCTCAACTTGCTTCCCATTCTCAAAGTATCCATTCGGCGAGCAGCAGGGAGATTCCGCCGAGAAGGAATAGTCGAAGCCATGGTCGATTTCAGAAAGCATGAAGGTATAGTTTCCGGGTCGGAAAAACAGGCGTTTTTCGTCGAATCGATCGTTGAATTTTTCCCCGTTCGCGTATGTCTTCTTCCATTCGTTCAATTTCTTCCAGCGAATGTGATCCTCCGACTGGATATCGTTCCTCAGCATCGTTTGGAAGGGTTGAGTTTTGCCGAAAACGCCAGTTGTGTAGCCAGCTTTTTTGAACATGAGACCAAGATGTGGTTCTCGCCCGGGCTTGATGATTCGTTCTTTACTGTCTTTTAGAGAGTATCTTCCGGTGAGGAGCATGTAGCGACTTGGGGAGCAGCGGGAGGATCCAGAGTGCGCATCCTTAATTTAAAAAAATGAGAAAAAAGGGCAAAAAATAATTTTTTTTTCAGATAAAAATCGAGAAAAAAAGCAAAAAAAATGAAAAATTTTAAAAAAAGTCTCCGTCAATTATGAAAAGTCATCTTTTTTACCTTAAAATTGACTCCTTCTGTCCCCAATCTGTCAATATTCGGCGTTGGCACTTTTGCTTTAGCCTGGTTCACTTGAAAATCTCCGACTCCAAAGTCATCTGCCAGAAGAAGAATCACATTTGGTCTCTTCCTTTCATCTGCGAATATTTGTGAAAAAATCGAAAAGTACTTCGCAAGTTTCATTCTATTTTTTCTAGTTGACTTTTTGGTGGCGCGGCGCACTTTTATGCGCGCCGCCGTATTTTTGGTAGTCGCAAGTGCGCGCTAAAATTTGTGCACTTGCAATAGAAACCGTGTTTTCTACTAAATAAGGACGCGTCAGCAAGTACGTTTTTCGTCGGGATAAAAATATAAATTACTCGTCCGGCTGGTCCAAAAGTCTTGTCTTATTTATGTTTCACTCAATCACCGTCATTTTCAGTCCACGGCGTTTTTTATACTTCCTCAGCACAGCTTTTCTAAAACGCGAATTTCGCAAAAAAAGGAACAAAAACGGTCAAACGCGATTTTTTTTTGGTTATTCTTGTGGTTTTCTTGCATAAAAATTTTTTTTCAAAATAATTCATTAATTTCTTCTCACGTTATAATCTCATTTATGAGTAGTAAAACATAACGGGTCCGCCCTGTTAAAAACAACTCCACCCAAATGTCTGATATAAACTGATTTTCTCGATAATTTCTCAAATCTTTCGAAAATTATTTGAAAGCTCGCAAAAGAAAACGTGGCTGGCGGAACATTCAAAAATACTCTTTGCCACTAAAACAAGATTTTTGGTCAACTCGTAAATTTTCATTTGAGCAAGAATTTCAAATCGAAAAATTATTCAAAAGAAAATTCTCCAAAATTTGGAAGATCTGATCAAAAAATAAAAGTGCTTAAAAATCTAAAGCTTTTGGACTTTTCCCTGGGCAAGGTGAATAACAAAAAAAAAACTAAGCTTTAAAAATTTTAAGCTTTTTCATTTTTGACATGATTTTTCAGGCGGTGCGTTTTTAAGGCCGATTTAAACCCCGGTTGGCCGCTGACACCCTTAAAAACGCAACCCCTGAAAAATAATGGAAAAATAAAAAAGCTTAAAATTTTCAAAGCTTAGTTATTACTTTTTTTGTTAGTTACCCTATAGAAACATTAAAGAAAAAAAATGTCAACTACTTGAAGCTTTATTAATAGTATTTCGGCAGATTAGCAAAAAATTTTGTCTATCATAAACTCATAAAAATCATTACTGATTTCTCCATTAGTATGTTCTTCCAAATTTCCCTCGAAAAGTGATTAAAGTAATTGTCCCTAATTGACTTACAAGCGCATAAAACTCGTTTCCGAAGAAAACGTAATTTGTTAAGATTACATGCTTAACGCTACGTGTTTGGTTGTTTCGAATCCAAATTATAAACGCCGTTAGACGGTCAGAAGTCATCAATAACAAAGTGGATCGTGGCAAAAATATGTTGCGAGTTTTTATCATAACAATCATTTAATGAAGTCAGCATTCTAATTATGATCCCCGAGTTTTCTCGTTTTTAACCTCTCTGTGCTTGGCTCAGCAATCTGAGTGGTAAACTGACAAAGAAAAAATTCCTGAGTAAGGGTCTCTGACGGGGAGGTGTCTGGAACCGACAAAAAATTCGACAAATTTTGCGTGGAAATTTTTAACCAATCAGAGATCTGGATTCGGCTTAGCGGCCAATCGGCAGCCGAGAAGCCGCCTACGCAAAATCTGTCGAAATTTTTTTGTCGGTTCCAGACACCATCCCTCTCTGACTCAGCTTATTTCCATTGACAAGGATAAGTCTTTCATTCAAATATTTATAGAAACTGAGCTCCTGAGCTCAGATACCTGTGTCGAAAACCTGAGTCAGGTTTCTGAATAGCTTAAATGAAAAGCCGCACAGAAACCTGACTCAGGTTTTCGTCAAAGGTTGCTGAGCCTGGGAGCTCATCCTCTATGTATTTCAAAATATTGAACATATCCTTGTCAATTTATAAATGGTCGAATAAGCTAAGCGCTTTCTCGTACTGAATTAACGAAATATAATCTTACACTTTTTGAAACACAGAGAGAGCTCTGGAGAAAAGAGAATCATTCTTTGAAAATGAAGCGAGAAATAATTTTAAGCCTTCTTTTTATTTTCCTGGCGCTGTTTTTTTCAATTGGAAATTATGCGCTGAAAAAACCTGACTCATCAAAAATGCCGGAAATTCTAAACTCGTCTCTTTTTCGAAGCTTTCCCGAACAGAGATTTTCTGAAGACAATTTCAAGCAGATAAAAATACGAATTGAAAGAGAAGAATATTCGGGGATCATCTCAGTTGATGTCGTTTCATTTTCTGAAGGAATCGACTTTTGTTACTTTTATAAGTTGAAAATGCCGAAGGTTCCTTTTGACATAATGATGATCAACGAAACTGATAACTCTCATGCGAACTGGAACCGTGAGTCATTTATTGCTATTTTGATGAGGATGATTTACTATTTATACTATCAAAAAAATGTTAAAATAAATAATTACACGCGACACTTTAAGGACCGCCCCCGTCAACAATTTTCGAAAAATCTATTTTCGGAATTTCAAAATTTTGACCCCGGAAATGGATTCTACAGGTCAAAAAAGAATTTGAGGCTTCTTTTTTGGGGGCCTATCTCGACTCTAACACCCTTAAAATCACGTTTGAAAATCGGACGAAAACTCACGAAAAAGTCCAAACTTTGCTAAAATCTCAGATTTTTATTGGTCAAAAAGTACTCCGAACAAGTTTTTATGATAAATTGAACTTCTAGGAACTCTAAGAAGCCAAAATATGGCTTTTTTGAAATTTTTGGGGTCCTTAATTAATTTTAAAAAAGGGGATGAACCTTGTTCATGCTCTTACTTCCTGCAAAGAGCCCTTTGTTCATCCTTAAAGCCACGTAACCATTGATTTCTAGAAGGACCGTCAGTTTGGCTCAATGCTTCAATGGACAATCAAGGAAAAATAACAGCATCAGAAGAACTCGCACCTCTTCTGGAAAGCTCGAAAAACAAGAACATCGACAAGCCCCTGTTTTTGATGCAGCATCATGATCCGATAAATAAGAGAATACAGACTTGCTACTACTTCTTTGACGGCAGGTTATCAGAAAGTTTTTCTTATAAGAAATATCTTTACATTTGCGATGATCATCGATTTCTTGACAACAACAGTTCAACGCCGGATATCAGAAAAAGGTGGATGAAAAAAAAAAAAATGATTTTTATTATTTTAATTTAAAGTGATTCTCCCGACGAGTTACCTTGCAAGCCATTCATTCTCACTGAATTGTTTCTACAAAATTTTATTTACCCAAAACGACTTCGTTGGGGTTTCGATAGCGAATTCTTCAGCGGCCTCACGAGATCTCAATACGCGAAAAGAGACCATTATGACACAAATATTGAGCTTTGCAATGACGAAAGTAGGTAGAAATCACAATTTCATTACTTTATTTTGACAGCGTATGCAATATACTGGCTGAGTTGCCGAAACGGGGTGCCTTGTCAAGATGGTTTTGACAAAGAATTTGGAGGTAAACATGCTTTTTTATTTTGCAATTGATTGTCGAATTTAGGCCGATTGAAGGTGGTGCAACAGAATGAGTACAAAAGAGTCGTGTGCGTGTGACCCTTTTCATTCCGTCGAAGAAGCATCATCAATCGCCACCACTGGACCTGTTGTTGGTCTCTTCATAAATTTCGTTCACTCTTATGGCAGTTCGCATAAGCAAACCTAAATTTCAAAAGAAATTGTCTCGAGTGGTCTCCGTTTGCCCAAGTCGCCGTTTGCCCAAGTGGGCAGACAAACTGGGCAGACGGCGACTTGGGCAAACGGCGACTTGGGCAAACGAAGACCACTCAATTGTCTCATTTAAAAAGAAACTTACAGAGTTTGATAGGAATTGAAAGATCCACGGGAAAGGTCATTGTTGCTTTGTAGTTGATGTCTTTTACAATTGATAAAAATCCACCATCAGAAATATATTCAATTTGGCTGTCAAGAGTCGCACCTTCCTCCCCATCAACCTTGCTTGAGAAGAGAATTTGTTGAGCATTTTTTCCAGATCGTTTTGGTCGGCTGATATCAAAAACCACATTCGACTTGTTATCCAACAGTTGAGCATGAGGATTGCATCCAAAAACCTGCCTGTAAAATTTTTCTAACGACTCTACATTCTAGAGTCTAGAATCAATGATCTTCCTACCTGAAGCTTCCAAGATGCTCTTGTCCGGCAAAAACACCGATGCAAACTTCATTCTACAAATATTCTTAGCTTATCATTGAATAAGAAGTAAACAAACCAAGCAAAAGCAGAAACCGCACCATTGGCCTTTCTCCAAAGTCTCAGTTTTCAAAGCATTTCCAAGAGAAGGATGAGTGGCCGAATATTGCACTTCGAAATCGCAACAGCCTTTATGATTGACCTTTCCACTGATTTGGAAAAGCTCTTCGTCCTGACTATTCAAAACAGTAACACTCATCTGTCCATATTTTTTCCGCGGGTCTTCTTGAAAAATCGCTTTGAATTGCGTTTCTAACAAAATATTTTCAAAAAAAAAATCTTAAGAACCTAAAAAACCTGTTTTCAAAAACTCAAATTGAGAACTCATCCTTTATCTCTCTTTGAAAATCGATCAAAATCGACTTTGTTTGTTGTCAGAATTGCGTTATTTTTACGCCCGGGTGTAATTGTGGTTTACTTTTATGAGTAGGGTGGAGAGTTAAAAAATGGGCTTTTTACTCGGTTGCTAACGATTTCTACGAAGATTGCTGACAAAGCTCATTTTTGGTATGCACTGACTACTAGTCAGTGACTACGTTGCTGAACGTCGCTCAATGTCGCCCAATGTCGCCAAATGTCGCTTAACGTCGCCGGATGTCGCCTAATGTCGCCAAATGTCGCTGAATGTCGTCATTTTATTTTAAAATAGCTCAAATAATATAGTTATTTCCAGCGACATAAGGAGGCATTAGGCGACACTCAGCGACATACAGCGACATTCGGCGACATTCGGCGATATTCGGCGACATATGTCAGTTCCAGCTCATTTTTTGAATCTGACCTTGCTTTCATAAATTTGTTTCTTTTTAATTTATTAATGAAACTTCTCCTTCCGGATCATGGGCAAATGGAAACACGGAGTAAATTATTCATGGTGCTGTATTGTCTCCAAAATACTGGTCCACTGCCAAATTCGCCGTCACAGTCCAAAGACGCTCCTTGAAAACGCTCGAACTCCTGGCCCGCGGCCCCGTTTCGCGACGTTTGAATTTTTAGAATTTGAAGAGAAAAAAATCGAAAATTCAAAATTGAAAAAAGGTTAAATCCTCCTTGAGTCGTTTTTGAATCAGCTCCGCTGATTACTTGAGCCGACTTGAGCCACTTCGATTTTTTCATTCTCTGAGAAAAAAAACACCCGATATTCGATTTTGCCCCAAATTAGACACAAAGCAATTGACTTTTTTCCTCCGTCGGAGAAAGAGGATTGAGAAAAAGAGGAGAACATGCCGAAGAAAATGATTCCCGAAGTTGAGAATAAGGTGATTACTGAAATCTTGACTGGTTCTTCTCTCATCATAAATTCTAGCTTCAAGTCCAAACAATCAACGCCGTGGCGAACCTCCAAAATCTACGTCGAAACGCGAAAAAATCAAGCATCAAATTGAAGAAATTCTTCTCTTTCAACCGCCACAAAATCCTCGAAAACGAAGAATCCTTTTCCGAATTTCCCTGAACACCAAATATAAACGGTCTCTTCCTTGATTTCAAGCAATTTATTTCAAGTTATTTACAAATAGCTTCTTATCGGCAGCTGATCGTATATTTCTTCTTGCGGGATAAACGAGGGCTTTTTAATTATTTTAATGAAGTGATAAGTTCGAGGATTAAAGCCCTTTATCTTGGAGGAAACGAAGCAGAACCAGCATAACCTGGAATCGTGTGATGGCTATAATTTGAGCGTATCGAAGTATGCTCGTAATTAACCCGCTTTGAAGAGGCTCAACCAAGTTGCTTTTTGAACAAGAAATCGACAGTCTTTGAGACCTGATCCTGAGCTCCAAGGTGGTTCATTTCCATTTGTGATAAGGGGATATTTTGAGCATCACAAAAATTTTGATTGTTTCCATACTGATTTGCTGTTGAATAAGGCTGAGTTGCGACGTAGTTCGGGTCTGGTTGCTTATGATGTTTTTCATAAGAAGAAAAGTGAATTCAAGAGGAAAAAGTATTTTCTAAAATTATTAAAAGCTTACAAAATAAATCATAAGTAAAATTCAAATCCCTTTCAAATTCAACATGTAAGTTGATCCGAAAATTGCCCAAAATTAACGATTCTTATCGAATCTTATCGTAATAAAATTCAATATAATTTTTCGAGAATGCTTTGAAAAACTATCCTTAAACTGCATGATACCAGATGTGTTCCAAATTTGTTGAAGAATATTTGATTGATTCGTATTGTTGTTGTTGCTCAAATTATTCTGCTCGAGTGGCAGCGGCTCTCGATTTTTAGACTCGCTTCCTACTCGCATATAAATGAGCGTGCCAATTATGGCGAAGGAGAATAAAACTCCGAAAGTAATCCCAACGATCAATCCTGGACGTGACTCCTCAGGTGCCAGTTCTCCGCCACGTTCCAAGTCTGCCAGCGCAGGGGATGGAATACCAGTGATTTTGGAGATTTGCTGATTGCTGCACTTGTGCATCGGGCATTCTTTCTTCAACTGGGCAGATTGGCTTAGTTGAGAATGTGGTGGCGGGTAGAAAATTGCTTCGTGAGAGCCACAACAGTCTTTGAGTCCACACATTCTAGCGTCAACTGGACTTCCGCTTCGATCAAGACAGATGCGGATTTCTTCGAGTTTTTGAGCCTCTCGACGGCGACTTGGCTCGCAAGTACAGTGGATTGAAAAGAACTGAAATAATCTTCCATTTTCCACTTTTCAAAAATCTGAGAAAGCATCAGATAGTGCTGAAAGCTCACCTTAATAGATCTGATCGCACCAAACGCTTGAGCCCGTTTAATTAACGCCTCATTTATCTGCCTAATTGTATAAGTGTTTCTCTTAATTCGGCTCGTTCCTATTTCTGTAATTGCTCAAAATAAATACTTTTTAACAATCAATTAGGAAAATCATTTAACATTTAAAGCGCAGCAAAGAGAGAAAAGCCTGTCCCTCGTGAGCTTTGATCTCTTCCAGCGCCAGAACATCGGCAATTTTGAATCGTTGGGCGATTCCTATTGTTGCTTCTTTAAAAATCGGATGAGATAATCAAAGAACAAAAATGATGACTCAGCAGAATCAGAAAAGATCGTCTGTCCGCCTTACCCCCGATTGTCAGCTTCAATTAATTTTCATTGAATAATTTCACCCGTTCCAAAATACTCATATGCATTTCTGAATCTTTCCGGTCTGATGGCTCCGAATTTGCACCAGCTCTGAGCCCAAAGCCATTCGGATCCATATTCCTCGCATCTTAGTCCTCTCTTCTCCCTGTTGTTCATATTTGGCCACTGCGAAAGGAGCTGATAGTCCAGGTTTCCAGTTTGATTTGAGCTCAGGCGGGTGTAGATGGAACAGCCTGAAACTTGGCTCGGCAATCTGTATAGAAAACCTGAGTCAGGCTTTGAAGAGCTAAAATGAAGAGCCGCAAAGCAGATCTTTAACACAGGTTGCCGATCCCAGGCCTGAACCCATCGTGTCGACTGGCCAAAAGCCCTTGATTTTCCAGCTGTTGAAATCGACGGCTTCGTCCATTGAGCATTCGCAGTCATTTTCATGCGACTCGTTTATCGCCTCACAAGTTGACTTTTGGGGATTCAAAAAGGCCCTTCGAGGAATAAGTCAGCTAAGTTTGACGTCTAAAAATGGAAAGAACGATTATCGTGGAAGAAACTTTCACGTTCTTTTTCGCTTTTAAAATCCATGACTGGGGCCATTGTAACGCGAGAACATAATAACCACGGTCTGTGTCAGCGGTGGGAAAGCTTTGAACTTTACCGTTGTGGGTTCCAGGACGGCCGATGATCTTTTCGACAGGCTGAATCATTGTCTGTTTCTTTCGAAGGTTTAATAAGAAGCATTAGTGACTCTTCCTCAAACACTCACAAGTTGTGAGTCATAACTATATTTTTGGACTTCGCGTAATACTAATTTAAAAATGTGGTTTATCCGATTACAAAAGAAAAAAATTCCCTTCTGAAAAATTTTTTTTTGTATTTTCAGCCTTTCACGGAACGTCTGCTCGACAAAAACGTATTTTTCCAAAGAGTGTAAAAATCAATAATCTTCCAAGTTCCGGCGCCATACTCTCTACGTCAGTATCAAAATCATATCTACTTCTATGCGCATTCGCTTCGGGGCTAAAAGAAATCGCGCTTCCGCCTGCCCAGTGATCCTCGCTAATGGAAGTTGTTTATGCTTCATTTGGAAAGTGAAATAACAGTTCGAAATCGGATCACCATTTTCGTCACTTGCGAAAGAACAGATTTTTTTCAATGAAGGAATAAATATGCCTGGAGAATCCTCTCATTGTCACATATAAAGACAAATTGACATTATGGTTGTTTTTGCACCCGAATGATTTTTATTGTAAAGTGCTTTTTTTATTCGATGGCTTGATTCTCTTTCATGTTGTCAATAATAAAGGCCTTAGTGTGACAGTTTTGAAAATATATTTTTCTCACGTGATTGTTGACAACTTGCGCTTTCATCAGTTTTCTGGTCGGTGCAATTATTTTCAGGTACCATCATTAATATTTTGAATTTATATGTTTGTCTCGTGACGCTCTTGCGCCATCCCATGTTCGCATATATAAAGCCAGCCCGTCGAGGAAAGTCCCACGAACTTCTCTTGAGTCTAAAAGACGATTCTCGACACGAATTATCGAAAACAACGTGAGCTCGACGTGGAACGGTCAGCTCCGCTATTCGATTTCAAGTCATCGGACGCGGGGATTAAAAGCGACTGTAACTTAAACTTTGCCGGTAGTCGAGTATTCATCTAAGTGGCGTGAAAAAAAAAATCGAAGCAAATGAAGATGATTGGACTCATAATACACTCAGTAGTATTATTACACTCAGTTACAGGCAGATTCATTACGGCCCAGAGAAGGATGTTTAATGATCATCACAAGGTAAGATCGACAATAATTTCTTGCAACGATTTCATCATTTGTCCTTTCATAACTCAATAAAACCTTATTCTAGAGAGGAAATGTCAGACAAGCAATCTACACAAATTTCCATACAAACAACCTTCGCTCTCCCCAAACCACGCCCCAATTTGTCCATTCAAAATGCCCAGAAATCATCCTTCACTCTTATCAACAGTACCTGCCGCTTTTTCCCGAATGTTCTGAAGAAGCACTTCAAATCGAAAAAGCGAGAAATGCCGTTTCTCATCTTCGATCAAGCTCGAAAAGCCAGACTCGGAAGAAACTTGTGAACGGCTGCTTGGATCTTTCAAAAAGCCGTTTTGTCAAAAATGAGGACAAGAGAAGCTGGAAGAACTACTGTTTGAGCTTTGTGGAAAATATTCAAAAAGAGCGAGATCCTTATAGGAAAACAAATGATGTTTCAAATGTTTATCGCCGCTATATTACTAATTAATCTTTTTCGATATTTCTGCTTATTTCTGTATTCTAGTAAATAAACCATTTTTCAGTAAGCTTCTGAGTAAATCCCCTCTGGTGTTTCGATGTTTATTTTTCGCAGAACGATGTAATTATGAGAGTTGTAGCGATTTTTTCGGTCAATATCAGTAATATGCAGCCAAGAGAATTGAGTAGAGAAAAAAATAGAGGAATGGCTTCTCAAATTTTTGCCAAAACTCAAACGAACCACCACTAGAACAGCAAAATGTCAATTGATTGCTTCTGTTGAAAGAACCGAATTTGCTGAAGATGGACACTCATATAAATGGGATACTTTGGCTTTCAACGGAGATTACGTTTGTGTTGGGGAAAAGGGTCTCAAAACTCTTCATTATGCGCATCCATCTCCCTTACAGAAAGAAATAAGAAAAAACAATCCGAATTTTTACAGAAAAAATATCAGTCGCTGGGATATTCTCGAAGAAAATGGTTGTTGGGTGGTCGACCGCTCGATGAAAAATGATTTTTTATCAGAAGGTGGCGAGGCATTGGTAATTACAGCAAAATTTGGAGACCTCGAGACGGCAGTTAGAGTTCAAGCATTTGATCCTTTCGTTTTCACTGATAAATTTCCTTACACGGAAATCGAGTTTGAAATTCATCTTGCCTCTGGTAAATTGGGATGAAAAAATTACAAAGACAATTATGAATTTAAGATTTCAGAAACAACCAAGAAGATGTTCGATTACATGAATTTCCTTCACATACCAATATTATTAAAAATTATGTGAACATTGAACTGTTTCATCCATTGGACGTCGAGCGCTTGGATTGTCTTGGATGGATTACAATTATGGAAAAAGGAGAGACTAATTTACGGAAACTTCTGAAGGACGGTAATTTATCGATTGAAAAGAGACGCGAAATTGCACAAGGAGTAAGATCAGCGATGGACTATTTGTACGTCAATGGCACCGATCACCTCGACCTTAAAATGCAAAATGTTGTTATGGTTAATGGGATACCCAAACTTGTTGATTTCGGGCTGGTGGAAAGTCGCCACAAAAAAATTGGTTATCGCAAGATGGGCTGCACTCGGCGTAGATCAAAATACAGATTTTCCCCCTCTATTTGTAATCATTTGCAATTTTGACAAATATGATCGTTTTTTAGTCGCTGGGACTCCCGGATTTTCATCTCAATGTCAGCTTACGAGTGGAAAAGGTTTCAATTTGGGAACAAATATATTTAGGGTTTTTCACGGAACGGCGCGGCCCGCTCTGAGGTCCATCCACGAATATTAAAAGTCTTCTATTGAAGCGAAATTTATAATTCAAAAAATGAAACCGACTAATTCAAGGGAATAGATTCATAATATCGCATTAGTTTTCCATTCGAATGCCAGAATTCGCTGTGAGACGGTTTTTCTTACTAAATTTCGATTTTTCAATCTGAGTACATCAAAATACACTCTCTATTTTCAAATATGTAAGATATAAGATGTTTAATTTTTAGCTCACAAAATTTGGGATTTCGGAAACATTCGGAAGGTGTTCAAATCGTCAGATAAGTGAGTGAAAGTGACTGCGCGCTAGTGCTTTACGCCGCTGCGCGGGACGCCCAAAAAACATTAGCGCGCGCCATAATCCCAGCGGGTGGTTTCTCTGACCTAATATCCGAAATCTGATGCGAATTACACCGGGTGATTTGCATAAACAATTTCCCGGAAGTGTCAAGCTTAGTATTTGAGATGAATTAGACGGCTTTATATCACTCGGGACAACAAAACTGATGAGATCCTTTTTTATCTTCCTTATCATTATTGCACCACCACCAGGTCAGAATTTGATAATTATTTTCACATATTTGAAATCAGCGGCTCAAGTAACACTTATTTAGAAATTTTAAGGCCCATTGAATGATATACCACTTTCCGTGAAAAACCCTAAATATATTTATTCATATTTTTTGCGAGTGGAATACTGGGTGGACGCTTCTTTATAAACCTCTTGACAAGGAAGAAAAAAAGAGAAATAAATAAACTCATCTCGGTAATATCCAGTATGCAACCTATAATTATGATTATTAAAAGGAATGCAAGGGAACTCCTATCAGAGTTTTTGAGTACAATCGGGACAGCTTCTTCGAAGACACTCCGCTTTTATCTTTGGAAAACTCGAGCGATCAATTCGCCCTCAATGACGAAGTAATGACCCAGTCTTATCAAATATCTACTTTGAAGCAGAATTTAACCAAATTCGTCAAACAGAATGTCCAAAATTTGAGCAAAAATGTTCGGGACCAAAAGCTAAGCAATCTCTGCGTTTCGTTCTCTGTCACCAATCTTATTCGATATGCGATGAAAAATGATCTAGGCTTCTTCGATCTCAATCAATCGCACAAATTTGAAAATATCATGTCTTCTCTTAACTTGGTTATCTATCCAAGAAGTATGGCTGGATTGAATTTGAATCCGAGTCAACGGGAGCTAGGAGACCAACTGTCAGATATTGAAGTTATTCTTAAACGTGTCTGCATGGGAACTTATCTGATGCCGAGCGGTTGGCATATTATCAGGATGCTTGGTCATTTTACCGATCCCCGCCCAGTTGAATCAGACTGTATTTGCAAAACAGGTTTCTTTATTAACCCTGTCCGCATATCGACCTAGGTGTAGGTTAATTTACTTTTAAACGAAATTATACTTTTGGAAAAACGACATTTCTTCACAGTTGACATTTGAAATTTGATCGTGTCCAGGAGATAGCTCAGCCTTTAATCTTTCCATTCATGTCCTTTCGAAATTTTTATCACGACTGAAAGACCCTCAAAAGCCCGACCTACGCGTAGGTCGATATGCGGGCAGGGGTGACAAATTTTTCATGCGGGCAGGGATTAAAAGATAAAATTATTCTACGGTTTTAGTTTATCTTCATCATGATTATCAATTTCACAGACCTTTGACTGTAACTGGAGTTATCTTGAGAAAAAATGAGACTTATCCGATATTCCACCAGATGACGCTCGATTCTATTCAAAACGGATGTTTTATCCTTAAGAACAGTCAATCGAGTGACTCGATGATAAGAATAAGAAGGACAGATCCATTTTACGTTCATGAAGAAGAGTACTTTCGACTTTGTCACCAGAACGAAGGAGCCTTTTATTGGCAAGACAATTCCATGGTTGAAGTCATAAGTTTTAATCAAATGGACACTGATAAATGGTATCTTCTTCCTCAAGCCTTCTCCCTAGAACTCAGACCAAGACGAATTTCCTCGTTGTTTTGGATAGCAGCGGTACCATCGGCAAAATTATCCCGTACATTAACCTGGTGGAAATACTTCAAATTTGTTCTCTTCAATGATGTTCCCGATTTTATGTTGGGAGTCTTAGAATCATGGAAACTTATAAAAGAAGACCCTCTTGCTCGCAAAAGCAATAATTTCTTTGAAATCGTTAGAAACTTCGATAATTTCAAAAATAGGGTGACAAAAGAGACACAGATGGGACTGTCAGATGCAGAGACATTCCTTGCCTTTAACGAAAAAATAAACGCTCGTTATGGATATATGGGACCGCCTTATCGAAAATTTTACAAAAAACCAAGAGTTGACTGTCGAGTACGAAATGGTGTTCTGACCATAGGACATTATCCGCTTCAAAAAGAACAAGAAGTAGTGAGACCCATTTTTCGACTCGTCTTGAATAACTGAAATCTGCCGAGTGCAGTTATTTTGTGATTTGAAATCACTGATTTCCGGACCCATAAAAGGCTTTTCGATAATCCATATCAATAAAAGAATATTTATTCATTTTTCTCATCTGAAAAAGTGTCTTCTGAATAAATGTCGACTTACTGCTCAGTTACATTGGCTCGGTGAAGTTGTGGGCGACCGCAGCGTAAAATCAGCAAAATTTAGCAAATTTTCTCATCACGAAAATGGTGTATTGTGTGTGATGGCCGCAATTTCGCGTCGCCTAATTAATCCATCAGCCTCCCTTACCTTCCGCATTTCAAGGCATTTGCATAGCTGTACATTTTCACGTCAAACGCATAAGATTTTTTCTTCCTGATTCTAGAGCAACACATTCTAGAGATACTAAATATTTTCTATGAAGACCTTTATATGGATGCTTGGCGCGATAGGAACGAGTTCAGATCATTTATGAAATTATTTTTCTATAATTCAAAAAATACGACAAATTTTTATTCAACTGAAAATTTTTGAAAGATAAGCTTACTCAAAACTCTTTATCAGGCGTTTCAAGCTTCAATCTCGACCCTACTCCACCCAACAACTACACCACCTCCACCAAGGGTTGTCCCTGTTTCTTCGATCAGAAGAAAACCACTGAATGCCCTTGCTGCGTCGATGAAAATTCCTGCCCATGCTCCGTAAGTGCCAATGCCTCCTCTTCCTAGATGGATTATTTTTCAAATTCAGTGGCCTTACGACGACAGATGTGGAGATTGCAATACCGGACACGGTTGCCTTCCGGAGCCGATCAATATTGATACGCTTTCCGATCGCGGTTGCACTTGTCAGGATGACGATATTTTCGGGCTAGAGAAGGGGAGCTGCGCTTGTTGTACACCCTACAGTCATTCCGGGAAGCACATTTGTCCCTGCGCATATCCTTATCATGTAAGCCTGAAGCTCGAAAATAACCTCCTAAATCTCTATCTTAGCATATGTGTGTCGAGTGTAGTGAAGCCCAAAGCTGCGGAAACCACATCGAAGCCGCTCTGTACCAAGAACTGTACCCAAACTACTTCAAACCAGTCCAAGCATCGGAATCACTAATGCTCTCTGACGTGAGATCCGATCGTGAAATCGCGCCGGGGTCGAACATCTGCCACGAAATTCCACACAAGATCGAGAACGGTTTTACAATTTGCGACAAAATCCCAAAAAAGGGAAAAGCATGCGTGTTCTTCTGCGATGATGGTTACCAAAGAGTGGGAAATTACAGGAACGAGTTTTTGATGTAAAGACTTTTTGAGACTTCTTCAGCTTTTATTAATCTTTTCTGATAGTTTTATCATCGCCATAAACTTGATAATAGGGCGGAGTGTGTGTGCTCGGAGCTGGGATGTAACTGGAATGATGAGCCGGGCTATGAGATGCCGTATTGCGTCAAGGATGCCTGTGCAGATGAGCCTTGTCAGAATGGAGGCACTTGCAAAGCTGATGAAGGAAATGTTTGTATAGAAGCATTGATATTTTGACTATTGTAACTTACAATTTGTAAGTATCAAAGAAAATCAGTTGAACAACATGAAAAAGATGGATTTACTTGCGATTGTAAGCCGGGATACCTTGGAACTCTCTGCGAAGTCGAACTGATGGCGGATTTTGTCGGCGGTCTATTCGGCGATGATATCATGGAAGAACCAATGAGCTCACCAACCGACGCTCCTGAGTTCCGTGTCGTTTCTCCTCAGACCACGACTACTGCTGTAAGAGAATATGACGAAGAGGAAGAGGAGGAGGAAGAGGAAGATGTTCAATCGACTTCTGTTGGGCGATTCGCGAGACGAAAAAAATTCGGAAAGAATAAAGATCGAAATACGTGCCCGCCCTTGGACGGCGGCGAAAATGGAGGACTCAGGTGCACAAAAGGCTTTAAAAAATCTTCTACTTGTCATTTGGTCTGCGATGACGGTTTTACTCCGTCAAATACGAAGTTCTCTAAGCCCAGATGCATCTGCAATTCCAATAGGAAAGAGCGCGAAAACCATTTCTCTTCAATAATTGTTATGATAATTTTCAAGCTCGAAGAAAGATGCTCCTGGGACCGGTCAAACTCGTTCAAGCTGGCAAAATGCTCCGCTTGGCCAAAACCAGAAGGCGAAAACGTGAACGACGCGATTGTCAACAGCGATAATAGTCAACGAATGTTCGTTCAACAAACGAAATGCCCTCCTCTGACAAAACCGGCGAATGGAAATGTTCGTTGCACAGAAGTCAACAAAGATGGTAATGAAGCATGTCAAGGCAGCTTTATAAAGAAATTTAAGGGTCTCGATGTCAGTTTTTGTGCAAATCTGGATTCAATGTTTCGAAAGCTAGATTTGCCCGCTGCGCATGTGTTGATGGCAAATGCATGTGGAACAAGGTTCGTTTTGGCTCTAGAAAAAGGCGTGAAGAAATTTTTTAGGAAGAATTTTACACAGAACCACTTTGCGAGGACAAAGATGAATGTGCTCTTGGAAATCATAATTGCGCCGCGGACATGCATTGTGTCAACAAACCTGGATCATTTTTTGTGAGTTTTCATGATAAAAGAAAGTCATTTCTTGACAATTTTTCAAGTGCGTGGAATCTGATTCCCAAGTCCTCCGACGATGCGATTCAAATCCTTGCGGACGAGCTGGAATTTGCTCGATAACTGCCGCGGGCTACAGATGCGAGTGCAAAGATGGATTCAGATTTGCTCAAGGAACATGTGTCGATGTTGACGAATGCGAAGTTGGCATTGATAAGTGTTTTTCAAAAGCGATGTGTGAGAACTTCGAAGGTGGCTATTCGTGCAGATGCCCATCCGGCTATGGTGATGGTTTGACCGAGTGCTTAGGGTCAAAGTAAGCGACTTTTCCAAAATTATCCACCGAAAATGAACTTCAGGGACGATTTGACTTGCACTCAAAAACGCAGTTTCCGAACAAATCCCCTCCCAAACTACGTTGCTCCCAACGCTTGCTGCCTTTCCACCCCGTTCAACACCGATTTGAACTGCTGCTGCGAAGGAAAATTGCACCCAATTGATGGCTGCCCCTGCATGGCCGCCGATTATTCTGACATTCAATATTAACGACTCATTGCATCCACTGTTTCACTTCGAAATAAATTCGGAGTACATGAAGAAAAAAAAATATTTTTCTCTCTTATTGTAAATAATTTCAATAAACGTTTTCTTCCTTATAAAAATTCTGGATTTATTTCAAAAGCCTTTAAAAGTACAGATTTTCATTGAATGGGCAGTGTAAATATGATGCAGAAAGCAGTTAATGTTTTACTGTCGTCTGTGATAATGCGAAAATTTTTCAATTCTATATCCATTTTTATCGTCGCCGACGACTTTTCTGTAGCTCTGTTCTCGGATCATTTGCTGGATCTTAGCGTACTGTCGCTGACTCAACCCTCGATTTCGTTGAGTAAACCAGCCGCGGGGGCCGCGTTTCAAGTGACTGTGGCTGGCTCTTCGTACTGGAGTGGCGGCGATGATGGCGAGGAGGGTCGAAAGGATGAAGAAGATTTTCTGGAAGTTCATTTTTTCGTTTCTTTTCTTTGGTTTTTCAGTTTTCGAAGTTTTTTGGTTCAAGATTTTTTTGGTTCTGGTTTACTCGAGTTTCGAGCTCGTTTATAAATGCGTCAGGGATCAATATAATTAATCAAGAATATTTTCGCGAGAAGAATATCACGGTCATTTTCAATACGTCTCAATAGAATCATCCGACGACCAGCTTACAGAGATCAACGAGGACAATGGCAGAAGTCAAGTGATTTCCACTGATCAATAATTTAACAGTTAACGGAAACTATAATTGTGGTTTCATTCAAGAAGAATTTTATTTTCTGAATTCTAGAAAGGTCAATCATGAGCATCTTCGTCTTCGATCTTTTTCTGTTGGCAACTTTCTTCGGTGTCTCCATCTCTTAGTGATCATATCAGTAGGAAGCTGAGGAAAATTATTGATTCTTGTTTTTTGAGGAATTTTCTAACAGAAACTTTGCTTTGATTTATTTTCCAGAAAGTATTAGAGATCAGTGAATGTGTTGAATTTGTACCAGCCCCGATGGTGGAAACGAAGACATTTGACGGCATTGTCGATCTCAGATTGTTCTCGGCGCTTGAAATCTATGACTTGAGTCATGTCACGATTGAGATTCGGCGCAAGAAAGACAGGCCAGATGTATCGAATTCGACCCGGGTTGCTTCTTACCCGGTGATAAACCGCTAAAATATATGTTTTGATAAAACCCCGTGAAGATCGCTACCATTTATTTTTCCATCGGAAAAGTGTTCCATCAAGTTTCCGAAATTAATAAATAAGCAATTTACCATTGGCTTTACCGGGTACCACTCGCCGTCATACTGTATTTCAAGGCCACCGGTAGAATCTTGCTTTAAAATCGTCATCATACAGTTGTCATAATGGGACTTTGTTCCCATTTTTCCAGGGGGAGTTTTCTCATAAAAAAGAGCATCAAGGATAGCTCCATTGGGATCATTATTGTCGAGCAAACTGCCAGAAGTGAAGTTGAGGGCTTCTTCACAGAGCTCTAGAAGAGAATAGCCGAGATTGGAAATTGCTTTCAAATAATCATAGAAGACGGTGTCAACTTTGTTTTCGTCCAATTTGATCGAGTTGTTTCTATTCAAATATAATGCCTTTTACGCTAATAAATACAAACGGTGAATTTTTGAAAGCTTCATCTTGAAAAATATCGCCCTCAGCTAACAACTTCCCTTGAGAATCCTTGATTTTCATCCTTTGCTCGTCTGTTGCTCTGTAAATATTCTCAGAAGCAAGCTCCAAGCGTTTGGTAAGAGTTTCCGGAACATCGTGATTTTTGAGGATAAAGAAACCGAATTCGCTAAGTGCCCTAAAAAGTTGCTCTCGAGTTTCTTCATCTCTCTTTTTTAAGAGCTCAAAATCGATAATTGGAATTTCAAAGGATAAATACTCTGACATGGCGTTTTTTTTAAAATTGACTTCCGGTTTGACTCTATCAAGGAAAATAGCGATCTACAGTGATGATCCAAGTAGAGACCTTACAATAGGGTCCAGGTTGGAATTTGACTCGGAAGGAAGGTTTGGGTTTAAAGGTTGTAAAAGCAGTCGTTATAAGTAAAAGTGGCTGGTCCCGCTGAGATCTGTCCCTCTGGTGGCGCGTACCACTCGCGTGTCACCGATAATTGCTCAGCACTTTGCGCTCCGAGCAGATTTCAGATTGAAGAGAGAATTTGGCCTTTAGGGTCAAGCAAGACTCAGTTTTCATCATGTCATTTGTCAACAAAATTTATAGAACGCTATCAGGTTAGATCAAGTTTTTGAAAAACAAAAAAAAATCAACAAGAAAATCCAATTTTTTTTTGTGAAAAAAATCAAAAAAAAAATTAAATTTTTGCGAAAATTATTGCGTAAGCATCTTTAAAATGCACTTATCAACCTGCTGTTTTACTATAAAAAATTGGTAATTAAATTAAAGAATATTTTTGAAATTATCATTTATGCATTTTTAAAGCAAAAAAATACATATGTATATGTTTATGTTCTATAGAAGACGTCATTACTGTCAGCTTTATGCTGAAAAATAAGCAATTTGAGTCATTTCTACACATATCAAAAAGATTCAAACGGATTATCATCAATTTTTCAGGTCGATCAAAAACGAATTGCATCGCCGTCCTCCTCCCGTTGACATCAGTCGTCGACGAAGCCGTCCTGGATAATCGCTCAAAGGGAAATTGTCAAATTGTCTAGGAATCTAGTAATTAAGTAGAGATCGTTAAGTATTTTTTTCAAATGGACTTAACTTCCGTAGAAGCATTAATAAGCCACTAAAGAGGCTACAAAAGTATTTTATGATTGTCGCGAGATTGGCATCTCGCCCTCGCTGTCTGAGGAATGTTATTCCTTTTCGAGGCCTCGTTAAAAATATTCAGCAAGGGCGCTCTTTTTGTTTCGATAACTGAGTTTCGATAACAATGAAGAATAAATTGACACCTGCATTTCGTTATTTTCAAATAACTTATCAAAAAAACGAAGTCTGTTAATAGGGACTACCTTTGAAATTATTCGTTAAAAAAAATAAGAATATAAAATAATCATAATTATAAAAAATATCATTTTAAAAAAATATTTTTTAAAATTTTTAATTTTTTTAAAAAAATTATTTAAAAAATTAATTATCAAAAATATTAATGAATAATTTAAAAATATTTTTGACAAAATTATCACAAAATTTTTAAAATTTGTAAAAAATATTTTTTGTATAATTTCTTTTGACAACACAAAATAGGAATTCACGGCCTACAAAAAAGAGCTAGAAAATGACATGGTTCGAATCCTGGAACAAGCGCCTGGATTAGCCCGAGTTCACATTTTGAACTTTCAAACGACCGATCAGGGCTCAGAAGCCAGGTTGTACTTATGGCTCGTAAAAGCACGATTTTGCGTATTTCTCCGCAGAAAAATCGTCCCAAATGAAGCTTGAATGTCAAAAATTATTTCAGGTTGAATTTCTTCTTTTACAAAAAAGACACCGAAGAGGCCGAGGAAAAATCGTCACTGACCCTTTCCGAGGCTTTGACACGCTGGTTCGAGCTTGAATGGGTGAAAGAAAATTACGAAGCAGCGAGCAAATTTGGCACTCCCAAAGTTATGGCAGGTAATCCTTGTTGATTTATTCGGCGAGATTGTATTAAAGCCGTTCATTAGTTGAGGACTTAAAAGCGGAAGAAATTGTCAAGGAAGCGATCAAGGAGGCGCAGGAAAAAGCAGCCGATTCCTCAAGTTCTTCAAGCAGCGACGACTCAAAATCATGTTGTGAAGACCAAGCTGCTCAGGAAAATGACAAAAATTTTGTCCTAAAAATAATTAACCACTTTCAATTATTTCAAATATTGTTGAAATTGGCATCCAAAAAAGGAACCTGAAGAAAATACCGAGCCCGTTCCCGAGCAAAAGTCTGAACCCGAGCAAGCAATCGTCGCTGAACCAACACAAACCTCTGAGCCCGAGCCTGTGCCAGCCGAACCAGAACCAAAACAGCAAGAAGAAGCCGAACCAGAGCAAGAAACACAAGAAACTCAAGAACAAGAAGCCGTCAAATGCGATTCAAAATCATCATCAAACTCTTCGTTGTCTTCAAATTCCTCCGGGAGCTCTAAAAAATCCCAGAAACTATCATTTCTAAAAAGAGATTGGCTAGCTTGCTGTGGAACCAAGGAACCAGCGGCGCCAGTTCAAGAAAAAGCAGTAGAAGAGAAAATTGAAGAAAATGTAAATTTTGTAGTTATTTGCTACTTATTTCTTGAGCGAATTTTTCAGGTCGAAGAATCCCCAGAAATAGAGCCAAAGAAACCGTCTTTTTTCCAGAAAGATTGGTTCGCCTGCTGCAGCGGTGAGAAAAAAGAAGATCTAGAAGGAAACAAGCAACCAGAAGAAAATGGAAAGCCCGAAGTTTTGCAAAAACTCGACGAAGCAGTCGAAGATCTTCAAAAGACCCAAGAACCAGAAGCAGCCCAAGAGCAGGAAAAATCAGAAGAAATGGTAAAAACTGAAGAACCAGAGAAACAAGAGCCCGAACAAGAGCCAGAACCAGAACAAGAAACGAAAGATATAGAAGTTGCTGAAAATGCCCCAGAAAAAGAACAACCCAAAAAAGGTTATTGCATTACTGTCATCTCTTCCTCAATTTAATCATCTTTTAGAGTCGACCTTTGGCTGTTGCGAGCTCAGAAAACTCATCCGAAAAACAGAGCAAAAATCAGAAGAACCGAAAGCCAAAGAACCAGAAGGACCAGAACCAGCTGCACCGGAAAAAGAAGAAAGCAAAACAAAAATGACCTGCTGCGGACTCCGCCAAAAATCAAGCCCCGCTACTGACAAGCGAGAACAATCAGAAGACCCGGTAGAACAGAAAGAATCGCTCATCGAAGTTCCCAAACTCGAACCAATCAAAGAAGAATCAAGAACCGGATCGGAGCAGCTAAAAACCGACATCGCATCTGAGCAAGTTCAAAAATCTCAAACCACCAAATAATGCCTCAGTTTACCACTTCTTTTTTCCTACTAACTCGTTTTTTAAAAAATAAATATAAAAAAATCTCAAAAAAATCCGCTTTTTCAATGACGCGTGGCAAAAAACAGTTCATCATCGATTTTGAATTTGATGAATAATTTGCTTTTTATGCGATTTAAAATTCACCATCGTCTCTTTTTCAACCGTCATAAACCTCTCGTAATTTCACGTAATTAGAAACTCCTCTAGAATTTTAACCACCAGGCAGTCCAAATAACTTTCTTGCCGCTAAATTATATCTTTTCCAAATTTTTCTGTCTTTTATCTTTCTAGGAGGATACTCGATTCGATTTGATAAGTTGCTATTACAACATAACGGTAACGGACGTGTCTCGCTTTTATATCTCTATTTGAGTTGCCACGAGTTCAGACGGTTGAAGTTCAGAAAGGGTTAAAAAGGCTGAAAAAAGCTTCAATTAACAGGAAAAATAACAAAATAAGGGGGGAACAAAGGAGGGTAAGCGCTGGGCGGGGAACCCTGTTTACAAAACCTGAGTCAGGCTACATATAAAGAAGCTTCAAATCCTGACTCAGGGTTAGGTCTGGGCAGGGAACCCTGTCTAGAAAATCTGAGTCAGGCAAAATTTAAAGCTGCTTCAAATCCTGACTCAGGGTAAAGTCTTGGCGGGTTACCCTGTCTTGAAAACCTCAGTCAGGCTTTACAGAAAACTGCTGCAAACCCTGACTCAGTGTTTCTAGACTGGTCTTTCACAGGTCAGTTTTTGTTAATAATTTATTGGCCGATCTTATAAACTATAATTCATTATGCTACAACATACCTATTTGCTAATTTTTGAGAGCGGGAAATAACAACAAGAGTGCGGAATTTAGTAACTTGAAGAATCTAACTTACAAAAATACGAACAAGGATTGAGGCTTCAAAGCAAAATTCTCCACTCCAACTCTCTTTTCTTTGAAAAAAGAGTTTTTTCCCTTTGAAGATAATAGATTTGTTAAATCTTCGGCGAAATATTGAGCATGTTCCGTGGCGCGCCACGTGACAGCGCTTGAATGCGCGCGGGGCCAAGATCGCTCCTTGACCCAGCATGCTCGAAAATACCGATGCCAGCCGTTTAGACATTTCAGTGAACGTTTTCGCTTCCGTTTTTACTCACCGCCTAAAAATGTTCTCTTTTACCGAGATTTTTGACCTTTCAAAACAACGTTTTTTGAATTGCACGTGAGCTGGTCGAATACTGATAACCTTTTTGGTCGGAAAAGATAAGAAACAGGAAAAAATAAATAAAAAAATTCTTTACTTTTATTTAATTTTTTTATAAAAGAAAATTATTTTAAAAAGCGATAGTAAAATTGAAAATCTGGCTTTAAAGCCAATCAAAGGGTTCATTTTTGTTTCCTAGCCAATCAAAAGGGCGGAAACTTGGAATTTTTATATGAACTTCTTTTTATCATTTTTGAGCATCTTTAATTTTGAAGAGTGGTTTAGAAAAGCGCGTGGAAATCAAAACTCTGAGCTTCTCTCAAAAAACGAGTTTCCCACTTTGTCCAAACGGTGGCTTCCGATTACCGGAAATCTCGAATAATAAATCATGCAGATTATTATGCAGGCAATCAACGATGTCATGGCCGAGGTCACGTTCTAAACAACCTTTCTTTTTTTACAAATTCTGCAAATTACAAATTTTAAAATTTAATTAATTGAATCGAAAAATTGACGATTGGCTTGGAGGTTCCACGAAATTGAACACGAATGAAAAGAAGAAGAAGCGTAAGTCAATGATTATAATGGACTTGTGATTTGTTGAGCTTAGGGGTGTTCCTCGAAGCTGAAGCAGCAATTTGGCACGGACGGCGGCAAAGCGGATAACAGGCGGCTGCAAAGACCGATCGCCACCCGCTGATCAAATATTCCACCAAAGCGCTATTTTTTCACTGACTTGGCGTTTTTTAATGAATAATAGCTCTCAAAAATTTTCATTTGAAATGAATTTAGAATAATGAATAATCATGTATAAAGAGTTAATTTGAAACTTCATTTTTTTAAAATATGAAATAAAATTGGGGATCGAAAATTTCATTCACTTTTATGGTTTTTCTTTTTTTTTGAAGAATGAATTTCGATAAAATTTTGTTGAGCAAAATTAACCTTATCCTCGAAAAAGCAACTTCCGGAAGTCCTAGTGGCCAGCCGCGAAACAGTTAATCCAATAATCATTGTCTCCCTTATCCTCGAAAATTCGTGCTTCCTCTGAGGGCGCTGTTCCGCGGCCCGTTCCGCGCGGAACTTCGACGCTGCGTCGAGTTAAAGAACTGTCTCCTGAAGCTCTACCATCTTCAACTGAAACTTTTTGAAAGGAAAAGAGAAAAATCGAAAGCAGAATTTTCGATTATGAAGATTTCAAATTTTATAGCATTGTGTATTTCATTTGCAGCGGGAAAACGAGAGTATCGGATTCGTCAGAGATCGCTAAAGGAGGTCAAAGGTAATATCAAATCGTCTCAAATTGCTAAAAAAGAGCCGATTGCGGCTTTCTTTTCGTAAAAATTGGACCTCGACAAAGCCGCGCGCGGCTTTTTGTCAAGAAAGTAACTGTTGGAGCGAAAAGATTCGGGTCGAATATGTTTTTTTTCGAGTCGAAAGCCGCAATAAGCTATTTTTGGATCGAAAGCCGCGCGCGGCTTTTTTGGAGTTTTTATTCGATCAAGAAATACCAAAACTAGTCACTAAAGGTCTTCGTTATTCATTTTTTGTATTCTTTAACCAATAGATCTTCATAAATCACATTCATTTCTAGTGAAACGAGACGGGCTGATGTACCAACCAGCTGGAGGCATGAACATTCTACAAAGAAGCACAAAATTTCTCAAACGAAACGGAAAAGTCAAAACTGGCGAAGTCGACAACATCAAGGTCCTCACTCAAGGAACGGTCTTATTTTGAAAAAAGGTCAAACGAACAACCTCTTATTCTCGCACCCTGACCTTGAGCTACTTTTCTAAGCATTAGTGAAGCAAACTCTGGGTAAATTATCTTTCTGGTCAATAGAAAAATGACAAATGTTACGTTTTTCGAGAATTTCTAACAGAATTTTTCAGATGATTTTTTTTCTAAAGCGAAAATTGTTCAATAAAAAAAGACCTCTTTTCCAGCTGATAAAGACGTTCTGGTGGCATCTGCGAATTTGCGTCGCGCGGCCGTAAAGCCCCGTCCCGCAAATATGAAATATGTGACTTGGGATGAAAGGTAACTCTTCCGCTGATAACTCAGATTCCCAAAATCTGATCCAGCTTCTTGCTCATTTACTCGCTCAATCATCTAACGGAACACTTGTGTTCAAACCAAACAGAATTACGAGCAATCAATCAGTTTTGCTCAATTTATCCTTACACGTTCTTTCTTGTTTCAAAATGTATCCAAATCGAGAAGCCGCTTGCGGCTTTGAGCAAAATGAAACAATAAGCCGTGCCTCGCGCGGCTTAAGAATTTCAATTTCAGTTTCGAGTATTGCGGCTTCGAGATAATTAAAATTTTGAAACCGCGCAGAGCGCGGCTAATTGTTTTGTTTCGCTCGAAGCCGCAAGCGGCTTCTCGATCTGAATCTATAAAAAATCTTTTTTAAAATTATCTTTGACAAAAAATTTTGAAACTTTTTTAGCCTTGCCTCATCCGCAGCAGAACACGCTCGTCGATGCCAATTTGGCCATTCGACAGCCGACCAGCTTCGCCACTCGAAATGGGGCTACACGATTGGAGAAAACATCGCGGTCTTTAGAGGCCCAAAGACCTTCGAAACGGACCATTTCGTCTGGGTCACTGATGGTTTTTACGACGAGCGAAAATACTACAACTACGAAACGGGCCATTGCGAAGCGCAATGCGGCCATTACGAAGTTCTCGTTCACGCCGAACAGGAAGGCTTTTCATCTCAAATTAAACGTTTCAGGAAATTTTTGAAGCTAAATTGGATGTCTCAAAATTCTTTTATAAACCGAGCCAAAAAAATCCCTTTCTGGTTATTTTCGGAGAAAATTTATTTAAACAATTTATAAAATTATTTTCTCAATAAAAAACGCGTATAAAAAGCTTCTCAGGAAAAAATGGGCTGCGCGGTCTCAAGTTGCACCTCAGTCGTCGACGCGTTCATGAAGCTGAGCCGGGTTGAGCTCGGAGAGAACCCCTTTCACGTTGTGGTTTGCCACTACGCACCTGTCGTCATGACGCCAAGTTTATACGAGGTAAGTTAAATTAAATATACTAATACGCGCGATAAGAACAGCCTGTTTTCATAAATGACCGATAAAACTGAGCGATAAATTAGCATCTCACGCGTTTTTCGATCCAATTTTTGACACAAAAAATTGCCTTAAAAATCAAGATTTCTCTAGAATTATCGCTCGAAAATCGAAAAGTCGCTTACGGCTTTGAGTTTGAAAAAAAGGAGCCGCGCAAAGCGCGGCTTTAATTTTCATCCGACTCGAAGCCGCAAGCGGCTTCTCGATTTTTAGCAAAAATTCTAGAGAAACCTAGAGAAAGAAGGAAATTTTCAATAATTTCTTCAGAAAGGTGGTTTCTGCGGAAAATGCCCAAGAGGTTGGAACGGTGGTTGTATTGCAGGACTTTGTACTTCAGAAAGGCAAGGCTCACGAAAACAAGAAATCAGAATTTCGCAAAAGTCGTTGACATTTACAAGCTCGGACTATCTTGAAAAGTGTCAGGCGCAATTTGCAATTGTGAGAGAATGCGAATCCGAAAGTGTCCACCTGTCGTTGTTTTCGTGAGCGTTTATAAAGTGAACCTGCTCCGGCGCCGCCAGCGCGGCTTATCGCCGGCATTCGCACGGACTCCGGATTGACTGACCATGATTTCGACAGGTAAACACAAAGAAAACATGTTAGAAATTTCTAGAAAAAAAAATTTTTTTTTGATTATTCACATCGAGAAGCAGCTTGCGGCTTCGAGTCAAAAATTTTAAAAAGCCGCGGCTCAGCGCGGATTTTTTTCTATAAAACTCGAAGCCGCAAACGGCTTCTCGATTTGATTAGCTTACCTGTTTCAGATCCGTCTTTGAATGGTCCGAATGGTCATCCTGCACCCGAACCTGCGGAATCGGAATCAAATGGCGTTTCCGAATGTGCGAAGGTTGCCAAGGCCCCGAAGGTGAGATGCAGCAATGCCGAGTCGCTCTCTGCCCAGCGAGCTCTTCAAGCTCTTCAACAGCGGTTGCTTCGAAGCCGAAGTTTTTGAGCTGGTCGAATTGGTCGGCTTGTGATAAAACTTGCGGATCAGGTAGGAGGATTAGAAATAGAAAGTGTAGCAAGCCGTGGGGATGCTCTGGGGTAAGTGCTGAGGCGGAATCGTGCTGGGCTGGAATGTGCAACTCTTGGGGAGCCTGGGGAAGTTGGAATCAGGAAAAGGGTTGAAAAAATTTTTTTCGGCAAGATCTTTTTATCGGGCAATTTTCGACTCGAAATAGTGCAACGTCAAATGTGGCTCTGGAACTCAAACTCGAACTCGAATTTGCGTTGGTGGCAATTCTTGCGCTGGTCCTCGATCTGAAACGAAAATTTGCGATCGACCATGTTCCACTTCGGCTCCAGCTGGTTTCTTGGCAAGAGGGTTGGCGACATTGAATGGCAACTGCGCTTTTGATATGAAGAGAAGAGAGCTTGAGTGCAAAGGAAAGCGGATTTTCTTCCTTGATATCATGAAAAAAATTGAAAAATAATATTTTTTCGGTGAGATTATCCGGAATCAAGGAAGAAAATCCCAAAAAAGCGAGTAATCTTGAACATATTCCTCCTTTTGAGCGCGATTTTGCTAGCCGACAAGGAAAACAACAACGAATCAAGCTCATGAAAAATCTCAACTTCGAAGGAAACGCCATAGAAGATCTCGGACACCTCAATGGCTATTGCAAGTTTGCGAAGGGAAAGGTAACCATTCATCTCATTTTTCACCTTTTCAAATTATGCTTTTTGAAGATCGACACGATCAATCTCGCGAAAAACAAGCTAAAATCTCTCCGCGCCGCCGATTTCAGCTCTTGTCGCCAAATCAGGGAGCTGAATATTTCAGAAAATCCACTTTCTTCACTCGATATTGCAGCTTTCAAAAACATCAGAAAGCTATCAAAGCTTGTTGTTTCCAAAGATTTATCTAGCTGCTGGGGCATTCAAGGTAAAAATTCGGAAAAATATCTTCAGAAACTAACTTTTCAAAGATGTTGCTGATCTAATGATGCTTTCCAATCGGCTTGGAATGCAACTTGAAGTTGTATAATAAAAGCTCAAGGAGCGTTTTCTGTATATTGCAAAACCTGTCACTGTAAATTTCAAAATCCGTCATTCCCAATACAGTCCAAAACTTATTATTTGATGTTGATTTCTCAAACACAAAGAAACTTTTATTGAAAATTAAGTTTGATAATTTACTTGATAGTCTGAATCTTAGATGCGGCTGATCATCCCTTGGGGAGGAAGAGCTCGCTAAGCGCGATTATTTAGTTTCCAACTTTTTAAATTTTTAATTTGGCACTTCAAGATTCCCCGCCTTTTCTTCTTCTCGGGCTCCGGTTTACAGATATTTTGCCGCAAAAGCAAGAATTAAAGAGAAAACCGCTTCCTTCAATTAAATGTCTCAAGGTATATTTGAATTTTTGGTCTCAGCATCAATAAAGCTTGTTAAGACTTGGAGCTAGAATGGGACGATCACGAGACATGTACAGATTTGGTCGTTGGCTCTGTTTTTTCACCGCGAAATTCGACAATAGAGCAATCTTTTTTTGAAAATCCGATGACGCCAAATGAGCTTATGAAGATCCTCAGGGAGATCACCCTCTGTAAGTTCATCCTATGTCAGAATGAGTCATCATATTAATACTGGTCTAATAATAGCTGCTGACACGCCGCCGACGACGATAATGAGATCGCTGAAGAAACTCAATTTACTGTCACATACTGAGATTCTTTTATGAGAAGGAAAAAAACAATGAAAAGGATACCGCGAAGACCAAAGATTATGGCAAATTTTCGAATTGGGATTTTGAGCAAATTTTCGAGAAAACTTCTGTCTAAATCATCGGTCTTTGCGGTATCTAATTCGTGAAAAAATAAATTTTATGAAGATTTCGACAAAATCGACAAATCTTCCATTTTTTTCTGTCAATTTTAAATTCAACAATCTGACCATTTTTCTCATTCAAAAATCATCCCTTCTCGGTTGCGGGACTCTTCATTATTTTTCAGAGAACGAGTGCGCTTTATGAATTTATAATCTGCTGTTTTCGATCACAACGAATTGTGATATAGATTTTTTGTTCTGAAGAGATGACAGGAATTCTTACGCTCATTTGTTTACTCGGCCGCTCACGCTTTTGCAAAAAATAAAACAAATTCGTTCTTTGCGCTCTGATTATGACGATCTTGGTAAATTGAGTTATAAGTAGCGGCATTTTTAACTAGTCAACATGAATAGAGACAACTGCGAATACTATTCGCCGAATAGAGAGATTCGGCGATTTTTGAAATCAAGGAAGAGATTTTTTCGAAGAATAATTTTGATATTTTGAAATTAACTGATAGTCATTACTGCTACCTTATAGTCATAAGACCTGAAGAAAGAATGGAAAATAAATTAATAAAAAGCCAATTTTAAATTCCCTTTTTTATTTTTTTTTTCGGAATTTTGGTAAAATAGCAATTTATAACGCACAAAATCTGTCTTTTCGAGAAAGATCTTGAATCTCTTTCTTTGACATTTTCCTTTATTCTTGCGGTTTCAAATTTGCATCAAAACACCGTCGACGACACGCGATACGCCCATCTTTCAATATGTCGCCATGAACTTGCATTAAAAATGCACTAAAATGAACTTCAATAATCTACCCTGTTTTCAGGTCTTTTGTCTCTTAGATGAGCTGAGCCTTCCTTTCTTCGACCTGTTTTTTCTTTGCATGTCCATTAATCTAATTACACCTGGCGCATTCTAAGGGAGAATTTTTAGACAAGAACTGATGTGATCGTATAGAGAAAATTTCCCGAAAAAGAAGAAATGAGAAAAACAAACTAGAAAATTTGAAAAATAATGGAATCAACCATCAAAAATGGTAAGAAAATTTAGCTTTTCAGTAAAAGGGTGGGCAAAATCTTCAAAATCATTGGTGACAAGGGGTTATGGTCTTCTCTCAGCCAATCAAAAGCCAGTATAGTTTGTGTCAGCCAATCACAGGCGAGAAAACCCTAGCCTTGAGGCCCAAGAACTCCCTCGATCACCCAAGGTTTTGCCAACCCTAGTTATGGTATTTTCGATTTGATCAATTTTAACGGTCTTTTTTCAGAAGAGCTACTAAATTCACAGATTTATCTGAATGCAACTGTACAAAATTACGAGCTTGCAGGTAAATTTAAAACAATCGACCCTCTTTAACTTATTTTTAGCTTCAATTCTTCCATTCTTACTGGTGTTCGGTGGCGTAATAATTTTATTCTTAGGATTGTGCATTTACTTAACTTGCGTTTGCCCAAGGATCGTTTTTTCTCATTCGCTCAGCGCTTTGAAAAAGCGAGTTCAAGAAGCGGAATCGTTGATTTTGTTAACCCTGACTGATCTGGGGTTGCGAAATGACTCGGAAGGAAAAACAAAGCAGCGTTTTGAGAAAAAGCACAAAAAGCTTCATTCGTGACTTGAGCCTAGAGACGAAATCAAACGGCTCAGAGGACTCAGATGATGAGTCGGGAACAATGACGACGGACCTTAATTCTTCAGAAGCGTGTAAGTTCAATCGATTTTCTTCAAGTGACCTTTTGACGACGAATCAAACTGGAAATAGAAAATTATGATCAGTACTGAAAATGTCACGAATGTCACGAATGTCTAAAATGTCAGAATGTCACAAATGTCAGAATAACACAAATCTCAGAATATCACAGATGTCGCGAATGTCACAAATGTCACGAATGTCACAAATGTCACGAATGTCACAAATGTCGCGAATGTTAACGACACAATACGAATGTTATCAAAAAGAAACATTTTCTCGTGACATTGGTGACATTTGTGACACTTTTTTGCACTGTCAAAAATGGTTTTTTCTTCGTAAAGATCCCTTTTTAAAATCTCTTTTTATTTTCGAGAATGATCGAGAATTTCTTCCGCCGTGTGGAATCTAAAACAAGTTGAGTGTCCACAAACGTGATTATTTTTCGCGAGTAGCTGGCTTGAAAAGAAAGCGGAATCTGATTTAGGTAGCATTAGGGTTAAAGAGCTCCGTGTTCTGCGGCGCGGCGCCAGAATCCAAGACTGAACTTTGCGGCCATGTCAAAGGCCGAATTTTTCACTTCTTCTAACGAAAAATATGCAAGTTGGGGCAAAATCTTTTTCGCTGGAAAAGGTCAAAAAATGGTCGAAAATCGTCGAAATCAGTGTAATTTCTTCTTTTTAGATGTTCAAGGAACAGAGATGAAATTCCTCGCCTAGACGATTCAATCTGCTTCTTCAATTTATGAAGCTTCTTCAATCATCAAATTTCTGTCTAAAAAACGAAAAATATACGTCTAGGTCGTAAAATAGAGCTTGTCGATGAGGAAGCGTCAGAAACCGACTAAAAATTTCGACAAATTTTTCGTGGGCGGCTACTCCGCTGCCGAATCAAAGCTTTTGATTGGTTGAAAATTTCCACGCAAAATTTGTCGAAATATTCTGCTCCTGACACCTCCCCTTGTCAACCTGTATAGAAAACCTGAGTCAGGGTCAAAAAAGCCGCGACGTTTTTATTCAAGCTCTCGTTAGACCCTGACTCAGGTTTTCTTCACAGGCTGTTGCGCCCAGCCGGATTCTTCTTATGAAATTTTTTTAACATAAAAAAAGAACAAGAAATTAATCGACCGTGGAATTTATTTTCTCAATTTCGCGGTAAAATTATCAATGAAAATTATCTTCCGATAAGAAATGAATGTTCCAGAAATAGGATATTTGATGTAATAAGATGTTCACAAGGTTTTTTTCTGTCGAAATTTTGACTTTTCCGACTCGGGGAAGATTATGGTCTTCCAACGCGTCCCAAATCCAACCACTGTTGTCTTGCACTTCCGCTTTTCTCGCGGTGAGACACGTAGTGGCATGAATTTTCATACCGAATCGCAATAAATAGACCGAACGCTAACCGAGTTGTTAGCGTGTTTGATTACTTGTTGCGTTTTTGTTTGTTGACTTTGGAACAAGTCGACTTTTGAACATTTAGAAACATTAACAAAAACTTTCTTGTCCGCTTATTTAGATCACAAGAAATTAAACTTGCCTCTAATTCAATAATTTTCAAGGACCTCTCCCTAAAGTCAAGTAGTATTTTTTCGAACAGTGATTTCGGAGTGTTCCCGTTAAGATTTTGAAAATTTTATTTGTCTATGTTTTAGTCCGATCATTGGTTGAGGGCAACTGAAATAAAATCACCCGCGTCCACTTCTTAAGGGTGTCAGTACAATAAATGAAAGTGACTAACATCGATTTCCGCTTACGATCACGAAATATTTTACTGACCACTTTATTCAAAAATCCTTAAGGATCCACCCCTCAATTCGGCATTTTTTTCAAACAGCAATTTCGGAGTGATCCCCTTAAGATTTTCAAATTTTTTTAACCGTTATTCCAGCCCGATAGTCGCTTTAGGGCAAGCGAAGAAAAAACACTCTCGTCTACTTCTTAAGGGTGTCACTACAATAAGTTAAACTTTCAAAGATCGTGTTTTTCCCTAAAGCACCGTAAAATGTCAGTACGTAAGAGCTTCGCGCTTTGGAGCCTCCGTTGCGTCTGAGAACAAAAAGCTCTGTTATTGGCATTTGCCGCTTGTCTGTAAGAGTTACAGGAGCAAGGAGGAGATTAACAACGTGCCGACCACAATCTAGGCTGGCGATCAAACGTGCCGAACGCGGGGATAAAGGTGACCAAATTTGGTCGACGGAAAGACCGAAAGTCTATTAAACATTTTAGATGGCAAATTCCTGCCCTTACTAATACAATAGTCTTAGGCTTCAATTTTTGAAATAATTTGTCCTTTGATTTTTAAAAACTACATCAGGTTGTTTTTTCTCTTAAAATTTAGATTTTTTATGATTCCAAGAAAATAAAATCACGATAACTTTGGTACATAAGCCTTCCATTTTAATTTTATATATAAAATCGCAAAGTAAATTAGTTAAAAAGATGATATTTATTGAAAAAATAAAGATTTTATGGTTTTTATCCTGAAGTTTTTAATCTTTGAAATTGACTTGATTTTTTGATAATATGAAAAGCCCTAAAATTTTTTCCGAAAACTTATTTCCGAGCCCTCGAACCCCATAAGAAACCAGATATCGGCCCCCGCGCAAGCAAAGAAAAAAATGCTCCTGGATGGCGCTCGCGCGCGAATCGCGCGTTCTCATGATTTTCACCGCTCGTTTTGTTTCACCAAAGACTTTCCATCTGTTCACCCCTTTTTCTGACCTGAGATATTTTGGGAAGACGCTTTTTTTTATTTTTCTAGAAGAGAACTTTGAAACATCTGATACAGAAAGAATCAAAGAAATTTTGTGATAAGAAGAAGAAGAAGAAGGAGAATGATAAGAATACTTCCCCTACTGGGGTTTTTGCACATATCACATGTAAGTTACGAAAAGATATAACATAAAAAATATTTCAGATTGATGGGTAGAAATTTTTGTTGAATTTTGATAATAAGAATTTAACTTGGTGCGTCAAAAATTTCTCAAAATTTTGAAGATTTTTTTCGATCTTCTTAAGCTCAAAAATTATAATTCAAAATATAATAAATTAATTAGAAAAATAAATATTATTAAAATAATTTATTTAATAAATAAATAATTCTAGTAATAAAAAATTATAATTATAAAAATAATTATTAAATAATAATATATTATTAATTATTTAATTTTATTTAATTATTTTTCAAATTATTATTAAATAATTTTTTTCAAGGACCAAGAAGTTTCTGTTTTTGACCAAAATTTTTGGCAGCTCCCTTTTATATCCAACCCTATTAAAAATCATGAGTAAGTCCTCTCATTTCGTATTTGTATGAAAATAAAATTCCATATCATTCTTTTTTGCTTTCTAGTTTTAGTTTTGATTTGATTAGTTACCCTACGTAGTTACCAAAACAGGAAGTAATATATATACACCGCCAAATCATTTTTCTGTTGTCAAAAATAATCGGAAACTGGAGTCTTGTCATTTGAATCGCGGCGAGTGTTAACTCATTGTTGTAAAGCGCGTCTTAGTGAGCCGCTTTGAGCGATTTATAACGACATTAGAAGACTCATCGACTCAGGCCAAATCTCGGACTCTCTTTTAAACAAACTCAACTTCGCTTCAACTGATAAGGCGACACCTAACAGCTTACTACTTGTATTATCGAGCAGGAGTAAATATTCTTAACCCCCTGACGATTTGAGGTATCTCAATTCTACTGTGAACTTTTTTGGCTTTTTTCCGATTGATTTTTTGAAAAAAAATAAAAACCATAAGTAGGCATTTCGATTTAAGAAACAATAATTTTTTAAACTTATTTCTAGTCGACGATGACTGCTTTCACTTGATATCCTATTTATTGATCAGAATCATATTTACTTGAATTAACCTGAATCCATTATTACATATCAAACTGGGTCATCGGCAATGACTCATTGCTATATTTTACAGGAAGACGGAGAAACCCAACCGGGAGTTCGAAAAAACTCGTTGCGCTGGATAATGTCTAGTTTTCTAGCGCGCACGAGCGATATTTTTATAGATGTTTTGCTGGGCATTGATAACGTTCACCACCGGATTCAGACACTTTCCGACTTATAATTTTTATTTTCATCTTTTTCTCTCTTTCAATTTTTTCTTATTTTTTGATCGAGAATCAAGTTCAATTTCAGTTTTTATAACGTGAAAGAGCTCGTTTTTGTCATTGAATAAAATTTCTGTAGAAGCAAAAACACAAGTAGAAAGGGGGTTGAACAAGGCTGGGAAGTGCGTGAGAGATTCAATTAGGCGACAAGCTGCCCAACGTGAATACTGCTCGGCCGCAGGAACACGCTCAAATCTCCAAAAGCGGAAAAAATCCAGTTTAGATTTTTTGAAAATCAATGTTGGGCCTTTTCCCCAAGATCGACATTTAAGATTCTTTACCGGAAAATTTTCCTCTTTTTCGATAAAAATAGGAGAAATAAGCCTAAATCTGTCAACACAACATTTTTCCCAGGGTACGTCCTTACTTATGGGCGTAAGTGGGTTAGGATCTTGACCGATTGATTGCGAGATCAGAAGCTAAAAACATTTCTCAAACGCAAGGTTGACAAGATTTTTAAATTTCCAAACTCAATTTCGACTCTTGATGTGTCTCAAAACAACGAATTTGCTTGCCTGATTTTTGATGAATTTTGTAAAAAAGGGCGGAAAATTGAACGTGACTTTTATGTGTATGAGCTCTTGAAAGCGCAAAGTAAGGACAATAATTACTCGCCAATTAGAAGCTCAATATGCAAATAGAGCTAGGACCGCAAATCTGTCACTGACCGAGCAGACGGATTCCGAATTTCAAGGACTGGGAATAATTCTTCATGCTTTTTCTTTTCAACTTGACTTTTGAAAGTCGAAGTTTCCAGATCATTCTTCTTCGTTGGATAAGAGCTATGAATGGATGAAAGTTCTAAGGGGGATATCTCGCTTTCGATTGGCTGATTGAAAGAAAACTCGACTCTGATTGGCTGATAAGGCCCCAACTATCAGGATTTCACCAACTCTAGAAGCATGTACCTCTTTTCTTATAACCACAAAAGACCTTGTTGTTTACCGACTTAAGATCAAATATTTTCCTTTTTCTACGAAATGATAGTTATAAAGATTAAATATTTCAAAAGACGATTATCAAATTGGCAATGCTAAAATTGAGAGCCGATTTTTTCTGCTGAAAATTATAAAACAAACCCATGAATTTGAAAACGCCTGCAAATTCGCTCACGAACAAGCCACCATGGAAGGCCTCGTTTAATTGGAAACACATGTCGAGTGGTTCTGCTCAGTGAATCTGCTTTATAGGATTAGTTTTCTAAGGATCTCGATATCCGTGAAATGAGCGCATTTATTGATTCGATAAGACATTGCCTGATTTTCTCGATAAACCTGTTCTTTCTCGAATAAATACGGAAGTTAAATGTGATAAAATTTAATTTTTACCGATTTAAGGACCCCCTTAGGTTTTTCCTTTTAAAATGAAAATTTAAAAACAACATATTTTTGGTCCTCAGGTTAAATTTGCTTCAAAACTTGAAAAGAGAAATGTTTGACCAAGATTCTTGGTCCAAAAATCAATACTTTTTCCAAAATTTGGGTGAATTCGTCAATTTTCGGCGAAAAGTCCAATTTTCAAACGCGATTTTAAGGGTGTTAGAGTCGAGATATACTCCCAAAAAATAGAGCCTTAAAATCGTTTTTTTGACCCGAAAAACCATTTCCGGGGTCAAAATTTTAAAATTCCGAAATTTGATTTTTTGAAAAAAGCTGACGAGGGGGGTCCTTAAATTTTCCCGTGTTTAGTTCATTCCCAAAGATCTTGAGTTTGATACAGCATTATGCTAGCAAAAATTAGTGTTCACGGTTTGGATTTTCCGTTTGTTAAATCCATCCTGCTCTCAAGTAACTAATTTCGCCTAATCTTTTAGGCAGTGTTACAATGCAGTAAATCAGCGACAAACGCGACGGAGGCGATTCAACAGCGCATCGCAGCGGAGAGAGAGGATATTCATGTGTTCATTGGTGGTGTCAATGTCGATGGCGAGTTTGACAAAAATGAAAGAGAAGTTCAATAATGACGATTCGGATAATCATTGTTTTTGAAAGAACTGTAATTCAAAAGTGGGTTCTTCTGAGGGATAAAGATCCAAATTAGCATAAAATGACAAGGTTTTTGACGCATTTTCGCCTTCAAAAATGCATAATCAATTCATTTTCGTCTCAAAAATTGCCAACAAAAAGTATTATCGAACTCGATCTGAATAGAGCCCAGCATTTACGACGGCCAAAAAGTCAAATGTGGGCAGTTTTCCTTACAGTGTCCAAATTAACTCTTGTGTCGGAGACGATTGTAAACAATGCGGAGGTGCAATTCTTCACGGCGGAGAGTTTGTTCTGACCTCTAAAAACTGTTTGAGGAGGGATTCTGGAGCAACGATAAGGAAAATGGAAAGACATCATGTCGTTATGACATTTGAAACTTGACATTTGACATTTGACATTGACATTTGACATTGAAATTTGACGTTTTACATTTGACATTTGTCATTTGTAATTTGACATTTGCCATTTGACAATTGACATTTGACATTTGACAATTGACAATTGACATTTGACATTGACATTTGACATTTGACATTGACATGACATTTGACAATGACATTTGACATTTGAGTTCATAAGTTCATCCAGAAGAAATTCTATTTGATCAGTCTCTTAATTTAATCTTTTTCCCGTTGTCTTTCCTCAATTAGCGTCATCATTAATGGTTCCCCTGCCCGAGTTCGTCGGGTAATCGACCATCCTGATAGCGTGGACGTGTCTATGATTAAACTTGCCCGCGAGTCGTCAACATCCATCTGCTTGCCTCCTCCATCATTCTGTCTGGACGGGAAGCCATCCACATGCGTCGTTGTCAGCCCCGACGGACAGACGGAAACGCAAATCGAGCCGATGGAAGAAGAAAGATGCAATGTTCGCCACGGCTACAACGTCAACATAAACGGCCTCTACGAAAACTGCGCTCGATCTGGCTCATTTTCCCAGAAACAAGGGTGTTCTTTGCTCCTGGAAGCCCAATCATGTGCCGATTTCCTCAAGACAACACCTGGGTCCTGTATGGAATCGTCAATACTGTCAAAGAATGTGGCGTCGAATCGGCCTCCGTTTACACCAAATTCAAGACCGTGAGCAGCTGGGTGAACCAATACCAATCCATTGATTCTGGCCTATCCGAGCCGAACGAAGATGAAATATGCGACTATAACCAGCAGGAGTAGTGCGGGCCTCAAGTTGCCGGACAATGAAGACGCAAAAGGCTGGCAAAAAGAGGGAATTTGCGGTGTTCCAGATGTTCAGGAAACGGTCACGTGACCTACTTTTTGACCCAGAGGAAAACTTTATTTTCTTTCTAAAAGAAGAGAAATGTGTAGTTATAGTAACATTTTCTCCTGGAGAAAAAATTGCGGAACATGGGTGGAGCATTATGTCAAAACTCGTTCGTGATATGCGCTAAATTTCACGTAACCGTTCGAAAGCCAAAAGCACCCCAGTGGAATTCTCCGGGCGAATTATCGGCGGAGAGCACGCTGTTAAAAATTCTTGGCCTTGGCAAACCTACATCGTCTCTTGCCAACAGGATGGCTGCATGACTTGCGGAGGGACACTGATTTCGCCGTACTGGGTTCTGACTGCTGGCCATTGTGTTCCGACTGGATATGGGGCGCAAGGATATGCTCTTTTTGGCGCGCATAAGATTTCGGAGAAGAAAGAGCATATTGACTCGATTGATATTCGGGAGTTCGTGATTCATCCATCTTACGAGAGGTAAACAAGAGACCATAACTGACGTGTTATTTTCATCTTTATAAATTTTTCAATACTTTAATTACTGACTTTTCTATTCAAAAGTATATACAGAGTTTCTTCATTACAGTTCTTCTTAAGACGAATCCTAAAACACGATATCGCTCTTGCCCGTCTTGTCAAGCCAGCACCAATGGGAGATCTTTCCGAAGTTCGACCAATCTGTCTACCAGACAGCTCAATTTGCCTACCGGAAGCGCAGGAAAGTATTGAATATTTCATGACTCTAGAATGGAAAGACCGAATTTGGGTTTCTCAAAAACCTCAAAATAAATGACAAGGAAGGGTCAATTTTAGAAAAACAGAAACAGAGGATGAAAGGGATAAATCGCAGCAGCGGAAGCTTAAGGTTCCCTATTGTGGTCCCTTTGAAATAAAAGAGAATCAGGGCGTTCTGCGCGGCACGTTATGTGGCGCGGCAGCCACGTTTTTGGGTTCTTCTAAGCTGGATTGTGGCGGGGGATTTTGGGGGCCGAGTGGCGTGACTTTTGCTCGGAGCCGTAATTGGGAAAAACGTAAACCTGTAGCGGGGAGAAGGGATTTTCGTGCAGCAGGGGAGACGAAGTGGCTATTAAGTTAGTTGAACTCGAATCGATTTTATAACTCGATTTTCACGGCTCTAGAATGACTTCTTTTATTATAAAAACTTGGAGATTGGACCCTCTTTTCAAGTAAAAGAACCTTTTTATGCTACGTTATTTGTGTGCAAAATAAACTTCACCTCCCTAACTCCGTCTTTACAAGCCTTTAGCTGGACCCTTTTCGACTCAAAAAGTGGGGAAAATCTGCTGGTGACGTAGACGACACGTTTGTGGTCTCTTGAACAAGTCGAGTTTATTTTCAAAACCACTTTTGATCTCGCTGTCCATTCTCTCTATCCTAGGCCACTGCTAAGATTCAATCACAACAGGTCTGACAGCGGCAATTCAAACTCATTTTCTGACCTCCAAATTTGATTCCAAAAAAGGGATGACATCATATCCCTTCCCGGCATTTTTCAATACGGAAAAAGAAATGCGTCGCAGTTGGCTGGGGCGTCACGTCAGAAAACTCGGATCAATCGTCGGACATTTTGATGCAGGTGTCGGTGCCGCTCATCCCTCGATCCAAGTGCGTCAAACTGCCGAAGCCCTACAATCTCGTCTCTCCATATGCAATCTGCGCTGGGTAAGACTCCAACTGTTTTTGGACAAGTTTTTTATCGCTTGTTGAATTGAAACATTGATAACATGTACTTTTTATCACGAAAATTCAGATTCGATGAGGGCGGACAAGATGCTTGCACTGGCGACTCAGGTGGACCCCTTCTCTGTCAAACTGGCGAAGAATCGCCCTGGATTGTTTATGGCGTCACCTCCTGGGGATACGGCTGTGGCCGCGCTGGCAAGCCCGGAGTCTACACCCGAGTCAATTTGTACAACAAATGGATCACCAGCGTCACCGGCATCACTCCATCCATCAACGACGATGATTACCCAAAAGTCTCTTGCGACGATGAAAACGAGAGCGAGCGTTTTTGGCGACAACCACAACCACGACCACCAGCACAACGACAACGACGACTACAATGAAGCCAACAACAGAGCCTCCGACTGAGAAGCCCTTGCCAGAAAATCCACAGGATCTGTCAATTTGCTCGAACCCAGCTTTCGCTCCTAGAACATCCCTGTTTAATCAACTTCCAGCACACAGAAGGCGGCGACAAGCCAGTTTGGGTGCGAACTTCTTTTCAACAATTATCTTCCTCCAACCTCTTCCGAAAAAAAAGAAAGGAAAAAGCAGAAAAACAAAGAGCCCAAGTGCAGCTTTTTCTGAACTATTCGCCCTCAAGTCGAAAAAGCGACGATTCCAGAATTCGTCGAAGATCCAAATTTTAAGCGAATTGTTGGTGGACAAGTTGCACTCAAAAATTCCTGGCCTTGGACTGTTTACATCAAAATTTCGAGTAAGTTTTTATAAAAAAGGGATGGTGTCTGGAACCGACAAAAAAATCGACAAAATTTGCGTGGGCGGCTACTCGGCTGGTGATTCGCCAGTTTCCGAATCTAAGAAAATTTCTTGTTGAAAATTCCACGCAAAATTTGTCGAAATTTTTATGAGGGTTCCAGACATCTCCCCAAAAACGCATTTTCAATGAAATTTTGAAAGGGGTTCTTTGAAACTCCTGTAATTAGTATGCGAAGTTGTTTTTGTAAACCGCTGTTGTATTTATGTTATCTGTATGTTCAAACTTGGCGTTCAGGCATTTATCTTGACATGGGGTTT